TAAGTACAGCTAATTTCTTGGTTTCCCTAATATTGCATATTCTAGTATAAATCAAAATAGGTGATAGTTACAAATGGGCAGATTTTAGAACTCTATTAAGAAAGCTAATCATAATAGGCACCCAATTAGACACATCCTATTTAAAAAATTTAATGAAATTATCTAAAATTTACATCACCTTCTCAATTTTTATAAATATGAGTTAGATCATCCATTATCTCCTCTATTATCCTATCATATATATTGAGTTACAACCAATTTCATTACGTTATTTCTATTCTTTATTATGAATCTAAATGTTGATATCATATCAAAATTATATTATCTATTCGAATCTAAATCATACAGAGATACTGAATTAGAACAACTTCTTCTTCTATATTTAAATCATCCCTAAATGATGGAGAATTTGCCACTTTTGAAGCAAGAGAATAAAGAATTTATTTTAGGTCTGTTGAACTAAATCTTTTAATTGTAGTCATAATAAATCCTTTGAACTTCTCTTTCTTAGCATAAGTACTGACTTGGTTTGTAATTAGTTGATGATTGGTAATTCAAATAAAATATAAATATTATTTAAGAATCAATTATTGTATATAATTATAATCTTGATGTTCAATTGAATAATTAAAATTCATTTATAAATATTTAAATTAAATATATGATAATATTTGTAATGAAATATAATAATTTTTTAAAAAAAAAGGATCTTCTCTTATATAATTCAATCAACAATTTAGCATAATTTTATAATAGTTGAATAAAATATTTGGAAGAACAAAATGATTAATGTTTTAACAAAAAGTAGTTTTCGCTTAAAACGGATTTATTTAATATAATAATCCAATCTTCAAATAGATCTATTTTTCACTTACTTTACTTGTATTTATTCAAACTTCATCATTTGTTACAGTATTATATTGTCAAAAACGATTTAATTGGTATATATAGAGCTGTTCGAGTTAAGCGATATTTAAATTAATGCAGAATTTTTCAAAACTAGAAAAATAAAAACTCTAAAACATAAAAAATTTAATAATTCTTAGGTTTTAAAAATCATGATAAATTAAGAAATTCTTTATATTTTGTTGATTCAAAAAAATATTAATTCAAAAACCTCACATTCCTGAATTTTAGGCTGATCTTAACCAAACAAATGATTGCTTTTGACATTTTTATATTATTCCCATTAATAGGAAAATCCTAAATTAGAGTAGCCAGTTTAAAAATCAGAATTGATTGATATATCATGGCCTCCTCCAAAAGCAATTGGATAACCTGAACTGAAACAGATGGCAAGTGATTTACTCTCTTATTTCAAAGAATAAATTTAATCATGCGTTTATGAGAAAATTAAGGAAGAGCATGAATCATCTTGAATATATTGATAGTTAGCAACTTACTTAATCCATTTCAAAGGAGTATAAGCTCCAAATATATACTGACTGCTAGATTTAAAAACCAACAACAAATTGCTTTTACCATTTACTTTTGTCAAAAAAATTTATCCGTTTAAACCATCTTTAGTTCCTTAATAAATCATTTGTGCTTATGATATTTTTTTCCCTGTTTTACTCTATATAATATCTTAAATTTTCTATGAAAATTATTCTGTCAGTAAGGAGCAACATATTGTTTTCAACAATTTTGGATCTACCCATTTATTAAAGCTAAAATGCTTTTCAGAAATTTATCTATATAATTCACCAAATCTTCGAAATTCTGGATACTTCTCTTCTTTCAAATCCTTAACTTGATTTTGCTTCTAATCTAAAACATCATAAAGTTTTTCATTTAAATAAGCGCTATTATTTAACATTAAATCCTTAATATATTGATGCAAGGTTTATTCGCTCTTTTCAATTGCTTAAGGATTTATAGTATCACCTAATTAGCTCAAACTACTTATTATTTCCTTTAATTGATCAAGTTTAACGATCTTGGTAATATTTACTAATTACTTAATTTAAATCACTTCTTATTTTTTATTTCAAATCTTCCCTTGCCTAAACAACTATTTTAAGTTATTAAAACAATTTTGTTAAGACTGTATGCATTTCTTGGATCTTTAATTCAATCTCCTTAAGCTCTTTAATTAAAGTAACTTCATCCTATTGACTGAATTCATTAAAATAATTCAATAACTATTGGTCAATGTCCAATTTAGTAATTAGATACTCAGGGTATTTTAATGCCTTAATTTAATTCAATTATACTTTATTGATATGAATTAATTTCTAAAATTTTTCTAAATTTGATTGTTCTTACAAAGAGAGTAGACAGATATCACAAAAATATTAAGTTGCTTCTTTTTAAGGTAGAAAAAATAGTAAATATTATCCTTCATGTTTGAAACAAGGTACTTAAAGCATTTTTATTAAATATTTTTATTAATAGAAAACAAATTTACTAACTATTTCATATAAAAGTGATACTAATAATTAAATATCTAAATAAATATAATAAAAAGGAGGATTAGACTTTATTATTATTGCAATTTCTTAAAAATCATTAAATACATGCATAATAATGTACTCTCAATAATTGATATATTTGTAAATTATTTTTATAGATCTTGTTAACAGATGTTATTCATTAATAACAATTGGTAGTGTTTTATGATCTCTTCTTCTATGTAATTAACTTAAAGACTAACAAAATAATTTAGAAATTTAATAAAGTAAATTAATAATAATATATATTTTATGTTAATAGATTTATAGTAAACTCTCAGGTTATAATTCTATTAGAAAAGATATCAAGTGCCATAATCGAACTTCAATGTATTATTTAATTATTGAAATGAATTTTAAGTTTAAACTGATACTTGTCTTTATTTCAATGATATTTCTTGTAATCGCAATAGCTGTTTTTCCAAGGGATACGTTATCTATTCATTAAAAAGTCATAATAATTACATTGTGTTTAATATTTGGAGGGTTTGTTTTGTTTTACTTATACCATAAGGAATCTTTAGAAATCTAAAAAAAATCGAAAATCTTATTAATAGGCCCAGCTGGTGTTGGGAAAACATAAACATATAATTATTTAAAATGCAAAACTATTATGAACTTTAATAGATTTTAATTAGGAGAAATAGGAAATATATGCTTAGTTGACACACCAACTATGGATTTAGATTGTGGTATAGATGAAAGAGAAGATGCCATATCATAATTTTAACAATTCTTTGTAAATTTTAAGACTTCAATAAGCGCTATTATGATAGTTGTTAACTTTGAAAGAACTGACTTAATGAAACAAAAATTAATAAGAACCTTAAAATATTTGAAAAAATTTTAAGATATGATATATATATTAATAACTGATTTTCACTTAAGTGAAAATCATGATGGCGATAAGTCATAATTAGAGTAATCCCTTAAATTTTTAAATTTGAAAGGGATTATCTTTTTAAATAAAGAAGAAAATGAAAAATGGATGATAGAGGAATTAAATGCAATTGAACAAAAATCCTCTCATTAAGTATTTGATATAAATGACACAATCTTTGCTATCATTGATGACAAAATGAATGCTTCATTAATGGATTAAATTAATTTAAAATTTTCATCTTTAAAGTGATATCAAATAAATTTTCGATAGCTCTGCATGAATATTTAATGAATAAAAAAAGATATGATACTAATTGCTTAAAAGAGTTTCTTAGTTAAAATGTTAAACTTTGAAAAAATCTTTAATTTTTAGTATCTTTATTCATATTTCATATTTAAGTGGATAGAAATTATTATTATAATATTTTTTTTATTAAAACAATTAACGTTATAGTTAATCTAATTGTGATTGTCTTCTCTGATTAAATTAGTATAAAATCTTACAACTTAAATATTGTAATATCTCTTAACTTTAAAAACAGCAACAATAATTAATTAATAAACTTAAAAAAGGATTGGAAGATAATTTTTTTATTACTTATATTAATTCTAATTACAAAATATTAAGTTACGAAAAAGTGATTATTTGATATTTTGAAAATATTATTTGTCTTTAAATATAAGAATTATGATTGTTTTAATCTTTTGCATGATAAAATCTTCCTATTGAGCTTACTAGTATATTTTGTATGCTTTATAATCATATCATGTTATGATATTTAATTAATTGTTTTTAATAAATAGCAATGTAATTAGCTATCCTAGCCTTATGTATCATTGAAATAACTACTTACGATTATTGGGGTAACGCATATACAGCTTTTGATTCTACTGATATAGCAGATAATGATGGTTTTATATTAAAATATATTTAGGCTGGTTGATGCATGGAAATAATGGAAATGTATTTAATAGTACGTGCGGCACAAAGTCATTGTTTGGAGGTTTTAATATATTAGGAGCTGGGGCAAGTGTTTCAAAAATAATTTCTCTGCCAGCACATTTTAAAGTAAGAGTTTCTTTAGAATTTTGGAAGTATTTATGATAATAATAAAAAAGGATAGATAGTTGGGATGAAGAAATATTATACATTATTTTAGATAATAATGTAACAACTGATCATTGGTATTGGAGTACCGGAGATATGATATGCGGGAATGTACCTTATTGGAGCGAATGGAAAGAAGTTCAGAAAAATTTTTCAATAGAATTCAAGCACAATTAACCAACACTTGCTGTAATAATCACAACTACTTTAGATGAAGTTCCATTGACAGTATTTATTTAATATTATAAGGAATCCTGGGGATTTAGAAATTTTAAAGTGGATGTATTGTATTGCGCACCAGGGTGTATAATTTGTAATGAAGATGGGCCTGATCAATGTTGGTATTATGCATAAATTGAAAAAAATTGGTTTGGAACAGAAGATTTTAATACTGATGGCTGGACCCTTAATACTTATAACTCCCCTACATACAGTACTTGCGTCAACATAAATGTAATTGGAGGAATTGGTTAATTTACATAAGCTACGGAGTTATAAAAGTAGTATACTTCTTTGGATCCTCATTTTAAACTTATGTTGCAAGTTCAGGTATGGAAATTTGATGTTTGGACTGCTAATTCGTTTACAATAGAAATTGATGGTTAAAATGCTGCAACAGCAATATTTAATAAAGATGAGGTTACTCAATTATGTGGTAATAGTGGTGGAGGAGAACGTTTGTTAAATATTGAGATTATATAGACTCACACAGCTGATAGCATGTTAATTAAAATGAAATCTGACCTTTCGTCAACGGCAGGATCTTGGGGATTACGAGCATTTAGTTTACTTTTAGGTAAATGTTATGAAAAATGCCTTACTTGTTCAGGGCCAAATTACGATAACTGCTAAAGTTGCAAAACTGGATATTTTTTACTTGATTCTCAATGTGATGATGGTATACTTTCAATTATACACTAGTTAAATGGATCTTAGGCTTATAACAATATTTTCTACCTTAAGATTTTTAAATATAAACTGGATGGACCATATCAAATGTTTATTATAATCGAAATCCATTTTAATTATGTAATGGTTAGAATTTAGTAGGAGGAACGTAATTATTAGCTAAAGATGCTTCAATAACCTTAAGTTTTGAACTTCCACGTCACACAAAAATAAGAATTAAGTTATAACTTTGGAAATTTGACTCTTGGGATAATGAATGGTTTAGAGTATTTGCAGATGGAACTTAAGTTTATTAGTTGTAAATTGGGTTGAATGGAGCTCTAATCCTTTGTGGAACATATAGTACAAGCTCCTATGTAAAGAATTTAGATTTTAACTTCCTACATAATTAACAGTCTATCATATTAATGATGACATCTACACTAGATGAACCAGCTGATAATGAAGCTTGGGGAATAAGAAATTTTTAATTATTTTATGGAGTCCCAAAGGATTGTAGCAACTCTGTCGTTGATTCCGTTACATTACCTTCATTCATAGGAACTAAATGTTTCTAGACAATATATTATTCAACAGATCACACTTTGTAAAATAAAATAGAAATAACCGAGCTTGGACTCTCTCTTTAGTCTATCTTTGATCAAAATTTATCTGTTGATTCTGCAATAAAGTAATTGACAATTTTAATCGAATGGAACTGTTTCTCAAGTGATCAAACATTTTCCATTTCTATTCTATAAAGCAGTTTTCCAGATTACAAAAAAGCAACAGTATATTGTAAATAAAAACGCTCTAATTTATTAAAGTCTACTGTGATTTTATAAAGGACAATAATATAAACATCAACAATCAGATTAGTTGCGACTTCAACAAAATTGTAAATATAGCAAACAGTTGATGGGCAAACAACAACATAATATGAAATGATAATTAATTGATTAAATAGCTATGTAAATAAAATCTAAATTAAAAGATACCTCTAATCTAAATAATATCTTACTTTGTATAAATTATTTTTTACACAAAATTATTGATTTCTATTTTTTCAATCTTCAATTACATAAAACTTAAATATTATGAAAAAACTTCAATTTAAATAAGGTATGAATGATAATCAATCATTATATTTTCTCACTTCAATTTCTTTAGTCTTATAATTCCAAGTTACCAAATAATCTCCATTATGACTAATTGTACCGAAAATACCATATGTACTAAACTCAATCGTAAATTTTCCTAATAGCTTACCATCATTATCCAATCTCATTAGATTCACAAATGTATAGTATTTATTTACTAATAATGACTTTTCCATTATAAATTTTTATGGGAATAATATACTTCCATCATAATTTCCCTTATATTGTCATCTCATTTTTTTTCTCATACTATTTCTTTGAATTATTAATCTCGTATATTTGAGTGATTTCCTTATTATCGGGTTGAAATGCAAAAAGTTTATCACTCAGAAAACACAATCGATTTCCCTACAAACTAGTCCAAATCTTCTTAATTACTATCCATTTGTTATCTTAACTTTATAATTCCATTACTAGAATGAATTAATCAATTCCGCATGATATTAATCTATTTTGATTTTAGTTGAAACTTAATTAAAATACACTACCAGTATGCTCTGATATTGTTTACCAACATTCCCATTGATTCTATTTTACCCAGAATTTAATAGTTTTATCCCAACTGCAAGAAACAATAAGATCATCGTTGTTATTTCTTATTACACAATTAATTTATCCTGAGTGTCCAATTATTCTCTAAGAAATATTCCAGATCTATTCTTTAACATGCTACCATATAATTATTTGTTTGTCATCACTACCAGATATAATGTCGTTTGAAGTATTCATGAAACTTAATGTTGTTACATTATCAGTGTGACCTTCAAGAACTTAAATTTCCTTAAGATTTCCTTAATTAAATTGATAAATTTTAATCCTATTGTTACATCCAACAATCATAAATGTCATATCTTCATTAATCTCAATAGCATAACAATTTTCCTCCTACCTTTTTGAGAATTTAGGTTCTAGAATGTAAGAAAATGGTTTCTTATCCTAATTAATCCTAGTTCCTTAAGTTTTGATTTACTTTGATTATTATTAAAGAATTTAATAATTTGGAATATTTTTAGTCTAAAATTTTTCTTCCTAACATATCTAACATTAAACTTGATTTTAGAGCTAAGATTAACGTGACCCCAAGTTATATCCCTCTCTTTTGTGTTTATTACATAAAGTTTGATCTTTAAAATTATTCATTATTATTAAATTTATTAGAATTGAAACTAAATCATTATGATTAATAAAATATCTGATATATTCTGATCTAAGAAATTTCTGATAAATTAGATGCAAATAATATTTTTTCAATCAACTATTATGAAAGTAGTAATTTTATGAATTGCATAAATAATTACTTAGATATCAGATGAAAATGAAATTAAGTCTATCGCAAGTAACTAATACCTTTTATGAATGAATTGAATATATATATTCTAAATTAAATTGTAACAAACATAAAGAAAAATTATAACATCATTTAATCATCATAAATTTTTGAGAATACTTTTGCTATGTGGTTGATTAATGAAAATTTTAATTTCAGATTTTACTACTTATGTTGAAATTCAGTGCGTTTATTTATCAAGATGAATACGCATATTTAAAAAGATAAAATGAAAAGTCAAATTCAATCAATTTTCAATCCAAAATTTCCTTAACTTTATTATAAACTGTAAATGAGTGTAATATATATGAATCATAGTAATTACAGTTACTTTTTAGTCATTTTTTCATAGAATAAAATATGAATTTAAATATGATACCAATTAGGATATGTTATGGACAAATTAGATATTTCTAATTGTAAATCAATACTTTTATCGCTAAAATTTCTGATAAATTTCCAAATTAATACTAAACTAAAGTTTATTAGTTTCCAATATTTAAAATACTTTCTTTACGTAGTTAAATTAATTAGTCTTATTGATTCCGTTTTATGAAGAAAGAGATTTAATTTTTGTAATTCTAATACTATATCTACTAGAAATAATAGAACTGTTAGGTTATTGATTCTTTGAAGATGGTTATTAAAATTATTGTTCTTCTAAAGTGTAGTTATTTTTTTAATAATACTTAAGTCCTTAGGTAATTTAATCAGTATTTTGATGTGGCTTATTGAGTGATATTGATTAGATTTATAGATTGAATTTTCAGCATAAATTATCTAAACTAAACCTAAAAAAATTAAAAATAGTTAGATCTTATTCTAAAGTAATCTATAAACGTTAACAAGATGCAACAATAATTAACAGCTACATTAACTTAGGGTTTACGCAATAAGCAAGATGATGCTAAAATCATAAATAATGAAAGAATCTAATTTATGAACTAATTGGAAAAGATGATGTATTATTATTAAAATTTTATGTAAATTCTCACTAAATACAAGGTGGCATTGATTTAAAATGCAGTGTTTGAAACTAAGTAAAAAATTCTTGAGGGAGTGGCTGCATCAATTCGTGATTGTGTATAGAAAGAGTGCAAAGTGATATTCTTAGGAGAGTTTTTTAATACTATTTTTGAGACCAATCAATTAAAGAAAAATGCAGAAGACTTTTCAGATAAAAATAATAGAGAAACATATGAGCTCATGAAGTAGTTATCAGAAGAATTTTAAATCATGATAATTGGTGGATTGCCAGAAGTGGCAGATGGCAAATTATTTAATGCTGCTTTGGCATTTAATGATGGGAAACTCGTTGGTTAATATAGAAAATGTCATTTATTTGATGTGGATATTCCAGGAGGGATTACTCATTTTGAATCCAATACTTTTGGATCAGGTAATGATTATTGTATTTTTGATTCATAATATGGAAGATACGGTCTTGGTATTTGTTATGATATCAGGTTTCCAATATATTCTTAAGTGATGAGAGATCAAGGATGTCAAGTGTTGTCATTCCCATCAGCATTTAATTAGACTACAGGGCCATTGCATTGGGAATTATTGAATAGATCCAGGGCTTTGGATAATCAGGTTTATGTTGCAAGTGCTTAAGCAGCAAGGTATTATTCTGATGATCCTGACTACTATCAGACATGGGGTCATTCCATAATCACAGATCCTATGGGGAGAGTGCTAGCGACATGTGAATCAGATCCTGCAGTGTTAATTCAGGAAATAAACCTATCCCTTGTAGATCAGGTTAGAAAAAATATCCCAACGTCGGTTCAAAAAAGAACAGATTTATATTAAGTATCCAAAGGAATAAAATGAATCTACATAATATAAATATCAATATTCATATTTTAGCAGTTATTCTGTTTTTTGTCTTCGCTCCATGATCATGTTGTTGATCTTTGCCATATTCTTTTATATATCATCTTCTTGTTAGAGTTTGATGAATTAACTTGACGTTATCGATTATTGTGATTTATCTGACATCGTGGATGAAGTTTGGCTATTTATTGGGCTGATACTTCTTTAAGGTAACAATTTATTTATTCTATTCTTAATTTCACATAATTGTTGTCTCATTTCTTAGCAAAACTGAGCATTTTCGGATTACATCTATACGTTAATAATTAATGATTATTTAAATAACTTAATGTAAAATAAAGAACTCAGTTTTGAAGATTCCTTGAGGCAATCGTAATTGCCATAATAATAAAAATAAAGTAAAAAGAAAACTAGCAAGCAGGATAAATAAGACAAACAAGTCAAATTCACAGGTATATGACAGACTCTATCATTTATAGATGAGGAAATAAAAATTATAGAAATGCTAACTCCATAAGTCAAACAATAATAATAAGCTATTAAAATAGCCAATGGGAAATTGGACTTCCTTTTTGATGGCTCCAGAGATGTTAACTTAGTCAAACCATATCATGAGGATGGAGATGAAAATATGTATTCAAAGGAGAATGTTACAAAGAGAAGAAAACTTAAAAGCGATCCTGAAGTAGTGTAAAGTATCGAAGCCTTTATGGCACATTACTAATTCGATATTAATAACAAATTAATCAAGGAAAATTATTTAAAAACTCATATAAGATTGGCATATTTATTAAGAAAGGACATAGAAGAAGATAGGGAGGAGATTAAATTTTTGTTGCTTGAGGATTGGTATTTGTTATTATAATGAAGGGAGCATGATTCTAAAGGAAATGGTTTTATGACAAGAGCTGAGTTATATGATTCTTTATTTGAATTAGTGGATACATGGACTCCAGATGCTGAGAAATCTGAGTATATTGGGTTTTTTGAGTTGTTGGAATAGAAATATAAAAGACAACAAGACGAAAGTAATTTTACTATTTATATATTAGAATTTGAATAGTTGTACTATGAAATAATGGAAAGTTGAATATTTCAATTTTATAATTATCCTTCTTCATGGATATCAAAATATTCTTATTTTTATTAATTTGATGTAGTCTTAAAGTCATCGAGTTGCATTAGTTTAGACAGTTTTTGTTGAGGACTATTGCTTGCTTAGAAAATAGACTGCAAACTGGTTGTAGGCAATGGAATTTATTCGTCTTATGTCTTCATTTCTGGGATGTGTTTTTCTAATCTACCCTTAATTCTGTTAGCCTGTTTTGGTTGTTGAGGGGATGGCGCATTTGTGTTGCTATTTTTATTGGCCTATTCAATTCTTTTTAGACATTATTCAATGAAATCTTCCGATTTTAGAGAAGCATTCCTTGAGATCTTGTTTGGACTCTGATTTGAATCCTAATAAGTGGAATGCAAAATAATAGTCGACTTGCTCTATCTCATCTACCCGATAGGTTTTTTTAATGACTACAAAGCCTATTAGGCTAGTTAGATTTCTGTGAATAGCTATCTAATCTATGAAGATTATTGCGAAAACTTGTCTTGGAGATATTGTAGATCAGATAAAACTTGCATTAAATATTTTTTTAATGTAATAATATAGGGAGTTTAAATCTCATATTAGGAAGTCAGAATACACAACTTCGGATAAGAACTTTCCTCTGGCTCTACATGCTTTGTTGATATACGTATTTTTTATATCATTTAACATTGCCGGAAAAATGTGCTAATAAGACATATTTGCCAAGAGGTTTCCAGGAGATAAAAACAACTTAGGCAATTTGATGTGGTTTTGCTATTAAACAGTGGCTTTCTTTGGGTTAGCCCAATTGCCTAAGATTGTAAATTTTATTACTTTCAGAATTATCTTGATGGTAGGATCATTGGGACCTCAAATCTTTATATTGCCTGCAATTTTGGCTTCAAGTTCTGGTTGTCCTGATTGGGCGATTTATATAATTGGGATACTTTGTTCAATCTGCTCTGGAATGTTATCAGTAATATTTTTATTTGGGATGCTTTATTATTTATCTAACTTATCATTTGGAGATGAGAAAATATTGTATTATTGTTCACTCTATTTCATGTAATTTATACAACAATAAGTTTAGTCATAGCTTCTAATGGATATTAGGCAGCTTTTTCGCAGAAATATTTAGTAGAGCAACAATTGAGGCAATTGGCAGATTATTTTATATATCTATTGTATAACTAGTTCTAAGTCTGTTATTTTTAACGACCTTTGAGCCCAATCACCCAAGATTGAGAAGGACTAAAGAGTAAATTCTAAGTTTGATTGAAATAAAGACAAGTTAGCAAGTGGACAAGGTAAATACTTTAAGGCAATTAATTATGAGTGGAATATAAGTTGACAGTTTAAATCAGCAATAAAAAGCTAAGTCGGAAGAAGAACTGAAACAAATTATGAACAACATGACTATTCAATGTTTTTCCTTGGATTCAAGCAATTTGAGTATGATAATTGAAAAAGAGGAATTCAATGTTTATTAAAATAAATCATATTTAGAATGCATAAAATACACTTCTTAGGAATTGTGGAAAAGAAATGCTCTTTATTTATTGCCTTTAGTATTAACAGTAGCATTACTTGAAGGCTTCATTTATATATAAATGCTCAACTATATAATGTTTTTGGCATAGAAGGAGGACAGCAGCAGCTCATTTGAAATTGAATTTATTTTCTTTTATGTTGGATTGGGTTATGTTCTTGGATGCTTTGCTATAGGAATTTTTGGAGATTTTAAAGATAAAATAGTTTGGATGGTTTTTACCTTGACAATCTTACAATTTAGTTTTATTTTTAGTTGGGTGGTAATAAGTTATAGAACCAACATTTATTTTTTTTTTTAGTTGTTTGCTGCCATGTTGGGGTTTTGTGCGTCAGGCTTGACCTCTTCAATTGTTTCATTTTTGTGCTTTGAATTTTCATCTCTGATATATATGGTGGACACAATTTATATTATCTATTCAATGTGTTTTGCCATATCTTCATTGTTATTCATATTTGGAAGCAGCGATGTATTTGAACATTTGATTGTCAATTTATCAATAATTCAACTAGTTGCATTGAGTAATTACTACTTTATCTATAAATACTATAGAATAAAAAAATTAAGTAAATAATGAATATTGATTAATATTAAATCAAATCACTCGAAAAAATAACAAATTTTATTTACAATCGCTACACTGCTTTTAATCTTCACTCTTCCTATCCATATTGCATAATAAACATCTTTCAAGATATTATTAATCATATATTTCATCTAAAAATTAATTATCCTCTAACTCCTGCAATTTATCCCCATCTCCAATGTACATATCATCAATAAAAATCAAAGGCAATTCATATCCATATTCCTTGAAAGCCTAAACAAATTAAACACTTTTTTTATCATAGGCAACATCTATTTTTTACAATGACCACTATTTCTAATCCAAGATCAAAAACGCTTTAGTTTAATTCGACTTTATCTTATTGCTCTATCCAGTTAAGGAAGTATAATATATTTTTATTCTACAATGTTGTTTCTTGCTCATTTTACGCCTCCACCATTGTTAAATGATGAATGCTGAATAATACTATTATTAATTTATATTCATAAAATATATTAATGTTATAAAATAAATGAAAGCGGACCCTATTCAACATTTTTATATTATCTCATTAAGCGTTAAATTTCTTCATTCTAAATTTCCAACTCTTCTGGAACTGGCAAAAAGAAGTATTCTCTTGCTAATACGATCTGATTCATCTTCTTTAAATTGATAAAACTTCTAAGTTTCATAAAAGTCAATGTTGGTATGTATTTTAAATCCAATAAATTGCAAGATGTCCTCAATTCATTGTGAGTTTTGCAAAATTATATTAATTATTAAATTTATTAAGAGTTAACTTATCGCAACAATTTCTTGTTTGCAACTATAACATCATTAGGAAACAAAGTAAAAATAGGATAATTTTCATCCAAAACGAATAAAGTATAAGGTTTGACTTTCTCAGCCAACTCAGAATCCATTTCAAGGTTTTTTTCTAATTACAATAGATTAATTGTAGTATCTGCTAGAGGCCTTTCATATTATGCTTTTAATGGTAAAATCCTTATTTTTTTGTCAAAGTATATATCTGCAGTATCATACATTTGATATGCAAAATATGCCCCAAATGCAAAGATTGCATATTTCAAGGCCTTCCATTTGATGATTTTTATAAAATCTGACACCACTGAGTATTGAGCTTTAGTTTATTGGTATCTTTCTCTTAGTCTTGCTGCTTCTTCCTTCTCAAACTGCTCCAAATGCTCTTTTCTTCTTGAATATTAAAATTTAATAATGGATAGCATTATTTTAAATAATAATAAATTGAATCACAAGTCTTAAAATTCAAAGAAACACAATTTCCCATCTCCATTATGATCATACCTATTTATAAGTAGGCTTACTTCAGAAGCATTATATCTGAGACCATTCATGTAAAGATACTATTGCAGCTAAACTAATAACTAAAATTAGATACATCAGTAGAACTTATATAGTTATCCCTTGTTACCGAATCAATAAGTTTAAAGAGATCTTTTGAACCATTCAATTTAGGAGGGGGTGATTACAATAACTCAAGATACTCTTTGAATAATTACAAAGTAGAATTAGAGAATATTTCTTCTATAGGTTTATCTACAAATTGCTTATTTGATATTTATATATTTTCATTAGGCATCATTAAATTTAAGAAGTCACTAAATTGTAATTCCGTTTTGTATTAAAATAATTACTTCGAAGTTCCTGGCTATTATTCTAAAAATGTATCATAATCCTGCATTGTTATATAACCATTTGAGTTTCGATCTAATGCCTTGAAAGCATCTAAGAAATTAAATGACTTCTAACTTAAAAGTCTTTTCTTAAGCGAGTTTAACTTAATCTCTCTTCTCATAAGAGCTACCAGAGGAATTAAGGGAGATTCAATTGATAAATAATTATCGTCCCTGTTGTTCAAATCTTGAATTGGCTTTTTATTGCTTCTTCCATTGTAAGTCAGTTTGTGTTCTTTCTTTTTTTAAGTAGTCATAGATTGTAAATTAGGTTTTGTTTATTTTGGAGTAGAAAAAGTAAAATCGTAATCATCGCTTTTCTTTTTGATAAATGGAGCAGTAGTAATGATTCCATCACCTTATTAATCAAGAAATCTTGAGATTTATTCTGATTCCTTTTCACTAATAAAGGCAAGATTATCTTTAAAATATTTCTAAACATCTTGAATTGTTCCCTCAAAAAACACATTTTTAGAAGTTTTCAAGGAGTTCATGAGATCAATTTATTAATTTAGATGTCTAGCCAAAGCCAATTGGGTTTCTGGCGATAATTACTGTTTTGGTTCTTGGATTGATATTACTTTTCTTAAGGTCTAATCTGAAGGGAGTATTGTTCTTAAAAAATCAACATATTTGAATGGTTTTTAAATGAAAATTGAGCATTCTTATTCCGTACACAATAATCCTTAACTCTTTAGATAGGATGATAATGAAGTAGTTGTAATTTTGTTATTTCCATCCTATAATTCAAGAAAAGCTTTATAAGGATGGAAGGTGGGTAGCTAAATTAAGAATTATCTGTTTTGCTCTATTTTCTGTTCTATTTATGCACATTCTATAAAAAAATCACATAAATGCATTATAATCAATTTTTAGATTTATATTTATTTTTCTTTTTATTGTTTTTCTTATTAGATTTCTTGGTTTCCTATTTAATTTCATCAAGTTGGAGTTATTGCAATTGTTTTTCCTATTCTAATAACTCTTCAAATGTCAGTTCTTCTTGTTAATCATTGTCTTTATTGTCTTCTTGAAATAAGAGATTTTGTTATTGTTATTATAATTGTTTCTCAAATTTACTAACGTTGATGATGTCTCCATTATAATCTAATAATGTTTATTCTTTAAAATCCTAGGCTTATTTTAATATACAATTACTTTGGTAATAATTTACAATCTCTCAATAACATTACAATTGACAGTATTCTTCTGGAAGTTGTATCCCCCAAACAGTAGAATTTGATTGTTTTTAATGTCTAAACAAGCGCATGCTCGATATTTATATGATGGTCTATGAGATTAAATAAATTGTGTTACACTTCTTTCTAAGATCTCATGCAGGTCCATTAGTTGTCAGTGAATGATAACAGGTAATGAGTGGTTTGCCCGTTTTCTTCTGCAAAATAAATTAATTGGTTTTGATTAAGAGAAACCTATTGACCAAAGGCAATAGATTTTGGTATGTTTGTTTTAACTTGAGTCCACGTTAAGGTTTTTAGATCTAATGAGTACATGTCTTGTAAGCATGTTCTTTCAAATAAATTGGTTGATTGAGAACCGCCTGCTATGATTAATTTATTGCTATTCACAAAAGCTAGATGACTATGTCTTGGTGAAGGAGGTTGTCCTTTGAAATTCACAGGGGTAAAGTCACATTAAGCAACTTGAAAGAACTCTAATTAGTTTGACAGTCTCATTTATTCATCTAAGCCTCCAAAAATATAAAATGATAAATCAGCTATTTACGTAAATGAGAAATTAATTCTAAATTGTGGTTTGTATTCACTTTTTATAGATAATATTGTTTTAGTTGGTAAATCAGCATAAAATATTTACTATTAAGTGGCTCTGTTGTAAGATATGAACCAAATGCAGTTTTTAGTAAAGTAAGTTTGAGGATGCACAAATTGATAGTCAAATTATTCTCCTTAAAAAACAAAGTGCTCCTCAATTGTAAATTTCTCTCTATTTATATAGATTCCATGCAATTCTGTCTTTTGTGAATAGCATATCAATAATCTATCATTATAGATATGAATAGTGTTAAAAAACGAATATTATTTGAAATCTTGGATTGTTGATGACTTTCTCCAAAGCGTCAGTTTGACATCTATGTAATTTTAGGGAAGTCTCTCTTCGAGTACATTTTCATTTGAATTAAACATTAATATAATGAATAAATAATAATCAATCGGATAATATACTTTTGGTATTCATATCCAATTTAAGATTAAGGTAAAACCTTAGGAGAAGGTACTTTTGGTAAAGTGAAGTTGGCAACCCATCAAATCACTTAAGAGAAAGTGGCAATAAAGATCTTGGAAAAAAGCAAAATAGTTGATGCCTCTGACATCGAAAGAGTTACAAGAGAAATTCAGATTCTTAAATAAATCCGACATCCCAATTTAGTTTAATTATATGAAGTACTATGCCATTATACTAAGATAATAGAAACTTAGAAATAACTCTTTCTAGTTATGGAGTATGTCAATGGTGGAGAACTATTCGATTACATAGTCTAGAATCAGCGACTTAGAGATGCTGAAGCTGCTAAACTCTTTGGCTAATTGATTCAGGGGATAGAGTACATGCATAAATTAAGGATAGTGCATAGGGATTTGAAACCTGAGAATCTGATGTTGGAGAATAAATAAAGAGTCAAAATTATTGATTTCGGACTATCAAATTTATATGCCAATGATGAACTTCTTAAAACTGCATGTGGGTCACCATGTTATGCAGCACCTGAGATGATAGCTGGTAAAAAATACAATGGATTGAATTCTGACATTTGGAGTGCTGGCGTTATCTTATTTGCTATGTTGGCTGGCCATTTGCCATTTGAAGAAGCCAATACAAATTTATTATATAAGAAAATATTGGCAGGGGAATACAAATGTCCCAATACAATTTCTTTACCTGCCAAGAATTTAATTGCTGGTATTTTATAAACTGACCCTCTAAAAAGATACACAATCACAGACATCAGAAGACACCCTTGGATGACTAATAATTACAAGGCTCCCTTGCAAATGGGAATTATTGTTGGACTTCATAAAATACCATTAGATTTTGATATTTTGAAATAGTTAGTTAAAATGGGTTACGCATAAGACTATATTGAAAAATGTGTGGAAGGCAATAGACACAATTAAGTGACAACAATTTATTATTTATTATTAAAGAAGCATCTACTCAACGGAGGAAAATCTTTTGCTGGTAATATTTTTAAGCTTTACAAAAATAGATATTGGCTCCGACATATTCACTCCTATTCCACTCCCACCTAAACATGCCTCTACTTCCGATTATGGCACTAAATAGAACAATAAACCCCTGCCTGTTATTAGACCTAAGCCTCATGATGAATCTCCTATCAATCTCAGAGGTCGTTATAATAATAACTCTCTGCATTCTCAATAAACTACAACTTTAAATTAATCACCAAAAATCCATTCTGTAGATTCAAAAAAACCATAACTTGATAACTTTAAATTAGATTTGAATTAGACTTTAAGAGACCCTAATTATGGAAAAATCATCACTCCATCAGTTAGACCTAGAGGAATCAGTGATTATTAGTGTAGATTTGGAACAAATGGTCATGAATCCACAAGATAGAAGTCAGTGGATTATGGCCAAACTAATTAAATAAATATACCCTATTATAATGATACTAGAATGAAAACATTTTACAAGGTCAAGTGATTATAATTTTCCATTCTGCTCTTTAATATTATAGTAATTAATTTATAAATAAATTGTTTTTATGTTTTCACCTCGTTCAAATTAGTAAACTCCAACTTAAAGGAAAATAGGAAGAAAGATGACAGAGTCATCACATAAATCTTCACGAAAGATTGAAATCTAAGCCTTGCCTTCTGGTATCAGAATAATAATTGCTGAATCAATACTTGCATAAAATCATATCTCATCCATTAGAGACAGTCTAATCAGATATCTAAAATATGAAGGTATTCTATGTATTCTATGAATAGATTCCTATTAAAAATTAAGACCTGTAGATATTCAAATTATGAATGAGTATGCTCTGACATAAGTTTCATTTGTTAAAGAATTTAGTGAGAAAAAAGAATTAATTGTAAATATGCTCCTCCATCTCTTTTTTTACAGAAATGCAAAATATATCAAGCAATGCTTTTAAGAAAAGAATTAAGCTGATGACATCAAGGAATTCCAAAGATTATTAGTTTTCCACAAAAATGAATTAAATTCCTTAGAAGTTAGAACTCTCCTAACTTGGCTACATGATTATATTGCCCATTATGATTTGTTCTATTTCAAAGCATTATCTGATGATGGATTAGATATAGTTTATAATGTTGTTTTGGATATTCCCACCTTTGTACCTCCATTATCTTAAGCAAATTTTATACCTTAAAATGTATTTGATTTGACATAATTAGAATAAATAATATGCAGATGTTGATTCAGAAGAGGAGGAAAAGTATGCTAAAAGAAGAATCAAAATGGAAAAAGAAAATTAAGAAGTTGAAGACGAACTTTAAGATAATCAAGAACAAAATGCTTAATAAGACAGCGAGTAGAAAAAGCCAAATGAATTTGAGGAATACATACAATAGTAAGTCTTTGGAACTTCTTAACAGTTATTTTAAAAGATAGAAGAGTAGAATAAAATAATTATTGAATAAGTTGAAAAGGAAAACAATAAAAAGAAAAAATGAAATTTAAAAATAAATCTTTTTTATGCCTTCCATCATCATCTTTATAGTTGGATTTAATCAATTTCCACATTATAAGGTTTAAACTAAATTAATTGTTTCTCTTATAAAAACAAAATTTATTCTATATCTTTAAATTCTGACTCTTCAATTTATAGATGATAATAAATTCAAATTATCTAATTAATAATTGTTTAAATATGGTTTTTAATTACTATAAATACTAATAAGTATTTTTTTTATTCTATAATTTTAAATAATCCACATTTTAAACAATTGCTGTATTTAATAAATTACAAATTCTAAAATAATTTAACCTCTATTATGTTCATTTATCATTAAGTTATTTATTACATATTTCTCTCTTTTGTTTGTGTTCTATTCAAAGTGGCTGATTTTTATTACAATTAATTGAATAATTAATATATTTATGATAGAAAAACTAAATATTAAATATAAATAAAATAAATAAATAGTCAATCAGAAGAATAGATTATGTATTGGAAAATATGAAATTAAATTAGTTGGATAGAATTATTAATTCACAAGTAACTTGTATTTGAATTTAAAAGTATAATCGGTCGAACATCTTCATAAGATAAGAAATTAATTTTTTGAGAGAAATACTTTGTTATGATGAGAAAACCATGTATTTTAAAGATCATTTAACTAGTCAATTGTAAAAATAAGAAAAATAAAATTTATCAGTTATATCTATAGATTAATTTAATTTCTTCGAGTAAATCTTATATTTGAATACCTTACATTCTACAGATCATATATGAAGAGATTATGATGAAATGATAATAATTCTTTTACATATTGACTTGTAAAATAGGTTTAAATTGATATATTCATACAAGTAAATATTACCTAAAGTATTAAGAAGTCAATTATTTTGTTAAGTTATTGAATTTGCAATCTCTTGAGAATTTATAAAATTATATGCTTAAATTTCCAAAAGAAATAAAGTTTGATATTTGATTTGATTATTATAAATAATTATTAATAAATGCCTAAGTCGATCGGAGTAAAATCTCATAACATGTTTCTAGGACATTCCAATGAGTGTAGAACAGCAACTACACATCATCAATGGTGGGTTACTAAAGTGCGAAGATATGCATGATGGATCATGCTTGGCTGATGCTTTAATAAGGTTTGTAAAAATTTGGAATAATTCATATAAATATTATATTCCAATTCATTTAATCCCCCTCTTATTATTTTAACGAAAGAAATTAAAATAGAAGTAATTTATTATAGCCTAATATTAATAGTCCAGGCAAGACAATAAAGTAATTTTTATTGGAATTTTGTGGTTCTTTATTTTTTGTTGCAGGTTACATCTCTGCTTGTAAATACGTTTTTTGTGTGCTGAGAACATTGAAATACAACAATAGTAATTATTAAATTAAATTTATAAAGGAATATCCTTAAGTTTTTCTGGATTGTTTTCTGGAGTTTTTCTTTTTGGAGAAAAATTAAATAGAAGAGCTGAAATAACTATCTTTTTAGCCCCAAAATTCTTAGAAACTGTTTGGCATATGTTACAGAAAAGAAATTTGGTAATGAAAATTGATTACTGGGAATATTTTGTTTTTGGAATTGCTATGGGAATAATAAATTATTATTATATCAATAATGTAAAATATTATTTTTAATTTAGCCTAACCAAATTAAATACTCTTATTTGTAAGTATTCAAAAAAATATGGAATTGACCCATTTTACATTTATATAACAATAATTAATAAGAATACTATCATTTTTTTTTCAAAAAAAAATCACTAAGCGTGGCTGGTCCACTACTGTGCATATGAATGGTTCCTGAAGTTGGTAATGTAGCATCTCCTTGCATGTCGTCATAATATGAATTTGGATTATAATTTGGCCTTTCCAATGCTCTAAAATTATAATTCTTGGATTAAAAATTATGAAACTCCCTCTAAAATTACCCTTGATCCATGGCAACATCAATTTTGTCTGGCAATTAATCTGGTTTGAAAGTTGGAAATTCATCCACAGATTCCATAAATTATGAATGATAAGATTGATTAATGTATGATTGACTCTAAGATGTAGGAGTATTTATTCTAAGATGATGGATTTTTTATTTAACCTTTTACAATTTCTCTCCAAATTAATTAAATAGTTAATCTAATTGAGCATCTTACTTCCTTTCAGGAGAAATGAAGCTATTTGAGCTATGTTAATGAATATTATGGGAAATTTGATAGTCGTATTCTGTTTTGATTCGTCTGTTATCACTAAAATGATAGGAGTCCGCAGTTTCAGGACTTTGTTTTCTAGATCTCTCATAGAACTGGGATGAATTCAACTGAGTAGGAGCTTTTGAATGGTAATTTGATTAAGTATTATATTATTGTCTCTGTGGAACATAAAAAGTCATTTGAGTTTGAGGCGTTTTTTATTGATTTCTATCTAAATGTGTGGTGCTGTAGTTGTTTGAAGTATAGGAATTTTAAATATGATAGGTATGTTATTTATTGACATTGTTCTAGGATGGAGAAGGACTCTTTGTTTGATATTTATTGTTTAGGCTTGTGCTGTTTACAACCTTGTCCATTTGAGTCCGAGTACCTAATGAATTCATTGTCGTATTTAAATTCTGCTTTTGACCCAACACTTTTTCTAATTAATATAGATCGATTCTTTATTCTTCATCTACTTGGAGCATCTTTGCTAATAGATCGACAAATGAAGGCTAAAATTGCTGTGACAACACTCTCAAATAGGTATTGATTACATCTTATGAGACTTGGAATTTGGATAAATCATAAACTGATTAGACAGATTATTAAAGTGCTAATTCCAGGATTACCAAACCTAAAGAAAAAACCTTTATAAGTAAATTTAATACTTCTGATTTCTCATAATTGTATATAGGATTCATCGTCCTCTTTCCCAATTCGTAGACTAGAAATGGAGCCAGATAACATTAATTTGTAAATCCAATTAACTGCATCTTGTATTCATACATGTCAGTTATAAATCGAATATCTGTTAATTAGTATCTATTATTTTAGGTTGCCAATATTGTTTAAGGACTCAACTGACCATGTCTTATTCTCTTTGATATGAAAATCAACAAAGCCTGTGTTACATCTCTAATTATCTGTAGACAATCGAACTGGCTGAGTTTCTTCATCTCTCCAACACATTTTTCGGTATATTAATATTACAATGATATTCCGAAGAGTTGACCACAAAACGATTTCTACTCACTCGTAGTAAACTTCACAAGTTTGCATATGGTTGGATCTTAAATTTAAGTTCTCTTTTGCGTTTCACTTCTAGCTTATTCATATTGAACAAAGGAATCATAGGTTTTGTTTATTTGGATAACTTACTCATTTTTGCTATTGATCAAATAACCTTAGCCGTATGCAACATTATTAACATCTTAATTCATTATAATATAAATTATAAATTTTATTTCAACAACTCAAATTTCGAATCGCAATTCATTTTCTTCTCTATTAATCCTCTAAAATTATTATTAATAGTTTATTTGTTGTAATATTGCACTCTCTATAACACTATCGACAACTACTCACAAAACTCTAGATCTTAACAATGCAGTAAGGTTAACAAAATTTCAAAGTGTTTAGTCAATTGTAATAAAAACTGATTCTAAAACTAACCTTAAGCAATTATTTCCAATAGCAATTGCACCATATTTCTATCATCAATCATCTTTATCACGAAGATATCCAATAATCCATTGTCTAAAATAAATTTCTGAACATCCTCATTACACTAAATTACAAATATATAAATACAATTTCTTAAGAAAGATATTTTATCGATATTGCGATATCCCGATCATATAATAATAAGATCATAGCAACTAAAGTTTAATTTTTCTTTTTCTTTTCTAATAATGCCTTTAATTAAAGTATAAATTCTCTGTTTTTTGAATCGTGAATGCCAATGTAATATTTGCAACTTTGTTACTTTTTTTGATTTTTAATGAGCTCCTCCACTTGTTAACAATTAATTGAGGAACAAGTATTTTTAAAATAAAAGTAAGATAGTTATAACAACAATTTGTAAATTTATTAAAATCCTTATTTATTAATCACTATTACCATCAAATTACCTAAGAGATCTATTAAATTATCCTATAAGCAGCAAGGCAATAGTTCTTGATTCCACTTTTGATTATTAATTCCTAATTATATTTGCAATTAATCCAATCCAAGAAATATTGATTCAAAAACACTTTAAAACACTTTAATTTATTTGATTCCACTCTCTGAGTTATTAGTTGTTTTTTTTTATTGTTCTGCTTATGGTTATTATTACTATTATTGCTATTATTATTTTGGTTATTCTAATATTTACTATTATTTTAAAGGTTAAACTGATTCGTTTTATTCAGTTTAATAAATTTATTCTTTTATTTATTCTTTTTATTCAATTAATTTCTAGTTTATTTTCTCTAACTTTTTTTACAACTAAATTGTATTATCTTTTTCAAGGGAAAGTTTCTTTTCTAATTCTAATATCCTAACTTTCTAAGATTCTACTTATTTTTCTAGTTGAGTATTCCTCTATTTCAACCTTTAAATTTCTTAACTATAGGTAGAATTATTCTTTTAAATTGATGAACCTTTCAGTTCAATCAGCTTAACTTTGGATTTCAATTGATGTTCCAAATTACTAAACTTTTTATTTAAATTACTTAATTTTTATTAATATTGTTCTTCCATCATTTTACTTAGAATGTCATAAACCTATTAAATACTATTTGACATTTCAGATTTGAATTTTTATAGCGAGTATTCATATTCTACTAGTTCTTTTTCTTTTTTTATTTGCATTACTTATTTCTTCTCCAATAACTATTTAACATTTTCCAACTCATCCACAATTTCATTGTTTATCTTCTGTTTTTCCTTCCTATTTATATCTTGATAGGTTTCTTCAGCTATTTCTTCAATCAACCCCTTGATCCCTTTGTCTCTAGTACTCAATTGAAGAGCATTCAAAGAGACAATGTTGGGGTCAACAGTAACAATTTTATTTTTTAAATTTTCCTTAAATTATAATTTTTGCTCTGCATTTTGAAATTCAATTGAGTACTCTTGTAATAATATTTTGTAAAACTCTGTGAACTTGACTGGTCTTCCCTTTATCAAGGTCAAAAGTGACTTGGTTTGTTTGTGTGTACACACCTCGTCTTCTGGATCGATGCAATCCACTTTGGACAATTGTAAATCCGATCCTTTTTCAATGTATTTTGCATATTATTTATTGAGAAACGAACTCTTATCAAGAGTGGGCCTGGATTATTCAGTCTAATCCAATTGGTTGAGTCTGTTTTCAAGATCCATATCAAATTAATGTGTAGTGGAGATTTATTCTAAAATTTGTTAATATTTTTGTAGATCAAAGGGGTGTCTCTTTTTATTTTGATCGTCTTCATCAACCCTTGCTTTGAGAGTTCTTATTCCTGAGAAAGTTAAATTAGACATAATTTGAATTATATTAATTTATTAAGATGTTAGCCACAATGAAGGGACGTAAGAGTTCTGCATCGAAATTCGATAGGAAAGAGTTTGATCAGAGAACATTGAGTGCTGCAGTGAATTTGATTATATATGGGTGTCATGTTCAAAAATATAACAAATCGAATAAGAAACCGATCTCTAGATTATACTATCTATATGAGGAGGACATGGATTATTTGTAATACCTGCATTCTGGAAGACCTTTTGCATAATGTAGAATACCGTTACTAGATATCATTGAATTAAGGGAAATTCCAACAACAGAATAATTCTAAAACCTGCCTTATCAAAGAACTCTATAAATAACTTTCGCCAGCAAGAAACATACGATTTTATTTAACACAAAGGATGAAAGGGATTTATTTTGGTAAGGTTTGCAATATTTTATTGATGTGGCAGAACACAATTTAATAAGAGATATAAAAAGCACAAATGATAATCCAATAGTTGAATAAATCACTTTAAAATAAATTAAAGGAATGCTTCCACAACTGTCAATCACAAAATAAGAAGTAAGTATTTCTAAATCTATTCACAGCTAAAAACACTGTTTAATCAATTCGATTTGGAAAGAAAAGGATACATTTCAAATTCTGATTATCAAGATCTACTAAAAAGATTAATGAATCAGGATTTTGTGCGATTTCTATTTGATAGATATGCAATACAATAAATGAACAAATAAGAGTTTATTAAATTCTTAACAAGTGAATAATCCCCATATCAAAAACAATGTGAAGATGCATTTAGATTGTTTGCCAAATAAGATGGAAATAGCTTTTCATTATCCTTCTTAGAATTCTTAAACTATCTACTAAGCACTTACAATCAATTGTTTGATTATCAGAAAACACAAGTCTATCAATCTGAGGATTTCCCTTTGACTGACTATTGGATCAATTCTTCACACAACACCTATCTAATGGGAGATCAATTGACAAGTGAAAGTTCCATTCAGGCCTACATCAATGCCTTTCAAAAAGGTTGTAGATGTGTGGAATTAGATTGTTGGGATGGAGATAATAATCAGCCGATTATTTATCATGGATTTACAATGACATCAAAAATATCATTCGAATCTGTTATCGAAACCATCAAAGAATATGGATTCAAATACTCAAAATACCCCCTGATTCTCTCTCTTGAGGTGCATTGTTGTGTTAAGTAACAAGATGTTATGACAGACATATTAAAAACGTATCTAAATGTCAATCTTCTACTTTTGCCAGATGATTACCAATCTTCTGAATATTATCCAAAACTTAATAAGCTATATTATAAAGTAATCATAAAGCATAGAGGTAAAATGAAATCGAGTCTACAATATCGAGAAAGATTCATTTCGATATCTCCAATCAATATAATTCCACCTCCTTTTGAAGAATCTGAAAGTCCAGACATTGTTAAAAAACCGAGTTCAAGTGTTTAAGTAGAATAATATCTAAATACGCCAAGTACATTAAAACCAAGATCGTAAAAGTCATTTAAGAGACAAGATCATGGATTGCCTATCAATTAATATCGACAATCTACTAATATCTTCTAGATAGAAGAGGAGATGAAACCAAATAAAATAGTACATAACACGAAGACAGAAACTACTTTAAGACCTAAATATAAAATTTAAAATATTGAGACTCAAGTTCAATTTGATGCACCTAATCCCAGATGCCAAATTGTGCAAATGCCATTAAAAGTGGATTCAGATGAAGATATATCTATAGACAAGGCTAAAAAAGACAAATCTGAAAGTCTTAAGTTGAGCTCTATTACAGCCTTATTTGGAGCACCAATAAAGCAATAAAACAGAACAGTTTGGGAAATCTCATCTTTGGAGGAGGGCAAAGTCAATGAAAATCTGCTTGATTATCATAGAAAGTACTTCACTCGAATATATCCATCTGGTTCAAGAGTAGATTCCAGTAATTATGACCCAATTCCAGCATTTAATAGTGGATCATAAATAGTGGCACTCAATTTTCAGACGAATGACATGCCTATGCTGATTAATATGTGTAAATTTATGGAGAATGGAGGAATTGAATCTGGATATGTGTTGAAACCTTAATGGATGAGATCAGATGGAAAGAAAAAGATTAATGAATTTACTTCTATTCAATTGTCATTCACTCTCAGTATATTAGTGGGTTATAATCTTAGATTATTGAATGTATTTTAATTCTTTTATTTAAAAGGATTAAAATGCGAAGGTTAACCCCTCAATTAAAATTTCTATCAGAGGCCTATTATAGGATGAATAAAATAACAAACCGTAAATCGCAACCATCTCGCAAAATGGATTAAATCCTTAATTTAACTTTATTTATAAGTACAATATTAGATGTCCAGACTTGGCATTTTTGATATTTGAGGTACTCGATGCCAGCAAGTCATTCTTAGGATGGAGTGCCATACCTCTTTCATGTATGTCTTATGGCTATAGGGCTGTTTAATTATTGAGTTAATATTTGAAGCCGTTGCCTAAGAGTTGCCTCCTGGTTCATGTTCAAAAACATTGACTGAAACTTTTATAATTAATATGTTTAATAATATTAAGAGAAACTTAACAATCTTTAACAGAGACATCGTTGAATCATCTTGGCTGAAAAGCTTGATTGACGATGTACCTAAGGCAAAACACATTCAAGTAGTGTTTATCCGCTATTTTCACTTAGATACTTCAGAACTGTCTATAAGGGGAATATATTAATGTTGACCCAAAAATTGCACTTCGAAAGATTTCACTAAGATTGCAACACTCTCAAAAACCTTTAAATGCTCTCAAATCCCTATATTTGGCACATGTTCTAAATAAGTTTCTGATACCTTAATTGACAGATAAAATTATTGACCAATAGTGCAAAGATCCAGCAGATCTCTTAATGGCTTCTGTTGCTCATTTATATTATTCTTATCTCAAGTCACAAAAAAATGTTTTTGAAAAGATCGACAGCATTTTTAAGATGAATAGATAACTCGAAGTCTTACTGCTAAAGACCAATATACCAATAATAAAGGAAATACTCTATCTACTTATGATTGATATAATAGCTTTATTTCATTCAATTGATTAGTAAGATGATCAAGAAAAAAGGATTAGAGCTATGAAATAAGTGAGAAGATTTATTGATTTAAAAGGATATTTATAAATGAATTAAGAGTTACAAAATAAACTGAACACACTTAACTTCCAAGAAATCAAGTAATAGCAATAAATTGAATGGAAAATTTGTAAAACTAATCCAAACAATTAAGAAATTCAAACTCAACATTTTGAATTGAATAAAAAGCAACTCTCAATACAAATAAATGAAAGTACAAATTTTGAAAATTACTAAACTTGCCAAGAACATCCATAAGATAGAAGAATGAGTTTACAAACTAGAACTATATCAAACCAAAGAGGAATTGTTTAATCTAATACAACCACTTCCTCATCTATTAGAAATAACTTCTTTATCCCTAAATAAGGACCATTATCTTTTTTGATTCCAAGTTGAATATATATATAAAGAGAATGTTAATTTTACTCAATAAACTTAACTTATTAAATTTTACATCATCTAAATACTAAAATAGAGAGAAGCTGATGTCAATTGATGAGGAGAAAGTAGCCAGACAATTTTAAGGATTTGTAATTTAAGGATATATTTGATTTTAGATTATTATAATAATTTCTTTAAAAACAAATGATGATTGCTGAGGATTTTGATAGTGAGGTTTATGATACTTCACTAGATAAATTTAAAACATATGAGGAATACTTGGATTCTCACATCACAAAGGAGGATCTATTTTATCTAGAAGACATCGAATTGGCCAGATAATTGAAAGAGCAAGGATATCATGCAAAGACAGAAATTTTGAGTCGTGATCAATTTGAGGCCAAAAAGAAGGCTGTAGAAGAAGCTAGATTAAACTAAAATAAAGATAAAACTAAGGCACTCGCTCACACTGAAGTTAGTGATCCTTCCATTATTGAAAAATCACCTTTTTTGAGAGCCTTGGCTGAAAGGTAATTGTTATTTTTAAATAATAGAGAATTAAAGGTCTTGAATGGAAAATTATTAACAATTATTTTTATCAGATTAGAATCAGCTAATTGCGAAGTAAGCGGTTACATTGATTATGCACATCGTTTGAAAACTGAAGATTTTAAAATATATTTTGAAGGGAAGAAAAAATTGTAACCTAGACCAACAGATCTGTCTTATTATAATTGGAGGACTGGGTAGTGTGTTTCAAACGATTCTCCTAATTTCAAAGTGGATGCTAATTCTGGATAACAAGGGTTACTATTTAGAAACAAAAGAGATAGAAAAGTATTAATTTGGTACTATTAACAAAGGTTATTAATGTAGATCCAAATAAAAAACCAGAAGATGGAATGACAAGGACTGAAATAGAATCTCCGGAAGCAATTTAAATCGTTTTGTACGACTATTACACAAGAAAAAAATGAATGTTTTATTATTTATTATTATATTTATAATATTAATTAGTATAGGCAAGTTCTTAAATTAACTAATTAAGTAATACTAAGGTGTTTAATTAGCGTAAATTTATATAACTATAGCAAGTTAGTAAATTATCGCGATATTCATTATTATGGTTTTATTTTGTCATTGATTTTCCATCAAATTCAGATACAAATTCCATCCTTGTTCATCTACTCAATTAATGAAATCTAAGTTTGTCTATTTTTAATATAATCCTCAATCCCTTTTTTATTTTTCTTATCATATTAAATTGTGTGAGCATAGAAAAAATGAATTCAGAATTGGGATCCATCTCAGAACGTGCTCCTTTAAAAACTTAGCCGACTCTTCCAAAATAATAGCTAAGGCCAGCATTCTTAAAGACGGTTAATTTGAAAACTATACACACTAATAGAATGAACTCATTTCAAAATAAAATCTGGAGAGATAGAGCACTTTTAGTACTAATCTAAGTACTTCGCTTTATATCGCTTATTACTCGCAGTCCCTTTGCATCAAAATTCTCTTTATTAGATAGAAATATGTTTAGAATTATTGGGGATAAAGCAGCTGATTTTAATTATTACCTACTCCATGATTATTTTAAATATATGGTAATATGTCAATCTTATCAAGAAACCCGAATAATCCTCTCGCGTCAAATATTTCTTACAATAGCACCTTTATAAGATTTGTTACATGAAAGGAGTCATGGATTATATGACCAATTTAAGGCTCATCTTTGAACCAGAGTCCATTTTACTACTGTTATGGAATATTCTGTAACTCATAACCATCAATTTAAACATACTGTATATAACTGTTAAATTTTCTTTTGATTTTGAAAACTATCCACCTGAAAGTTATCAATTTTGTGAAATTTTTCTATTCAAAGTCCCCTTTTTTTTATATTTGATAGATATCCTTATTTAACTTAACACATGCTACTACGAAGCAGGCTATCTAGTTAAGGATAGAAATAAGATTTGGTACAACTTTTACAAAAATAGTATATTTCAAGTTTAAAAATTTTAGATTTTTTTAATAATTTATTTATATTAGTGCCTACCTCCATTTACTTTTTAGCCTTATAAGATTCCCCACTTTATTTATTTATGCTTCTGAAGGCTATATCAATTCCAACAATAACAGAAGCCATCATAGACAGAGTAGAGCTTACAACCAATTACTGGATCATCTATGACCTAATCCGTTTGATTTACGTGATACTTTACGAATCGCATATCTGTTGTTGTGGATTATTCTATGTAGGACTTTTGAACAAGGAAGCATCTTGGTTATTGCAAAATGACCTAATCAATGAAACTTGGATTATAAAATATGTATATTTATATTTTATCTTAGCTCAGTACATTTTATTGGAGCATAATCACTATGACTACAATAGGCTATGGTGATATTACACCTTAGAATTTATTTGAAAAGTCGTTTTTAATATTTGTTGCTATTTTTTCATGTTGTACATTTGGTTATTCAATTAATTGTATTGGCTAAATCATAGGGTAATTGCAATCGAAGAATCACTAAATTCGAGTTGATTTGAATGATTTAAAATAGTATCTTAGAGTTAGGGGGTACAATAGTAAATTGTAGATTAAGATTCTTAGATTTTTTGAATATTTATGGAAGGATTAAAAGAATGAAAATCAACTAGATCTAGTTAAATTCAACTAACAATTGCCATCTCATTTGCATAGTGTAAGATAAATAATATTATAGGAAATGATGATAGACCTTAACATGAAAAGTATATCAAAGATTCCTTTTTTCAAAGAGAATTTTAATGAGGATTTCATATCAGCTTTGGCATCTAAGTTTACAGAAGAAAAGTTGGTTCCCTTCAATACAATATTTTCAAAGAATGATCCTAGCAATTTTTTATACATCTTATGTGATGGGGAAATTGAATATTTTGTAGAAATTCCAGAGGGTTCTGCTACTATTTTAAGTATACAGACAATAACTGGGTAGGACGAAATATTTGGTTAGCAAGAGTTTCTCTTGGATCAGAATTATGAAATAAGTTGTAGGTCAACTACATCATCGAGAATATTGAAAATATCCAAAATGGACTTCAATATAATAGCTAAGAAATTTGGATATGTATATAGCTTTGTTAATCCTAGGAAAAATATTGTTAATTGAAAGATTTAGTCAAATTCTCTGGTCGATTTGATGAATTTCAAATGCATTGTGTTGGATGTAATAAATCTACACATATGCTCTATTAATGTCCAATGCTAACTGGCTTTCCTAATAAAACCAAAATAATCATTCAATATCGTAAGAATCAATTGTAAGAAAGGAAGTTCCACACAAGAAATAACTTAAAAAGAAGATTGTCATCACTCATTTTTGAGGCATAGATATCGGACACTGTGCTTTACTATCTATTGAAAGACCCAAAACTATCCTTATAGATCAGTTCATAATATTACATTCAAACCTTAAAACAGCAGTAGATGTAAAAAGAGTTATAAAATAATAACTCTAATTTGCATAAGCTGCCTAAAGATGAGGTGAGGTAAACAGGAAGAAAGCAATCAGTTTTGAATATTAAAGGCAGAAAGCAATCCCAATATATTAAAAGATTGCCTGATTTCCTTAATGGTCAGTATATCAATTTTAAATCAATGGCTGAAGATAAGATTAAAATGGGAGTAGACAATGTTTCTAAGAATGTGCTCTGCATAACAATCGGAGACTCCCAGTCCTGAAAGAAAACAAAATACGAAGATGAAAACTCAGGATGAAATCAATATATTTGAATAGCATAGGATCTCTGCAGATATTGCTAAGACTTTGTCTTTCAAATCCATGAATTAATCATCTTAGGATTAGGAATAACTAAATTCGGATACTGATAGTGTTAAGGAAAATTCTGAATTGTCATAGTAGAATTCTTCGCTCTCATAGACGAGCAGTGAATCTCCTTCAAAAAACTAGAAGGATGTCAGTCCTGGGATTGATCAAATCACTCAGATTTATATGGGTACATACAAAGATATTTTTGAGAAATTCGACAAATTCCAGGATTTTATTAAAATTATATGACACATATGAATTCTTCTAAGATTCTGGAACAACTCAATCAATTCAAAGAGACACAGAATTTTACTGATTTTATGAATGTTAACTTTGTGAGAAAGCGTAGATCGAAGCGTAGTAAATTGGTAATAAAAATTTGATTATTGAGATTATTATTAATTTATTTATGTACAGATTTAAACTCTGTCTAAATTATTCACGTTTGAATTAATCACTTTCTGCTTTTTTGAAAAAGTATAAGACGAATTAAAAGAAATGTGATTCATGTTGACAATAAATTAGTGGAAATTGATAAAAGTATTTCACGATAGCCAAAACCAATCCAACCATAATTAACAATCCCTCAAGAAGATCAATTAAAATAGAAATATCTCTTATAGAGAGCAAAAGTGATTGATCTCAACGAGAAGGACAACTTCAGTCATTTTAATAGAGCACAATAATTGGCATTAGATAAATAAGTAAAGTAAGTAGGGGACGAGTATAAAGTGGAGGCAGAAGTATTGAAATTACAAAACAAAGGAGAATTGTGTAATGATTCATATTATTATTCAAAGTGATTGACGACACAAAACTTCCAAAAATATTCTTGTCAACTTTGGATAAGTAAAGAAGGAAAGGTAAGAGAATGCTAAGGAGATTCTTTATCGAAGGTGAACATCGCTACGTGAAGGAGAACATCTATAAATTTAGAAGTGTGGCTGAATGGAAGAAATACATGAGATTCAAGAAGCCACTGTTGATTGATTTGAAAATGGAAAAATTTAAGAGGTATCCAGGTACAGACAAGGGGAAATTCCCTATGTAAGACAAGCTTGGATTTACAAGTAAAATTTGATCTCAAATTTATAGAGTGGTTTAGAGAAAATCATACCTAGAAAACAGTGGATGCAATTGAATATTTAGTCAAAAAAGGATATGGTAAACAATCTGAAATAATGATGAAGAAGAAGAAGGGTTATAGATTAAGGACAAAGAAAGCACTAGAAAAAGTTGAATCGAAAAATAGATTAACAAGAATAAAGCAAGAAATGTATGAGGAGTCAAATTGGGAGACTGTGGCTCCAGGACCAGCACTATTCGTCAAGGAAACCATGATGGAACAATTGTTAAAGAGAAATCCAATAAAAGATTTGGGATTAAACACTCATATTAAAATTCAAACTCATATACCTGAAGGAGAAGTTCAACCATTGCCTGACAAGTACCCATTAGAGAAGACCTAATTGATTTATTATTTGGAAAGATGGTCATTTTTCAGATCATTTGGAGCATATTCATTATTGAAGGATATTACATCTGGTAAACTTTAATAGACTCCACAGGAACCTGTTAAGTCTGGATCCTTGAATACATATTACTAGACATTGCCTAAACATATCAGAGATAATCCAAATGTTAAGAATGTGTACAGAGGATTGGAATTCGCTAATAATTAGATGACTTTGGCTGAGAAAGAAAGCTCTTTGAATTATGCTGCCAGATTATCTTGCTAATTTGATGAAATGAATCAAGATGTCTACGATAAAAGGATCAGCTGGGATACAGACCCATGATTTCAAGATTCGATGAAGAAAGATTGATGCAAGATCAAGAAAATGAACATGTCGATACTGCTATTGTAATTCAAATTTTATTATTCATTTAATTAGAATCCTGATGTAGTCTTCAAGTATTTAGAACAGAGAGCACACACTCCAAGACACGTTGCTAAGGATGATCTACCTCTTCCTGATTGGGCTGTAGATTAATCAGAGAGAGTGGATGATATTCCTGTTGATTACTACATCAACGATGATGGTTTCTGGAGATGATTACATCAAAGCCAAAGAAGAAAAACACTTGAAAGACAGTCCAATATCTGGAGGAAAGAAATATTTTAGACATATTTGAAAGAGTATTTTTATAATAATAACATTATCTTATGTTTCTGTGGCCAGAAGGATATAATCGTCAACCGTAGAATCCACTTAAAGAATTAATTGAGAAGACTCAAGGTGATATTCTCCTGCTGCTTGAGGCAGAACTATTTGTAAAACAAGCAAGATTGGGCGATGCATTAGCAGTGGAAACTCTGGTGCAGGGCACTGTTGGTTTACTAGAAGTTATGTTTATGGACTATGAACATGTGTTAAGTGAACATTTTGAACAATTGACCAACCAGTATGCCATCATGTGGGAATTAATCGACCTCAAACTTGAAAAAGTTAATGCTCAAATTCTGGTAATTATGTCTTCTCTAAAATTAGACTCATTGGGAATTAGTGTTTCAATTGTTAAGTAATCAGTTAACAGTAGAAATATAATGGTATTTTGCTTTACGCATCATCTCATTTGTTAGTTAAGAGAAATCTGCTCTCCTAGATAATCATCAAGATAAGTTGATCAAATTGTATCATCATCTTGAATACACGTATGTAGCCTAACTCATCATCGAAATGATGGGTGCTCGTATGAATTAATATCAGCAATCATTCCTAAGTAAAGGCATTTAAGAATTTGATTAATTAACTGAATTGCAAGCCATTAACTTTACTTAAGTAATTCATGAACTCTTCACGAAATCTAAGAATAAGGACTTGATTGATTTCATAACAACCAGTCAAGTTTTGGCCAAAATGTTCGGAGTTATTTAATAAACGAATAAAATGTAAGATTCGTCTACTATACAATAGAGTGACCAAAAATGCTGCTCACATCATTTCTATCATCTCAAATCATTATTCTATTGAAATGCAGAATTTAGATCTGGAGGAGGAAGAGTCAGAACAAATCACTTCTTAGTTTCATTCCACTAATTTTTACAAAGTCATCACTGCCAATCTACACATAATCAATAATATCATTAAAGACTATTGTGATAACAAGTAAAAAATAAGTCAATTGATAATCAAATTAATAGAAGTAAAATTTATAATTTATAATTCTTTAGATTGTTGACAATTTAGTTAGAATCACAGATGTCTCACTTTGGGAATGTATGCATTAATCTGAAATCATGGTTTCAATGATTAGATTATGCAATGTATATTCAAAATCAGACATCCTATCCTCTTAAGTGGAAAGAATAGTTTTTTATATATTTGAAAGAGCCTTAAATGATAATCATCCCTTTTGGGCATTTTAATTTATCAAGGTTTATCAAATATAAAACAACGCAAATTCTATGTTTAATAGATAAGTTTTCTCTTTTGAGTAGGAGTTGAATACAAAAATAACCAAAGAATTGGATTACATTACATATGATGCCTAGATCCTAGAAATTAATTCTGAATTGCAACAATCTAAAAATTGGGAAAGAACCAAATGGGAATTGAAATTATAACAATGCGAAAATTAAAAAAAATTAGGATCTCAAATGTAAATAAATGATGAAGAAATTAAATTGGTTGAAAGGAATGAAATCAAAAATGAAGTTAAGGACACTTCTGAGGAAATGAAAGAAGGATTAGAGAATACTGTGGAAGTAAGTAAGGAAGAACAAAAGTAGAACAATTATGAGGCAAGTGAAGACTAGAAAGAATAAGAATTAGTTAAAGATAGTGAATCAGATTCATCATCATCATCATCTTCTTCAAATGAAGAGACTCAAAAATAGAGTGATTCACAAGTTAAGAAAGACAAGTCATATATGACTGTTTCAGCAAATTTAGAATAGATGTCATTCCAAAATCGAAAAAATAAGTTAAATTTAGACCAAATAGAGAAGATTAGAAAGAAATCAATTCAATTTGAGAAGATTTCATTGCAAATGAGTCAAGCTGGGAGAAGACTGTCATTGTAGGCTGGTCTAAGTATTAAGGAGCTTAGTCCGACTTATTCCGAGTTCAAACTTGATTTAGACAAAAAGGTTCTTCGTAATGTCAATGACAATTCAATTTTGAAAGTAGATGAACTAGATTCAATCATCAATCAATGAATAGCTTTGTATCAATATTATCGTCAATTATATTCCAACCTCCAATTCCCCATTCATTCTTAAATGATTAGAATTCTTTTGGTTTTGGTTTTTTTTCATAGCAAATTTAGGTTTTAAATAGGTTTGACAACGAAACCTTTTATATTACTGGAATTCTACACATAGCAGGTGCTGTCTCAATTCTTATTTGGCCCTCATTTTAATGTCTTGATTGTTTAAATCCTGATTTCAAACGAATGCTTTTAAATGCAGGACATTTACTGTGAATACGATCAGTTTAATAAGAAAAATTTGGTTAAGCAGGCAGTGTTTTAAGAGTGCAAATAGGAATTGAAGAATCTTTTAGCTTGAGGAATTTCTGAGTCTGAAACATTGATTTAATGAGCAGAGGGTTTTTTAATTGAATGGGTTGTCTGATCCCATATTTCGATTATGGAAAATGTAAACATGGAGACGACTTTTTAAGTAAGATGTCATGTTGTGTTCTTCGAGTTTGATTTAGTTATAAACTAATAGTATCTTTGTTATGTTGGCAATCAATAATTAATTCCTTATCCATTATATAATATTTTATGTTTATTTTAGTTTTATTTGGTTATAAACAATATAAGGTGTTCACCATTGATGTTCTGGGCAATACATTATTAGATTGTATATGGACTCAAGCCATTAAGGAAATCACTAAAGTAAAATTGATCTACGATTTTCAAAATAGCTACTTACAACCAAAGAAGAATCACATCAGAAGGACTAAAAGACAGCTTAACAGAAAATAACATCAAATGAGAAGAGAATTGCAGCAATCAATCAGCAACTATAGGAAGAAGGCTTACTCGAGGCACCCACTGGAAAGAAAGTTACAATAAGCATAATTTAATATAGGATGACAAAAAAGGAGCTAAACCGCCTCCTCAGAAGAAGGGCAAAGATGCTCCTCCAAGTAATCCTTTGGAAGCAGAAAAATTGGAATTGTAAAAGGATACTGAGAAGTAGTAAGAGTATGTGACAAAGTACACAGATAAATTGAACAAGATAAAGGTGGCATCCGAGAAGTTCAGAGATCTGAATGAGAGATATCATAACGATTAATTAGTGATTGAATTGTGTGATAAAACTGGGGAACGCAAATTTGTCAAGACCAAATTAGATGGAATTGCGAATACCTTCTTAAGTGATAAAGGCACTTACATTTTAGCCTATTTGTAAGCCCCTGCCACACGTATTTCTTTTATATTGAATGATAGCTGACGAGGAAGAATAGTTATTGGCATTAGAATTTGAGGGTTATTTGGCAAGAACGGTTGATGAAGATATTGGAGCAGTTGAAGAACCATTATTATAATTACAACCAAAAAAGGACGATAAGAAAAAGAAAGGAAAGAAATGATTTATATGCAATTCCATTTGATTATCAATATAAAAATCTTTTAAAGCTAAGGCTAAGGTTTAGTTTAGAATTTCAATTTTTATTATTATTACTTTGATATTAATCTACAATTTAAAACACTATTCATTTAGAGCTATAAAATGCTTTAAATTAAGACTCTGTATAGGCTGTTTACATCAATTGATTTTACATTTATTTTCAATAAAAATATGTCTAAATTATATAAGAATGCATCGCAAAACAATTTCTATCAATCCCAAACTATTCCAAAATTCAGGCCTCCTAATCCTGTCGGTCCGTCATTGCCTAAGTACAATGATTGGTTGGGATCTGAGGAAGGCAACGCTTTATTAAATGCACTGAAATAGGAAAATCATGTCTTGAAGGAACATGTATTTAAATCAAGCGTATTATTAGAATAAAACAGTAGAAGGGTATCTCAAAAATGTGGTTAAGGTATTTGAATCATTGAATCTTGAAAACTCAAATCTGAGAAAAGAAATTGAATAAAGAACAGAAGATTTGCAACGGGTAATTGAATCCACAGCCACCAATCAAACTTTAAATGAGTAGGATCTGAGACATTAAATATAATTGTATGAAGATGAACTTGGAGTACTCAATTAACATATAAGCAATATTAAAGGAGGAGATCAATTGCAAAAGTCTTTATTGGAGGAGAAGGAGAATTAGCTTAAGAAATCTAAGGAATTGATTTAGAAATTGGAGTCGAATCTAACTAGTATGTATTAAAAGGAGAAAGATGTGTCAAATGAGGCACAAACTAAAGACATAAAAATAAAAGAATTAACTGATAAATATAATGAATTGAATAAAAAGTAGAAACCGTTGGAGGAGAAGGTCAGATAATTAAATTAGCAAAATGATAGTTTGGTTTAAAAAGTTAATTCGTTGGAGAGTGCAAAAAAGAAATTAGAAGATGATGAAGCAGCAAAATTCAAAGATATATACACACAAAACTATTCTCAGAAAACTGACTTGGAACATCTACGTCATCTATGCAGTCAATAAGAAATATTGATCAAAGAATTACGATCAGAATTGGGTTCTCTAAAATAAGAAAATTATCCATAATAAATAATCATATTAAAATAAGAAAACAATACTGTTTAATAAGAGTTAATTTTGGAATAAAAACGACACAGTAACACATCTTAGAGAGAATAATCCGGAATGGAAAAACTGACTTCTGTCAAATTACAATTGGATAGTTTGTAAACTAAATATAATTTATTGTTGTCAGATTATGAAAATTTAAAGTAAGAATATGATAGGGATTTGGAGAAAATGAATTAAAAATAGAAATAGATGATTGAAAAATAAAAGTTAGCAAATCAATAACTGATTTCTGATCATAATTTAGAGATATCAAGATTAGAATTTAGAATCAAGGAACTTACCTTACAAATGGAATTATTGTAAAAAGACAATTAATAAAAGGACAAGTAATTATTAGAAATGAAGTAATTGTTATTGGATTTGGAAAACTTGAGGAGAGATTTGATTGAATAAAAAACTATCATTGTATAGAGAGATCACAAAATTGAAATCTTGACTTAGTAATACAATGAATACCTGGAGAGTTCTAAGAAAAAATATTCAGATTTGGATGACAGATACAATAATTTATAGGAATTATTTAGAAAGGAGTAAGAAAAAAATGACACTCTCTATAAATAAAATGAGAAGATGATATGGTATAAGGAGTAGTTTGATGAAATGGAGGAGAAGTTAAGAAATCTCAAATTAATATAAGAAAATTACAAAATTGAAATTAACACTTATTAGTCAAAGATTTCAAGATTAGAAATTGAAAATGAGGAAGTTAAACAGATAAATAATTCTAATGAATAGGAGATGACTCAAATTCAAGCATATGCTAGAAAACTAGAAAAGTAAATTCAAGAAATTGAATATTTAAAATTAGAAAATAAAACTTTGAGAGAGACTAATTTTAGAGAGGCTATTGCATTTTAGACTACTACTTAAACTCATAATAGAAAATCTACTTCTTCAAGATAGGATGAATAGGATTCAGGATCAAGGGAACCACAAAACATATAAACCAAAGGATTTAATGTTACATCTAAGTAATTTATATTTTAGATTTGTTTAGCAAAACTTTAACTACTTAGCCTTCTAATTAGCAATTGAAATAGTAATTGCACAAAACAAGTAATCAAAATTCAAATCAAATTCTACAGACTTACGATGTTTAAAATGATTTGGAGTACAGAAACTATCCATATAGAACATATTATAAAAATAAATGATCTAAATAAAAATAATAAAATATTAAAAATCCCATTGTTCTGAAGAAGAATAATTTCAACTTTATCCAAGGAGCAATTTAGAATTATTATTTTCAATTATAAAATTCAATATTTTAGTATTAAATTATTAAATGAGTGAAAATTAAGAAACCAATAAGGATAGAGAAATCAGAGAGTAGATGAAAAAGTAATATATGGAAGAGGAGGCCAAATTATAGCAGGGAATGGAAGAAGAAGAATCAGCCTTGAGGGATTACTTTAAAAATATTCAAAAACCTCTCCAGAGTGATCCAACAATTATTCGTAAATAAAAATATATTATAGTAAGGCAGAAAAAGATATAATGAGAAAATGGCCACCTATTAGGAGGTCATTAAAGATATCTCATTAAATGAGATGGTCAAAACTATTTGGCAATACGAAGCAAGTACCCCAGAGGAAAATGAAACATTATACGACTGCAAATAATATTTTAAGTGGAGATGTTATGAAGGAATGGGAGCATGTTTGGCAATGACTAGTCTTATCTCCTTTTGGAATCGCCGATATCTCTCTTTCACTGCTAAAGGCTTAGGAGTATTTGTTGGCCTTGGTACTGGTTTTGCAATGGGTTTTCTGAGATCTACCTAATATACTCTTTAAAGACTCGAAGAACTTGGTTCAGACTATTATCTTGGGAGATTAGCTATAAACGAGATTGAAGACTTTAGAATGGACAAGGTAATTAAGAAAAATATTTGAGTATTATTATATTAAAAATGGGAAATGGTACTTGTAAACAATAATCACCTTCTCTTGCTACAATCGATCTTATTGATCAAAAGCAACCTCTTCCCAACTCCTATTAATAAAGTCCCTCTAAGCCTAACATTGATTCTATCAACCCAACTATCGCTAAATAGGAGGAAGAAGGACCTAACATAAGTATGGAAGCAGAGGAAGACCGTTGTTCCATTTGCAGAGTGTCGTAAGCCGAATCACCTACTAAGGAGAGATCAAAAAAAAGGCAATCCTATGAGGATTAATTCTTCCTTGATTTGTTGCATCAAGACAAAACCTTATTCAGAAGATCCTCTTAAGGATAAAGCATTAGTCCTGTTAGAATTCTAGCTACTTAACATAGAAAAAATAAAACATCTTTTATTATCGAACATACTGAGTTACTTAAATTAAGGTAAGAAGAAGCAGATGAAATTTCTAAGCCGAAATCAATTCTTAAATCCAGTAATCTTTCAGAAAAATCTTTTTCAAGTCAATCACAGAAAAAAGTAAAGTTTGGTTTGATTTATAAATAAATATGACTATAGAATATATATTTCAAAGTAGTTCAAATTATTTCAACAATGACTATTCATCATAATTCAGCGATAGGTTTCCAAGCATAGTCAAAGTAGGTTTGTTTGTATCATCCCTCAACTCTTTAAATGGATCATCTCGCTGAGAAAGTATTCCTTTTTATGACTTCGAATGGCCCAGATTGTGTTAAGCCAGTGATGCTTTTGATCCCTGCCATTAGGACTTCACAATTTGACTTGAAAAAATAGGGTTTTAAGGTTATTAGTTGATTTGTTTTGATTTTTTTTATTCTTCCTAGAGGATTTCTTAGGGATCACCAAAATGCCCTAATAACATAAATAAAGCTTTAGATTCAGTTTTTAAATTCTATTCAATATTAATTATTCAATATACCTATTAGATCTCCAAATAGAAATGAGCAATTACAGGTTTAATCAATTCATTCAATTCAAATGATCTAAGATTAATAATGAATTTAATTAATGAAATAATCTAAGATCTAAACTATTATCTTTTTATATTTTCATCCGGATTCCTATTCAAAATAGATTTTGGATTACTCTTCACATGTTCTTAATAGTTGCCATAATATTCTGATATCGCAATCTTAACAAGATTAAAAGTGAATTCCTAAACAGCATTTGATTTAATGAATCTCGTTAAAAGTAATTATATCTATTAAAATGCCAATTGATAAAACATGATAGAACTTAAATATAACTTACTTAACATATCGAGCATTAATATTGCTACATTAACATCAATTTTTGGATGAGTGCAAACAGATTTTAATAATTGAAAGTCTACTATGTTAATTTATATTTCATTTTATTCAATTTACAGTTACTTCACCATAGGAATAATTAAAATATCAATGGGTATTGTTGAATACTTTTTAATGAGCATTAAGAAATTGGCAACCAAAAATTCTCTCACTTCTTTCTAATCGAAGTTTTCAATCAGAGAAAATACTAACTTCTTGTATAATAAAGCAGCATATTTGTCCTTTTACAATGCCAAATTGTCTAAGATTCTGAATAAACTTTGATAAGTAAATATTCTCATTGCAAAACTAGATTCCCTGGTTGCTTTCCTTGAATTTAATAAGTATTGTTCCATTTGATTGATCACAAATTACTGTGGATAAAATACCCAATAATGTTCAAAATATTTAAGAGCTGTCATTCTCTCCATGGTAGTATGTTAAGGTTCAAACAGTTTCACAGCATATGAAGCAAACAACTCGAAAAGATTTAGTTCTTACATCTGATCCCGAATCTGAATTGTTTGGATTATTCCATTTATAAAATCTATGTACTCTTTTCCAGATTTCAATATTTTCCTGAGTTGCACATCAAAGAAATCTACAACATTGTATTAGGAGACTACACTATATATTTTGCAGACTTATTCCAAATATTAGTGATGACGTTATTAAGATAAAATCAATACAATTAAACCCCCATGTTCTCTTATCAACCAAGCATACACATCTTCTAACAATTCCTTTTAAGGTAGATTTATGACTATCCCTTCAATTATATATAAAGTCCAATAACATACCTCTGTGCTTTGAGATACTAAACCAGCTTTAAGAAGAGACAACAGTATATCAATTTTGTAGGTGACAAATTTAATAATGTGATTAATATGCTTTGACAATTCCATCAACCAATTTGTGACATTTTTGAAGCTTTTGTTGCCTTTGATCAGGATATTTGATAATTATTTATAATTTTAATTAAGCAAGGCTACTGCTTGCTTAGGCTTTAAGGTAAAATGTTTGCAAAGGGAAACTATGATGAATTCTAAAAGGGACTAGGTTTAAATAAGAGGCTTTTCAGGGTCGATTTCATCGATGCCTATTTCTTGAGGTTCATTTTATTGAGAATTGAATCTAGTTGTTGTACTTACTTGCTCTTCCACATAAAATGCCATTTCATAATGTTATTTTAATTCTTTCAAAAATTGCATCAACATCTAAGAATCTCCCTTTACAATTGATACTATATAATTGGAAATTAGTACTTTTAATGTCATCATCTAAGGTTATGTTAATCTATTGTAAACTTCTGCATACATTATTCCAATTGAACAATCTTATTCCATTACTATTACCTTATTTGACATCCACCTCAATCTTCGAATCAAATTATTTGAGGATTTGACTAACTATTATTCCATTCAAGAATTGCTCTTCTAATGATTAATCCACGTGAGCAAATAAATTATTAATAGGCAATTCCCATATCACATTAATTTTTACAAGCCACTGATAAATATCAAGATCAAGTTTCATATTGACAAAAAAATTATTAATTTATAGTATTTTATTTCATTCTTTCAATACTAAATTTTTATAGTTTCAAAATACAATTATCATTAACTTATTGTTAAGCATTCCCTCTTCTTACAAAACCAATACTTGAAATTTTATAAAATGAATAAATAATTGCTATTTTATTGTAGATTAGTATATCAGATTGACAACTTATAAAATTACATTTCTATTATATTCTAGATTAATAATTTTAATCCTAAAATGATAAGAAGTTAAATTGATTATATCAACAATTTTTAATTAATAATCTCTTAAATTCCAAAAAATTCTTAATTGAATAATTTTATTTTTTAAACTTAAGATATTGGAATGAGTAGTATGAGAATGTTGATATCTAAATTGGTAATAATCTTAAACTCACGATAATAATAATTAAAATATTTCATGTTTCATATGCTTGTCTGAAATTTTGGCAATCTTTTTGCAAATATTAATGATTCTAGGCTCTTCAAAATTGTTCTATTAAATTGTTGATATTAATTAAATCTAGGATATTAATCAAAGTTATACATTGAATCTCAAACATTCAGCTTCATATTGGTTATCCTTTTAAAATGAATCGAAAGATTTAAAAATGAAGTAGTACAATTTAATAAGTTGTCGTTATTACCGTTTAATTCTATAAGTCATATAATAATATTTGAGGAATGTAAATGGGAGTGTTATATCTTCAAAGAGTGTCCTAACCTTGCTTTTTTCATTTAATAATTTTTATATTTAAGAAAAGTTGGTCTAAATTTCTTGCACATATTGTTTTAATTTTTCATAATAATAGGATTGCATTATATCAGCAATTGCAGGTGGCTGACATCCTTCTAATCGAAAGAGCATTTTTAAATTAAACACCTTGTCATCATTCTATAGCGAATTAACATAATTAATTGATGCAATTTCTTGTTGCTGATTATTTTGCAAGCACAATGGATATATAAAGAGAGGCAATTGATCAGCTTTTCTGGATAGATTGAAAACATAGTATTTCTTAAAAACTATGATGACTCCTTCTGAAAATTATAGTATTAAATCAAGAATGCATGCCAACATTATCTTCCTTGTTGTAATTCTTTATTGCTGATAAAAAAAGTCGATTAAGAAGATGAACATATACACAGGTATCAAGAAAAAGAGGAAGTTTATGACCCTTTTACTGATCGTAGTAGGTTTGATTGCTACAAACAAAGCATGCAAAAAGTATTGGGTATATGTGTGCAAAATCTAACTTTAGTTTGGAGGTGAGACTGGCAATTATCTTAAGAATTTGTATCCATTATACACCACATAACAAGTAGTGAAGATATTATTGAGTAACCCTCCTCCCCAAAGTTGATTGCAAAGAAGGAATTGTAGTATCAGAATGACAAACAAGTATGCCAAGGCTTTATCAGAGTTTTCTATGGGATTAATGATTATAGAGTACTTGAAAAATAAAACACATGCAATCCTAACACATGAAACCCATTCACTAACATTACTAAACATATAAATGTTTTGCCTATATAATTTAAATAATATGCGGCGAAGCCAAAAACTAGAATTAAAAGAGTTGTAAAGATGATAGTTGCAAACATTTATGAGAAAGATTCCTTTCCTTCAAATAATTGCGTAAATTCCAATCTGTTAACTCGGCTTTAAAAATAAAATTTGACCTAATTGACCAAAGGAGATTCTAATTGCTAAGGAGCCTTATTTGGATTTAAAATTTTGATTGGGTTTTCAGGTTTCGTGAAATCCTGAAATTACTGTTATTCGGTAAAGTAATTCGTCATTCTTTCCTTCCTTCTTTATATATCATATGTAAGTCTATTTTAGTTCATTAATTTAATAATTTAATGAGTCTGGTAAATAATAAAGACATTATGAAGTTACCTTAGAAATTGAATGAGCATACACAAAAATGGGATTTATCCAAGGGTTGTTCAAATCATATTCAACCAAGAATGTTGATCGAATTGAATTTTGAGAAACCCCTTCAGAAATCAAGATTAACCTATGAATTGACAGTGGAAGAGAAATTGTATTAAATATTTAATGTTGGTATGGTATATAATTTAAAAGGATGATCAGTTACTTTAATTTATAGTTATTACAACAATGAAGAATTTGTATAATGTCTAGATAGGAGCTATTTTATAAATTTGAGATAGCAAAAATAGAATTTTAATTGTAAATATATTGACTTCATGATTGATTTATGATTAAATTCATCAACTGTTAGTGCTATATGCTATATATGAGAGTTACTCTTTCTTACATTAGACAGGTTAAATAGGTGAAGGAGGAAGGGAAGCTGCCAAAGGAGTGTAGATGTGTTGCAGATTATTCATGGGTATAATTACAAGATATTGCGATAAAGCACTCTAAAGTTTTAAATCTAGGAGATGCAGATATTAACCAGAAGATTAAATTAAGACATACAGAAATCTCAGAATTCAAATCGTCCATGATATACTGATACTTAATTTGTAAATTTCAAATATGAGGATTCAAATATACGATATGGATTTAAAAGATAGTTTTTTCTTAAATGGAAGGTAGGGATATTATTACTAAAATGGATTAAAATATTGTAATTACTGGCTAAGCAAGGAAAATACCCACTTTATTGATATGATTTAAGAATGAAGTTTTAATTATTAGAACAGAATATCAAATTCTACATTACAAATCTAATAGCACAACATTCAAGTTGGGTAGGTGGTGCATTCATTGTTCGAATGGTAATCTTTTTGTACAAGATCAAGTGGCTATAATTTTAGAAATTTCGTATATTGATTAATTCTAGAATCTAATCTATCCTTATTTGCTTGATTGAATTGATTATTTAAATCTTAGGAATTATCAGCAGACAAATATGATAGCAATTTAATTATAGCGACCAATAGTTTAATTCTAATAAAGTAATTTAATCATACTAATATTATGTTAATTATATAAAACAATTAAATTAAAAGAAACAATAAAAAAGTTATTGAATATCATAATAATATTCTATTGGAATTAAATATGAAAATGTTGAGAAAAAACAATAATTTTAGGATTGTAATTAAAATTTATTAATTTCCATAAATCATAACTTGTATCTTGAATGCTACTAAGTTAATGGTCTTATCAAAACATTTGTATGAGATTCTGTTTTACCAGAAATAATTCTTTTTGATTAATTCATTTTTTTGACTTCCTGTAAGTACAGTTATTTATATTCATCTCTTTCCTTGACCAAAGTATTCAGATCATTATTTGATTGTAAAGTCTCTAATTAGATTACTCTTTTCTATAATTCTTTTTCCCTTGCTAGAACTGAGACTAATTCATCTCTAATCATGCTTGCAAACTACCTTAAAGTTGGCTCTTGCATGTCTATGATATTCATTTTGATGTCTGTATGTTCCAGAAACTAGGACTTTTGCAAAGGCTATAAAATAACCTTTTCCTTGATTCCATCCTATTTAGTATTCTTTAGACTTCTTTAATCAAGATATTTAAACAGACTTGAAATTATTACAATATATACTTTTTGAATTTGTTTCTAGTAGGAATATGAGGTTTATCCATAGCTGGAATATTAAATGATCTGATTCCAGAACTATATGCTCCATTTTCGATTTTCTCAATTACTCTAAATGTTTTCATAACAACATCATATAACTCAAATAGTTCAGACTTCATGTCTCTAATTTACATTCTATAATAATAATGCAAAAAGGATTACTTCTTTTTTTCTTAGTACTTTTTGAATTAGTGAATAAAGTGATCTATTTCTTCATTTTTCTTTTATAAATATTTTTCGTATTATTCTGTACTATCTTACAAAAACTTTGCATACTCTTGCTTTAAATTATCCATTTATTATTTATACCTAAGTTTAATAATATGGTTTACTCTTTTTCTAATTCAAGTTTTGCCATTCTTTTAATGTCTTCATGTTTCTACACTTCCGAAGTCTTGGCTTGGATGGTTTATGGTAAATTTATAATAACATTGACCGTTCTTCTCAATCACATCCTGATGTTCTTTTAATTGTTTTTTCACAGTATCTAAGATCTTATCGTTTTTTTCTTATTCAATTTATTCGAGTTGCTATTTCTTTTCTGCCTGCTATTCCTTCAACTTCTTGATTTCTTCAGCTAATTCTATAATCCTGCATTATTGTCTTTCTTATTTAAGACTCTCTTCCTTTTTCAATTATTCTTTCTCCTTCTGCATCTTATCAATCATATAGTCTGCCTCTTTCACATAATTCTAAAGAGTTTCTACCTTCTGCATAGCGTCCTTCTGAATTTTGAATTTCTATAATTCTTAAGCACTCGATTTAGCAAAGAGTTTCTCTAAATCTACATCAATTCCTAATAATGTTTAGATTTCTGATATTTTTTATTTATGTTCCTTCTGCATATAATCTATCTTGGATTTCAATTCAGTGTTCTCGTCTTGCAATTTCTTAATCAATTTATCCTGCCCAGGAAAAGGCCCTGGCTGATTAGGATTGTCGTCAATAGGTTGAGTTGCTGTCACTCCCTTAGTCCTTTCCGCATATTGAAGTGCCGATAAACATTCTTCAAAATTATTTTCATTAGGATTGATATGCACCATCAAAGCCACCTTAACTTTAACTATTGAGGCAATTTTATAAGATCCGAGTCAGCTTTGAGTCTCTGTATGGAATATTTTTGGAATTCATTTGGGAAATGGCTGTCAAACATTTTGATAAGGCAGTCAGACTTTAATTAATTAAAATGGCTTCCTAGAACTATCCTTCTTAGGTTAAACTCTTGGCTATTCTTTCGGATCCTGCCAAATCGACAAATTATATGAATGCATTCATAAATGGTAAGTTCTCATTTTCTTTGTCTTTTTAAACCAGATTCAAGGTAATGATGGAGTGACATTTCTGGCCGAATTATTTACTTTGCTATTCCAGTTTCTCTCTTAATTGAAAACCCATCTATATCATATCGGTCAATTCCTACGCTGATCTTATGGGTATTTATGTGAGATCCTTAATCATTATCTACCCATTTGTGTTTTCGTATATGGTGAGATTTTCATTCTCGTAATTCTACAGTATTTGATTCGTATTCCCAGATTAACGGGATTGATAGGCTTTGCCCAAATCCCTCACTTGATCCAAGAACAATTCAGCCATGCTAACAGTTATTACAAATTCTCGAATCTCTTCGAATTCTTAAGATTTGGAGAGGAGGTATTCCATAGCTCTTGTTACAATCCCCTTCTTGTCTGGCTTGCTTTCTTCACCTTCTTAGCCGAATAATGTGTAACTCTTCCCACTTCCAGTTTGTCCATAACTCAGAACGCAAGAATTGTGGCCTTCGATTAGTTTCTGCAACATGGGGTTCAATCACTTTGAAGGCATGTTCTTGAGTAGTGCAAACTGAAGAAAAAAGAAACAATCTTGCTTTCTGCATTTTTATTGGTTGGATCCTTAAATTAACATAACTCTATACTCTAATTGAAATGCTCTCATTAGTGAAGTCGACCATCTTCTGTTGATAATCAATTGGTCTTACTCTGGCGAATATTTTATAGTTTTGATTGGCATTTGTAATTCGGTTTTGCATTTTCTTATAATTATTTATTTAAATAATGTCCAAATATCATATGGAAGGACTAAATATCCTTAAGGTGGCTCTGCTGGAACTAAAATCAATCAAGTACACCTAATTTACCAGGAACAAAATTCGTTCGATTCTTGCCTTAAAAAATAACAAGACTCTCTAAGAACAAGACACTTTGAAATTCAGAAACGAGTGCTTTGCCTATTACAGTCTGATGAAACAGGAATTGCATCAAAAAGACTTAACTATAACTACGGCAGAGCACTTGAGGAAAACTATGAAAAATAATTATTGGGTAAAATGATTATCAACTTAAATATACACCAATAATATATTTTATATTTAATGCTCTTTCAAATATCGTCCCATTTCGAGGTTAATTCCTCCTATTCTAAAGGAGTGTTTTCCCTTGATTTTCTATATTGCTTAGCATGTCTCAATCTGAACATCATAATCTCAAACAATTACCTTCTGACAACTGAAGAGCATGGTCTTGCTCCGTGATTAGCCTTCTTGGGGGCTCTGGCATTTCTATTCATCTAAAGGATTGTTTCATCAAACATCAAGGGAATCCTTGTGATGAAGTCCATAAAGAAGCTTCTGGTTAATAATTTTGTTTACATATTAAAATAATAAATATAAATCACTTTTCCCTTCTGTAAAAGTATAAATAATTTAAACTAATTTATTAACTAAATACGCAATTATGCAGTTAAATATTTGAAAAAGGCTAAATTGCTCCAAAGTAATATTAACATTAATTAATGAATTTATTTTCATTTCATTTGGTAAAAGAATCTAAATGGAGTGTTTTTTTGAAATCAATACTAAAAAAGGCAGAACACCTAAACCTTCATTTAATAAGGCTATTTATTTAAATATTATGAAGTGAATATATAATTAATGGTTTTCGAAAATTGAGTAATTCCTATTCTTTGGGGGATTACTTCAAAATTTGAATTATTCTCATATGGGCAGAAAAGTAAAATGTGGGTTGTGCAATATGAAATTAGTATGGAAAATTATAACAAAGTAAAATTGATTAACGTTTCGCCAAATTTAGACAAGCATTTTTTAATTTTTAACTGCATAATTTATAATGTTTCTCAAAATTTATCCCTGAAGAGTCGTGTCTAGGTGTAATTGATTTGAGGAAATTAATTACTTATATTTAGACGGAATATATTGATATCGTTTTTAAATTGAAGTGTTAAATTTATATGCATTTTTTACAAAGTATCTAGAGTTTATGGTTGCCCCTCGAAAACTATGTATAATTATTGAGGATTAGTAAAATAATTTAGATTTGCGAGGCTTTTGGCTTTTGTGAAGTGAATATTTTTAATAAAATATTTTTCCAATTTACTTATCAGTCTATATCTAAATTAAGATGAGTTCGAAGTAAGAAAGCGGAGGATCTGAAAAGCAAGGAATTGGTAGAGTTGAGATCTCGGAGGAACCTTAAACTGTGGTTTGGAGTGGGCAGAGTAATATTGAGATTTAGATTTTGGTTGATAAATCATTTGGAGATTCGATGTCATATGAGGATGTTCTGAAATACAAGAGTATCCTGGCAAGAAAGATCCTAGGATAGTGAATCTGATTTATGAGTATTGAAACCAATAATCACGATTGTTATATACTAAAATGAGTCATTTATATTTCTTGTAAATTATAAATTTGGATATTTACAATAATATCCGCATGGTAGTTTCGATATATAGGTAATGAATATTCGAGAAATGTAAGTATGGAATGAAAATGGAAGATTAAAAATAAGATGGATTTAAAATTGGAAAATGAGATATTAATAAAAAATTGATATATATAATAACTAATTTATTAAATGCAGAGAGAGAGATATACAAAACACAATATATTGTTATAATAATATATTATAATTATAAATGCTAATACTACTTACATCACTAATTTCATTCATCAAGTGTGGGTCCATCCTGAGACCAACAGGAGTGACACCAATTTGGAATTCGGTAGCAAATGCCAATGTTCAGGCCTAATACATTTTTAGTTATGTTTTGGAAACATACTTGGCATCCAATTCCCAAATAGAAGTTTAGTTTCCTCTGCAATATTTATCTGGGCTGGGAACCACGGCAACAGAACTTGTGTGCATACCGACTTGCGTAGTTTCTGGGAGATCAGTTATCTTCACCTACTCAGAGGAGATGAAGAATGGGACTAGTAAGAAAGTGGCATGCTAATAGTCTACACGGCATCGGTGTAACCAATAAGGAATCCAGCCACATAAGGTGGGACAGCTAATTTCATTTTGCGCAGTAAGAGAGGAGATAATGTGATTGATGAGAATTTGATTTTTGGTATCATTGGAATTGCAGATGCCATTAATACAATGGTCTTTGGAGAAGTCGTCGTCAATCCAACTGGTTCCTCTTATGCAGGAGTAATAATATATTATATAATACTAAGGATTACACTCAATACATACTGAAATTCAAGACAACCACCACTATCATCTATAATTCCTACATGTTATTCACAGTTCCGACTGATTTCGAATTGGAACCATTTCCAGTCTGTAGTGCTTATCCAATCAATGGAATTCAATTGGATGGCACCTTGTTTTGTTCCCAAGTGAACCAAACCAATGTAGTGAAGATTGAAGGAATCACTGGACATGTGATTGGATTATAAGATTATGCACTCAAAATATCAATGAGAAATCCTAAATATGCTGGAACAACAAAAACATTCAATTTGGGAATCTATAAAGCCAACACCCAGATGATGTTTGAGGAAGTCAAGGGAATCAGTGGAGTCACAATCTAGGCTGCTTAATTATAGAATGTCTCAATGACTTAAGTCTAGAGTTTTATCAATTCCAGATCTAGAATTATGGATTACGCAGTCAAATTTACTCCAACCTTTCCTATTCCTGCAGGGTGCAATATCAAATTGATTTTCCCTGTCTATATGTAAATAGTGTAACCTGCAGATTACAATTAAGCAGGATAATTTTAGATGAACTATGTAAAATATGGACTGGAAGATATCAGTGAAGATAGTCCCATTGGATTCTATTATCAGGATTCAATTTAAAATTATCTCAGGATAACCAATTTCCAGGAAATGACTATGAATAATGAAATTTGTGTTATTGTCAGAGTTATCAACCCAAGTGTGGAGGGATACACTACTCCACTCAAACTGTATGTATTCCAGGATATTACTGAGTATCAATTATTATAATCTGATGTTTTGTATGCAATAGCAGATGTGGCATCAGTAAATGCAGGTAATTAGAATGTTCCTACAACCAATGTAAATACTTGGTTCCAAAAACCTAGAACTGGATTCTTTCCAAATTATGGCGATTATTCCATATCAAATATTTATGCTAATGGAGCACTAGCAACCTTGACATTGAACATTGATCCATCTGCTACTGTTCCCAAATTTGCATTCATTTATGTTACTGTTCCTGTTGAATTTAAAGTTAACAATGACACCACTACTGGAGTTAATGCTGCCAATTGCAAATTCTACTTGTAATAAAACTCCCCAACATTAAATGGTTTTGTTTCACCTACCAATTCCTTGACGTGTACAGCAACTGATTAAGTTATTAAGGCTAAGTTACCCTTTGCATTTGATATCATTCAATATCCTTCTCAAGCATTACCAGCTACACCCTTAAGAAACTAATGGTAAATTCAGTTAACCAATGCATTATTCACCCCTTCATTGAATGGAACATACTTTTTTGATGTTACTATTAAAGATACTGATGATCTGACTGTGTTAGATTCCTTTTCATATCCAATCTAAATAAATGCAAACTTATTAACTGGCAGTATTGTGAATTCAATTCCAAAAAACTCGAAAGAGAAAGCAATTGTTGACATATAATTTATAACTGTGTTGCAAATACCCTCAGGATAGAAATAATTTAGAGCATCAGATACCAGAGGGTTCCTTGAATTTCACTTTAGCAGCGCTTGGGCTTAAGATTTAGGTTCAGGAGTGAAAAATGGTGGATCAATTCCTTGTTATGGTGTTAATGCATTAATACCTTATGAGGGCAGTTAATTAAAATGCATTCTGTTTTACTCAACTGCTACATCAAAAACAATAGTTAGAGTGTCCAATTTTAGAGAAATTGCTACAAATACTAATGTTAGAATAATGATTTCAGGTGTAACTAATCCAACTGCAGGCACCTATGATGTAGATATCAAAGTGTTCTAGAAAAAGAATAGAATATTTACCTTATTGAATCAGCAATTAACTGTGACCAGCACTTTAAACCCAGCACCTGTAACAACCACTTGCACAACTGCTCCTTCATACTCAGAAAACAGAGTCGGGTATTTATTTGATATAAGCATATCGCCTTGTTTGACTACTGCCATTACTGCCAACTATTACATTCTGATCTAATTGCCCAAATTTGATATTGGGTTCATCAGAGACGAAAACACTATAACTTGTTCACTCACTTCCCAGTTATATTGCATTCCTCTACTCGGATCTGATTTTATTTTGATTGTTACTTCAGCTACTGTTCCTCTCTCTCCAACTCCAATATTCAAAATAAGCAATTTGCAATGGCCAAGATATGTGGAGGACTTTTCAACTTATACATTGAATTTCCTGATAATCAATAACGTTGGCTTGGGGATAGTCTAAAAATATCAATTCAGCACTCTCACGAATTGTGTCCCTTCACAATTCTCTTCAATTCAATCTCTGGTGTCAAACAAAGGAAAAGGGTTTGTGGATGCAACCTATTCCTTTACTTTTACCCCTCAAGCTGACATTCCTCAGGGATCAACAATCATAGTCGAATTTCCTCCTTTCTATGATTTTCTTAATGGCATTCATTTACCCACCTTTTCATAGAGTGGCCTTCTAGACTTAAGTGATACGAATCAAGTATCAATTTAAGTGAATCTGAAATTGATAAAAATCACTGGGTTTCAACAATTCAACAAATCGAATTCATTTCAAGTTGTGGCTGTGTCTGTGAAGAATTCTCAATCGTATAATACTGCATCAGGATTTCATGTCTATGTCTTATATAATGGGAAATACGTTCTATAATAATTGAACTTTTATAGTTTTGATTTCACAACCCCATTCAAGGCAGGCAAAATTGTTATCAATCAAATTACCGCTTCAATCCTTAATGCAGACGAAGAAGTCGATTACCTAATCGAATTTACTCCTTAAAATGATATTCCCATAGGTGGGCAGATCAAAGTAATGTTCCCAGATGACAATTACAAGAAATTGCCTTCCACTCCAGATTGTCGTGTTAGTGGGGGTATCAATACATTTCAGTCTTGTATTCTAAACGGTAAGACTTTCATCATTGAAACAAACAGCAGATACAAGGCAGGTAATGGAGTCATTGATCTCGTTATCAAAGGAGTTTAAAATCCAGATTAGGGAACAACCTAAGGGTTTGTGATCTCAACAGAATATGATGGAGTTAAATTGGATGGCACTGATGAGTCAAATCTAAATGGAAGAACATTCACATCAGCTCCAAAAACCAACCCAATCACTCTCAATTCCCTAGTATTTGATCCCAAAAATGAAGGAGAAGAAGCTTCTTATCGTTTCATATTTCTACCGTATTCATCGTTATCTGTGAGTTCCCAAATAGAATTCAAATTCCCAAAACAATTCGACCCCTTACTCGGTAGAGATATCTAATGCATTGTGAATTCTGGTTTATCTGGAGGTGGTTATACTTGCAGTGTGGATTCAAGAATTGTTACCCTCAAAGGTTATGATGCATACACCCCAGAAATTTCAAATCCAATTGACATCACCATCTTTGGTATTGTGAATCCCAATTCTAATGGGGGATCAACTACTGACTTCCTTAAACTCTACATCAGATAATAAGGCAGCAACATCTATGATCAATCTAATTAAGAAATAGCTTAATTGTCATTTCTAGCTGCACCAGGTTGGTCTCCTTTAATTTCGATAGATGTTTCAACTTATAATGTGAGATGGAATTCAACCTATAATTTTACATTTTAAACGTATAAAAACATTCCGAAAGTATCAGCAAAAGGATCAGTTTTGATTGATTACCCATCTTAATTTGAAATTGTGGATGGCTCTATCACATGTTCAAGTACAACGCTATTTGCTGCAACATTGAAGTGTTCTTCCTATCGTAATAGAGTTACTTCATCTGGTAATTACGACGATTACGTTGGTCAAATGTATATTCAATTGAAGAAAGTCCTAAATCCTATTGAGAAAGGAGAGAGTGATTTCTTCTATATCAGAACTTATGATGGGCTGAATTTAAGAATAATTGAGAGAAACTTTGCAAATTTGGATCCATTTAAGTTTTCTTATTAGTTTCCTGGTCCCCTCATTAAAGTCAACAATGAAAAAACAGTCACGATTGAAAGAGGAACCCAAGCCATTAATATTCCTGTAACTATTGAATTCCCGTGTTTGCTCAATCTTAAATTGCTTCCATCAGAAAATGAGTTCATTATTAACCCTTCATCCATCCCATTAACTCTTGGAATGACAATACAATACTTTAACATTTCTGTTCCCTAGTCAATGTATGATGGAACTTATACGATCTATTGGACTTTAGATAACGAATTAGACCCACCTATCTACACTCCAGTGAAAAGAACATTAATCACAATAACCAAGAAACAAGGAGTTACAATTACTCAAACACCAATTCTCTCTATTCCAATTCAAGGATAGTCACTCCTAACTGAATATATCTTAGCAGCTCCTCCAGATACAGCATTAGCATTCCGCTTATATTTGCAAAGAACCTATTATGCCATACAATTGTCGACTTAAGCAATCACAGTAGCAGCTGGGCAGTAGAAATTTGGATTTGCTGTTGAGTACAATAAATCTGTGAATGCTGATGGACCTTAGGTAGAGAGAGGATACATTACAATATAGACTGAAGGAGTGAACAAAAATATTTATAAGTTATCATCAACAAGTGTTGAATTCTTCATTATATCCCAAGACACCAAACCTCCTGGGTGGGTGACATGCAAAATAGATAATATCAAAAAAACATCAGTAAATCTACTAGTAGCTTTAAATGAGCCTTGCATTGTTTACTATTTGATCGCATTAAAAGGAACAGTGTTTCCAAGTTTGGGGGACTTTCAAAGCAAGGTTATTCGTTACTCAAGCACTCAAAGTTAGATGGGATATTTGATTGCTTACACTGCAAATCTACAATACCAAATTCCGTTATCCAAGTTGATTGCTGAGACTGAATATGTGATACACATATTGGCTTTGGATAGAGGTAACAATTAGGCTGAACTCAAAACTATCGAATTCAAGACTCTCGACAGGCCAGTGAGTTGTTACTTCACTTTAATATTTAATTAAAGATCAGTTAGTGATGATTTTGTTAGAAACGTTACCGATTCCGTGGCCAAAGTACTGGGAATAGACGACTACTACATTCAGCAGCAGAAATACTATTTCAATAGATTGCTATAGAACTCTTTTGGTATCACGGTAGATGAGATAAAGTCCTACATCGATTTAGAACTAGCTGCTATTCCCAATAGTGACAGTTTTCCTGACCCCTATGATGTTGTGGCAGGGTTGCAGAACAAAACTCAACTGCTTACTTCCAGAATTGAAACTCTTAATTTGAGCAAGGAAGTGACTGCTTAAAAGTTTACTCGTTATGTTCCGAGATTCATCAAACAGCCAAAATTAGTGTATATTGATTATTAGCAATGTGCCATTTAATTAGCCATAAGCAATTATGGATGGGGTTTTGCTGTGGCTGTGGTTTTTGAGTCGTAAGATCAGACCTGGCCATCGCCCTATCAGATAATGAAAGGACTTGATTATTAGAATAGGCCAACACCTAATGGGTAGATAGAGATTTCAGATCCTTATTAGGATTTTATTTTGAGAATACATGGGTTGGAGAGTGAGACAGACTATTACATATATGTGATAGGGGGATCAGTTCGTAAATCATTTTTATTTATATAATTAGATTTCCGAGCACCAGATTTGATGGATAAATCCGAGATATATTAGGACAGGATAATCTCGTTCAGATCTCCTTAGAAGCCTAAGTTAAACATCAACTTTGGAGAATTGATTATGTTGAGCATATTGATTTTTTGCTTATGAGTACATTTATATATATAAGCTATAATTGATAAACATAGATATTTTTGATTAATTTAAATATGCTCATATCTGGAATGCAATTGAGGCATTCGCTGACTCCTCGTTTCTTCGCAGGAGTGTTCAACAAGCGTAAGCCAACCAAGAAGGATTTAGACCATTATGATATAGTGGTGATCGGTTGCAATTTAGGAGGAGTGTTGAGTAGACAACTTGATAAGGTACATTTGTAAAGTTTAACTCCGCATAGGTTTCTCATGGAAAATATAAGATTATGGTTGTTTTGGATTAGAATATCAATCAAATTACTCCAATTAGATAGATCTATGAATAATAGAAGACAGCCAAGACAGATTTCTTGCTCAATGCTAAATTGTCACTCAACATGTACACTGCCCACTCAGATCAAGTTGGATGTTCAACAATATTACCTGAAGAGAATGCCATAGTTTTGCGTAATGGTCGTAGAATTGGCTATAATTAATTGGTTGTTGCAATGGGTATAATCTTAAATAAATTCCAATAGGTCAGCAAGTCAATTACGATGCAATCAAGGGATTTGAAGAGGCTTGGTAAGACTTCGATTCTCCAGTGTTCACAAACCTTGATCACCCAAGTTGGAGATCCTCCAATCATAAATACACAAGATGGCATTACAATTTCAATCATGGTGAAGCATATTTCTGTATTCCTCAATTCCCCTTCAGTGGTGAGGTTGAATCCTACAACTTTTTGTTGAGTCAAAGAATCTGGGAATGGCAAACAGCAAATGGGCGTTAATCACCAATCAAAAAGTTCACAATCATCCAACCAAATGAGCGATTTGTTCAATACAACGATGCTGGAGATTCCTTCTTCAAAGAAGAATTAAAACGCAGAAACATCAATGTTGAATACGGACTCAAATTGGTTGAAGTCAACAAACAATACAATACTGCCACTTTCGAAGACGTCAAGACTGGAAACAGACAAACTAGAAATTTCAATCATCTCTATGCTGTTGCTCCAACAAAGGCTCATGAACCACTTGTCAAGGCTGGATTGACAACATCAAAAGGATTATTGGATGTCAACATCAAGACATTGTAGCATAACAAATACAAGAACATTTTCGGACTTGGAGATGTCAATGATCTTCCAACTACAAATTGTTTCTGGGCTGGATTCCACTAACTCCATGTTGTTAGAAATAACATTGAAAGAAATATTGCTGGTAAATCTCTTAATGCTGAATATGATGGATATAGCAAAGTTCCCATCATCTTAGGTTAAAACACCCTCACATTCTTATGTCACAAATACAATAATGAAAATGCTTGGCACAACCTCTACTTCTCTAATGGGGGATTCTTGGCTGCTTTGAGGTAATAGTTCCTTCTTATTCAAGATATTATAATTGGTGCAAGAACTTCAAGAAGGCCTTTATTGACATCTATTTGGAAAAGAATTGGGGACCCCCCTATTACAAACTTAAGAAGAGTTTCAAATTGCCTGAGGGAGAAAAGGATGATCATGGATTCTTGTCCAAGTTGTTGCCTGGCAAAAAAGAAAATCATCATTGAAATAAATAAATAATATAAAAAATATAATAATGATTAAATTATTTGCATAGAAGGCGATCCAATTACAATTTTATCCTCTCTATGAATTTAATCGATTCGCAGACAAATTATAAAAGAAGCAACAAGACAATCAGAAATAAGAATTCAAAAAGGAATTGGAATTCTTGGCTAGCAAAGTATATACATAATTGCACATAGCCACAATTTACACTTATCGATTTTAGACAAAGAGCACTCGATGGATTGCATAAACTAAAAAAGGGATTCAAGTATTAAATCTCTTCAGGGAATGAAGAGACTGAATAACAATTGACACTATAGAAATAAGTCTTAAATGCCATGTTTGATGAGGAATTGTTGAGTCCAGATGATTTGAGTGGAGATGTATGTGTATATCCTCATAACAAGCAAAAAAAAGAAATAGCTATGGTTGCATAGGTGGAAGTACAATAAGTGAATTTCGTATTGAGTCAATACAGTCAGATCAGGAACATGCATTCATGGGTAAGAGACATGAAAGAGAGAGGAGAACCTATGCCTGATAACCAAGAAGACATGATGTACAGGTACAAGAGAGACAAGCCAATAAAGAAATCTTTCATCAAATTTGAGATGAAGAGACAAAATTTCTCTATGAAATAAAGATTATAAAAGTTGAAATGGGGTCCTCGTAAGGAAGTGTGATATTTGATAAGTGTGCAAATATAATAAATATATTTATGATTATCATTATTATAATTGATCATAATGTGAAAACTAACATGATAAAACTAGCCACCAATAGTTGAGCATAAACGATAGTGTCATTTTTGTAGTTCAAGTCAGTGCTTACATTAGTTGTTTATCCATAAGCATACTATAAAATATAAACAAGTATAAATACTCCAGCATAAGGTTAGACTGATTAGAAGCAACGATTCTAGATCATGTGGAATCCATATTTGCAAATAGAGCATCCAGAAGATGAGTAAGGTTTATCAGTGGAAAGTGTTGAACTCAATTTAAGAGCACAATTGGCTTGATTAAGTGGCACACAACCTCCTTATTGGAAGACGTATCCGTCAATACAAGTTAAACAAACCTATCCAGGTGATGCACAAGTGGCACAACCGAATTAACAAGCGACACAAGTAGCTTAGGCAGTCTTAATACCAGAATATTGGAAGTATCCGTCCATACAAGCTTTGCAAGTCTAAGGATTAAACTTATAATTACAGTTGAATTGTCGCATGATGCACAATTGGTTTGACATGGTTGACAGGCTGCTCCTGATAAGTAATATCCAGTATTGCACTTGGTACAGGTAGTATTGGATGAGCATTCTAAACAACCACCACTTGCAGAACATGTGGCACAAGTGGCTGAACTTGCTGAACTTGCTGCTTATAAGAAATATTTTTATGAGCATCCAGTACAGGAAATAGGTGTTGAAGATGATCCACCACATTTATTACATTGTGAAGAGAGTTGTGTTTTAGCTCCAGCCTATGGTGGACAAGATAAACAAGTTCCTCCTTCATAAGCACCGAAATTCTTAACACATGTGGCACAAACATTGTTTGAATTAGTTGATGTGTTAGTCAAAGTCAAACATGCTTATATTTGTACAGCGGCTATGCATGTAGGAGTAGCAACACCGTTTGTAGTAATATTTACTAAGAAGTATCCATCTACACATTAAGTGACTTAAACTGTTGTGTATGATGGAGTATCTTATGGACCTCCACATCTCAACCATCCAGTTGATTAAGGATATGAAGAACAAGCTGAGCAAGTTACAATTCCACTTCCATCCTTTACTGCATAGTAAAACTCTTAGCATTTTGTGCAGGATACAGTAGTACTGTTGATTGTGCATGAAGCGCATCCTGTACCACATGGAGTGCAAGTCTTTGGAGTTTAGGTGTTCAACACATATATGCTTACACATGATGTGCAATTCTAATTACTGTCCATTTGAGTGCAACCATCAGGTAATTTCTAACAGGTTGTTTAACCTATCAATTGATATCCGGATGCACATGCCAGACAGGATGTACCATTTTAACATTTTGTGCAAGTAAGACTTGGTAAACATGAGGCACAGGTCTATCAATTACAAATATATTAAATTATTACTGTTATTCCATTAACTTAACTGATGTAGTAACCATCTGCGCAGCTGGTGCAATTTGTACTATTTGTGCAACTGGTACAATAATCTAAGCATCTTTAACATGTTCCAGATCCATCTGTTGCTGATCCTGTTGTCAATCCACTGAATGACCAGAAGTACCCACCAATACATTATGTGCATGTATTTCTAACGTAATCATATAAAATTAATACGCTGAAGGACAATTTTAACATCCTGCTATGGCACATGGACTGCAAAAACCATCAAAGTAATTGTAGTAATAGTCTGAGGAAGAGGATACTGATGGAATATAATCCCAATTTAAATGATATCCAGCTGAACATTGAGTGCATACATATCGAGTGCTACTATATACTGTACAGCCTTAATTCTCCACACATACTCCAGCAATCAAACTGAAACCTGAGTCGCATTTACCACACACATAGGCATTCCCATTTGAGTTTAATGAGTAACTCAAACATCCATCTGGCATATTTACGCATATTCTAAATTTATATTAAAATTCTCTACCCATTAAGCTATGTCCATCCTGGACTACAGGTTAAAGCCCCAGTTTAGTAATAATCTGTACACTGATAAAATCCTCCCTCTATTGGTTGACAAGGTTAGCACGATTGCCCAGCCCAATAGTAACCTTTTATTTAATATAGAATAATACCATTCATGCATTAATATGCTTGGCGGGTTGATTAACCAACTTTCATTGCACCGGTTGCCAAACAACTTAAATATGTACAATCTAGAGGGGGCGATGATTATCCCAAAACGCCTATTAGTAGAATTGAGGCAATGAGTACTTTGTTCATTATTATTAAAAAAATTATTAATCAAGATATATTTTATCCACTCCTTTAAAACTTCAATATTTCCATCCCCCCTCTCCTCTTACTTACTCCTCCAAATAGGTTTCATCTCAAAATCCATTCAGTATCAGTGCTCTTACTCTTGTTCCAAAATAAACTCTCCTGTATTAAATAACTGCACTTATTAAGCCCACTCCTTCATCGTATGCCATTTTTAATTCGATAGTAAATACTAATGAAAATTATTACTTATTAATATTCATATTCATATTTTCCAAAAATTTTAAATCATAATTTTATCTTACTAATTTTGTATTAATTATCATTTCTCAAATATAACTATCTAAGAATCAAATATTGTTTCATGTATAATAGTAGTAATTAATTAAAAAATGTTTTATAGAATAAAGACAGAAAAATAGAAAAATGAGTGTTAATTTTTCTATTTCTAGAAAAATTTGCGCTCTTTTTTTATTTCAGATGAGTGGCATCGATTTCGGAAAATTAGTACAATTTTGGGAAATTATATTTTTTGAGTTTATAGAATATTAAATAAAATTGTACCCCATAAATTCAACTTAAAACAAGATTTTTTATAAACACTTTTCATTCCGCTGAACAAATTTAGTAGCAAAGGTTGGTATTTGTTTTATTTACATTTTGTTTCGATAATTAGTCAATCAATATATAAACCGATTTTTAAATTTATTAATAATGTTCAGAGTTTAATTAAAAGAAAAAAATCAAATATAATTCTACTAAAATCACAATTACCAATCCGATTCTCTAATAGCATCATATCTTTTAATGAGCAGAACCATAAAGTGAATATATTACAGCTAGTTTTTGAGGTTAGCGTTAAAATGCTTTTGAAATTTCATTGGTTTCTGAATTAACATTTTATGTCTTCTAAATTTTACTAGATTATTTTTAAATATATAGTAACATACATGTATGATTCTTGTCCAGATATGTATATGAGAATTTTAGCAACAGATGAATAGATCTTACATAAAAATCAGAAAGTTTAAATTGGTTGCCTAAAGCAGTTCTTTTAAATTCTTTTTCTATTAATTTTATTTAGTTATTAGGAAAATATTCATTTTTTGTGTTTTTTTAACAATGAAAAATGAAAATTTTTTGTTTATTTCATCATCCTTGTAGGAATTTTGTAGTCAAAAGCCACAATTATTAATTAGCCAGGAAATTCAATTAAAAACCAAGTTGTATAAGCTACTTAATATGCTTGTTAAAATGGCTATTTTAATGGGTAGATTTGTAGCCAACGTCTATCGATGTAAAATGGATTTTGCACTTGTTCGAAGTAACTCAGGAGACTATCTTAATGGTTCTTAATGCAGCAGTTGCAACGATACTAATTGTCTTACTTGTACTGATGCAAGCACTTGTACCTCCTGTGCTCCTAATTATATGCTACTTAATAATGCTTGCACAAAATGTACTGGGTATTCTTATAAATGCACCTCCTGTTCTAATGGATACTGCAGTGGTTGTATCAGTAATTACTTGATACAATCAGATGGAACTTGTCTAAAGTGTCCTGATAATTGCACTCAAGGGTGTGCTAAAAATACATAAGCAAACACTAATCCTACTACTTGTTAAATTTGTCAAGATCAATATTATTTAACCAGTAGTGGATTATGTTCTAAATGTTAAAGTCCCTTTTTAAGGTGCAGCTATGATTCTAGTACTCAATAAGTACATCCAACTTATTGTGTGGATGGCTACTTTTTAGTTAACAGATCATGCATTAAAGCCTAAGATGAAAATACATGCTTCAAATTATACTAACCTAATGATGGAACTCAAGTCAACTCTTAATTATGCTAAGATTGTTGGCCATCTTATGTATAAAGTAATTAGATTTGTTATAAATGTTCTTATTGTGCTGACAATAGTTGCTCATTAGATCAAAATAATAAACCCATCTGCAGTTAATGTGTTAATTATTATTATAGTGATTCAAACTCCATTTGTTAGTAATGTGTTGCTAATTGTATTCAATGCAATGCTGCAGGAATTGAGAACTGTCAATAATGTGATATTGGATATTACAAGAGTTCAAATGCTTGCATTGCTTGTACTACTGATAATAACAATAAACCTACTTGTTTGAATTGCTCCAATGAAACCACTTGTTCTACTTGTTAAAATGGTTATTATGAATCTAATGGACAATGTTTAGCTTGTTAATATGGTTGCAGTCAATGTATATCTCCAGGTAATGTTTGCATCGCTTGTATTACTGGCTTTTATTTATAAAATGGAGGTTGTGTCAAAGATCTAGGAAATTGTTTAGAAAAATAATAGAACCAGAACAACGGTTGCTAAATATGTGCCTATGGGTTATATCCTATTAAGGGTTGGCTATCATAATCAGGTTAATCTTAAGTAGTTGATGCCTCTTGTTTCTAATGTGTCTATCCTTAAGCAGCAGTAAACATTAATTATTATCTAGTTTGTTTGTTGAGCTAACCCGTCAGACAACCAAGTTGCGAGTGCTTCTTACGGATCCGTTCCTTCCTTAAAAATTCAAATTATTTTAAAACTGCTGCTCCTTTAGGTTCAACAAGACAGACAAGTCCATAATGCAAACTTGGATCTTTTTGGACTCAATAAAGTTGTATGCCTTGTCCAACAGTAAGTAATGGAATCTGTAGCAATTGTAATAACTTTACAAGTTGCACTTAAATTTAATGTAATGTATAGTATCAATTAATTGCAATCAAAAATGTTTAATAATGTGCATAAATACCTACAGGATGTATTGAGATATAGTATTCTGATAAAATGATATCATTGGCATGCACCAAATGTAGTACTGGATATACTTTGATTGGTAATATTTGTATTTCAATTACTGGATGTTAGGCAGTTAATTAGAATAATGGAGCTTGTTCTTCATGTTTAAATGGATATTACTTTAATTGGGATTTCGTATTAACTAGTCCCAATACATCATTGTCAATTAATACTTATTACTATCAAACTTTCAATCCATTTTGTAGTAAATGCAATGCAGGTTGTGCCATATGTCCATCATATTAGACTTGTACTCAATGTTTACCTGGATACTTTTGGTATTAATCAACTCTAACAACAAATTCATATTCCTTTAAAACTTATACAATTACTTAAACAAATGACTCTGGTTAATGTGTTGCATGTCCTAAAAATTGCTAAACTTGTATAAGTGCAACAGTTTGCACAGCCTGCAATACCAATTTCACTGTAGATCCTAATTCAACAAATGGAGATTGCATATGCTCTTCGCCTCTTACTTACAATTAAGCCAATTAAAGTTGTATTCTACTACCTTCTGGTAATTCTACTTGTTCCTTTGGAGGATGCATCTAGTGTAATTCTGATAATACATAATGTCAAGCTTGTAGTCCTTAATATGCATTAACAGGTCCAGCTTCATGCACCTAATGTCTGAATTGCAACTAATGCTCTCTTTAAGCTGGAACATCAAATCCAACTTGTTTAGAATGTGCAGATGGATATTATAAAGTTTAAGCATATGATGGAGCTCCTATAACCTGTTAATTATGTTCACAATCCTTGAATAATTCTTTAAGATGTTAAGGTGTCTTAGAAAATCAAACTCAATTGACCGCTATTTAATGTGCAGATAACTACTTTTTATTTGGAAATGCTTGTAATTAAGCTGGAAACACAAATTGCTTCACAATTTCCAATACCAACAGTCAATCTTGTCAATAATGTCTTCCTGGATACACATTGTATGGAAATAATTGCGATCAATGTAATACTAAGATTCTTAATTGTTTGACTTTTATTTCCAACTCAGATCAAAGTGCATTAATCTGCCAAACATGCATAAATGGATATGTTTTAAATACTAATACAAACTCCTGTTAATAATGTCCCTCTGGATGTTAGACCTGCACTGTTACTGGCACTGTTGCTCTCTATACACTTTCTTGTAGTACTTGTGCTGATGGAAACTATATTGACAGTAATGGAAATTGTTGGGGATGTCCTTTTGATTGCAAATCATGCGACTCAAAATATGTAATAAATTCATTCTCTATCATTTAGAATTGTAATACTTGTAAGGATGGGTATTATTTAATACAATCTTCAGTAACATTCAGCACCAAATCATATATATTTAAACCTTGTTATCCTTGTCAAAATAACTGTGCAACTTGTACAGGACCCACTGGAAATAATTTGTTAAACTTGCAAAACTGGATTTGTTCTTCAAAATGGAGGCTGCATTGATTTAACTTTGAAAATGCAAAATGATCAAAATACTTATAGTTTAGCTAATTGTTACACCTCTGATTCCACTGGTTGTACAATATGCTTAGCTGGATTTTTCTTAGATTCCTAACGGGTTTGTCAAGAATGTGTTTCTCCTTACAATAATGTATTCATTTTCTCATTATGTTTTAGTTTGTCTGTGGCATTAAGGCAGTATCTCCGACTACACCTTCTGATAATAATGGCTAAACTGATACAAATAATCCAAGGCAAAATACAACTACAAACTAAATTGAGATAGGGTACAATCCAATCTAGCCAAGCAGTCCAAGTTAAATATTAGTAGCAATGCTAATTTTTATGATATAATGAGAAATTAAAAAAATAAGATATAATATTTATAGTTATTTTTGGTAATATGCTATAGTAACAATAAAAATTAAGATTGATATTAATTTCTTATTCATTATGTGTATGAACAAATTAATTTGGAAATTATAAATTTTGAATTCAATATAATTTAGGATTTATAAAAACAAAGTAAATGATAGAAATCTTTAAGCAAAAAATAAATAATCTAAATTCAAGGACTCAGAACTACGATCTATTTAGATTTCTCCATCTAATCCACACAACTCCTTATAAATATCAATTATTTTTATTATCAGATTTTGATGAAAATAATCTGCTGATTATCTTAGCCTATGGTTTTCTCTAAAGAAACGATCGGCCTTTACTCTAAGAGAATCCTTACTGAGTTCCTTAATTTGGAGAATGAATTTAAGGTAATACATCTTGAGATTCAGCATTATTTAACTTATACTAAATTTTGCCTTGTATTTGTTAGCCTCCAGACTCTCGCATAGTTTCTTGAGCGGTCTTTGATTTTCTCATTTGAGAATCCTCTGGTTGAGCATATAATATTTCATTTCCTGGTATAGTCTGTTTTGATGAGTTAGTTCTGATGGCTGTTTCTTGTTATGAGATGGGTCCATAGCCGTAAGGAATGTTTTAGGCTTATGATAATTTAGATTGGATTTGAGGGAGAAATGCAGTGGAATTACTTTTTCTCAAAAGGTCGTTTAAATTCTAACGATTATTGAAACGATCAGATTCAAGCAGAGACTTTTTGTAGCTGGGAAAGTCCATTTGATCGGATGATAGTCTCACATTATCTTATTCATTCTGTTTGGTGTGAAATTGGACTCTCACAGCAGAATCGGCAGTATTGGAGGAGCCTTCAATTTTAGATCTAAGCACACGTGAACCCACTATATTTTTTTGTATAGGTTTTGGAGGTTATGCTTCTTTTTATGAATATATGTGAATGAATTCATCACGAATGTCAGTTTCCTTAATTCGTTTGATCTATTCTTGATAAGTAACTTTATTGCGTGATTCATAGAGTTACGGAGGAGATTGTGGCTTTTAACTAAAACCTTTGATAACTTTGACAGGAGAACTAGATATAGGATGAGTTGGTACGTGATTTTTGGTGGCTACGCATTTGGCTTGTTCTGAATAATTTACCCATTATTTCGTTTGCCAAGACTCTACTGAGATTCATGTTGAGTAAGACGAGTTTAAGCAGGTTTAAAAGTGTATTCCATTTATGGTCTTCCTGATCCCTTAGAACTAGTTATAGAGTTTTTCAGACTGGATTGGTTGGGATTGAAAAAAGTGGCTGTTTATTTGAATGCATCCTAAAGTCTGGAATCATCAAAACAGTCCTAATATTCATATTGATTCATTATTTTAAATTATATATATAAATGTTTAGAATAAAAATAGTTGTGAAGCAAACTCGGAGATTTTATTTAATATGAAATAAAATTACTTCATACTGAAAAAAGAACAAAATTTGCTATAACCCTAATTAAATCATTAAATTCTCAGAATCTATTATCAAAACAAGGTATGAACTCTAGGATCTTCATTAATCTATCAACTGTAAATTAAAAAGTATTATAGAGGATAGTTCAATCAACCATTTTATTTTCTAAATGAATTTCTATAAATTTCAGTAAAGTATTAATTATGTTTTTAATTTATGAACAATTCCTAATTTATAGTAAAAACAATTTATTTATTCTCTCATTAAGAAGTATTTTAAAAGTAATTCCTCTTTATATATCAAGAATTTTGTAATTATTTTAGAATAATCCCTAAAACAAAATGAATAAATTTGTCTTATGATAATTTATCATTAAGCTTTCATTTGTTATAGATATAATTGTTATATTATAATTGGGATTGCTATTTTTTGATATATTAATTTGAATTAAATAAAGACCCAAACTTTAAAAACTCTTTATGTAGTGTTAATTTATTTCTCAATATATTTTTTGGTATCTAAATTGTGATTTTATCTTGAACAATACTATTTCCACCCTTTGAATATTTATTAACTTATTTAAATTCATTCTTAAAGGTAGATATTATTTACAAGGTTTATTTAGTTCCTTATTTCCAAAATAATTTAAGTGATTATGTTAGAATTTCCATACACAGTATTGAATTCTCACTTTCTTATTAAGAAATCAAAAAACAATAATTTATTATCGAAATGAAAAGTTTAGGGTACAACCAACTTCAACTGAGTCAGAAGATTATCAAAACAGAAGGGGATGATTCTGAAATGCTTTTGCCAGAATCGGATAAAGACGAACTAGGATAAATATTAAATACAGAAGAAAGCAGAGGAAAGCCAATGAAAGAACTTAGATTTAGTCTCAAAAATCAAGTTTGGATATTTGATAGGAATCAAAAAAGACATCAATCATACAAATCACCTTCTCCGGTAGGAACCAAATCTTCGCCTTCCATTTTAAAAAATAAAAATGCAATAACGAAATAATAAAATCATGACCATATTATTTAAACTAATTAACCACAATGAATCTTAGGATTAAATCTAAATGCTAAACCCTATCTTCAGGAAACTAAATGTATTTTTATATAAAACATAAAATTGAATTTTAGACTATTAATGTGCGAATTGATTAATAAAATAATTAATAATTGTCTCTCAATATATTTAACAGTTCAAAATCAATTCGATTTTTTTAATTATTTTCTCAATAACACTTACTACACCTCAATTTGCATACAATTTTGATCTATTTTATCCTTGTTCTTTTTGAAAATTGCTGAAGCCTGAAATTCAGATCGAAACTCATTCTAAAATAAATAGAATATCTCATTATTACTTGATGCAAGGATATTAATAATTAAGCCAATAAATTTGGCTTTATGTTCTCCTTTAATTGCTCCCACAATAAGTCTATTTTTGAAGCTTCATTTTAAATAGCTTTAATTTCTTCTTTGATTTTTTTAAATGAACTAAAATAGCAAACAATTCGTACTCTGTTATGTTTTATTTTGATAACCCTATCTTTAATTTAATTCTCTCATTATTAATATAGTTCTCAGGTTTCATCTCGATATTTCTCAAAATATCTCTTAGAAATTCCGAGACATTTCTAAAATGCTTTGAATACAATAATACTTCTAATTTTAAGAGAAGAAATCTCGATCGTCTAGAATACTGAACAAATATTTTGCTTGCAATGGCAACGAAACATCCAAAATTGAATATGAATGTGCTTTTGCTGCATCTATTCTCTCTTGTTTATTGGAAGATGTTCTGTATTTCAATGCATCCAATAGAATTTCAATTTCAGTATCATCCTTCCCTTGTGTCATACATTCTTCTAATCTTTCAAATAATTTCTACTGCTAATTTAAAAATGCTTAGAACTAAATCATTTGAAGAATATGTACTTTATCCTGTTGTCTATTATAAGTTTCAATTGATTTTTATAAACTGTTACATTGTTATCTCAATTTATCATTTTCATCCTGCAAATCTTTAACTCTAATCTCTAAGAGTTCATAATAAATCTTCTTGCGAGCCCTTGAATTTCTTGCAGATTCTCTATTCCTCACCTACTTGAGTCTGTTTGGGTCTAAATTGCCATAATTAATTGAATCTGGAATTTCAGAAGATGATTGATCACTATGTTCAACAGGTACATTTAGTTGTTATTCATTTTTCCTTTCCATTTTCTGCTAACTTCTTCTAAATCAAATCAATAAATATGATTACGATTATCTTATTTTTTTAGTTACAATCAATTAATTATTAGCATCTTTCTTAACGAGATTTTATATTTTATTTGAGTAAATGCAATTTGTTTAGGCTATAATTTCAGATTGTAATTATTCATTTAACTTATTTTAGTGTTTTTTCGTACATTTTCCTAACAACAATTAATTAACAATTTACTTTTATTCTGATTTCTCTGATCATTTTAGCTTCCATCTCTTGAATTATCCCCATCGCTTCCACTTCTTGGTTAACCTTCGAATGAACTGTTGTTTTTAATTTGTAATCTATCCATTCGTTAATTTTCATATTAAATGACTCTGGACATTTAGTCAGTTCTTTGGTCAACGTCTTCAAAAATCTAAATTTTGGGAAGTTACTATTCCAGATGGATTTAAGTAGACGGGTCAAGCTAAGCAAAAAATACTATATTCTAATTGACTTCGCATGATCTAAAATACTTGTATAGTTGGTTACTCATTGAAAAAATATTAAAGAATCGCTCATCTATTATTAGTATTAAATTAAATAACATTTTGTCAATTATTTAATCCAAACGCTATCACAAGATGATTGTAAATAATAGATTTTTTAGTTTTATATTTTTCAGTATTTGCGTAAGATTAATTAAATTTAACATCATTTAATTAAAATGACAACATATTCACATAATTAAGAAATTAATTAATTTTGAATTAATTAAATTAAACAATTCTTAACATTTATCGTTCGCTTATCATCAATGTTATTCACAAAAAATCCCAGCAAATCATAAACCCTTATTATGGATGAAGAATAACCATATATTTCTAATTTTCTAAAATTGAATTTAAAACGTTAAATAGCTTTTATCACGAGTTGATAATTAATTAAGATAAATTATCTATCTCCTTTTAATTGATATTTATTATTTACTTAAGTTCTTGTTATAATTTAACAATTGTAATTTCAAAAAAGAATAATGTCAAAAACCATTATCTAACCTCTTTTAGATAATGAGAGAATAAAGACTACGGAAAATATTCTAGTTATAGATTACGATCTCTAATATTATAGATATTAAGAATAAAGTAATAAGGGATCAAGATTAATAAAAAATTTATTAATCATAATATTTTTATGCACTATATTAAATGCTCTATCTAAAAATAAATTTAATATTTCTTCTCATTTTATCCATATTACTATCAAATTTATTCATCTAATGAATTAAAATTTGAATAGATATTTTTGTAGTTTTATAATGCGATAAAATTTATAGTTTCTTTATAATTTAAAAAAGAATGTTATTTTAGATGCATTTTTAAGATGGGCTATCGATAATTAATGATCAGCTGATTTTCTTTAAAACTATTATTCAGATTAATTTTCTGAATTGTTTATATGATATTAATAAGATGAATATATGAAAAATTATAAATAAAGTCATCCTCAATAAATAATCTTCCAATTTTAATTTATAAAGACTAATTGTATAGATATATATTTGCTTCACAAATGAGAATTTAATGAGGAAAATTAAAGAATATAGTATTTGTAATTATATACTCCTTTTATTTGTTGAATAATTTCTACTCAGTAATTGCAGTCCAATCATTATGATTGCTTAACATTATCAACTTTAAATTTGAATAAATTATCCCGGGACTATTTGTTTTATTCAAAATTATTGCTTAGATTATGTTAGTTTGAAGTAGTTATATACTGTTGATGGAGATTATGAGTATAATTATAAATTAATTTTTTTGGTATTAAAGTATTATGAAACTTATCATTAGATATTTGATAGGATATTGATTTAATGTAAAGCAATGCAACCGAATAATTGAATTGAGAATAGTTTAGAGAACTATGTGTATAGTTTATATTTCAAACAATATTTCATTCATCCCATTCGCCTAACATTCCCTTCCTTAGCTTTAGGATTAAGCAACTATCGTTTGGAACAGCTTAGTCTTACAGATTGGCTTTGTCATCTAATAGCTAGTTTTAGATGTATGTACTCTCTTACTCTATCTCCTAAATAGATTCTCATGTCCTGGATTTCCTATTTGTAGTAAGGTAGCAATTTCCTTTTCAATATTTCCACTGGATCAAGCAGTGAGCATTCGAAAAAGAATACTCTATTTTCTCTTTTAATTCTCAAATATATTTTTAATGGTTCCATGTGAATTATTAAAATAAATAAATTATGAAGATCGCAAAAGTGGTTGAATGGAAACCCATATACATAGATCAGAAGCTTATGGAGAAGTTGCTGCAACCATTTTCGTAGATAAATCATTTGAGTCAAGGGAAGAAGAAGTCAGTCAATAAAGTTTAAACATCATCCTTTGCTTATAATTCTATGTTAATTTAAGACATCAATTGTATCAGCGAGTTGGAACAATTGAATGAAAAAATAGTAGAAAGACTTTGTAGGGATATGAATAAGTGTGATTAATTTTATAATGTACATCAATAGCAAATATAAGTGAAATTAAGAAAGTTGATATATAACATTTTCATTTATCAAGATCTGCAGAAGGTGGACGACATTAAATCGAAATTGTACATCCTGAAGCAATATTCAGAGATGCTGTTTTTAGAATGCAACTTATTGGAGCAATTCGCGCAGTTTAATGACATTGTTATTAAAAAGGTTCTGAAGAAGTACAAAAAGTAAGTATTCATCCAAGATTCCTAATACAATTTACAGAGGATGCAGAGCATATATAATGAGTTATAAATATTCAATAATCGTCAGGAGATTCAAAAGATACAAGTCAAATTAAAGTTGCTTTACTCGCGTTGTCTATCATCTAAATAGAAGAATTAGAATATTCGGAAACTTAAATACCATAATATTTACAAGGGATTTACAAGAAAGGAGCAATTATTAATTGGCTTATATTTGGGTGGTTCTTTTTGCTTATTGTTATACATCATGTCGAAGAGAAACTAGTTAAATAACAACTTTTACTAGAAGTATGAAATCCAAATATAAATAGTCAATTTTATTATGATTTATACTTTCCCATGTTCAGAGGAATTGGGTTAATGATTTTATATTATTGGTCACTCATATTTTGTGTATATTGTTGGATTAAAGGCAATGTTGGATATAGATCAATATTTAATTTCAAATATCATAGCTCGTCAATTAACTAATTGATCAAAAGAGCCGCCTTCATAACATTAGTGTATTTTGCAGTGTTGATCATCAGTTTGTAAAAGGAACTCTACCTAGAAGAGGAAAAAGATATCAATAAATATCTCTTAGATTACATAACAGATAAAATAGCATATGATCCTGCAATAGGTCCATTGATAATATGGATTATTATGATAATCTATATGGTTTGGCCTTCAAAAAAGTACCTGAATGCTAAAGGGAGAAAATACTTCTGGAGGATTGTATATACAAGTATGTTGGCAGGGTTTTTTGACTGCCCCTTTGTTAACGGTTGGGCAACAGACTAATTGCTATCATTGGTGTTGATGCTTAAGGATTTTGGTTATACAGTGTGCTTCTATTTTGAATACTTCAAGAATATAAGTGATTATGATTCTTAAGCTACTTGTGGTGATCCTAAAAATCTGCAGATAGGTTTAATTGTCTGTTTGGTTCCTATTTTCTTGAGATTTGTTCAGTTAGGGAGATGTTTCTATGATGCAGGGAAAATAACTAGAGATGACTTCTTTGTCGTTCTAATATATGTGGAAGTCACGATGGTAAATGTGTTCTCATATTTATCGTAATTTGGATAGATTTACTTTATAATGTGGATAATCTCTTTCTGCACACTTGCTTGTCATGCTTATTTTTGGGATGTTAAGAAGGATTGGGGTTTGTTTTAACCTAACACAAAACATAACAAACTTAGAAATCAATTAGCATTTAAATCTATCTTCTATTATATTGCTATAGTTTTGGAATTCTTTCTTCGTTTTGCTTGGATTCTTTCGATATCACCTAATATGGCATCAATCATCCACGTTTGGTCGCCATTCTTCTCCTTAATCATGGCCATTTTTGAGTTGTGTAGAAGGACAGTTTGGAATATATTTAGAATTGAGAATGTTCACATTTAGAATATGGGAGATTTTAAGGCAGTTTATCCAGTCTAACTGCCATTTGAATCGTTGATTGACTAATAGTCTTATACGAACATTAAAGAATTGAGAAAAACACAGATAGATCCAATCAATATTTCATTGTTGGGTGGATAATAGAATTAATAATCTGTCGCAGGGTAATACTTTTAAATTAGGAACTCATTGAGATCAGATTCAATCGAAGATGAATCAAAATTAAATTAATTGTAACAGTAAGAGTAGGATTTAATTGCTGAAACTATGTTTGAGGATAGAAAGAGAGAAAGTATTTTAACTATGCGATATTCTCAATTTAAGTTTGATCATCAAAATGAGAAATAGACACTGAGTAAACAAGAATTACTAAGAGATCTGTCCGCAATTCAGGAGTTGATCAAAAAGATGAATTGAGTATATCAATTATTTAAATTATAATCTGTTAAACATACTTGATGAGAACAATTCAATTTAAATGACTATTAATTATTATAACTAACAATTTTCAATGATCCTTGAACATGGGGGATGAAAACAAAGTCTTTTAGTATTATTCTTTTCTTTCGTCTCCTTAATATACATAACGCATTTTAGTTTCTTGTATTTCTTTTTCATCATCATAATCGCTAAGATGTTATTAATCATCACACATATTTATTTAGTGGACTGAGTCTTTGATATCCTCACTATCCTACAAATTCATAATGTCCTCTCTGACACAGGTATCAGGAACTTCAAAATTAATTTAATTTAAACTTTATGAATCCTATCTCTTTGTATCTGGCGTCTCGGCTGCTACTTTTTAATGGCCCTGCAGTATCTATTGATAAAACCTAAAATTGGGTAATGTAAATAGATAAAATAAATATACTATTGAGTATTAGATTGGCTATTAGAAATTCTATTAAGGAATGATTTAAACTTCTCACTTCTAGCTGGGGAAATTGCAGTCGTTTCCTTCTTGATCTAAATGTTGGGTTCTTGGGAGTCCTCGTTTTCGAAAAGAGTTCTGAAAGTACTTTTTTATTTTTGAAATGCTTCCTTTGGTACAGTCTCATTTTGATTATTAGCAAGAGCCATAAATTCTTAATCTTGATTGGGGTTTATTCTTTAAACAGATTCTTTAGTTTGCCCAGAAGCAGGACTATGAGGAGCAGATTTTTAAGAATCATGAGACATGTTGAGTGATTCCTCCAGTATATCAGCATGAGATCCCTTATAAGATTATAATATCATGATGGCTTATTATTTGGAAGCCTTGTCATCCTCATTACAAATGGCTTACTTATTTTTTTCCATTTCCAAGGCATTCATAAATATTTCTTTATTTTCAAATGAAACATAAAGATTGTTGCTGTGAGATTAAAATTAGGGAATCATTTTCTAGGTGTCCTTTACATTTTAGTTGATCTCTGTTTTGTCATTGAAGTAGGAGCAGAAGTTTTGTGATTTAGCATCTGAATTCTTCTTTTAGTTGCTGAAATCAGTTTTGATTCTTTAACTAATTGATTCCTCACTCTTTTTAGGAGGAGTAGGTTGGGTTCTGATGGGTTGAGTAATATTTAATTACTAAATGTTTGAAATCAAGGGCATCGCAGATTCAACAACCTCAAAACTATGTATACTTTAATACAATACTTCTATGCAATTAAAGATAAGGTGGCTTGAATATCCATAGACCCCATCGAGTAGAGTTAAATGTATTGGTGCTGAATCTCCTATTGAAACTCACCAAACTTAGAGAATTTAGCATGATGTTGATTCATAACCTCTCTGAATACTGTCATATCCATATTCTCCAACACTCTTTTCCAATTGCTCTCGATCTCTGTTTAGATCTTTTTATTGTCTAGTTAGTTGGTAGTTAATTATTGGATTAGTTTAGTAATAAAGGATAATGTTTATTATTTTGAATTGGATAATTAGTTCATACTTCTCTGATATATCTCTTCCAAAAACAATGACAACTATTATTTTGCTTCCTAACACATCTTCATTTATTTGTCATAGTAATTTTGAAGTTTATTCCCTTAGCTTGATAACTAATTAAGTAAGTCTTGTCTATTGTTTTACATTTAATATAATAAGGCTAAGAAGACCTTCATTTCCCTTTCTTTGAATTAGATGTCCATAGAAGATGACTACCTTTGAGTTGAATCTAAGGAACTCTATTGAAAGGAAAAGGTTTAAGAATCAATTGTAGATTGCTTTAGTTATGCGATTTCAGTAAAGAACATGCCTTTGCCAGCCAATTTGACAGCGCATTTAGAACAAAAAAAGAGATAGTCATTGCCCTCCTCTGTCACATATTTAGCCTTCTTATCTTTATGATAGATACAAAATCTCTGAGATTGTTAAGGAGGCTTTGCAAATGGAGATAGAGTTTTAACTCCAAATTGTAAATGCATTCCAATACTATCTCCAATCTATCATTTAATAATAGATAGTACACTTGATGCTTGCTCAGAATTACTAAAAGCACTTGGCGATCCTAAATTAAGGATATGGGATTGATTTTCTTTGTCAAATTACATTATTTTCATACATTACAATTATTCTTCAACAACAGATTTACTTTTGCTATGCTCTGTATTTTATGAAGTAGTAGTAAACCTTTTCGGAGTTGGAGTAATTGGGGCAGGTTCAGATCTCTTTTATTCTTGCAGAGATTGTTGATGATGGTTTCTAGATCCATAAGAGAGTGAGTTTGTTGAACTATGTCCTTTAAGTTTTTGCTATTAAATCTACTATTAGATGGATAAATAAGGACCGAAATGGCTATTTTTTTATTTTTAATTGCTTCCATTTCCTTTAGGGGATGATACATCTGTTTCTAATGATGATACATATATTGTACTAAAATGATTTGAAAGTAATTAAGCTACACTCTCTTTGATATCTAAAGGAGAATGAGATTTAAATGAATGCTTAGTAGTAATCGGTGTGAAAATAAGTTGCTAGTCTTGAGATTATTGCTTTTTAGATAATAAATGATTCATATCAGAATCTGGCTTAGTATTTTTGAGTAATTATCTTATGGCATCTGAATTTGGAGAGTAATCTCTTTTTTTATTAGGGTGATTAATGGCTGATAATTTTTCCTAAATAGACTCAATATGTGAATTGCTTTTATTTTAAAGTGACATATTGGATTTATGATTGGACTATTGAGGTTTCTATGATGGCTTCGTGCAATAATTTTATTATTATGGTGGTGATTGTCTGTTATCAATTCCTTCATTGTTTTTTCGCTCAAAACAATTGACATGCAATTAAACTGGAATGAGTTGCTGAAGCTTATTTTTATCAGGCAACTTGGAAAGTTAGGAAGCTATAAATTGCTAAGTTTGAGATGTCTTAGTTTGATGTGATACTTGCTAATTCATTGTTTTAATATATTTTAACAACGATAATTCAAATTCAAATTTAATATAAATAGTTAGGGTTCATTTACACTCATCATTAAATTAAAATTAATTAACTTCTATATGCTTCTTATTTGAAGACAACTTACCACTACCTATTTCATTTGTTTCTTCAGGTATACAATTGGGATCATCCTATGGAGTTTTGTGTTAGTCATACTATTTCATTGTTGGCGTAGATTGTGTTTTATTGATATTGTGTAATGAAAATTAAGAACGTAACTTCCTCATTTCCTTTCGCTTTTGAATACTAGACTCTTATGCACTCATTCCTGCCTCGATTTGCTATTGAATAGATGTTTAATTTTTAATTACCTACGATATTCGTCTTTCCTGCTTTTTAAATTGACTAGCTATTTCCTTTGCTCTGCCTTCTGTTTAAATTATGATTTATTCTTCAATGACTTAATTTTGAATCTCCTTAATTTTCTCTTCCTTCTCTTATTCTATTATATTTTTTTAATGAGTGTTTTCTTCTTCCTCTTCCTCCCCACTGTGACTGCTCTCTGTATTTTTTATTATTTTACTAAAGCTTTAACTATTGGGATTCTTGTTAATTGTGGATCCACATTAAAAAAATTTATCTACTACAGGTTCTTAAAAACTAAATGAAAGTATATTATTGTCTGGCTTTTTGGAGGTCTTGGGTTTATTCATAAATGAATATGAAGGTTACACAACATTTATTTTTGGCACTTCGATTTTTTTCTTTTCTGGAGGTGTACTCTGTTTCGCTTATTCAGAAGGCTATAAAATGGATGGGTTAGTAAATATGTTTTTTAACTTTATTTCAAAGTACTCATGGGCTTTGTCTTCGCATTCTTTGTAAAACTCTACCCCTTACTTTTGTTTTTAAAATGTATTTTTACCATGTACAACTAAATCAAATTTTTAAGAGCTTCGTTATTGGAGTAATTGCTGAGTACTAATACGATGTCGTTATTTAATATCTACGAGGCGAAGTCGTCAGGCAGTGCTTTACTTTGCTCATGAAATTATCACGAAATAATACTTGGCACTTTGAATTCACTTTGACTTGTGGTTCGAAACTACGATAGGAACAGCAAATGATACCATCTTGGAGAGAAGTTATGACATATGTGAATTTTATATATTTTAATTATTAATATATATTTCTATAAATTATGATTTTTTAAACATATCATTACACATCAAGCTTGTTTTTATTTTCGAACATTTTTTCATATACCTATTCATCGTTACACAATTTTCTTCTTAGGATGGTCTAAAAGGATATTACATTATCTTACTGTTTCAATAAATGGATTAAATTTGGAGAAATGAGATCTGCATTAACAAGCATTTCTTGTTTAAATTTCCTCTGCCATCATTTTAAATACACGATTTAACTTTTTATGAACAGTTGTTTTAAAAAGGTCATGATGCAATCTAACAAATTACAAGAACTTGTAATGTTCTTCATTTGACCAGTGACCTAAATATTGGATGAAACATCATACCTCTCTATTTTTTCACTTTTTTCTTTGATTCTGGATCAACCTTCAAATTTGTTTGTTCAATTGTATTTTAAGTCTTCATCCTCTCCAAACTTTAAATATCCACATAATTTTAGATATCACTCACTTAGTGTAGATTGTTGGCCTATGTATTGTGCAAATCTTATTATGGAAGGCTTTAATATTCGACTTGGTAGGACATAATTTATTGCTACTGGTTGTTCATCTAATACCAATAAGGAAGTTAATTATATTGGTAATATTGCCAATAGTCTATTTTAGATTTATGGATGCTTACTATTTTATTGTGCATTCGGATAGTAAGAGTAATATGGATTCATAATCAATGTTTAAAGAGAAATGTTTTTTCTAAAAAAACTTAATAATCTAGAATACGTAAAATTAATTAGGATTTATATACAATATTACCGGACAAATCCCCTGAATTTGCCAAAACATTCAAAATATTATATAATATTAAAAGAAAATCAAATTCAAGGAATTCTAGCAGTCTGATTCATGTTATTTGTCCTAACAGTAGATGTATTTTTGACTTCATATACAGTTTGGGTAACAGTTGGTTGTGTTTGTTGCCTTTTTTTAATCGATTGCAATTCTGCCTCAGCCAGAGCCAATTTTTCTTATACTTCAAAGTATTTCTTATTTTACTCTTCAAACTTCTTTTTCCATTGATTTGCCTCCTATTTTGAAATATATCATATATATATACATTAACATAATGAGTTACATAAGTCTCCGTTTTTGATTGGGATGACTATTAATTTTATAAAATAGTTTCCATTTCTTCATTTTTTTCATTCAGCTCTTTAATTTACTGATCCTTTTCTAAAAATGTTCTTTACACTTTCCTTAATTCCAACTCTAATTTAGCAATCTAATCCTTGTATTATTGTGCTTTATTATCTTGATTCAATTGAACTTACAACTGTAATTGATTGTGCTCTTAATATAAATTTTCGTAATCTTGACTACTTTACTTTAGTTTGAGTTGCAATTATTCAATTTGTTATTATTATAAATTGATTTTATTCTAAAATTCTGTAGGATTGATAATTTTAGTTTTGAGTAATCCATTTTCTCTATTGAGATTATCAATCACTTATCTCAATCTACTCATCTCAGTATTCAATTGAGTTAATCGACTGTCCTTCTCTAATGATTCGGTTTCAATATCCTAGAATCTTCCCTTCCATCTTTCCATCTCATTATTCTTCTATTCATTCAACACATTAACTCTTTCAACCTCTGTGGTCATCAAAGCTAATTTGCTCTGCAATTCCCTAATTTGCTATTCCTTAGTTTTTTGTATCACACTACTTTCTTCATTGAATCCAAAAATCTTAAATTCAAGATCCTTATATTTCTTTTGCCACTCCAACACCAAATCCTTTTGCATTTTAATTTCATGATTCAAAATGATATTAGTCTCTTGTAGATCTACAATATAAGAATATTAATTACCTCTCTTAGTATTGGCTAATTCTTGTTCTACTCCATATTAAAATCTCACCTCCGCTTCAAAATCAGCGTATCTCTTTTTCCAAATATCAATTTCTTGTTACAACTCAAAAGCAATTTTCATATATTTTTGTATCTCATCTCTCAGTTGATTAATTCTAGTAACATCCTCTCCAATTGATATTTTCTCAGTTGCTTGAACACTTCTAAGCCTAATGTTCTCCATCTATAAACTATTCAATTGATTTTCTAATTTTTAGATCTGTTCTTAATATGCCTTGTCCAATTCCTCTCTCTTAATCACTTGAACTGGATGCTCACTAATATGTATCTCTTCGATTGTGGGTCTGACAGGCAATTAGATGGGTTGCACTGAAGTTAATTGTGGTCTAATATATGGCGATTGATTAATGTATGAAGGTATTGGCTTTTAAGGTGAAATCAATTAAGGTTGCAAGATCTGTGGTCTTATGGGAGAAACAAATGAATTCACATTGTTTGGAGATGTAGTGTATGCCATAGTTTATTGTTCTGGTGAAGCATATGGTTTTGATGGTGATTCATAGGTCTTCATTCCTGTCATTGGAGTTAGATGATGCAAATGTTAATCATTGCCTGAGGGCATGTACTATTGTTGTTTCTAATCAGAGTTTCTATAGAGTGTAGGTCGTTGTTCAGTTGTTATGCTATCGTACATTAGTATTTTATTTGTTAAATAAATTTTTATTTCTAAAAAATTAAAAGAACTCATATTTATAATGAAAAAATCGAGCGATCTGACTATTGTAAATATTTTATATTGACTCCATTAGAAAACTACAAACGAATCTGAATCTCGGAAATTTAATAGCTTCAATCCTAAAACTCCCTTGTAGGGTACCTTTAATCGTACTCATATTCGACATCCAATCAAGGAGTATTTTCCAAATAAATAACACGCTCAACACACTCAACATACTCAACATACCTCAATTCAAAATACTCAACCAAGCATTAAGTCTCCGCCCAATTCCAAACCTATAAGTCTTGCTAATGCTTGTACTAATTTTGATTTAATTTAGTATCTCTTCTGTCGAAGGATGAAACTAACCCTACTAGTAGACGCAATAGTCGTAGATTACATACAAATCAATTGAAGAATATTTTGGCATAAGAAAAGGTCTCCCTTGATAGTGTTCGTAATCAAATTCAATTAATCTTAAGGTTTCAGCACTCAATTTTAAAATCCGTAGCCTATCATCTAATTATTCACATAATATAATTCACCAAAAAAGAGTTTAAAAACTAGTCCAGATAATAAGCATCCCATTATCCAGGAGACATTCAAAAATCGTATATCTCATAAATTGTCAGGACATATGTAGGAAAAATTGGAACAGATTCCTTAAATTACTTCTGATTCTGTTAGATAGAGAATATCAACCTTGAAACAAAAATTACGAGGGAATATTTAGCAGAGATATTATAAGTTCAATAACAACTTTACAATTCAAAATCCCAACTCGTTCAAAGAAGATATAGAGTACAAATTTGTAAAATAGCCTAAACCACAATTACCATAATCCCCTCCTGTTGTCTTAGAACACTATTAATCATAATTGACTGAATTTGAAAAGAACGAAATTAAAGATATTGAAAGCATCTATTATTTGAGACCTGAAAATATAACATTCCCTCAAGAAACTGAATTCAACAATGGATTCGACACAGACAAGTATCATTAATATTAATATCAAATAGAGGCGATTACATATTTAGAGAACATGATCATATCATTTATCGTTATGAAATGTTAGAATAATTAGGACATGGCAGTTTTGGATATGTGTTTAAAGTTTTGGATCACAAACATTCGTAAACTGTTGCTTTAAAAATTATCAAGAATAAGGAAAAGTTTCAAAAACAAGCATATATTGAAATTGAAATTCTGAAGATGGTCAATAAAGCAGATAATAGTTGTTGCCTCATCAAAATGCTAAATTATTTTGTTTTTCGAAATCACGTAGTATGATAGTCATCATTATTAGAGTGTATGGTATTTGAATTATTGAGTTGCAATCTTTATGAATTCTTGGCAATTAATGAATTCTAAGGATTTGAACTTGATTTGGTCAGAAGATTCGCCATATAAATATTGTAGGCACTTTTGTACCTATCGGAATGTAATATTATACATTGCGATCTCAAACCTGAAAACATTCTATTAAAGGATATCACAAGATCAGGTATCAAAATAATTGACTTTGGATCTAGTTGCTTCATTAATTCTAAATTATACACCTACATTTAGGTAAATGATACAAAATATCAAATCTAGAGTAGATTTTATAGAGCCCCTGAGATTTTACTTGGTATACCCTACACAACATAAATTGATATGTGGAGTTTTGGATGCATTGTTGCTGAACTATTCCTTGGGAACTCATTATTTCAGTCGAAATCCGAAAAAGAATTGTTATTTCTCTAAGTTTCAATTCTTGGGAAACCATCAAATCAATTTTTAGATTATTGTCCTAAGAAACACAAATTTTTCAATGCTAATTATGAACTTCTTACAAAAATCAAAGATACTGAGTTGGTATTTCCCCTCAAACCCTTGAAAGAGCTTCTCTAAACAGGATCGCCTGTCTTTTATGATGTATTATATGAGGTTATTATTTAAGTTCATAAACAAATGTTTGTAATGGGATCCAAATATGAGAATGAAAGCAGCAGAAGCTTTAATGCATCCTTGGATTATTGAAGGTTTGCCTAATGAAATTAAGTAATATTTGATGATAACCTTAGAAAATAACACGTCCAGCAGATGAAGCTCTACATACAATAAAAGAACTAGGATTTGCAGGGATAGGGTATCCAAATAAAATGATTAAATATCTAAAATACTTCTATATAAATATATTTTATGAGCGTTCCTGAAATATTTCTAGAATGATCTTTAGATCCAAATGTAAAAGTAGATAATAAATATGTTAGAATTATTGAAAATACAAATTCTAAAATAAATAAAAAATGTATTCCCTAAGGTTTGTCCTGAGGTAACAACATGTGAATAACATGCCATAATACCCTGGGAGTAGGAATTTAGAGATCGAGCTGAAATGAGGAGTCAAAGCCGGTGAAGACTGTCTCGACTCATGAAAGCTCGTTGCTTTGGGATGGCACATTAACATAAACGAGATATGTACTACGTCTTGTATTAGGATTGCTCGTATCATAATTGATACTATCATCCCTTCTGGTATTCTCATTCTTTTTCTTATAATGTTTTTAAATTGGGAATAATAATTTTATGGGTTGAATTTTATGATCACAATTATAAATTGAACACTTTAATATTCTCATCATCACTACAGGTAGCCAAAAGGTAGTTTTTGGGATTGAAAGCAACACAATTAACATCGAATTCAAAGGCATCCTTCTATAAAACAAAGAAATTACGAAGATCTAATCCAAAGCATAATGAGGATATCCAAGTTCATCTATGGCATCCTTTTTAAATACACTAATTTTGTTATCGGCACTTCCCAATGCAAAATACAATCCATCATATGAGAAGGATCCTGAATAGATGGGTTCCTTGTGAAATCCTTACAAAGTTTGGATAGGTTTCAGAGTTCCATCTTGAATTGAGAATACTTTTGCAGTGCAATCTGCACTTGTTGTAAGCAATAGTTTATTGAATATATCGATAGACCAAATGGTTGATTGGTGTTCAATTTAGAATTGCTTATGATCCCACTCATCATCTTCTCCATAAGTATATCGAATTACGCTATTGTCGTAACTGCCCGAATAGAGAGTAGTATCTTTCCACTTGATACATTTCACATCTTCATCATGTGCTTGGAGAACACAATTACAGCTGAATTCAAGATCCTCATGATCCCAAATCCAGACTGTTTTATCTCTTCCACAAGAAGCTAAATAATTAGAATCTGCACTCCATGCAACTCCCTTTACCTAAATTGCTATTGAACTGTAATACTTCAGACTCATGTCCTTCAAGTTATTGAATCAATTTGTATTTTGATCCGTCGTACATCCAAACTCCAACCACAGTGTCAAAACCCCCAGAGGCTAGAAATTGGCCGTCTTTAGAGAAACTCACTGATCTGACTGATTTTGTATGACACTCATCAAGAGTTTACTAACATGAATCATTAATGGACTAATTACAATTAATTTATATTGATCATTCATTAATTGCCATAGCTTTATTGTTTTATCTGAACTGCAAGAAGCCAATATCTATCCATTTGGATGCCAAGCTACTTGCCAGACTCTCTCCTTATGATCCTTTAATAATTAACAATTCATGTTTATTAAATTTAAGCTTAATTATTATATTATAAATTAGAACAATGTGAATTTCATAAAATTATGAATGTCAATGTTTTTTTGAATAATTTGTTAATAGTGATTGTGCATAATAATATCCCGTAAATTATGCTGCACACCCAACCATATAGTAAATTATGCAACTTTCGACTCCACTCCAAAATCCTAATTCTATATTTGTATAATACCTTTGTAACCTTGTGTTTACCAAATGTATTTTACACATTCTGTAACACCACCATCGTAAAATCTTGGCTTAAACTTTCTGTTTTGTAAAGTTTCTTTTATTTCAACTTACAATTAAGTTTTTACGACATCCATTGGATATGAGGCTAAACAACATGTGAATCCTCCTAATGCTCCACTTATTAAAGCCCCATAAAATGGTAAATCACCATTTTTACTAAATATATATTTTGAGTATTCGTAAGTTGCAAAGAAAGCTTTTTATTATCAATCAATTGTACTTGCATTTTGCGGAATATCTCTCAAAATTGTAGCAACTAGACCCTTGAAAACTGAGCCAATGCCATAATTTTTTACCGCATATGCAAAACAATGAAATGGAGACTTAAATTGCTTGTGTAAATATTCCTTTTACATTTGCAATACGCATTTTGTCATTTCAGCTGGACATACTACTATTGCATATCCTATACCAGCCACTCCTCCTGCAATGAACCCTAACACTTATATATATTAGTTAACATTCTAGAAAGTAAGGTTTCTTTTCTTGGTTATTCGAGGAAATTTATCTGAAAACATACTCATATATCCCAAACAATACTGCATTGGATGGAATGTCTGCCAGCAAAGGAGATAACATCCCTTTGTAGTATGCAAAAATCTAAAATAAACGCAATGTATTACTCCTTCCTTATGGAAAATCTTTATTGCGGATTACACGAATGACCTCTTCTTATCATTCATCTGCATCCTCACCTTCACTGTATCGAATGGATGTCCGAAGAAACGAAAGGAAAAACCAGCTACAGCACCACAAAATGTATCTTAGAATGATTGCAAACTCATTTAATTAATGATTAAAATACATCAATTTATACTTATAATAAAAATCTAATTGCATTTTTAAGTAATAATTATTTATATATTAATTATTATGATTAGCTGTTAATAAAATTATCAAAACAACAAGTAAAATGAGGATGAAACCATTAATAATAAAATTGACATTATCAATTAGTTATTTAAGCAGATGAATTTAAAAAAAAGGGAGGAAACCAAGGAAACTACCCATACACGAAATATTACATCTGATTCCATTGAAATACCAATCTACGAAGTTCCAGTTAAACCTTAATAGTTAAATAAAACATCTTCTGAGTTTTAATCTTATCTAAAGAGAAAATAATAAGCCAAGACTATTGACAGAGTTTCTGAATTTAACAATTAAGAGAATTAATTAGAAGTAGAAAAAGATGAAGATCTATTAACAGAAATTCGTCCATTTTGCGATTAGAACAGAAACACTCTAAGAGAATATTCTTTTAAGCCAAATTGTGTCTTTCAATAACATTAAAGCAATCAAACTTTAAAACTGAGCACTCTTTAATCACAATAATAGTCATGTAGTTAATTAAGAAATAAGACTGATAATACCATTGATATTAATAGTCATAAAAATTAGTTATGTAAAAATATGTCACATAGAGATATGAATAAGGCCTAAAAAAACAAATAAATTATAGAATAAGCATATGAAACCTTTGTAGAAAAGAAACCTGCTAGCAAATCTCCTGGTATTAAATAGCAATAGTAAATAAACCTTTTAAAGAATAATTTTAAGCATAAAATTAATTAACTGCTGTCTTCCACACCAGAAAAAAAAATTAGATTGCAAGCAACAATCAAAAAAAATTACTTCATTAATTGATTTATAATATAAAATAATATGATAAAAATATTGAAATTATGAATCAGATTTCACTAAAATCGATCAATTATTCTGCGTGTAATTTTCCCTTTAATATATTAAACCCCCTATTCAAAGAAGACAAATATCCTGGCCAATATGGTCCTATAGAATTTTTCTAATCAAAGATCCCCAACTTTTTATACAAAGCCACAATCAATTCAGAACAAAAAAATGTTCTTTATTACTATAAATATAAATAAAAATTACTCTATTAGTTGAATTATTGATCTATTAAACTGAACGATTATTTTACAACACTTGGGTAGGTTAGAGCTAATATTTATTACCCATATTCTCATTCACAAACTCCTAAACAGTTCTTATAAATTAATGATCCCGATCAATATCTAATCTTCTTATCATTATTTTTTCATACAATTCAAACCATCTATTTTCAATCATATCCTCTAAAGAAATTAATAATCTTAATACTCCAGGAACACAATCCCACTCCAAAATATCCAGTTGCTTCTAGCATGTACAATGACCCAGATTGAAATCTTAATAGGATTGCAGCATGATCATATTCTGAACCAGTAAGTCCTCTCTAAATTTAACAATTGATTCCTCTTCCTCTAAATAGGAGAATGTCACCAACCTCTCCAACCTAAGAGAAATATTCGTAAGTTATTCTGTCGGTCTAAATTTATAGGATTAAATACTCTCCAAAATTTAGGATACTTATTCAAACTCTATAGTATCTTTTTTGCCCCTTCAGAAGATTTCCAGCATTCGAATACGGTATTAAACCATTTCTGTGTTTCCAAAGTTGTTTTAGCCTTAAATATAAAGTTTTTTCTGGAACCACTAGGTACTAATCTACAAATAGATTATATTTTTACACAAATTCGATCAAATTACCATGTTAATCTATGATCCTCTATAGGGAATAAGTCATTATGTTAAAATCAATAATTCCAAAAGGAGTGTTCTGGTTATTTGGCAAGTAATAAACTAAGCGATTGTCTGAACATACTGCCCATCTCTACTACCATCCTTATATCTGATGTGGACTTTTCTTAAGAATCATTCCTTCCATATGAGGGAAGTATTTCTGTGAAACGTCCCTACTTGTAATTCTCGTATCTGAGTCTCCGGGTGGGATAGTAGTTTAGTCTATCTGAGGAAAATGATTATTGCCAATAAAATATGTTGATTGGAGTCCGTTATGACATACTATGATTGATTGCAACTAATTTTGATTTTGAATCTATCCATTGTTTTGAGCTAGATTCATTTTATCCATTTTAGAAATACCAAGAGCTGTCTTAAATTATTCCTAATTATCATTTTATTACATTTAAAAAAATATAAAACATGAGAAAGAAGAGAGCATTAAATGAATTCGAATTTGTTGAGAAGAAGGACAATGGTAAGGCTCAAGAAGAATTAGGAAAAGGAGCCTTTGGGAGAGTGCGTTTGGCTCATGATAAAGTGACTGATACAAAGGTAGCAATCAAAACGGTAATTAAACAAATTAAACTAGATTCCCAAAAAATTGCTTAAAGAAAATGCATAAGCTGAAAATATTAAACGAGAAATAAAGCTGCATAGGAAATTAGATCATCCTCATATAGTAAAATTGTATCACTCTCTTGAAGATGAGACTAATGTTTACCTTGTGCTGGAATACGTTCCTATGGGGAACTTGTTTGTCTATTTAAAAAAGCGCAAGACTTTAGAGGAGCAAGAAGCGTTCGTTTATTTTTTACAAACTGCATTAGCCTTAGATTACTTGCATAAGAAGGGAATTATACATAGAGACTTGAAGCCAGAAAACATCTTATTGGATGCATAAGGCAATATTAAAATATGCGATTTTGGGTGGTCTGCAGAACTGCAACCAGAGAGGAGAACATTTTGCGGAACACTGGATTACATGTGTCCAGAAATGTTAAACAGTTAAAATCATGATCACAGAGTAGATATATGGGCTATGGGGATTCTCTTATTTGAAATGCTGCATGGTCACGCGCCTTATAATAAAAATAGATAATCATAAGAAGTTGTTATTAAGGCGATCTTAAATGCTGCTACTACTAAAATACCATTTAATGATAAAATTTCAAATGATGCAAAAGATTTAATTTAGGCACTCTTAAAAGTTAACCCGCTTGATAGGTTGAGCATGGAGGAGATTTTCAATCATAAATGGATTAAAGTTCATGCAAGAGCATTATAAATAAATATACCTGAATTTGTTTATGAAAAAGGAGTAAATGAAACAGTTTAATCCATATAAGACATATCTATAGATTTTGGTAATCTTACACAACCATCTAATAATTATTAATCTTAAAAAATTCCATCAAAATAGCCAGGTATATAATAAAGATAAGAAAATCCAAATTTTTATTCATAATAATTACCTTCATCTTCACCATCATTAAATAATTCAACCTATTAATAATAACAATAATAATAACAACATTAATAATAATAACATTAATAATAATCTACTACTCCTAATAAGAAACCATCATTTGATTAACTATTTTAATCAACACATAGCAATACTAATAATCCTCCCTTACCTTAATATGAATCAACTTCCAAATCTCCTACCAGATTAACTCCAGAATAGTAAAGATAAAAAAATGAATTATTAGGCATCAATTAAATGGAGACATCAAAATAAATGGAATAATCGAATAGAATCAATTATTAAATGCAGTAAAGCTAAGATATGCAAAGATCGTAAATGAGAGATCAATCACCCAATTAATCTATGATGAATTCTAATTATTAAGGTGTCTCTCCAAATAAACCTGGTGTCAGTCCCAATAGTAGAAAACCTATTCTCAATGATAAGATGGCTCAATCTCAAATGATAATTAATAAGTATACTTAGCAATCAAATAACTAATCAGGAATGTTTAAAAGTTAAGACATTGCTAATCAGCAACCTTAATAATCTGATGAATTTACAAAATATATGTAATAAGAATAGGAAAGAAAAAGAAAGGAAGAAGAATTTAGAAAACAATAATTAGCCGATTTATAAAAGAGAGAAGAATAAAGATTATTAGAAGAATAGAGAGAAAGAGAAGAGAGATAGAAATAAGAAGAATTAGAAAGATCAAGGAGGTTAAGAGAATAAGAATTAGAAAATTAAAGAAAGATTAAAGAATTTGAAGAGGAGTAAAAACGATTAAGGGAACAAGAAAAATTAAGAAAGTAAAGAGAATAAGAAGAGTTTTTGTAAAGGTAAAGAGAACAAGAATAAGAAAAATAGAGAAAGGAGAAGGACGAATAAGATAGACTTAGAAAAGAATAATTGAGAAGAGAATAGGAAGATAGAGATCGTAAAGTCAAAGAGTAGGAAGAATAAAGGAGAAGGGAAGAATAGGTAAAAAGAGAGTAGGAAGAAAGATAAAGGAGAGAATAAGAAAAGTGGGAGTAGGAATAGAGAGAAAGATTAAGAAAAGAAAAGGAGGAATAAGATAAGAGAAGGTAGTCTGAAGAATAATAATAAGAGAAATTAAAACAATAAGAAAGATAAAAGTAACAATATGAAGAACAACTACGATTATAAAAATAATAGGAATAAGATAGAAAGTTAAGAGAATATGAAGAGTAGAAAAAGCAGTTAAATCGATCTAATTCTAGAAATGTTAGAAGTTAAGAAACAGAAGAAGATAAATAGGCTTAAAAGTTAAAGGAACTAGAATAAAAAGCAAGATAAGAATATTAACAACATTTGATAAATCAAAGTAATAGTAGTTATGCAAGTAAATAAATAAGTGAAAGCAAACAACAGAGAAGATAAATATCTGATGATGATCTATTTATTGCAACAAATAATAATTCTTATATACCATAAAAATAAAAGAATGAAATGAATGAGGACGAATATGAATTAGAATAGAAGCTTCATAATATGTTAGTGTAAAATCTGTAATTAGAATTGCCTCCTATTACTAAGACATTAAAACCTGATGAAAACAGCAATCTTGATTGGGATATCAGTGTGATTGAACAATAATAGAAACAAACTCCATTAATGAAATAATATGAAAATATTTAATAAGTAGAAGTTGCCATGCATCAAATTCCATAAAACAATAAATCACTATCACCTAATACTAGATAAACCAGATTTACTCCAAGAGTCACTAAAATGGAAGATAGACCAACTCATATTAATAATATGTTAGATGATTAATTGGATGAATGGGATCTCAGTGAAGATCCTTAAGTAAAGTTACTTAATCAATTGCTGGAATAGCCAGAAAGGCAAAAAAAGGAGAAGCAGAAGTAAAATGTTAATACTAGCTCTAATAATGGATATTCATCTCAATCTTAATAATAAATATCTGTATCCACTCAACCTACAAATAAATTTAGTTTCGGTGAAAGTAAAGCTAAGCAGACTTTCAAACCAGAAACTATTGAAAATGTAGAGGAAAGCTTTAGGCAAGATAGATCAATGAGAATGAACACTTCTAGAGATAGGAGTAGGAATAAGATACCAGCTAAATCAAATCCAAAATATAGGTAAATCTAATAAGAGTAAGAACCAGTTGAAGAATAGTACGATGAAGATTAATTAGAAGATCTAAAGAGGTCAAAATCATCCAATCAAGAAAACACCTATGACTAAAAACTAAAACAATTTAAAAAATATGACCACAATCCATATTCAGATAATTACCAAAATTAAACTTAAGAACAGTAATTTTATATATAATAACATAGATACAAACCAAGAAAGAGTAGGATAAGCGAAAGACAAAATAGAACTATTCCTTAGAGACCATTATAAGAAATGGACTTTTTTGATAGACTAAAATTTGCCTTCGGGTGTTTATCCAGAAGATAATGAAAATAAAAAATTTATAACTATGTTATTATTTCATTCAAAATGTTATTTTATATGGACAAATATTTATAATAATGATTTGAAAAAGTGCTTTTTATACATTATATCTTATAAAATTTCATTAGGAAAATTTCTAAAAGAGGGAGAAAAAGGAAAAGATAAATAATTTAAAATTAATTATAAATGCAGTTATGATACAACATAGATAGAGAGGATTGTTGAAGGATTCTACTTAAATTTTGGTAAAAAACGATTACAACTTAACTTTGTCTAGGTAAGCAGAGAAAAATCAACCAAATATGAAGAAATATGGAAATTATTTTATACTTCTTTTGTTTTTTCAATGTATGTACATACTTGCTAGAAACATTATAATAATAAGTTGAAGACTTTCCTTAGTAATATTTTTAGACGTTTTCAAAGTTGAGGAGGAAAATGGTTAAGAAAGTTTGAGTAAAGAATTGTCGATAAAATTAGGAAAGTTTCTTATAAAGAGAAAACACTCAGATGAATTTTATCTAAATATAATATTGATTTCCAATTTTATGCTTTATCAACCATTTTGAAAAATCCCTATAATTAATTGTTGATGAGAATTTGATGGTAACTTTGTTTCTGATAAATAAAAATTTTGAAGAACAATGAGTAATTACTACGCAGTAATAGCTTGACTATTTTTTTCTTGATTATAACCTTATTATTTTGAGAAATAATATTTTAACTTATATTTTCAAAATAAATGGATTGAGGAAAAATATTTACACTTAACCATATTTAAATAAAGTAACATTGTTTATTAAAATTGACAAATGCAATATATTGGATCACTTTTTCATAAAATTAATATTGATTAAAGATCATTAGATTAATTTAATGAATAATTTATAAATGAATAAAAAAATAAATATATTTATAAATATATAAGGTCTCCTCTTAGCAAACAAGAAGTAAGAAAAACAATAATTTAGATATAATTTTTGGTGAGATTTTATGATATGTAAGATCTCATTTTTATTTTTACCTAAATAACGATGCAAATGTAATTTATAAGAAAATAATTATTAATAATATATTTAATATTTTGATATTACTTTTCATAAATTATTAGTGTTAATGTTGTCTCATATTTTTTAGAATATATGTCCAAATCATAACAGTGAAGTAGTTGCAATTAAACTGTCTGCCCATAAATAAGTTGAGGATGTTCTCATGTGCCTATACTGTCTAACAGGAAATGCTTAATATCCTGTTGTTCCATTAAATGAAATCTAAAAGTTGTATGAAGCTAAACTTGTATTTATTAAGTAGTTGCAAGTTGAAAAGCATTAATTAATAAAAGCATATCTTAATAAAATAATAGATACTTTGAGTTAGTTGAAAAATGATCTGAATGTTCAATTAGATAAAGGAATTGAGTTATTAGAAAACTAACTAGAATATGAAAATCTAAGACTTCAGAGAGAGCAGAATAATCAAGAGGATCAGGAGCAGACTTTAGAATATTATCTTCAATTCATAGTTAGTTGTGAATCCAGTTACGGTTAATAACACAGAGGAGAAGATGAATTTAGTTGGATACAATCCTTATCTAAGGAATTATAGAAATTAAGCAAATTACAAGAAATATAAGACTGTTTATTGATTTCAAAAGATCTCAAAAAATAATATTAAATAAAAGATTAAAATCTAAAGTCCCAAAATTAAATAAAAAAATTACTATAAACGATTTCATAGAAAAAATTCAATGAGAGAACACCTAATTTGAATTTTAATTGCCAAGTACATGGCAAAGAAATCATTTTATTTGATATGAATCATTAGACAGAAAAGCAGAAGAGGTTATGCTGTATAGAATGCATGCCCTCCTCATATATCTCATTAACAAAGGCTTAGGAGAAATTAAAATAATTTGAGACTAGAAGGTCTAATTATTTTCAACAATAAATACTTGATAAGGAATAATAATACGAATAAGTCTAGGAACAGATAATCAAAATTGAAAATTAAATTGTTGAGTAGATCAAGAATTTAAGGGTTAATTTTGAAGACAATATATTAGCAATGAAATAAAAAATTGTCTTAAGTCTCAATTCAAATAATTATGACATTTAAAATCTGAATTATTCAGAACTACAAGAACGGATTGACATTATAAGTAAATCAGAAGAAAATTAATAATGTATCATTTTTTAAGAATATCAGGAAATATAAAATTCTATTCTCTCTTAATTAAAAGAATAATTATAATAATTATATCAATACTAATAAAATTTATATGATAACCTAAGATCTACCTTATGCAATTCTCAAGAGATAAGCAAGGCAACTAGCTAATCAGATTAATAAACCCATAATATTAATTATTTTATAATTGAAAATAGAGAAACATCAAACAGCAATTAATTGGAATTGTTAACTCAAAAATCTCAAGAATCCCAAGATTACAAAAGTAGTAATTAAACCTAAAAAGAATTCAATTTGTTGACATTATCAACTATCAATGAAAATCGTTAAACAAGAAGCGCCTCTGCATAAGTCAAATCAAAAATTCAAGAAACAGAAAAGTAAAAAGATGATGAAAATCAAATAGAACTTTATTAAGAAAATAATTATGAATTAATTGAAAAGTTTAAGTGGGAATAAAATTGTCATGCCATATCATTTAATCAAGATAATAGCCTTATGATTAGTGGTTGTTAAAATGACATAACTGTTTGGGAATTTAACAATGGAAAAATAAAAAAAAAATAATAATTGACTGGACATACTAACTTAGTTATTTCTTTGTTTTTCAGTTTGAGTAAACCGGAGTTCATATCTGGAAGTACGGATAAATCTATTAGATATTGGCAATTTGTTGAAAATTAATGGACTTGCACTTAGATGCTTTTAGGGCATAAGAGACAAATAGATTGTTTATTGTTTGATAATAAAGGTGATTAAATTATATCCTGCAGTTGTGATAAGTCTATAAGGGTGTGGAGGAAAAATGAATAATTAAAATGGATATAGGTTTAAGTGTTAACCGATCATTAAGCATATGTTAGATGTATAAGTTTTAGCAAGTCTCAAGAGTTGTTTGTATCATGTGGAGAAGATAAGTTGATTATTATTTGGGAAATTGATGAATTCAAAGAGTGGAAATCGAAATAAATAATTAAAAATAGTGACTATGGATATCGGATATGCTTTGTTTAAAATAATTTGTTGATATGGCAACCAAGAAATATTAATTAATCAATTATATTTTAGTTAAATGATAACTTAAATCAGTTTGAATAGAGTACTTAAAATATCTAATTACTACTATCTAATAATGGATATTAAAACTTTTTTCCATCTCTATATAATGAAAATAAATAAATTGTTATAAATAAACATGGAAGATACGTATATGTTTTGAAAAAGTTAATTAATGATTAATTTTCGATTTCTTAAGTGATTGAAGTCGGTCACTATTGTAATTATGGTTCATTATCACCAAATGGTGAATACTTAGTGATTTGGGATGAAGGATCCAAATATTTTTAAATCAGAAAAGCCAAATTTTGATAATTTTTATTAGATAACCAATATCAATATTACAATAGTACTACAATATATAATATTGATTATATTAACTAAAGTAATATATTATTAAACATTTTAAATTAATCTGTAATTAAATGATTCTAAATGTTATCTAATTTTTTATTGAAGCCAAAATCTGTATTTAATTGACAAAGATTTATATGAATTACTATAAGTTTAATGTCCAATAATAAATTTTTTAAAGTAAATTCAATATGGGAAGTTGTTAAGTTAGCTCACAAGCCACATATCTAAAAAAGGATGATGATTAAATTGAAACAACATCACAACCAAATATTTAATCAGTTCAATTTACTCCTCTTGTCTGTAACATCGTTGGGGATTAGGATAGAATGGATGATTTATTCTTGGATTTAGAAAGATAACCATCTCTAAGTATTATATAGCATACCTCTAATTCTTAAGAAAATGTAAAATTTATTATTATGGTAAGTTCTAGCTTAAATCTAAAGTCTAAATTACTCATGATCCTCAATCTCTCACTTTAAACCAATCATAGAATGGAATCAAATCACCCAAGAAATCTAAAAACTTGAATGCAAAATTTAAAGAGATGATATATTGAAATACATTCATCGTAAGTACATTAATTTGAAATTATATTTATACACCATACTATAAATCAACTCATTTAAAACTTTTTCAAGATAAACTAGATATCTGAACCTCAATTACAACATATTAAAACTTTAATATTTATTAAAAAATAATATCTAATTAATTAAGAACGATAATTTACAAATTTAGAGTTACGTATCAATAATAATAATCTGAATTCAAAGCAAGATAGAACACCCTATTAATAAGATTTGATATAATGTCAGAATTAGCAATTATACTCTAATATTATAAAAAATAGGTTTTTTAATGAATATAGAATACCAATATTCTCCAAAGTTCTTTTGAATTCGGTTATTTTTTTGAGAATCCTTACTTATTTTTTAGTTTTACATTCATTTAAGTCAATATATTCATCAATAGATAATATTGTAAGTGCAATTATGCATTATAATAAATTCCTAATCATAATATTACATTTATTTGATCATTTAATATCTAAACAATCTCTCATATTGGTATCAAATGAATGAAATAAAGCACTTCTATCCAATCATACATGAGTTCCTTATAAAATCACTTTGTTCAGCTAAAACTCTTCAAACTCTCTCTATTGTATTTTAAATTGTATTATTAAATTATTCAAAATTAAGCTCCTTCAATTGAAAGAATAATATATTTCAAATAAAAAATTAAGAATTCAAATTGTAAAATCTTTCAAAAGGCCTACATAGATTGTCAATTGTTTAATAGATTTAAAAAATAATATTTAAATATCAGAAAAGATGTTGTGTTTTCAATATAGAAAAATATTATTTTTTTTTTGAAACCTTTTTAAATAATTTTGATTCATTGTTATTCCACTACTAATTCATAACTTCCAGGTCCTAATTCTGAATACTTTTCAACCTAAAACCTTCTTGATTTCCCAAAACTTGTATTAGTGTTACTTTTTTTTATATATTCAGATTAATAAAGAAAATCTTTAATATCATAGCTACCAGGTCCGATCGAATCAAATGGCTTTTATTTGTCCTCGATGCTTGACTTTTATCTTTTTGAGTTTTTCTTATCAACCTAATCGATCTCAATGAAATCTTTAACATCATAGCTTCCAGGACCTGGAGGACCAAATTTTTCTTGACTGCTCCTTCTAATTTTTTCCATCTTTTTTCTTCTGGCAACTTATTTAATTTACATTGCCGATCTTGGTCTTAAACTTATGGTTTCTTTTTCTCTAACTTCTTTTTATTTCATTAATTCTTGGATATATTTATCCTCCTTTCTATTGTAATAGGATCTAACCATTAGTTTTGGTTTGAGCAGTCGCTCTATTCTATCTATTTTTTTTCTCTCTACTTTCTAATCTATTTTATAGGCTCCAGGCCCAGGAGTTATAAACTTTGTATTTTCTTAAGATAACTTTCTGGCTGTGCCAAAAGATATACTTCTTTAAGATTTTTGATTCAAATCATATGTTCCAGGACCTGGGAACTCTTAATGGTGTTCACTACAATGTCTTGAATTGAAAACGAAGGTTTTTGATTGCTTACTCTATAGAATATTATATTATCCAGGACCTGGATTTTAAAATTGTTTTAACTATTTTCTTTTACCTTTGGTAAAACTTATGAAGGGACGGTTATATTATAAATGAGCGGGATGTTATACCTCATAGGAACCTGGCCCTACACTCTATTTTGACCTTTCAGAGTTCTGTCTTTAATATGTGTAGGAATTAGAGTTTTCAGCGTTTGACAAGGCTTATTCTTAAGTTTTTATTCGAATTCTGGGATTTGAATTTAATTTAGTTGTCATACCTGACCTATTTGAATATGCACTCAGCCTCATTTCATTAAATAACTTATTCACTTATGGCTAGCTGGAAGCCACTCTAATATGATGATCAATTTTGACTACATTTAAGCAACTGGGAGAACCTTATCGAAGAATTAAGTATCTAGCATCAAAAATTACTTGTTCTATAGTAATAATATTAATTAATTTAATTAAAAATATTTATTCTTTAGGTTCATTTATTTTAATCTATATTTTGGTAAATACTTCGAATCACATTTGAGTGAATATTCCTCTTGTGATCATATCCATACACTCATATAATAATGAGGGTTAAAACGTTACAATAGCTTTGATAATCTAAAACATATCATATGATTAAAATTGGATAATGTGATCTATTTAAAATTATGATATACTCAAAATTTCTATGACTTTGATATTGCTATTATTTTTTCTTCTTAATTGATTGTTTATTATGCACAAATTAATTGATAGATAATATAATACTCTTTCTAATAGCTTTAAATCAATCATACTTAAATCGGCTTGATTTTATCATATTATTATTAAATTTAGTATAATATTTAAAAATGAATCAATGGGGGTTCTCATTTAAGCATTCATAAATAAAAGATGAATTCGACTCCTATGGAGGATTATTAAAAGTTGATAATTAAAAAAAAATGTAAAATTATTCAGACTAACCTTTAAAAGGTTACAAAACGAATAATAAAAAAAATAACAATAAAAGACCTAATAGGAATTAATAGATGGACCTTTATGAACAAAAATATAAAAATTCCGATGAACGTTAGTAATATTCTCAAGTAAACACATATAATAATAATAATGAACAACAAATGAATTCAAATAACTATGAACCTTAGTATTATGGATATAATTAGCATGATAATAATCATCAAGATTAAGATTCTTGGAATTAATCTAATTAGCCATAAAAATCATAATAGCAGAATTAATACTAATATTAATAATAGCAATAACAATAGCAATAGCAATAATATCAATAATAATCATAGCAATAACAATATCAATATTAATAACAATAACTACAACAATAACATTAATAATCGTCATATCAATAGCAATAATTATAATATTCACAATAAATATAACCATTCCCTCAGTAAACCTCATTTCCTGTTCAACCCCTTTATTAAAATTAATTCTAATTTAATCAATAAATACCACCACAACAAGAATAATCAAATCCGTTGAATATCATGTAAGATTTGTAGCTCAATTAAAATCATACTCAAAATGATACTGGTTTTACCGAAGTCTAAATAAGTCAGTACAACTAGCCGTCAAAAAATAATTCCTAAATAAATTAGAGCTCTCAAATCCCTAAATCAATAATAACTTCCCTTGCAAAAGAAGAGTAACTAGATAGTTATTATAACTCTTATCATAAATTAATAGATTATTTTTTTCAATATGCAGACATCGAGATTAAAATTTCTAATATTAATCCAATTGTTGAACCAAGATTGAATGAAATTTATTTTGATCTCAAAGAATTGAGATTAAAGATATAACAAATTGACATTGAAGACTAATTACGTGCAAATAGGACTTACTAAGTAAAAGAACAATAGGAAAACAACATTTCTTAAAAGGATAAAATGATTATTCTACATAGTCTCATAATTGAAAATCTATATCGAGAGGCCGAAAATCACAAATCAAAAATATTAATAAGCTACCAAAAATATCAATATAAAATAAATCCATTAGATCAGCACTACGAAGAGAACGCTAAAAACTTTTATTTAATTTTCAAAAAAAAATGGGATAATCACATTATATTGATCGAATAATGCAAATCAGAATTTGAAGCTAATTCCAAAATAAAATTATTGAAAGTACCCAGAATCAACTAATCCTTCTGCAAAGAACTTGGTTTTCAAAATCCAATTATTATGTTGACATCTGATCTTAATCTGGTAACCTTGAGTACCACAGCTTTATACAATGACGGATTAGCATTATAAAAAAAAACCAATGAAATAATAGTTATAAACTCCTTTGATCAAAATTAGAAAGAAAATATCTCAACTTTAAATGATAAGTTCTAGAAATTTCTTCAGGATCCCTAATATATAAAAAATGTTAAAGAAACTTTCGATATTGACTGTTAACCACAAAAGGATATTAATGAGATTGACAAATGCATACAAGCACTTTAAGCAAGAGAATATATAGAAATAACAGTTACCACCCCAATATTTAATTTATAAAATAAAGGAAAGTATTTAGTATAAGCTGAATTGCAACTATGGATAGAAGGCTATTAAACATAAGAGATGATTAATTAAAAATTAAAAGTTGTGAAATAACAATTAAATGAAATCTACAATCCACCAATAATAATATAGGTATTTGAATAAGAAAAAATTAATTTGTGGAAGAATTATTTAGGTTCCCTTTTTGAAAATCAAAATAATTCAAAGGAATGCATAACTAGAGAGGATAAGGGTATATTAACAATTGAACTTAATGGGCATTAAGATGTAATTTATGAAAAGAAAGAGAAAATAGAAACTTTGTTTAAACAATTTTAATGCAAAAATATTGAATATTAATGTGAAAATGACATACTTAAGGTGTTAGTGAGTAAGAAAGCTTAATTATCAAAATTATTTAAAGCAATTTTTACAGAAATTGCTTCAGAATTTGGACAATGCTAGATTTAAATGATTGATGTTAATGAAAAATCACTGACTGTAATAATTGAGGTTTACTTTAATTCAATAGATTACAAATTTACAAATATAAGTGCAAAAGTTGTTCAGTTTTTGTTTGATCTAGATTACATACTATTAAAAATTAATTTTAAAGAGTTCTTATAGTTTTAAGGTCTAAAAGAGATTTAATTTTAGGAATAGTATCAAGTTGCTGTAGCAATAGGAAAGTAAAAAGAAGTTGGGATCATTGGGAGATAAAAGGAATTAGATGAAATAAAATAAATGTCGAAATAGTTTGATCAATCAAAGAAAGAGAATTATACTTCTATAATTATTGATTGCGATAATAAATTGGTTTTTAATAGAATTAAATAGTTAAACTCAAAGCCTAAGTAAGATGCCAATGTTGATGATGAAAACGCTGTAGTGATTAGCTTTCCATAGGAGAATAAGATAATGATATAAGCATCTAAGAAATAGATTTAATAAGAAAAGGATAAGATGAATAACAAGATCCAATAATTTAAAGGTGAAATTTCAACTAAGTCTTGTTAATTCTCTGATAAGGAAGTTAAATATATTGATAAAAACTTTAAATCACTTTTGGAAAAATTACAAAAGAATAATGAAATAATAATATCTACTTCTTCTCAAGGTCCAATATCATTATAATCAGAGAAATCTGCAGCATGTACTTTGGAATATTAAAATAAGAAGATTCAAATAATCTATGGAGACATCTCAACTATTTAATGTGATGCAATAGTCAATTCTTGTAATAACAAAATATCTTTTGGTGATTCATTATAGTTAACTGGTGTTGCTTAAAGTATCTTCTAGTTGGGAGGAACATAATATTCATCAGCTTGTTAGGAATACATCAGAAAGCATTATGAGTTAGAGATAGGAAAGGTTTTCACCTATAAGATGCCAAATGATAGACAGATTAAATATATTCTTAATGTAGCCACACCAGTATATTCTGAAGGATTTGTAACAGATGAGGATTTGAAAAAGATTTAACATAACATAGAGGCGATTTTCAAAGAAATTAACAATTTAGATGTAAAGACTTTAACTCTTCCTATTTTTGGAGGAGGGGCATGTGGATACGGTTTTAATTAAGTTACCTAAGTGGTATTGAATAGTGTTATAAATTCTTTATATTTTTAAAAGAACTCCATAGAAGCAATTTACATAGCAGAGTTAATAGATATCAAAGTTGATTGGCTGACTAAAATACTCAAAAATATCTTAAAACCTCCTGAGAAGGAAAGGTAAGTAAAATATTAATGGTAATGGTAAGATAACTAAGCCTTTAAAAATTATGATGATGAAGATATTAATAATTAGATAGATGAGGCATACGAATAATTTTAATAGACAGGCAAAGATTAGAAGGTGATGTTGAAATTTCCATTCTCCAAACAGCCTGGAACTCATACTGTTAATCTGGATTCATTAATAGTTACTGATATCTCATTAAAAACTACGAAGAAAATAATTTCAAAGAAAGTATCTAATTCAAAGAGATTTTATTTTGATGAAGATGTATTAGACGATTAATAAAATGAATATTTGCTGCTTTAAGAATTGAACAACATAAAATAATTTGACATCTTTTATAAGAAACATTATGTAGAATTTAAGAAGGGTGAGATGTATTAAATGAATTAAGAGACCCAATTTAAGAGAACCATAAAGCCCGTTTAATACGTATCCAAAAAGACTAAGTCATAAGGAAAACCTAATAAATTAGTTGGTAAAGATTTCACATTAATCGAATCTCAGAATTAAGTTTCCAAATTAGTTTAATAAAAATCTAACTGTGATTAATTAACTCTATAATCATTTGATGGATCTCTTAATGAAATGATTTACAAATAGGTTAAAGCTGAATTGGAGAAATAGGTTTTGGAGTTTAAATTTGATGTCCCTAATCTATCAGATAGTGGACTTTAAGAAATGCAATAGTTTATTTAATCGATTGCATTGTCCATTAATGGGAGATTTAAATAAGGGGAGAAAATTTTACTAAAAATTTTTGAAAAAAAAAAGAATAAGATTGTTAATTATATTAATTCAATAAAATCTTAAGAAAAGGCATATCCAGATACTTGGGTACCATAGAGTCAAAATTTGTTGAGGACTGCTTTGTAACCAAACTCATAAGAATACTAAAAAATAGCGAACTTGTTTAAGAAGACTGATGCTGGATAGATATATGAGATTTACAGAATTTAAAATAAATCCTTATGGGATAATTATAATGCAGAAAAAAATAAGTTGATAGAGATACATAAATAATAAGGTACAAACTTAAAAGCTATTGAAATTGATAGATATTTATGGCATGGAGTCAGAACGTAACATCCTCAAATAATCTATTCTGGCTTAAAGGAAGCTTTTGATTAAACATACAGCAACGTAATTTTTAATTATAATTTAGATTGGTATGTGGGGTGCTGGTATCTACTTTGCAGAAAATGCTAGTTATTCTAGAAATTATTCCTATAAATTATAATTTTAAGATAGTGCAAATAATGTAGGTAAGTTGATATTTTTATGTTGTTTGGTAACAACTGGGAGAGTTGAAGTAAGATTGCCAGATCAAAATATCAAAAGGCCTTCTTAAGGTTTTGATTGTGTTTCAGGAAACACCAATGGAAGTGATGTGTTTATCCTCTACTCAATGGATATAAGAAGAGCATATCCAGCATATGAAATAATCTATACATGATTATTAATTATATAACATAGTAATAATAAATAAGAAGACTTCTTAAGAAAAAATATAATTAAACATTAATCCTTAATTATTAATGTTTTCAATCAGCCATCAAAGAACAGAAACATACTTTTTCTTAAGTCTCCTCCTCTTAAATAGCGTTAATTACACTTCTTAGGTTCTCTTAGGTAATTTCAACAACTTTTGTGTTAATTAGACATGTTCTAATTGAATATATAATATATTTACTCTATAGTTTCAGTAACATAGAAATTTGGAAATGGATTGATTGTTGGGGGACTGATATAGTCTATAAAATTTGGAATTAAAATACCTTGATCTGATTTATGTTTTGATGCTTCAGCACAGAGATTCATAGTGAATTTGCCAATATAGCCATTCCAAGATTTGTAGAAACGATCTTAACCAACATTCAAATAAAACTAAGGCACTAAAAAATGGTTAATCTTATCAAAATGAATTGATTCTTATTTATTCTAAAATTTTATATATCCTTCTGCAATTCTTGTTACTCTGTTATATGAAAAGAAAATAAAATGCCATTTTGTTTCTTGTTAATCTTAAGGAATTATCTGAACAATATTTGGTTCTCCATTCCCGTTTAAACCTTAATAACTGTAGGTAGAAAACGCATAGATACCATCCTATGAAGGTGAGACCCAAGCAGCTAAAGTTCTATCACCTAAGATTTGATCATTTTTGTTTGTTTCACCTTTATTAATATGTAAACGAAATGCTAAATGCCATTAGTCCATTTTTGTGGGTTCCCATTTAAACCATCCGAAAACGCTATATTCATTTGGAAATTTATCTAAAGAATTAGACTGCATTTCTGGTAAAAGATCCCTTTATTCTTGAAACTTCTATGTATCTTATATGAAAATTTGCTGTAAATATTAATCACAACATTCTTATGGTTATGGATTACATTCTAAAGAGTACTAATTTAATTAATCTGTTGTATCAATAAAAGCAGCAGATCCTATTTTAAATGTAGCTTTAGTGAATTACCCATTGATAGCTGGATATTTAGAAAGATCAGAACCTCCAATAATAAGTTTTAAATAGATGATGGTTTGATGATCTGCATTAAATGCAACAGATTAAGGTTCTTAGTCAGAATATTTTACAAAACCAACAGCTTTGTTGATAGTACTGCTGTAACTAAAATGAAAATATGTCCAAACCCCTTCAATATCATCATATTTAATTTACTCATTTAGATTCTAATTGGTGTCTTTATAATCATCAGTAAAGAATGCATAAAATCCTTAGCCTTGCCAAATCCCTAATAATCTATCTCCTTTTTCTGTATCCTAATATTTTAAATTGTTTGTTAATCTACTCACAAAATACCATGGCTCTGTCTTTCCTTAATACATTGGTTTTGGATACCTCGTAAGATATCTTAACCAAAATGAATATCCATATCCTTCGATTAGATTTTCTGTTATTTCAACTTTTGCAATCGATTATATATCGTCATATGCTGAATCAAAAATAGTTTCATCAGATATTTAACAATGATACTCAGAGCTTAACTCAGGAATTTATATAGGGAATTTGAGAAGATTGGCTGATTCAGGAGTATATGATGGATGGAATTGTGAATTATATAGATCTTAGCATGTGACGTAATTTAGGTCTGCAATATATCCATTAAATGCTGGATAGAATTTATCCTTACCAATAAAGATTCTAAAAACTGGAACTAAATAATGATTAACATTTTCAAATTTAAGATCCAATTTATCATCCTTGAAAATAATAGAACCATAAGCTTAACGAGTCTCTCTATTATATTAAAATGAAATATAATGCCATTGAATATGCTTATTCTTATGATCTATATTTTTAACAATATTTGACTACCCAACTCCAAACATATTTTAATAAGAATATGTAGAGAAAGTATATAACTATTTTTCACTTAACTAAACAGCAAGTGTTCTATCCCCTAATTCCAAATTTTTATTTGTTTCCTGATCGTTAATTGTAATTCTAAATGCTAAGTGCTCAGGTTCTTAAACTATTTCTACCCATTTGTACCAACCTCCTATCCCATATAAGGTTGGAAACTCCTTCCTTTAATTATCAAAGTGTTCATAGAATTCTTATTAAGAAGAATCGTATTTCTTGATTCCTTAACTTAATTACATGATTTCATTTTTATCTCTACAATCAGGTTCTGGTCTATGGTTACAAGCCATTACAAATTTATTAAATTCATCTTCTGTATTCACAAAGGATCCAGCACCTATCTTGAAAATAGGCGATGAGATCTACCCATTGAATCCTGGGTACTAATTCAGATTTGAACCACCAATAATCAATCTTAAGAAATTAGGTTATTCATGCATGGCATCAAGAACAACTATTTTAGTATTATCTTCAATTTTCATTATTCCAACTGCTTAACCTTATTTATAACTAAAATGAATATATGTCCACACTCCTTCAATGTCTTCATAAGGCAATGTGATTTACAAATTAGGATTTTTGGATGTTATATCATTTGTAACAAATGTATATCCAGCTTACCCTAACCATATAGCCAATATTCTATCCCCCATATTTATATTATCATAAGGATCATTTTTAGTTAATCTTGAGATAAAATACCATGGTTCACTTATCCCTTTCATTTACTTTTGGGGCCATCTCGTCAGCCACCGAATCCAATAACCATATCCATATTCATTCGCTCCTCTTATTTTATCATCTCCAACTTTTAGATCCAAAACTGAAGTCTAGCTTGAAGACATATCTACAATGGAGGATTCTCCACTTACACAACTTTTGCTCACCGTTTATTCTTACTTAAGATCAATTAAGTTGATATTATTGATAACATCTCTCTAAGAAGATGTTTTTTCTACTTAAATCTATTCTGGAAATTCTATAAAAATGTCTTTTAATTGAGTTTATTCTAATTTGCTTTATTAAAAGTGATTCGAGAGATCATTATCACATTTATTTTTAATTCTTTAGATTTTACTGATTACTTCTTCATAATTTATATCAATAAGATTTTTATGTTCACCCTATATTTCAACAAGTTATTCTAACAAAGTTTTTATTTTATTTGATAGGATCTCGCAACTTTTTATCCTCTCTTGCTTATCCAAAGTCTTAATTATTTAATTTAGTAGAAACCTGATATCCTCAAATTGATGGCTTATCAATTTTTCTGTGATTTTGATACGTCCCAAAATGTCAGATTTTTGTTTAAGTAGGTAAGAGTATTGAAAATTCTCTAAATAAACAAATGTTTAAAAATTCTACTCCTCTAATTCCCTTCTGACTAAAACTTATAATTCTCTCAATTCATTAATATGTTCCCCTATTTATCCATTCTAAATATACTGGAGAGTCTAATTTAATTGAATGAAACCTTCCTCGGCTTCTATTAACTTAGTATGGTCACATCCATATGATTCTATATCAATCTAAGTCAAAAATTGAATATTAATTAAATGGGATTTAGCAACTAAAATTTATACTAATCATTGCTACTTAATACTTCTAAAAGTACCCAAATTACAGCAACTCTGCTAATCATAATTATTAATAATAAAAACGGATTTCAAAAGCAATTAAGTACGAATTCAGATATGTATTATAAAAAAATTAAAAACAATTTAATAATGCAAATAATCTGTTTGGCTAATATCAATTAAGTCATGTTTTTCATTCTCTATACCTATTCAGAATCGAATGAAAGCTTTAATATAGAGACAATTCTCCAAAAATTGGATTTTTATCATGTTGAAAATATAGATGTCCTTTTGTTCTTAGAGGCATATTATAAGTTGCAAAATATGACTTACTCAAACTAATAATTATGTATCATCACTTTCTATTATTTATTAAAATAATTGAAGCTTAAAATTTGATTATCGGTAGAATGAAAATAAAGAAAATCTTTTACAATTTTGTGTTGAACCAAAAATAAGTAGAGGAATTGGATGATTAAATCAAAAATACTCTCAAATATCAAGCATATTATTTTTATTATTCCTGGCATATCTTAAGATTTTAGATTTGAATTGACAAAGGGTTGCTGAAAAATTAGTAGAAAAATGTTATGGTTTCTTACAATTTACATCTATCCAATAATCAGATTGAAGTTTTGATAATATAACTAAAGTAGAAAATATTATTTGTCAGTTTTATATTAATAGGGGAATTCTGCATCTAGATAACTAAAATAAGAATTATTAGGTAAGTACATTTTAGGAAAGATTTTGTTTAGATTTTAGAATATCTTAATGTAACTTAAAAATCAAAAATGAACAGAAGTTAACAAATGTAAACTTTGTAAGTTAAAAACCCTGATAAAAAGTTTAAACGAAATTCTATTAAATTATTATAAATGTCTTTTCTTGACAAATGTATTTCACTAAAAAAAATACTATTCTCTTAAACTAAATGAGAAATTGCAAAATGATAGAGAATGAAGAATAGCTCTTATGCTCGAATAATTAGCATATTCCTAGTCCAGCTATTGCTATATTACTTGATAAAGATCTTGAAGGAACGTAACAATTAGTATGTCAATAATGTGTACTAAATCATATAGGATGTTTAAATGGAATTTCGATCACTTAAGGATTGGTTAGAATACAATAATTAAAGGAACAAATTTTTGATCAAATTGGAATCCTCTTTTAAGAAACTTTTCATTATTTGAAGATTTTTCAAGAAAAAATTTTATAAGTCAAACAAGAGTTTTTACAGACCATAAATTAAGTTATCGATCCCCTTGAATTATGGATGAAATAATTAGAAGAACTAAAAGAAGGCTATTCCTAATATAGTATATATACTGAGATTAATAATCTTACTAAACCAACCGATTTACTAATAGAATAAGAAAAATAATAATTTCAAAACAGGATATAAAAAATAAATAATTAATATTTGACCAAGACTGCTTAATATTTAAAAGTATTAGACAATTTCATAGCAGATAAGAAATTACTTCTAAAACTGAATTAGTTATAAGATTCAACTTCGAATAAAGAAAAAATACTTAACGAAGAGAGTGTTAATACTGGATAATAAAAAGAGTCAAATCAAGCAATTAGTTAAAGCTATAAATAAGAAAGAATATAACATAAATTAATTCAAGAGGTTTATTAAGAACAAGAGTGCCATGCATTAGATTTTAATAAAGATAACTCCCTTGTAGCTGCATCATGTAAAGAAAATATTAAAATCTGGAAATTTATAGAAGGATAGTTGATTAATCAAAATATCTTGTTGACTGGTCATGAAAGTGATGTTTTCTGTATTTTATTCAGTAAAAAGATTAATTGGATTGTATCTGGTGACAAAACTAATCAAATTAGAAGTTGGATTGAATGTAAAGATGTTCAAGGGAAAACTTATTGGTAAAGCTCTTTACCCCTTGAGGTGCATAAATCTGAGATTTTATGTCTACATTTAAATAAAAATGAAGATGAATTAATATCTGCAAGTGGAGACAGTACGATAAAGGTATGGGGAGTCAACTGCAACTTAAATAAAATAGAATTCTAATATTCCCTTGAGAAACACACAAGTTATGTTGATAAAATAAGCTTAAATTCAACAGAAACGAATATGGTATCTTGTGGATGGGATCAATAAATTATTGTATGGGAAAAGGATGATAGTAAAAGATGGTAATTTAAATATATAGTTGAATAATCTATTGAAGATATTGGATTCAGAATAGGATTTTTATAAGATGATACAGTTGTTTGGTGTTAGCTTTGCGAACCGTTTTTACATGTTTTCAAATTGTAAAATGGAACATTTTAAGAAAGGTCAGATTTAATAGTTAAATTACAAAATATAAAAACTGAAAATAATTATAATGACTTTAATCTTTTTTAATTAAAATATTTACAATAAGAAAAAGTGCTAATCTTTAAGTATAACCGATATGTGTATTTGATGAGAGAGACTTTAGATTCCACTTTTATTTTTCCTTGTGAACCTATTGATTGCTAATCAATTGAATGCTATGGTAATATAACAGATAATGGAAGGTATTTAATAGTTTGGAATGAACATTCAAAGTAATTATAAAGTTTTGAAATTGAATATCAATGAATAAAAATAATTTTTACATTAAATGAACAAACATAATTAAATAAAATGGAAAATTTTCATTATCGATTTTGAATTTCTCACCTATGATAAGATAATTAGTAGAATTTATTCATTTCGATATTGTAAAATTTTTTGTGCTAAATATGTTATTACAACTTTGGTTTTTAGAACTCTAGATTATTATTATCATCTTTTTAAAAGTGATCAATATCAAAAATAACATCACTGAGATGAATTTTTTTTATTGGGAAATTAAGGAAAGAAAATTGATAGATGAAAAATGGATAGACAGAGAAAGAGACTTTAATTGGATGATTAATAAACTATATAATTCTGATTAGAATCTATCAATTTATTGATTATTTTAGTTAATTTGTCTCTTCTTTAACTTCAATGAACATCTAAGTAGCACTCTTCTCCCAATTCAGCATAATCAATCTCAAGAATAAGACTAAAGCACTCACTGACAATCCACATGCCCATCCAAACCATAATCCCTTTAATCCATAACCATGATAATATCCCCAATATATTCCTGTACCTATTCCTATAGCATATTAGCATAACAATTGAACATTGATAGTAAATGTTACTTCACCCAGAGCACCCAAAAGATTAGCAAGCATAATTTACATCCCACCGATTGTAAGTGTAGGCAAGAATAATTTTAAGTTGTTAGACAATATAAGAGATGTTTCATTATCCATATAAAAGAGAGCAATCCATTATTTCTTAAATACTACCAATAGGAAACTCAACAATATTCCAGTCATAAAACTTGTTGCTAAGTAATGCCAGACATGTTTTCTTCCCTTTTCATATTCCTGATCTTTGAACAGTCTCCTTATTCTAGAAGCAGCTGTCATTGCTACACCCAAAAAAAACATGTACAATGCTTAAGCTGTGAATATGAGACACACACAAACCGAGAATTCTTCATAGGTTAGCCACAATGCGACAAACCCCATTATTTCGAACGACACATTTTATAGATAGTTTTTGAAGGAGGAATGCAATAATCCATATGAAAATTGAAAAATTGATTTTAAAGTTCTTCTGTCCCATTCAATCCATGCAGGATGATTTTTTTAATATTTAAAGATATAAATATACAAAAGCAGAGTAGATGTACAACTTGAAAAATTCTTACACCATGCTGCTCCTCTTATGCCAAGATCCATATATACTATGAATTATTTAGACAAATAAATATGCAAGATCTTTTTATATTAATGAAATTATTTACTGTAGTAAATGTGTGTATTACTAATACTGGATAATCAATGCCCATTGACTTCAAATAATTCTTGGTGCAATCAAAATAAGTGAATGCATACAATGCAGGTAGCATTTCCCATACGTATTGAATAGCTTTCTATGCTACAATTCTTTGATAATTAGAATAACTTACATTGGAATATTGAATTAGGAAAGGATATATGTTGAACCAGCTATAGCAGGAGTTATCACGATCAGAAAAACCCCATTCAATAATAAAGATCTTTAGTATGAGATCCCAATCTTCACATATTGATGCTATTTAAACTATCTAGTCATAATTGTAGTGATGCTAGAATTCATACAAAGCAACAGTCCTTTCACTAATAAATTCACATATATTGTCCCAAAGCCTATCCCAATCACGTCTTCAATAATCATAAATCATTACTGTCTCTTCCTATGATGAAATACATATTCACTAACGTTGTAAGAATACTCAATTCCTATTTTCATAAATTTCCACAATATACCATTCCAATAACGGTAGGCAGTGCCTTTACCAATAACGTTTCGAAACTGGACATAAACTGAGAAAACGTTGTGATTTCCATATTCTCCTCTGTCATCTATACCAATTATATAATAAATTAAGAATATAAATCGAATTGGATATTGGACTTCACCCAATAAAATCAAATAAACTTTGTATTCCATCATATTAATTGGTATTACGAAATATGGATGCCAATAAATGAGCTCTCACCTTATACAAAGAAAATCAATACATTTCTCATTCTCCAAATTGATTTCTCATCAAATTTCCGTTGTCTCCTCTCTTAGCATTTAAAAAACAGGGCTCCTATCTTTTTTAAATAGACTCTCTCCTCCATAGTTATTATATACATTTTGTAACTTGATCAAATCCAATTAGAACTGATTAAATATACAACAATTGTCTATACTTTCTTATTGAGCATAATTTTAAATGGATTCACTTATTCTTTATTTATTGTAAATAATATTTTTATCTTAATAGCTTGATTCCTACTCATTTCCTCAATATATTAGTATTCTCACAAATTAGAATTATATTTAAATGGGTTATACTTAAAAATTCCAAATACTGACACTAATTGTTATTTATTATAATTCTAATAATTTAGATTCAATTAATTAGGAATGAATCTAAGCTTTGAAAATAAATTAACAATAATTACTGCAAATTATCTTTCAAATAATTGTAAAATTACTGCTTAATCTAACTAGTAATAATTTTTGTTGAAAAAATTAAATTTAGTAAAATAAAATATTATTATTATTAAATACTCAATATACTTTTCATTTATTATATAATAAACTTATTTATAAGTTCAATGATTAAATAGTGTGTTTTTCTTCAGATCATTTTAATTGTCATTTAAACATCTCACACAACAGATCCATCAGGATTAATAAATCAATTAGAATAGTAAAATAATAATGCTTAAATAAACATCTTATTTGGAGAATTAGAATACCTTAAGAAAACATAAGAAATTATTCCATTAATTATTTAAATCCAAAGTAGTTTTTTAAGCAAAGATAATTCCTAAAATTGAATTAAATAAATATTTAAATAATAATATTATTCAAAATATATGATTACAGAAATAGATTTAAACGATATAATAATTTAAATCATCTTAGATCCTTAAAAGTTAAATAAAATTTCTCTTTGATTTAACTTAACTTATTATAATTATCTGAATATAAATTTTTATAAACGAAGTGAATTAACGTTGATATATATACTGATTAATTAAGTTTCTATATATGAAAATTTTAGTTCAATCAATAGAAGCACTAAAATCCATAATATCAATATTAAACAAATATCAAAGGCAAAATTAATTATTAGAATTATCATAATGCCTTCAAATAATATACATTTTTTATTCGAAAGTCTACTTAAGTCTTTGATAATAACTTTCAAATGAGGCTAAATTTATAACCTTTCTTTAAATTGTCTTTTAATATCCTCATAAATTACACAAAATAATTGAAGATTGTCGAAAAAATTTCTAAGTTAATGTTTACTATAAACTATCATTTAAGGGTAGGGGCAATTTACAAAAATAAGTTCTTTATTCTGAAACTTCAACTATGCTGTTATTTAAAATTCATATGATAATATCAGATTATCTAAGGAGATAATTGTAATTATGATTCACAGGAAACCAATTCACCTAAGTACTCTGTTGTAATATAAAATAAGAAACTAATTCTTAATAAAACTTGAGTTGGATAATGAAATAAAATAATGTTATGCTAATAATATAGGAATATTCCTTATTAACAAATTCATCATGCTTAACTAAATCTATATTTAATTTATATTCAAAAAAGGTTAACAAATATTAAACTATATATATTCTTAGACTAGAATTCTCATAACAAATATATCATTTTCTTCCTTGTTTTATTTATTTATTTTATAATTAATAATAATTTTAATTTATGATAGTATTTTGTGCTAATTCATTGCCTTAAGTCATTGCAAATTAAGGTCTCCGATAATTCTAGGTAATTTTATAATCTTTGAAACCTTAACTGATACTTAATCAATGTGGAGGAGATATTGAAACACGAGCACAATATTTTAAAAAGCATTTAAGTAAATTCAATGAACCATTTCATTTAATTGGTTATGGGATTGCTGGATTGGATTTAAGATATGTTTTAAGTCAAAACGGCGATATTCGAGCCAAATCTTTAATTACTATTGGCACACCTCATAGGGGATCAATTTTAAGTGATTTGTATAGAAGAAGGAGAATTGAAGATGATGTTATTGAACCAATTTGCAGAGTATTAGGAGTTAGATATAATTTCTTTGAGGAAATTAATAGTGAAAATATTAGAGATTTCAATTTGGTGGCCACAAATTAAGAAGCTATCAAAGTAATAAAGATTAGAATATACAGTATTTTAGTTTGAATGCAGAGACAGAAGTTGGTTAGATGTCTTAAATTTATCAAGCTAGTGGTACTATCATAGAAAGTGAAAAAGAATATCCAGTAGAGAGTGGATCAGATGGAGTCTTTGCTCATAATGAGACGAAATGGGGACAACACGTTGCTACTCTGGATTGTGATCATGGGGCAATGATTGGAATACCAAACTAGAGAAATGGGGAATAAACTGTGGATATAATTTAATAATTGATCTAAGATTTATGATCAGATAAAACAAATATAATGTAATAATTGTCAATGTAATTTTTCATATTTTAGTTTATATCTATTCATAATATATTCTTAAGAAATATTGTATTTTTGTAGAAACCCTATTATTTTACAAATATTTACTACAATATTAATGATTTTAGTAAGTTTTTATTTGTATTCTGCTGAAACAATAATGTTTTTTTTATGAAAGAAATAGAATTATATTTAATATTTTCCAATATTGACCTACTGTTTATATTTTGGAATAATCATATTTGAATTCATTTAATATTTATTATATTCATAACTTATTTTGAAATACGTTCTCTTGGATGTTTTGATAGTAATTTTGGGAATGTCCCTATAGATTGAAAAGAGCGAGGCAACTTGCTTACACTATTGGTCAAGGCATTGGGTGGTATTTAAGGTAATTCAAGTGTGATAGTAGGAACAGGTTAGGTGGGTTTACCAATTTCAATTGTAGGTTTCTTAATAAATAAAGGATGCTCTTTTTATTTATTGAGGTCATTAGATTAAATAAGTAATCCATCTAATTATTCTTCACTGAGTATTGAAATGGAACCATTAAGTTTTTACAAAATGTTAGATGTGATTGAATGATTCACAGTAGTTTTAGGTTACCGAAAGCTGAGCAGACTATCATTATTTTACAAATGGGGTTGATCTTCCTAAAATGTTCTACTAGTTTTGCTCTGTTAGATCTAGGGTTAGGAGATGGATAATTATAGAGTTTTGTTTTGAAATTGGTTGCTAGATTATTATGAATTTGTTATGGTTTGGTATTCTAACTTTGTCATGTGTACATTTTGATTTAAAAGGGTATTCTGTAATTCATTATTGTCTTTAATGTCCATTAATGGCAAGGGTCTATCTTTTTTCTTTTCAGATTTGCCATCATAAAATGAGACTCCCTCTTTCATGACTATTAAGTCTATCTAAGGCACAGTGGTTTTGATTGCAAATTGATTCATAGAGTTTTAATAGGCACTCTATCTTTCTATTAAGTCTATCTAAGGCACAGTGGTTTTGATTGCAAATTGATTCATAGAGTTTTAATAGGCACTCTATCTTTTCCCGGAAGAGATCAATTCAGATTATAGCTTATGATTAGGAATGAGGTCTCTCACTTCAACAAGATTTCTTTTTTCTTGAATGTTTTAATGAGACTTTGGATATCTATCAATATCAGGTGGTTTTTAGACAATTACTTTACCCTCAAAGTCATATGTATATTTAGCTGAGTATAAAAATTGTATTTGTACATTTAGAGTCAACATTCAATCGCTTAAGTTGTCTAGTTTATTCTTGAACCTCTTAGTTTTTTATCTTATCATTTTACAGCTTTAGCTATTGTATTTACATCTACCTCAATTTAGCTTATCTCATGCTTTCAATGTTTGGGTCAAATTCAATATCATCATCCAACTCACCCATCTTGATTAATTAGCATTCATAGAGATCTGCGTTGCTCTAAGTTTATCCCATTGAGATTTTGGTTAATTTCTTCGTCTCGCTTCTCCGAATGGGAGAATGTTCTTAAGACTTTACTAATGCAACTTGTCCTTGACATCTTCTCCAGTGATCAATGTTCACTGGATTGGGTTCGTCATCCTCGAATATAGTATCATCATAATCATCATTTGATATATAGTGCTTTTTAGTAAGGGTCTTGACTTGATCTTAAAACCACTGATAACCAATCAGAGGCATTTAGGATTGTATATAATTTTCACCCACTATTACACTTCCCAAATGAACTATCAATTTGATAGAGTCTCTAGCAATTATATGAGACTCATTAATTTGTTACAACAGTTACTCTGTAAAAATGTCCATTAAATAATAATTCAATTTATAATGTTGGCAAATAATATTTGTGTAAATTAAAAGTAATATTGTGAAAATACACAAATACACTTTGCAATAATAAATGGCAAAATTACATATGAATAATTCTTGTAATCATTGTCATTATTACTTTTTTCTTAGAATATTTCTTTACTGCTTAACTATTTATAATAAATTAAAAAATGTAATAGATTGATTATTTTAAAAATGTAAATTTGAAGATCCTGTTAAAAAACAGGATAAACATGTCAAAATTCGATTTGAAGTTGTATATTAAGTAAAACATGAAGATGATTATAATTTTTAACTCTTTTTTGCATAAATATGAATCAATACTGAATGGAAGAAGAAAAATGTTTATGAAGGCATAATTCAAAATATTCAAGAAATATTTTATGATGATTTATCACTATGGTAGTATGAATGAGTTATTAATAATTGAATTTAAATTTGTAATGGGTTACTGGATAATTACTAATTGTTACTATTGAAATTAATGACAAGAGAGGAATGCTATTCCTGTTGAAATTAAAATCAATAGTGTGTCATATAGCTAGAATTATGTTCATTTAAATTAGTTATATTATATAATTTAAGAGATCATTTAAATTTTAATTGAAGTAGAGTCGATTTCTTGTTTGATTATGAGATTTAAATTTATTACAAGCATGAGTTAGTGAAAACACAATTCGATGGAGAATTTAATTATATTTGATTAACTCAAATATTAAGTGAATATTAAAATTAATAAATAAAAAATAGCAAGAATGCTTCCTTCGAAAACTTCTCTTTATGAAAACATTGAAGAAGCTTGTACTAACATTTTAGAGAAAAACATAGATGTTAGTTTGCAATAAAAATCAAAGATCAATAGGTTTTCATTATCAAATTATTATAGGGAAATTGATGAATATATTAAAAATTAAAACAACGATTAGTAATAATAAGAGGCCAAGATGTTTATCAAAGTGGCATTAGATTGCATAAAGAAACATTATGCAAAAAATGTAAATGAAGAAATTATGTATGATAGATTCTCCCTAAATTCTAAGATAAATATAAGGATGCTTTATATCATGTTGAAACATTCCTTCAGATACATACAACCTTCGTGAAATCTATGAAATCATTCAAATTCCTGTTGTATTAGGCTGTAATCAAATCTAAATTATTATTAAGGCGCAAAACTTAGAATAAGAGAGCATTCCAGGGTTTTACTCAAGCTTGTTCGATAATATATTTGTTCAGGAGTTGTAAATGGTGTTTAAAAGTGTTTTGTTTAAATGTGTGGTTGATATGATTAAGACTGTAATTTTGAGTGAGATATAATTTTTAGGCTTGCGAAGAGGAACAAAAGCAATTAAAAATTAGCGATTTGCTTTATAAATTTGGGAATGTCATGTCCTAATTATAAAAATCAACTGAAGAACTTTTAGATTTTAAAATCGAACAAGAATTTAAATAAAAAATATTTGATTATTTCGAAGAGAAATATTAATAGAATTATAAATCCTGGCATCAAAGCTTAAACACCTAGATGTATTTGAGGAAGGTTTAACAACAGAAGGAGATTAATGAGAAGGTCTTGAAGTTTGGAGATAAGACAATCTTGGAATAGGTGAATAGAATACTCAATTCGCATCTATTAACTTACTATAAGCCATACTTATTGGCAGATACTAACCCCAATAATTTCGAACATCTTTTGAATGAATTTCACAAAGAACCTGTACTTTAATTATAGAACCTAAAATTGATTGGAGATTTATATGGCAGTTTGGATGATCATTATGATTAGATAACCACCAATTTTAAGAATATTATAACTTAAGAAGGCCAGGCAATCATGTAAAAAAAGAATCATTAGATTGTTGAAACCAATTAAGATTAAATATTTTCAGATCCAGCCTTTATTGGATAATTTTATAGTCTCTATTAGAAATATTCGTTATTGATAGAAAGTTGTTTTGCTTAAAAATCAGATTTCATCATGGCTTTAAATAATGCATTTGAATCATTTATCAATTTGCCCATTGGAGTAATTATATTTATGATATTCTAAGAATCATGAGTTTGCTGATTATCTTGTGACCTTCATAGGCGAATAGATAGAATTGCTAAGGAATTCACCAAAGAATGCTACAAAATCACCTGAATAGATAGTAAAGTTGTTTGTATTTATAAATCAAAAGGCTAGATTTTTAAAAGTATTAAAAATGTTTATCAAATTAGTTATATAAAATATCATTGGCTTAAAGATTAATAAAATATTAAAGGCAAGTGGAGGCAAAGAAAAATAAACAAGCTTGTACGATTGAGATGAATATAGTTGAGGAGATGGAAAAAAAATGTGGTGCTCAGGATTTGGAATCATTGAAAATAATGATCAAAGATTTCTAGAAGACTGAAAATGAAGTAACTAAAATCCAAGAAGAAAAAGGATTATACAAACTATAAATTCAACCACCCATCATTATTAATAAATAGCATTGGCCAGAAATAGATGAAATTTAATTAAATTTACAATCAGAAATAATCACTTAGCAAAAGGAGATTATAGCTAAGAGATAATAGCAAAAGACTTTGATATGGTTAGATCTAATCTCTTATGTTGAAATATAATCTACTGAAAAAGCATTGACATTTAATTTAAGTGTTCCACAAGCAGTCATCTTATTGCTTTATCAATACAGAAATGATATTCTAGATGTGAATCGCATATCATCCTTAACTGGGTTGAAGGAACAATATGTTATTCATAATTGTAAAATGATGAAGGATGCCAAAATATTGGATGAACAAATTGTCAATGACTAAATTTGCTATCAATTTAATGAAAACTTAACCAAGTAAAAAAAAGGAAAATCCAAGAAAATTGTTACTGAAACATACTTCCCTTAGAATTAGGTTGAATAAGGTAATATATCCATTTACAAATTTTAGTTGTGTCTGTCTATGATAAGGATTTGGCTATTGAGGCAGCTATTGTGAAAATCATGAAGAAACAAAAAGAGATGCAATTCAGTGATTTAGTAATATAAGTGTAAGGACACATGAAGAAAAATTAAAATGTTGAAATTCCTTTTGCCTAAATTAAATAAATGATAGAAAGATTATAACGAAACGAATACTTAGAAAGAGATGCAAATAATATGTAATTGATAAAATATAAATGACTTAATTAATAGAACATATCATTAAATATATACAAATCACATTTAAGCATAATTAATTCATTTCTTTTTTCTTAATTATTTATCTCTCCTTTATTAGTTTTCTAGATATTCCTAATAAAATTAACTAATCAAATACTTTATGTTTCATAGTTAACTCAAAATCATTAAGTTACCAAGACACCAAATCCAATCTATTTTATGAATCGGAAGCTAGTGGATACTACTCCGGATAAACCTCAAAAGGAAAGTCTGTCATAATATTAAAAGTGTTTCTCTCGTCAACATTGAAATTTTTACCTTCAGATTGCCACCTTATATTATAACATTATAATTACAATCCATCAATTTTACTCAAAGCAGGATATTTTTAAGCAGAACCTTGCAATCCCTAATACTTTTTATATCCTAACTTTTTCCATCTCGAGACTTCCTTCTCATCAATTTTATATATGGAACCTTGAAAATAATCCAATGGCATCTTTTTCCCAAACAATCCGCAAGGAGGATTGAAGTACAACTCTCCCAAATATTCATTTACATAATCAATACAATAAATGGGACCCTCCAAATAAAATATTCTATCTCCAATTGTTATACCACCCAAATAACCTTTGCAATTATTGAATTCAATCTTTGTACCGTTTTCAAACTCCAAATTTACCTTACCAAAATTTTAACCCGTAATTGAATTTAAACCTAAATTGGCTTAAGTTTCAAAATGTCCATTAATATTGTACCCTTGTCCATACATCATAAATGCAGCAATCGGTGGGTGATGACTAATCTGTTCTAGATAGAGGGGGCAACCTTTAATCCAACATTAAAAGGTCTCACCAAGAATTGGGTTGAAAGGTTTTTCTAAGGATAGATACAATATATTGATTGATACAATGAAGGCTAATGCGGCTTTCATTTAATCAAGTGGAGTACTATTAACTACAGGCTCTAAGAAATGAGGAGCATAAGAAAAAGAGCTAGCGAATCTTTGTAGGTTAGTTCTTCTCTCAAAAATGTGGACAGGAAGAGAAATATGAAGTATGCTTGTCCTTAGTAGACTTTGGCCAATTTTTTATAAGATATAATACAAGACCTTCTTTTATTAAGCTAACTTTTCATCATTTACAAATTTCAAATAGCCCTTCTAAGCATCGTATACCCAATCTGATTAATAGAAAAAGTGCTTTCCATCCTTATCTTTTTCATATCTTTCTAATTAAATGTTGTGTTGCGGTTTGGTTTGATAATAATGAATTTATTAAAGATGATGCACTTGTTGTTCAATATCTAAAAGTCTATCACATAAAAATTAATGCAATGACTCTTTTGTATATTTGGAGATTTGATAAAATTATTATATATTGTCATTTTTTAGATTTGATGTTATTCGTTATTATTCTGATCGAATATCCTCCTAAAGAAAGGAATCTCTATTTTAATTGTCTCCATCCAAAGAAAAGTTATCATTTAATTGGCTCGTTTAAGATGATAAATTTGGTGATACAGTTTAATCTTATTAAGCAGATCTAACACCTTAGGATTTAAATGTTCTTTTTATTTATTTATTTTTAAGTTGTTCATATCTATTAATCAAGCTCATGGCCTCACTTACAAATATTGGTAAATTAACATTACCAATTTATTACCTTCTATTTTCTTCCTTTAAGAATTATTTGTAATTTTGATATTGTTGAATGTAATTCAAAATTAACTGTTAATCTTAATGTTAAGTAATATAGCCCTTGTTATAGACAAGAGTGTCAACAATCATAATTTTACTTTGAAGATCTTACATAAAAATTCCTATTATATTCCATTCAATAGATCCATCATTTTCATGGTTTTCGTATGATTTTTCTATAATGAAAAAGGAATCTTTGACTGGGTAAATATATCTCAAGAACTTGAAGGCTCTAGGTTAATGAATAAAACTTAAGGGTTCTCTGATTTCTTCTATTTATGCTAAGAATGGAGTTGCTTAGAGTATGATGGATTGATTTTTGACTTGCTTGTTCCATTTCATCAGGGAATAGGGATCATAAAGTGAGGTTATTAGTATTTCAAGGGATGTTTTTGGTAGGGACACATAAACTCTAAAATTATTTTTGTTTAATTTTGATTGCATTATCCTGGCACAATGTTCAAATGAAATGAGAGAAAAGTCATGATCATCCATTAGGAATTCAAGATTCAACTTTTCTTTAAGAGTCTCAAAAATAACGGGTAAATTTTCTTGTATAATTTGTTCTTCTATAATTATTGCTTCATGTTCTATATATTGTAATTATGATTTGGACTAAGCGATTTATTTGGTAATCTTTGTGTCATCAGCTTGCTTTCTCTTAATGGTTGCTGTGCGATATCTGTCTCTTGTATCGAAATTCTTGGCTTCAACTTCTAACTCATTTTTTAAGATTATTGTTTTAGATCGTTCCACATTTTCTTATTTGCAACATGTTTGGAAGTATTCAATCCACTTAGCGATTTCTTCCTTATCTTCACTCCCTATGATGATGTCTTTGATCTAAGCATTTGGATCTCGACATAATAATTCATATTGATATCTGCCTCTTAAATAGCCTCGGTAATTAATTAGAAATTCCGTCAAATCTATTAAGTAGGGTTTTTCCTTTGGATTTTGTCGATGAATCATCAATTCTCTTATGTCTAGATCAATTTCAATCTTTTTCCTTGACCATAAAATGGTACTTTTACCCAAAATATCAATTTCACCAACCACTTTCTTTTGTTTGAAGAATAGATTGAATAAACTAATCAGCAATTCAATTTTGGATTCCTTGTTAAGTTTGAATAATTAATTTAATTCGTCAAATGTTAGTTAATCGTAGTCCAATGAATTGAGTTCCAGAGTTGGATCAAGAAGCGAATTCTAAAGTAGTTCCATCTTTTAGACAAATTTAATTGGTATTGCTCTCTGAGTTGATGGCTCTGCTCATAAAGTAAATTGATACTTTGTGAAACTCTAGAAATACGATTGAACATTGGTTGTAATTTCTCCATTTCGTCGGAATTCATTAATTACAAATAAAATATTATTTTATAAAAACAAATCATATTATTACATACTATTCAATCTTATAAACTGGTGCAGATTTGTATAAAGGCCATTCATTATTATATTTTTTGATGAATTGTGTTTAAATAAACAACAACTAAGAATGGAAGGAGCACGTCATGAGCTGTTAAAAACCAGTTGTTGTTAGTTTTTTTGCTGAATGGTAACGATATTGAAATTAATCCATTATAGGTGTGCCCCATGTCATAAGTTGAATCCTCAACTCATTCAAGAAGCTTAGAAGAATTGTGAAAAATGGTAGCTAGCCCTAGTTAATGTTGACAATGAAGAACTTTACGATGTTGTGCAACAAATAGCGGTATAGTTTAATATTGATTTAATTTAGAAGGCCTAAATTCCATCTGTTCATCTTCTTAATAGAGGAACTTCTATTGATTCTATGACTGGATATAGCGAAAGAAAAACCAAATCCTTTATAAATAGGGTTTGCAGTTGATTTTAATTACTCCTTTAAACATGTCTTTTATAAAATAAATTATCAAATAGAAGGACGTATTTGTCCATTTAACTTTGAGAACAATGCCTTTCTTTAGGTAACGTGAAACTGATTTTAAAGTTCTAAATTTTGCGCCTGCCTTAATTGCCTTCTCACTTCACCTCGTATTTCGTCCAGCACTCTCTCGCCATCAGATTCCCACAAAGCTTCCTTAATAATGAAGCCATCTTCCAAGGAAGGGTGAAACAGATTTTTGAACATGTAATACTCACGATTGATGTTACTGATTTGAATTATACTGTCAAATAGTTTTTCATATTTCTCTCTTTCCTCAGGTTCTTCCATTTTATGAGGAGCATAAATAGGAGGACTGATAGGATGTTTATATGGGATTCTAGAAAACTATTTCAATATGAAATGTTTCTCACATATTCAGGATAATCTGACTAGAAATCAAAAGGATGATAACTTAAAATGGTCTTTCCAATTATTATTAATACAACACCTTTCATTAGTCCCCTTGTTATTGAAATCCCAATCTCAGGTTTAAGAATTTAGAAATATTGCATAAATTAAATAATCTTAAATAATTTAGTGTAATTCTTTCTAAGTCTTATATTTCTGCGTCTAATAAAAAAAATTTTAAATTTATCTTAAATATTTAGATGTTCTATATCAAATACTAGTTATTTATCAAACCATTCTAAAATTCTTTATTGTGATAACACAAAATAAATTTTACAACTTTTCGTTATTAATTTTCAAATTTACACAAAACTCTTAATCGAATAATTTGCGTTACTATTTATTTTTTTTGGTACCAGCCTATTGCAATTACTAAATTTCTCTCTTTTTTTAATCAAATTACTTTCAAACAGTTAATCAAATATGAAAATTATCATGGTATTTAGATAGTCAGAGAAAGATCTAAAATGACTTAAAAACTTATGACCTATTATATTTTATGATTTTAGTAGAAACATGAAATATAAAGCTCTTAATTATAGAAATCAAATCTTCTATTGTTTTTAAAGTATCAAATATTGTTTCTTAATTAATTCCATTATGAATTATTTCACTCTAAGATTTCATGACTCTAAGCTGGAGCGTAAATATCAAGAAAATTATTCAAATGAACTCTATGATGCTTTTAAATACACGATGCTTTTACTCTCTTTATCAAATATAGTTCTTAGCATATTTTGGATTTAAAGGTAACAATTTACTCTTGGATGCATGATGATCATTATCTGCTTGGGATAAACAATTACATTCTACTACATACTTATTAAAAAACGATTTATCACTCTAGTTGGCTACCTAATTTCCATCCTTAGTTTACTTTCATCATTTTATCAATTTCTGCCATATTTTTATACAGAATTTCAATAAAACGAATTCATTTGGATATTTGATATCTCCTAATTCATGGCACTGAATTTTGCTTTATGCCCAAATTATATATTAAATCAGTTTCTTTAGTTTCTATTTGTTTCATCTCGATTATTTATGAGGAACTTTGCATATTTGAATCCATATTCCTTTATTTTCATATTATATTTGATACTATTTTGGTAAAAAGAGTATTTCAGATAAAAGCATAACAGAAATTAATTTTTCTTAAAAGAACAGTAAAAATAATCTTTGTATTTATGGGATACCCTAATCTAAGAAAAAATAGTGTTATTATCCTATGATGAGACTTGGAATAAGATTGATTTAGTATTTGCGAATTCATCAATCAAATAAATGATTGATTTAGATTCTAAAGAATTTTTAAAAGATTTTAGGATTTCCAATATTAAAACAAATTTTTATCAATATTTATTAGACCGGATTCAAGATAAGACGTTTCAATTTCAAGTGAAAGTTGTACACATTTCAAAAAAGAAATATGTAATAGATTGCATAATGAATAAATTAATTGAATTGAATATATCATTAAAATTTTCAGAAGTCTAATTAGAGAAGGAGTATTAAAATAATTATTCCTATCTCAAGCTGTTAAAAAAGATTAAAATGATAGACAAATAACTCTACTATAATGAAATCCAAAAACACATTATATAATAGTCATACTACTTAAAAAATGTAACAATAGATTAAGTTGAGTAACTAACTCTTTCTAAGTTGCGGGCTTTTATCAATTTTATATTGAAGAAAAATCCTACAAAGGTCTTATTTCACCTGCAGCAGTTTAATACAATTTTGCCCCTAGTCTTTACTTTGATTAGTTGTCTAAAAAAATTATATTAAATTAAGGAAATTCATTTTATAGAATTGAACTAAAACGAAATCAACTTTATTCTAATTGGAAGAGAGAAAAAAAAACTCCCTGAAACGAGAGTGGAAATTTGCAAAAAAATAATCAATCATATTGTGGATTAGGTTGGGTTGTATGAATGTGTTTTTTATATAACCTAATTTAATTGTACTTTAGTAAATATGTAATTTAAAATCGAATCAACTCCTTAGTAAAATTATTAAATAAATATTATAATAGCTCATTTGAATGATTTTAACCAGAATCAGATCTTGATAAATTAATGTATTTAATCCAATCAATTTTCATATACCTTAAGCCATCTTATACAATTTTTTATTATATAATGCTTTAGACTTATAACATTTAAGTGCTGAAACAACAATTTTAATTTACTCGCTGAATTATATTTCCTAAGCAAATATTTTAGCACTAATTTGAAATTTATTTAATATAAATGGCCTTCCCTTTATTCATTTATTAAATCTATGAGAAGACACATTAAATGCAGGAAAATAATATTTATATTATTTATATTAACACTACTCTTCTTTAGATTTCTGATAAACCCAGGTGAAAGTGTGTTGTGCTATTTCAAATCCTACCTATTACGCATATATCTTTTATATATATATAATAGTTATATGCGTATAGATTGAATTACCAAAAGAAAAATAATGGTTTATTTAACAATTTATAATAATAATTATTAAATTAATTAATAGGAGTTAATTATAATAATTTCTATATAACTTTAAGTATGTGAAATTCAAATTGGATTCAAAAATTCTTAAACTCAAGGAACAATCTCAAACTTAGATTAACCAATTTAGTTGATGTCATATATTCTATTATTTGTTTGTTTTATCAGATTCCTATGTTTAGCAAATGTCTTACAAGAAGACATAAAAAAAAACGAATTTCTTAAATTCTTAAGAAATACGAAATGGATCGAAAAAAACAAATCCTCATGGTCAATTGGATATTTAGAATAGGAAACCATTTTTAATTTTTTAAATCAATATCTACATATATGTACATCATAAGAAGTTCACAGATTTGTCAATTACTTGGTTAAGTTCTTGACTCTTTTAATAATTGTGATTCCACTATTGGATAAGGTTTTCAACGTGGATGTTGCAATTATCAAAAATAGAATTGCTATGATTCTATTGAATGATCTAAGATATATGATCAGATGTGTAGGCCAGTAGTACGTCCTTGAATGTTACACCTTTGACCTCATTGGTTATGAGATCAATTGTGACAAGTCCATTCTTGTTGAACCATTTAGGATAATCTACAATTTTTTATAATAATTACGTTTCATCTACTCAGCTATTTGAGAAACCTATGCCATAAAACTGAAAGAATCTTAAAAAGACTGAAACTAGTATTTACGAACTAAACTACTGACATTCTAACTATATTTATAAGGTTTACAAGAGTCCAATTCGAGTTCAACTCATGAATGCTAAGAATTTGGTTAACTTCATCAGCATTCAATTTTGTGAACTTCTTAGTGGGTACATCCGAAAAATCCTTCAACAAATACTTCAAACCAAGCAGGTTAGCTGTAGTTCTTGTATTGTTAGAAGTGAAATTCCTATACATAGATATTAATAATGCTAAAACGATTTTCTTTAATTGGATTTAAATTAACTTAAAGTATGCAATTAATTGAATAATTTGTCATCATATTATACCTTAAGTTAATAAAATAAAATATTTTGATTTTATTAGATCTTCTAACCAAGTTGATAAATTGAATAATTCTGAATTTTTAAAATAAAAAAATATTAATAGCAATTTATCCTTTTAGATCAATAAAATACGTCACCTGTGCTTTTCACCTCTAATTTCGAAGAGGATAAATAATAACCATTTATTTCAAAAAAAAGATTACACAAATTTGGAATTGTTCTAATAATAAAAATAATTATTATAAATTTAATTATTATCATATATATTTTTATATATTTTATAAATATCGAAATCATCCTAATTAGAGATTTAGCCTACAAGTTTCAATGACTGCATTTTATACTTTTCCTTGGACAATATGACATAGCTTTTCATATTCAGCCCTTAATTTAATGTTATTCCCTTCTTGATTACTCATAAGTCGTTCTAATTCTAATATTCTCTAATGTTATAACTATAAGTTGGTTTTGTGTAAAGCGTATTGTCTTTCTTATAATATTCTTCTTTATTAAATATCATCCATTCCTCTATCTAAAATAGTATATCAATTACCTTTCTAAATGTTTAAGATGAAAAATGTTTCGTCTATTTTCCTGATTAAATTATCAATATGATGATCTAAAACAATATTATTGTTTATTAGTTTCTCTTATTTAATGCTTCTTTTGCTGATTTATAGATGTGTTTGATGAACCTTTTCCCTTTCTTATTATATTTATTCCTCAATTAATTATCTATCTCTGGTCAAATTTGTTTCTAATCTTTACATATCATCCTGGATAGATTGGCTTTCATTTTCAGCTCTCTTTTTTATTGATTAAGAAATACTTTCAAAGTCTATTAGGATTCCATCTCCCTTTTTTTTAGCAATTCGATTTAATGATTATATTTGGCTTTTTCTTCAATTAGAAGCCTACCTTCAACAGCCTTGACATTCTCATCATGATCCAATCTCATTTTTAAGAAGAACTCTTTCATCCTTAACAATTATTAGTTGTATTAATCATTAGCTTTCATTAATGAATTGAATTTGCTCTAAATGCCATCCAATCTAGGTTACCAATTTGCAGTAATCTAATCAATTTATAACTAAATAAGTTTAATTTAATATAAACCTTATTGTCATGTCTGATTTGGGATAACTCATGCATATATTCATTTTCTAATGCTAATACATGCTTATTTTTGGCGACATATTCATTCATCACTTCTTATTATCTGTAATCGCTAGCCTTGCCTAGTTCATCAAATTAGCGTTTAACTTAAGTATATTCTGCCTCAATGATAGATTTCCTTGTAACTTCCTCTTCAAAGTGCCTTTTAGCCATACTGACAGCTTGTTCTTTAGATAGTATCTCTTATCTTAAGGCATTCATCCTATTAGAGAGTTCTTCATTCATTAATCTGTTTTATCGCAATTCTTAATCAATTTATTCTTTCAATTAAGCAACTCTAATTGCATCATTTTTTTTGACTGCTCTTTCAGGTGGGTTTGTTGTGGCAGCAGTTTTTGGTATAGTTTTAACAGGCTAATATGTAATTCTCTATGATTCTTTGATTCCTGTTGAGTTTTTGGCCATCAAATCAGTTGATCTATTCTATTCAATCCTTTCTCTGATTTATGTTGCTAATCCTTCTGGTATCTTATTGCAAGAGACGTCTAAAAATTTTAAATTTCTATTGCCATTTAGTCCTTCTAACAAATATTGAGCTCCTTTTTCTCCAATTTCATTCCATTTTAAATTCAACGATTATAATGATGTATTCTGCTTTAACATTTAACATATTCTAGCACAATGATCAGCTTGGATTCTATTGTTTTTTAGGTCAACTAATTGTAATTGATATGAGGGATTCATTAATAAATCGCACAATGCACTAACACCTCCACCTATGGCATTCCATTCAGCAATCAATGTTCTTGCATCAGGACTTATCGAACGACAAATGCGTTCAAATCCTCTTCCATTTATATTACATCCTCTGAGTTCAATGTTTATAAATTGAGTATTTTGGGCTAAAAATTAGGCCACAACCACACAGCCTTCTTCATTTAGTATTTAATCAGATAATATTAGATTTGGAGCCTTCTGTGCTTCTAAAGCTTTCTAGAGCTTCATGGATTCAAATTTAAAATTAGTAGTTAATAAATGAATTATCGAGTATAAATAATATAATTACTTATATTAGAAATCAATATCATAAATTATTATATAATTTTGTTATATCATACTATTTGTAATTATAATTTTTATCATAATATATAAAGTATCTAATAAGAAAACTAAATATCAATTTGTGATAATTAAACAATATATTCCTTTAAAAGTTCAAAATAGAATTTCTTCGGTTTTAGAGAAGTTTTAGTTTCTAGTATTTAGTATCTGAGAATCCACAACCTTGGGACTGTCACAAACAAATGAATTTATTAATTATCATCGAGATATGAGTAATTCATCTATATTTTTGATTTCCATTGCCTATTAATCTACTGTAAAACCCAAGAGAATGTCCTTTACTGAAATACCTGAACAGTCGTTGATAGTCATCTCCACATTGATTACATTTTCCTTTTAGATCCATTTTGGATAATCTAATAGATATTTAGAATAAATAGAATATGATGCATATCTTCAGCAACTGCTGAAATAGATTCCGTGAATGCAAATGTCTCTTTAAATGAATTAAACTTAAATTCTTTCTTAATTTTTGTTGTGTCCTTTGTTGGATGCCATTAGAGGGAGTGAATTTCAAGTGCTGATGCAATTTCTTCTGAATTCAATTTTAGTTGCTTAAATTGATGAAACATCTTTGAAGTCTCTCACAAATATTTTTAAGGAATTGATTATAGCTAAATTTTGGTATTTATTTAAATGACGACCCTAATTCTAGAATCGCAAAGAACCTATCAAATGTTTATTAATACGAACCATATTAATTTTAACGCAATGTTATGATAAGTTTTTATTTTTTTATAATAATCAAGGAATGCTTCAATTGCCCATAGGATTTGGTATCTTATTTGGATCGAAATTCATTGGATATTGTTGATTTGGCATAGTTTGGCCAGGGTAGAATGCAGGTGGTTATTATTAGCCTGGAGGTGGTACCTAATTTGGCTAAGGAGGGGGTTATTAGCCAGGAGGAACATTAGGATAAGGCTGATTGATAGGAGGTAAATTTGGATATTATTGGCCTAGTGGTAAAGTCTATGCTTATTGATTTGGTGGCATTTGATTATTTGGATAGCCACCCTATGCTTAATTGTTAGGATAGTTTTAAGGTTAACCTCCTTGATAATTAGGAGGTTATTAATTATTAGGATTTGGTGCTTAATTTTGATTTGGGTACCCTTAAGGATTATTTTACATAGTTTAGGCATAATTTGGATATCCTTATTGATTAGGTTATTAGTTTGGTGGTGGATTTGGTGGATATCCTGGTGGTTGATTTGGTGGATAATTAGGTGGTTGATTTGGTGGATAGTTTGGTTGTTGATTTGGTGGATAACCAGGTGGTTAATTTGGAGGATAATTCGGTGGTTAATTTGGAGGATAACCAGGGGGTTGATTTGGAGGATAATTAGGTGGTTAATTTGGTGGATAATTTGGAGGTTGATAGGGTGGGTATCCTTATTATGGATTTGGTTAATATCCTTATTATGGATTAGGTGGGTAGTTAGGCATATAGCCTTACTGGGGATATTTTTATTATTGATTCTATGGATATCCTTAAGTTCCTTAGTAGCCTGGTTATGAATAAGGTGGTGGTTAGGGATATTATATTTATTATGGATAATTGGGAGGTTACTAATATGGCATTTGTTAATTGTATGGTTATTGATAATAAGGAGCTCCTGGAGGTTGCATTGGTATCACATTATTTTATTGATAATATTATGGGTTTGAAGGGATTTAAGCTTAAGGTTAATATTTTGAATCAGCAAACCATTCAAACGCAATGTATAGCTATCCAGCTGATTTTCCCTGAGTTGTTAAATATTATTTAAATTACTTTGTAACTTAAGTTGATCCATTCAGCTGGTTTAGGAACATCTACCAAATACGGTTAAATGGCTATGGAACATTCTCCAACTAAATCATCTTCAGTTACTTCATCAGCATCCCAAATTTGGATATCCACTAGGTACTCATTTGTACGTCTAAAGCTTAGGGATTGATTCCATGAAGGATGCTTTCCTGTTTATATGAATATATCTGGTACCAGCATCTGTATGTTCTCTTGTCCTTTGTCTTTAATTGCCCAGAGTGACCTTGCAATAAGGATCCATTTTGCCAAGGAATTCAGTGTCGTGAGTTAGTTTTGCTTTGAGGGGTTTGACAATTAAGGTGCCAGAACCGACTAATGACATTTTAATATTTTTATATTTGTGAATGTCTAAGAAATCTAATTTGGGTAAGGCTCTACAGAGACAACAATAAAGGAAAATGAATGAAGGAGCAGCAAAAGTTCAGAATCAAGGATAGTTCTTTCATGATGGGAAGGTTGTGAAGGAGGAGTATCAAATATAATAAGAGAACTTGTAATCGATAATTGATTAGAATCCATTGAATGAATATTTGTAGATGGCAGAGATGGCAAATATCAAATATTAAGCAGAGAAGAAATCAGATGTGGTGGTAAATGAGTAGCAGAAATAAGTAAGATAAAAGTGGATAATTTTTAGTTAGTGATAAATGTAAATGCAATAAGAAAGGGACAATTACCAAATTCATCGGTGTATGATTATTAGAAGAACCAATTGTTGGTTGACTTACAAATACCAAGAAGACCTAGATGGGATGAGAAGACTACAGTTGAGTAATTGAGGTTGATGGAGAACGAGAATTTTTTAAAGTGGAGAAAGGAATTGGCAAAGTTCGAAGAGGAACATTATTAGATCTAATTGACTCCTTATGAGAAGAATATTGAAGTTTGGAAGTAATTGTGGAGAGTGGTAGAGAAAGCAGATATTTTGGTTTAAGTGGTGGATGGAAGAGACATCCTATTCTATCATTGCAACGATCTGACTAAATACGTGCATGAGGAATAAAATAGAGTTTACAGAAAGAATCAAACAAAGATCAATTTTCTATTGATAAACAAAAGCGATTTGATTACTGATAAAATAAGAGAGGAATGGTCTGCCTTTTTGAATTCAAAGAATTTGAATCACATGTTCTTTAGTGCCAAATTGGAATAAGAGAAAATTGATAAGGAAGAATAAGTGTAAGATGCAACTAATATCCTAATTTAATAAGAGGAACCTAAAATCGAAGAAAACTTAGAAGCATTCATTAATACACCAAGAATAGCAGACAGAAGGATATTGTTATCAGAGTTGAAATCATTGGTGTAAAAGATTAGGAAGTAAAGATAAGAGAATGTGGAACCAACTAAAGTCATTGAATAGGATGATCATGATATATAACATGATGAGAATACAGTCATTATTGGAATGGTTGGATATCCCAATGTGGGTAAGAGTTCAGTTATTAATGCAATATGTAATAAGAAATTAGTTGGAGTTGCAGCAAGACCTGGAAAAACAAAGCATTTTTAGACAATTCCATTGGAAAAATATCTATTAGTATTTATATTTATTCTAATTTAAGCTATGTGATTGTCCAGGTTTGATCTTCCCCAATGCTTCATCCTCTAGAGCTGAAATGGTCTGTAATGGTGTGTTACCAATTGACAACATCAAAGATTATTTAAGTCCAATGGATTTGTTGGCTGAAAGAATTCCTAAAATCGTTTTTGAGAAACTGTATGGAATCAACCTACAAGAATTCAAACTTATCGATGCTTCTACTGTGCTCTCTACTTATAGTTAGAAAAGAGGATTCATGACAGGCAGAGGATTGCCAGATGAAGCCAAAGCAGCCAAATTAATGTTAAAAGACTTCATTAATGGTAAATTACTATTTGTGAAATTGCCTCCAAGTTATCAAGGTGACGCATTGTGGTAATCCAATCCCTTAGAGGATTTAGAGAACCTAATTCAATAACAATAATAACAGCAAAATCAGTTAAATGACGATGCCAATATTGATAATCAATTCGAAAATCAGTTGATTCAAGAGAAGAAAATCACGAATGAAGAGATACTCGAGATATTCACTCAAGAGAATTTAGCTCAATTGATGGAAGGGAAGAAGGTCCATGGCATCAAATTAACAAAGGAACAGAGGAGAGAGATAAAGCACAATTTCTAAAGAGGTATTATGTATTTTTAACAACATTTTAGGTGATCCTATTGACATAAAAAAATATCTTAATTTACAATAAAATTAAAAGGAAACTTTATATAAAACATACATTCAAGGCAAAAGAGGACAAATATGAGAAATATTGTGATTAGTAAAAACTCAATATTAATATATTCAACAACACTTTTCTTTGTCCTTTTTGTTATCGTCTGCTTGTGGGCCAATTTTCTAGCCTGGAGTTTGTTGACTTCTCTAGGGTCTTTGAAATGTATTAATAATATAGTTACCCCTAACCTTTCTGTCCTTGAGAATCCTTTTTCACAATCAGTTTCTTTGCAAGTTAAATGAAAGCTTTGGATACTTAATCGGCAGTCTTAGCACTTGCTTCCATATGCCCCATCTTTCTTATGGCTGCATAATCTAGAGCCTTTTGCGTGGTGACACTGACATAGTAATATCATAATCTTACGCTTTGTCTTCGATATCGCTCTTGTTTCCCAACAACAGTAACTCTACATTCTTCTCCGCATATGAATCTACCTCATTAATCCAAAATCTATCAATATCTTCAAACGATGCAAGTGAGGACACATCATAGACCATCACAATCCCATCAGCACCCTTCCTTCAAATTCATCACATACCTTGTAATATGCACTGGTTATTGTTCGGAACCTTTCCTGTCCCGCTGTGTCCCAGATTTACAACTTTACTTTCTTCCCGTCAATCTCTAAAGTCTTAAATCTGAAGTCCACTCCAATGGTAGTTAAATAGGAATCACTAAAAGTGTCATCTGAAAATCGCAATAGCAAGGACGACTTCCCCACTCCTGAGTTGCCCACAATCACCAACTTAAACAAATAGTCATACTCCTTAATCATTAGATATAATAAATATTTAAATAATTACATCACAGAAGTCATCAGTATATATAATTCATTCCACATTAATTCATACAATTTTAAACTACATTAACACTTAATCGATTAATAATAACCAAATTCCCCACTAGTTAGGATCCTAAAATTCTACATACTAGTTTATGATTATTCAATCCTTTCTGATTATTCCAATTCTATTTTTACCTATATCCTCTAAAAACTACTTTGAATTAAGAACCCTTATGTTCAAACATATCTTGTTCGACTCAGTATTCCATAAACATTATAGATCTCAGAAATTTATGCTGCTTATAATCAGAAAATTTATAATAGAATTATACACCCTCATACTGATGAATCTGCAATAGACATTGATTTGAAAAATGAAATTCATATTTAATTATAGCAAATGTAATTTATTCTCTTTTTTGTCTGTATTATTGCATTAGTCGATTGTGAAATGAAGGTTCTCAGACCCGCTGATTTGGTGGATCGCTTAGGGTCTAAAATATAAATTGCATTACCTAATTTTGGGTTTGAGCTCATTTATATGATATATTAGTGTGATTCCATTTGGACATAGACTAATGGGATATGTTGATATGGCTGAACCCCAAGATGGATGTAGTGCACTTCAATTGGCTTAAGGAAGTCAATTTATTTTGATGGAAAGAGGAAATTGTTCATTAGTCTCTAAAGTCATGAATGCCGAGAGAGCTGGGTACTCATTAGCCATAATTGGCAATGATAATGAACGTCCCTTAGATTCTGATTTGGTTATGGAAGATGATGGTCAGGGATACTTAGTATTACTTTGATACTATAAAATAGGTGAATATTCCATCAATCATAATTTCATAAAGGGATTTTTTTATTATGAGGGATTACGTTAAAAGTCTGGGAGTGGTTGAGGTTTCCGATGAGAAGGTTTTTACCTTAGTCAAATTTGATGTTGAAAAAAAGTCAAGAGTAGATGTAACATTTAGTTTGGACGTAAGTGACAGGGATTCATTCAGAGTAGTTGATGAATTCTCTGAATATTATGATCTCTTAAAATAGGAGGATGTTGGTTATAAGATTGTTTATTAAATCTTGGCTGGCAACACTATTGGCAAAGATATAGAATATTAAATTGATGCAGATAATTGCATTTGTTCAAGAAGGTATTGTGCAATCGATCCAGATGGGAAAGGAGTAGCATCGGGAAGAAACATAGTGGAAGAAGTTCTTAGATAAAGTTGCATCTTTCAAAATGATGGAAAAGAATATTTTCTATACATGGTAAACTTTTCTATTCTAATTTAGAATGCATTTAATTTTAAATGTACTTATGCTCAAGCTTATAATTTATGTGGAAATAAGATAATAAACACTCTTAAATTGTCTGCAGATAAGATTAATAACTGCATAGAGGAGTCTTTTAAGGATATTTATGATCATAGTGTAACCAAGAATTATACGAATGCTTATAATATAATTTTGGAGTAGCAACTACATTAAGCTGACTTTGCTGGTATGGTTGGCATACCATCAGTGGCTGTGAACTCAGTGGTTTACAAGGGGTAATTAACAGGCAAGGGAATTTTCGGTGAAATTTGCAATAGTAATTGTTTACAATTTATTGAGAGGTTTTATTACTCCTCCTTCGGTTTGCAAATCTGAAGTGGATAACTATTAGCAATTCTAGTATGAGGGTTAGCATTATCTATTTTGGGTGATGCTGGTTGTTTCTATTCTGATCGCAATTTTCATTATCGTGTTGTACTTCTTGTTCAAGAAGTTCGTGCTTAGAGATAGTGTGGAGGTGACTCAGGTTTAGGTTAATGAGATGGTGAGTCAGTACATTAAATTTAATGAGGGGAAAGGACAGCAGAAACAAAATTCTTTTTGAGATATTGATGTGATTATATTAATTAAATGAAATGGAACACAGAGTTGAACATTAATTAAATAAATATATATATATAGTAATAATGATCTTCTAACTCCGTTACAATACTAAATTATCTGAATCTTTAAACAATAGCAAGGATTACTACTCAATGCAAAATACCAAGTGGGTTGCTCCGAGACCAAATTAACATCGACTTGAACACTTGCAATTCACTCAAAGGAATAAACCTCGTGCGAAATAGTACCCGCAAGAAATGCTTTTATGTCTTGTTTCGAAGGGACTTGTTCCCATCGAGAAATAGAGGATGGCAAATCTTTAATCTCACGATAACTCATGTAATTACAAGGATGTCACTTCTGAAATCAAACAAGACAACCACCCTTACTATGCTTCTAAACTCAATCCTTCAATGTCTGAAGTCGAACGATGTAACTAAATTAAATAACCTCATAGAAAATAAAAAAGTATTACCTCCACTTTAGTTTATAGCTGTCCGTCCTTAAATAAGGACTCAATCCAAAGACAAAGATCCCATCGAAACCTCCACCTCCAAAAGTTGTAAATTAGTGAGTCCAATGATCAATCGCAGCGATCAGAAGAAAAATGTGAAACGCTCAGAATCCAAAGATAACAATGACAAAATTGGCAGAACCTCCTCAACACCCTTCATTCACAAAACCATGCAAAATGAAAATTTGACCAGTCGATCCGGATCACCCAATCAAAGATCCAGTTCAAAAAAAACTAAAACCTAAAAGTTAAACATACAACCAAAATTGACTCAAATAAATGAGAGGAGGTATACTCAGAACCACCAAGAGACTCAAGTCTAATAAACATAAGCCAATTAAAAAATGGCCGAGTCCACCGAGAAGAAATTACAAGTCAAGAGAAAGAAAAGACAACTATAAACAACACAATAACAACAAATCTTATAACAACAAAATTCTTAAAAGGATAAACTTAATCAAAAACACACCTCTTATCGTTGCTTTATAAACAAAATCAATTTCTCCAATAATCAATGCATTTAGTCTCCATTGAAGATGGATGTCCCTGCTTATTACTTTTATGTGGGCAAGGGCAACAATGGAAGTCTGTTAAAGAATCTCTTCAGATAAAGGTGGTGGTGGCAGGAAGTAGATTCGTTGGATTTAAATAAAGTGAACATGTCTTGGACTTAATTGAAACAAAATGCTTGTATTGAGTGTTTGCCCACTTTTAACATGCCTACCAATGATACTAATTATAACAACGACTCCTTTATTCAGAGCATTGAGGACACTGTGGTCGAATCTAGTGATTCTGAGTTGGATATCCATGTCAAGCCTAGATCCGTGCCTGTTCTGAGCATCAATTAGTAATTGAGACAGTCTATTCAATCCAAGAAAAAGTTGCAAATCTCTAATTTGAACCAATTAAAGAGGATCTTTAATCAAGTCGATTTGCATAAAATTCTCAACTATATGGAAGAAAATAATTAGTGGGATTCCCAGGTTGTATTCAGTGATTGCACTGAGAAACTGCTTATGTCTATTAAAGGAGTAAAATATTTACCTAATCGCTTAGTTATAGACCACCATCCAGTAGGAGAGTAAGAATTACAAGATGCACAATCATATGCAAGACAATTGGCATTTGGGGAATAAGAAGGCACTCTTCTATAATATGAGGAATTACTTCAAAATCATAAAGGAAGATTACACTAAGTATATTCCTATCACCTTTCACATCTAAAAGGGAATGACTGATGCTGAGTACTTCAAATTTGTTGATTACTACAATAAAAGACAAGAGGAAATTAAAGAACTCGAACGTAAGTTATAATTAGAATATCGAAGAGATAAAAGACCGAAGCCTATTAGTCTTTGGATAGTGAAGCCAGGTGAATGCACCAACAGAGGAAATGGGATTACTGTCTGTCAAGATTTATAAGAAATCAACAAAATCTTAAATGAGGAATAGCCTGATGGTCGTCAAAGAACCTACATTGTCTAATAGTACATCGATAATCCATTCTTGTACAACAAGAGGAAATTTGACATCAGGTGCTACATGCTCTTGACCTCTTAGAATGGAATCTTTAAAGGGTACTGGTATTAGGAAGGTTATATTCGAACATCATCGAAGGAGTTTACAACCAAGTGTTTGAATAAATACATTCACTTAACTAATGATGCTGTTCAATCAAAAGATGAGGATTACGGAAAGTTTGAGTTTGGCAATAAGATCTCCTTTCTCGAATATTAAAGATATCTTGATACTTATCATCCTTAGTCTAAATTCAATTTTTTCATTGACATTTACCCGAAGATGAAAAATGTTGCCTTGGATCTCATGAAGGCCTCCTACGGTAAAATAGATCCATAGAGAAGATCAAATAGTTTTGAAGTACATTATAGTCGTTATGCTTAGCTATTTGGATTGGATTTTATGATCGATGATAATTTTAAGCTTTGGCTCATTGAAGCAAACACAAATCCATGTCTGGAATTGTCCTGTCCTCTTTTGAGCAGAATCATCCCTGCCATGGTTGAGAACTTATTTCGGTATTTCCCCTATTATTAACTCTGTTAGAATTGCAATCGATCCCATTTTCCCCCCTCCCTATTTTGAAGAGTGGCCTCAAAATAAAAAGTTATTCATTCCCGATAATGTACTTGAAAACAATCGATTTGAACTTATTTTTGACGAATTAATAGAGAAGAAGACTATGATCAATCTGTACAGAGACAGCAAAGTAGAATAAGATTGTTTCAAAATTGAGGAAGAAGAAGAGGAAGAAGAGAAAGATTGACACTTTAATGTAATTATTATTTAAATATTAAATATTACATCCTATCAAATTCCTATGAACTGCAGTGTTCTCACTGAATCTATAGTCATAACTACATTTACATTTAAAATATGTATTTTATATTATCAATTCTAATATTAATAATTAAGTTGTTAAATAACTAAAATGCAGTTAAATAATTAAATGGATGCAATATTCTAGTAAGAGAAGGAATAGATTCTCGCAGAATTTGAATCGAAACTACGCCGACTACAGTTACCAGTTCAAAACAAATAATATCAAGATGGAAGCGAGTATTTTGGAGAACTCAATAATGACCTCAGATGGGGTTAGGGAGTTTACTACTATTACACTGGAGACGTATATGCTGGACAATGGGCTAATGATTTATTTGATGGAGATGGAACCTACATATTTGCATCAGGAGAAAGATACCAAGGTCAATTGAAGGAGGGTAAGAAACATGGCTTTGGTACCTACTACTATCTGAACGGAAATAGTTATACAGGCAATTGGGCTAACGATAAGAAGCAGGGAAGGGGAGTCTATGTGTATGCATAAACTAACGAAAAATATGATGGCGAATGGAATAATGGATTAAGGTAAGGTTATGGTACATTTACATATCAATGTGGAGTGTATGATGGCGAGTTTATTAACAATGTTAAAGAAGGCAAGGGGGTTTTAAAGTATAAAAGTGGAGCCATCTTAGATGGGGAGTGGAAGAAGGATAAAGTAGAAGGGGAAGGAAAATTAACATTGCCAAATGGAGACTACTATAAAGGTACTTGGGTAGGTAGTCATATGAATGGTTACGGAAGATACCAATATTAAAGTGGAGGATACTATGAAGGATGGTGGAAACAAGACTTATTTCATGGAGAAGGAATGTTGACTTATGAAAATGGTGATATTTATAGAGGAGAATTTTAGAATGGTTTAAAACATGGAAAAGGAATATACTTACATTAAAATGGTGATCAATTTGAGGGCGAATTTAAAAATGATATGAGAGATGGAACAGGAGTATTGAGGATGAAGAATGGAGACAGGTATGAAGGAGAATGGTCGAATTCACTTAAGGAAGGAAAGGGCACATACTATTACTCAAATGGGGATAGATTCGAAGTATTTATATAAATGAATTTAGGGTAATTTTGTGGGTGGAAAGAGATCTGGTCATGGAGTTTTTTATTGGCCAGAGAAATCATCAGTAAGTGGGTTTTGGATAGATGACACCATGAATGGACAAGGAGTCTTAATGAAAGATAATGGAGATAAATTGTAAGCCCTTTTTAAAAATAATAAATTAGTTGCATGAATTTGATTATTATTACAATATACTATACTATTATTTATATAAATATATATCATCCCTAATCTGATGGAAATTGATTTATTCTATCATCTTCACATGAAATTATCTGATCTTTTAAAGCGATTTCTTTTTCTAATATTTCAGACAAATCTTAACCAAGCAATTATAATAATCGTTAATTTAAATTAATTAATTGATATTGCCCTTTCATTTCCTATTTCTGAATTTATTGATATGAATTCACTAAGTCGGTAAATTACTTAAATAACGCAAATTCTTAAGAATTTGTATCAATATCTCCAATGATAATCCTAAATTCATAATGAGAATTACTTTGTCCGTCTTCTCATCTATGAATCTTAGTACAAGGCAATTATTGGTTTTTAACTGAAATTGAAAATATCAATTTGATTGTTATCTAAGAGTAATTTTTTGAATTTTTGTATTTCATGTAATTATTTGAGAATATATTATATATCTAACTCTTTGTTTACTTGATTGCTAAAATAGATAACTAAGAATTACATAGCCTTTTCCACAACAATTCCGTCATCATTTTTCAAACAATCAAATTGTAAGAATGATGCAATAATCATCCTTAAGCCTATCTCGACCTTATATTTTTTTTTCACATATTAACAAAATTAATCAAAGTATTTGGAGACTTAATTTTTCATCTGAGTCATCATAGGTTTATCAGGAACTGTTTAATTAGTAATAAGGTTGTTCTTTTAAATATTCTAAATCTCATATTACTCATTGTCAATCCCTTCCTATTAATGATAAGCACTAATTACATTTTATTTATCAATATTTAAACAAATATCTGGAGATTGGCCTATAGAGTCAATTTTTTTATTTGAACACCTTTTTTAGGTTCCTTATTTTTATTTAGATTTCATTACACTGTTAGATATATTTCTCAAATTTTATTTTTTCAAACTCATATCAAATTCATATAGATCATTTGCCATTTGAATCTTTAGATGTTCTCTATTATAAATCGATACAAAAATCCCCACAATCACTATCATAAACTAAGTGAACCCTCCTAAATAACTTAGCAATTCATCTAATCTCATAAAATCTCTTTATATGGTATATTTGTAAGGACTTCTACTAAAATAAAAGGCTCCGTAATAATTTGGAGTCAATTAATTAATAGAAATCTACTCTCTTTAATCTCCATATTCTCTATAAGGGAAGGTTTCCATTTCTATGTCTGGGTACATCAATATGCCCTTATCTGAGCTGATTTCTTTAAATCTAAAGAAGATATCGGATTGGATGAACATACTATTTGGAACAAATGAATAAAAGGTGTCTGTGGATAAAAATGGTTAAATGTAGTCTTTCGGTTTTTGTGCATTGATGAGCTAATTAAAAATAATTTTATATCGATTACATAGTTTATTTAATAGAGTTAAAACCTAAAGCTCCCAGCACTCTAAGTTGCCTCTTTAACTTGTTCAGGAGATTTACAAGTCGGTTTCCAAGAGAATGTACTTTCAGAATTGTTTACGCAATTCTTCACAGAAAATTTTAAAAAGTAGTAATCCGTACCTAGATTATAATTTTGGATCTTACTTGCCCAAGTACCACCAATTGTGAGATTCAATGCATTTTCATTATTTAGATTTGGACATAAAAAATTAGATATATTTAATTTGTTATATTGCTCTTCAAAGCTAATATTGTATTTTTCAAATATGCTTGCGAAATGACTTTACGTACATTATACTAAATCTATGTATTATGATGGATATTTGTATTAAGTTCCATTATCATACCTATGGTAATGCCTTTGTTCGATAGTGATATTGAAAAAGGGATTATTTATGAAGTCTGATTGTTCGATTTAAATTGCAAACATAAATATAGATGGATCTAATTTTAGTAGTTGTGGATTATCTTCATAAATTAATGATTCATTTGAAGTCACGGTTGTCATGCTAAAAAAGCTTAAGATATTTGAGTAAAAGAAGCTAATAATAGTGGCTGTCATGCACATAGACAAAAATCCACCAAAACTTGTTTTGTACTTCTCCCTTTATCTAAAACTCAAATTTATGGATTAACCAAAAATATCCACTGATCTAAGAATTTCTTAAATTTAAGTTATCATAATTATTATTCAAATTCACATTATATGATATTGTTTTAATATTCAGAAATCTTTTAATTTATTAACAATCCTTTAAGAAGAATTCTCAGACTTGGCTGCATTAAGAAAAGAAACTATCTTCGTGTTTTAGGGGTAATTCATTTATTCCCAAATATACCCTACTTCATTGAAACCACAATTATGAAAGGTAAATAAGCTCACCAATTCGTCTATCAGGCTAAACTTTTAAAAACACATACTTCTAATGGGTTCCTAGTGTTCTATAAAATATTGGTGCCACAAGTACGGGTGCCATTTGAAAGTGTTGGAAAGACCAAATTACAAATTAGCACTGATATTGATTAAAGACCTTGGGAAACATGTTAAAGTCGCCATTGAGATGTCTTTGTATTTCAAATGAATATTCTTCTTGAACCCTTCGAGTATTTTTGATAGTTTATTATTTCCAGAACTCCAAAGTTTGAGTTCCATTGATGCTACTTAATAAAATTTTGAATTATGAACTCCAAAATTAATTTTTGATAGTAACATTCTGAAGAAATTTCATGGTTTATACTTCATCTGTTGTTTATTCATATTACGATAATACCAAGCCTCCCAACAAGAATTGCTGTTCTTTTCTTTCTGGAAGATTATAAAGTCGAGCGTATTTATTGTAAAAGACATAATTTTGAGGGTACTTTTAATCACTTACTTATTACTATTCTTATCCGTAATTTATAAACTGAAAATATGAAATTCTGTTACTTCTTCAAGTATAAGTTGGTTTTACTATTAAGTAAAATACTATTTATTTTAATAAAAGAAATCCCAAATCCCAGGAGTTTAGAATGATCTGATCATTTCAAATAGTTTATCCTTTTCACTTTGATCATATTGAGATATTTTATCTATAAATAGTGAACAAAATGAAGTAATATTGGTTTTTTAATTGAAATCACGTGATGAAAGCAATTCCTTTAAGGCATTGAAATGTAAATCCCAATTAAATTTAACTATATCACTTTTATCTAGTTTATTTGCAATTCTCAGGATTGTAATATACTATTACACTTTTATAATTAATGATATTTATTACTTGCTAGTTATGTCATACCATTTTTGTAGGTTGCGATTGAGTGTTCGAATTCTTGTACTGTTTTATGTAAGAAAGATTAATCAAAGGCGGTGCCTAAATGATGATATGCACAAAAAATATCGCCATAACTATGAGTTGGAAATTTCTTTATTTGTGTTGCAATATATTCAAAAAGCTCAGGAAATGCATACAATGGTTTTTAATGCAGGGTGTGAAGCTCAGCAAAATATCTAAATTAAATTTTGTTCTACAATTAACCTAAAGCATTTAAGTAAAATTTAGACTTAAGATTACTTTATATTTAATTAATTTAGCACTAAAATCAATTAATGATCATATTCTGTTAAATTAAACTTTTTAGTCAAAGCCCTTAGTAATCTAACAAATTGTTCTCCAGGAATACTTTAGTTGATTTTAATGTGTGTTAAAATTTGATCTTGGAATTTATTTGTATCACTTCTTAGTAGAGTTAAATTGTAATAGGTGTCGCATAAGACATTTATTGGATATTGCAATAAATTATCGGCTTTCTTTGCCAAAAATTATCGAACGGGTTCCAAATTACTATCTTAACCCAGATGATCAAAAATATGAGAAAATGAGTCTAGACCACATTGTAGTCCTAAAATTGGGTTAATAAATAACTAACCATAATTATCCAATTGGGAATGGGATTGAGGGAGTCTCTCCAGAATTTCCTAGTACTCTCTTGATTTGATTGCCTTATCAATGTTACGATTGACATATTTAAATTCCTTGATACTTGAGGACAATCTACTAAGCATTGTATTGATGTCTTTGAGTTGAACACAGAAAGGTCTTTTGGATATAAATTATAACATTTTTATTATTTAATGTTTTATAACCTCCCGAGAACTCCATATATAAAGACAAGAGTATAACCTAGGGTTTTATACAGTGGATTTGAAAAGTACAAGTAAGCCTCTATATCAGCGCAAAGATAGTGAAGGTTCAAAATACTTTTGAATATTACCATTACTTATAGAAGAAAAAAGAGTATTCTGACTAGTAGAATGAATTGCTGGAAGGATTGAAACTGGGGAATGAGGACATGAAGAAGTTATCCTATTCAGTAAAATGTTTTGGAGTGAGTAACAAGGAAGGAAAATTTGGTGTTCAGAGCCAGCGTAAATTTATGGGTGGGTCCTTCGAATCTCATCCCACCTATGAGGTGAATGTTTAAAGTGAAAGAATATCATATCCTTTCAAGTCAAAACGCCTAATTACCAGCCGAAGGTAATTAAGAGACAAATAGAAACCCCTCTCCGAAATCATTAAATTACCAGAGAGACCCGAAACAGTTAGAACAGAACTCGCCTCAAACGTCGATAAAATAGTTAAGAAATCGCGCTTAAAGTTTAAACAATAACATTCTCAACCGTAGCCCGAGATAGTATTCGAGAAAGGAAAAGCTAAGTATCAATCTTATAGTCGTCTCCTCTCAGAGGCCCATAGTCATGAAAGTTTTTATAAAATTCTCAGTCCTTGATATAAATATCTTTTATTTATTTTAAGTTGATCATTATTTATATTAAACTATCATTATTTTTTATACATCAATGATACAACCAACTATTAACTCAAATAGTATATGATCGTAATTGCTTATCATAGAATGAAGATGTCACTATTAGATTATTATACCAATCCATAGCATAAGCAAGAGAAGTATGCTCTTTAAATTCCTAAAGTGTTGAAACTATGATATAATATATTGAAAATTACCTTATTTGTTGTTAATTTCAATTAATTCGTATTTATGCTCTTAAAATAGTCCATTCAAATATAGATTTCCTCTTTTTATGATTCTCCATATTCCTCCTTCTCTTTTGTATTCTTCAAATGGAAAGTTGGGTTATCTTTTATCAAAGATCCGAATATAGCCATCAAACGATCCTGTAATTAAGTTATGCTCTCCATCGTTTAGTAAGTAGGTGATTCCTTAAGAATGTGATCTTGTTGTAGCATATATATAAATACTTTTTGTCTTTTCTCAATAATCCGATTCTTGCATCGTAATAATTGAGACAAGCATCATCACTTCCACTATAAAATAGATCTTAATTTGTATTATCTAAAAGTGTGCACCAGACTGAATATTCATGAGATTTTTATTAATAAATAATCTGCCCTTCTTTTTGTAAAATCACCTCACCATTATCTCCTCCCAATAATAAACTTTGTTGAGCATTGCAATCTAGATATAATAATTTAATGTCTTAAAAACATTCCACAAAGGATTGCTTGTTTACTAAATGAAATTAATTATCCTTAATATCAACTGTCCAGACATCTCCTTTCCAAGTACAAAGTGAAATTTAATTATTGATGATTTTAAAATGAAGTATGCCATCACAATCCAATTTATTTACGATATTTAAGTTTTTGTTTAACAATAACAACACTCCAGTTTTAGTATCATCATTAATGAAATCATAAGTGGACACTACTATGTTATTTTCATCTATAATGGAAATACAATCAGGACAATAATCTAAAAGTATATTATTCATAAAGTATAAATTAAATAAAACAAAATATTCATATATTTAATAACAGAAAATCAAAAATGATATTATATTAATGCCTTATAGTTACTCAAATCAAGTATTATGTATTAATTAGTAATTCTAATTGATGTTAAATGTACATTAATATATTATTTAATTCGCAATTGTTTACTAATTCAATATGTGTTCACCTTATATTTCTTATGTGATGTATTAATTAAGTATATTTTCTTTATATTAGAATTACTTTGGATAAGTGATTAAATCAGGTTTAGAATTCACTACAAGATCATTTCTGGTAATTTTTTAAATAATTGATCTGTTTTGGACTCTTGATTGCTTTCAGAGTCAGTTGCAGTTTTGCAATAACTCCTATAGTTCTTATTATTTGCTACTCATACTTTAGTAATAAATTATTGATTTGGTTATTAATTAAAATAATGGAAATTTAGTTCACAGACGAGAAATTCGAATATCATTTTAGCGATTAGATATATGATAATTTAAGAGTTAATGAGGACCCTTCAAAAGTAAAGGAATATTTCATCAACTTAATGAGTGATGTTATAAAAGATAAGGAAGTAAAAATTGAGCAATTGAGTAATCCAAATGAGTATGTGGCATAAGTGGGGAATGGTGACTGTTACTTAATAGAAGAAAATAGAATTTATAAATGCAATTCATTTTAAGCCCTGAAATCAAAATATTTGCAAAACTGTTCAACAGCTTTAAGTAATTTGATTGATCTAACCTTAAATAAGTGAGAAATAGTTAAATATTTTATAAATTTATTTAAAATTTCTTATTTATTATTAGAATACTTCATTAACTCACATTTGATCACTTTATGTCATCTTTAAATAATAGAAGTATGTAAATGAGGTTATGATTCCATTAAAGTCAAATTTTGGATTCATTAAATTTAATTTTCAATAAACACACATTACTATATTGAAAAGTTTACAAAGTTAATTGATTTAATAATCTAAACACTTTTTCTTCATGAATATATTTTATATTAAATAATCCTCATTTAAAGTGATTTAATTTATTTAATTTTTGAAAATAAAATATCAATAAAAATCATGCATAATTGCATAAATAATAATACTTATTTATCATCATTCACTTACTGAAAGGTTAGCCTCATTTTGTAAAATTTGATCATAGATTTCTATTAATTTGCTTCCTAACCTATATCCTCCGACAATCAAGTTTTCTTCGCAAAATGCAATGGCCTGTTTTTCATAATCGCTGCTGTAGCTATTTGATGCAGCTACCATTGGGTATACAAATTATTGGGCCTATCTGAAGCCAAGATAAGTCCAAACAGAGGGATTTCTATTTTTTTTTTCAAATGAATTATTACGTCATATCATAATTGCTGTATTTTGATATAGGAAACTTCTTCATCAAATCCTTTGACCATTTGTCTAAATACTCACTATCAGATTAACTTAAAGGCCTTGCCAGAAAGCTATTATTAGGAGCAAAGGTGAGAGCCCCAGAATCCCAGAAAGAATGAAAGTTCATCAGTGTTCCATTTTATAACTAGCTAATACATAAATATAAATACTTAGATATTCAAAAAGTTGCCACCTGCATCTCCGTCAGGATAGCTATTATTATACAAAGAAGTATCATGTAAAGGTTGATGAATATCACCAATCACATGCAATAATACTCTCAACATCTATGCTTTAAAAACTGTATGTCGATTTCTAGAAGTTTTGGAGTTAGTTAAAACTGCCACTGCTTGATTTATAGCATATATAGAATTGATATTTCGACTTTCATCTTCAATCTTTATCAATAATCTAAGAAATAGACTAAAACCATACCCATCAGGATTGATTGGTCTATCAGTATAATGCCAACTGAATAGAAATTCAGTTCCAGTTTCTTTTATATCATCTAACCATACAGCTGCCTCAGCAAAGGTATTGGATTTACCATCTGTAAGGGAATTGAAGTCTTAAACTAGTGAGTCTGCCCAAGCTAAGACATCTGGTCTATTATCCCTAAGATAATTCTTTGCAATTTGGGCTGTCATCATATGACCGACTTCCCACCAACAATAGACAAAAGAAGTGAGATAACAGAGAACCAATCCTTTCATTAATATGATTATTAAATACTCAAAATTTAGTAAGTTAATACCTCATATTTTATAATCAAAGTTTCTTAATATAATTACTTTTTTATTGAGATTTGCTTTAATTTTATTTATTCCTGGACGACTTTTATAATTTATCCAAATCATATAATTTAGTGGATCTCAAATTTCCAATTGTGGTTTAAGTCTACATACTTTCTTATCTAAATTTAGGAGATTAACAAATTGGAGTGTTCTAGTGCTTCTCTTAGTCTATCTTCTTCATTAATATTCTATTTTGATTATCATTTAATTTTTTATTTGTTGTATCAGATAAAACTCTTTCATCCATTACTGTTGGATTGAAAGATACCAATTGATTTGTGGGAACTAAATAAGTGGAGTCAGTTTTCTATGGTGAAGGTGATTAATCTTCAACTTATTCTTCAAATATTGATGGATCACTAAATTAATCCAATAACTATTAATAAGTTGGTCTTTTGTCAGGTATAAAACTAACACAGGCTAAGATTAGCTTTTCCAATTTTTCTATTAAAATTATAAGTAATTCTTACTATTTATATGAAATTGGGTAAATAAATTAATATATTTATCGAATTTTTCAGTCAAACAACATTTCTCATAATTATAAATTTCTGCTTCATACGGAGTTACTTCAGTGAATATTGCTATCATAATTAATCCAAAATTAAATATAGTGGCTTTTTCATTATTGAATGTTTTTTAATCATTCATTCTTAAGCATTTCATCACTTCTGGTGCGAAATACCAATCTTCACACTTCAAATCTCCAGATAGTATACGCTAATAATCCCCTTGTTATGAAAGCAGTTGTTGATAGACTATTCTCACTTAATCTCCAAAAAGTAGTAATTTTGATAGACAAAATTAGCATGTGTCAGCTTTATATGAATCTAAATAGCTTAATGTTTTTAGGATATCCACACTAAATTTTTGTACATTTATTTGATATACATTTTTCAAGTGTTTTTCTGTATAATCTAATGTTAAATGAATTTTGTGAAATGTTGAGCACAATTACGATTCTACTTCATGTTCAATTTTGTTTATTCTAACTAAATTGTACTAAAATGATAAGAATATACATTACTTATTCCTAGTTCAACTTTTAGAATTCATCATACATTTTCTTTGCTTCATCCTCCTACACCATGAATGTCCGTAAACATTAATATTTATCTTAACAGTTCTTAAATACTTTAATTGGTCCATATTAAGGATGATTGAGTTGTTTAACCATTACCCATTGATTTGAATGAATAATTTAAGGTTTTAATTCTGTGTTACCCATAAATTTGAAAAATATTCTGTTAAATAAAAATTTATATATAATATGAACTTTACATAAATAATAACATCCTTCATTAGATCTTTCTTGATTTAAATTTTCAAGTCTTAAATTCATAAAAGAAATAGTACCTTCGATTATTTTACATAATAAAGAATTCAACAATTTTCTACCATGAAACATCATTTAGGATTTGAGAATTTGAGAGTACAAAAAAGTGAATTTCTGTATTGATTATCTACAATTTTCTATTATAAGTTGTTTATGTTAGTGAAACCAACTATAAATACTATGTAATAGGACGAATATACTATATGTAGTATGATCTTAAATTATAAGAAAACTAAAAATAATATTAGGATATTTAATAATTAGAAATATATAGTTAGAGTTAGAAATTATAGATGAGATATGCTTCTATAATTGATATTTTAATGACGTTATCTATTATATTTTCTATTTAATGAATATAAGAAAGAGGATAGGAGCTTATTCATATGAAATCAAATTGATCTTTTCATTTAAATCTAATTGTTTGGAAAAATATTTATATAAATAGAGTCAACAGTTCTATCCATTCAAATGTTCGAAAATGGTTTGACTCCATAAATGTTTCTGATTTAGACACTTAATCTCTTTTGTTAAGTTAAAGGCAGAGATTTCTCTGGAGAATCATTCTAGGATAACTTAGTACATGATATATGTCCTTGACTGAAATTTCTATGTACTCTATTAAAGAGAGGTTGAGAAATAATTAATGATTTATTAAAAGAAAATAATTTTAAGAGTGGTTTCTATGGTTATTTAGACTTTTGAATAATGAAGTTCGGTATTTTCTTTAGAGATCCTCTTTTATTATTATCAGAAATTTTGATGGTTTCTTATCTTGGTCTAATTCCTAGCAATATCTTTAGGACTTTTGTATGATCCTTTAAGCCTGCTTTAGAATGAGGCATAAATACTTTTTAATGCTGAATTATATTTTACAGTGGGTATTAGTCTTTTTAATTTATCGAAAACTAGCTTTCCTAATTTCTAATTTCTATGCATGGGTATTTCTATTTTGATTTATTGCATCCACTTTTTTGAATAGTTTTCATCTCCAAATATAGAGGCTCTGGCAGACTTTTGTCTAAATCTCGAGACATGAAAAGAGGAGTCGCATTTATACTTCAATTATTGTAAATATCTATGAGATTTAAAACTTGTCTAATGCAATCTTTCAGTCTATTCAGACAATAAAATAAAGGATTTAGAGTTTAATTTGAGCATGGTTTGTTTTATAAATATAAATTGGATAATATTATAATATTTTCTCATTAATATTATATGTTGTAATATCATTGATCTTTTAAAGTTATTATAAACTTTGGATAAATCCGATTTCCCTTGATGTAATAATAATCTCCTTCTCTGAAATTATTTTCAGAATGATCACTTATTAAAAATTATTACTTCAATTCTTAAACTAAGCCTAGTAAAACCTAGACCACAATTATTTGTTTTTCTCCTTTCTAAGACTCGCAATAATTATCTTTAATATAGGCCACTGTTTTGCCACATTTTACATAAGGTCCTGTATGCTACACATAATTATAATATGATTTACATGATCAAAAGATAACGACAAAGTAACCCTTCCAATCTCCTCTTGAGCACAATCCTTTTTATACCCAAAGAGCATCAATTCCTCATTCTAGTTTTTCAATTTACTTTTTGTTGATTGATATTTTGCCCATATATCATAATTCTGTACCAACTATATAGTTTTAATATCCAAAAATGGAAAAGCTTATCTAACCACTTCTAGATCTGGTTGTAATTCGTCAAAGTAATATAAACTTTAATAGCTAGAAGGATTCCAATCTTATGGGATTTATTGTAGAAACTCCACAACTTCCAAAATTAATTATTGGCTCTTCTCAAAAGATTTAATTTAAATTGATTAATTTTAGTTGAATTCCCCTTCGATTTTTAGAGCATTATTGTTCAGGTAATTCAAAAAACTAAAGTATATTTGGTCATTAGTAGAAGGTAAGATGATTTCAAAAGTAATTAGATGCTTTTCTATAATGTTCTAAATGGCTTACTTTACTTTCTCAATTTGGTTCTACTTAGCTTATTCAATATCTTGGACTTAATTGATAAATGCTTTTGCTCTACAATAAATCTGATTATTAGGGTTGGGAGTATCTTGAAGTGTTTCTACAGTTTATTTTTATTTTAAGAATTCATGTATAAATTAAAAATATTTGTCAGTTTTGATTTCTCTTCTTAATCTTCTTTTGTATTTTGTGTCTTAGTTAATTTAATACATCTCATCTTTAGATTTGAACAAAATCAAATACTTTTTTAAAAATACTGTGAATTGGTATTTTTTCATCTAAATTCTTTCATTGATATATTAACTCAGGATATCATCAGCTTATTCATTTCCAATTTAATATAATCCATCTTTTTATTTGAGTATTTTAACCTAGCCACTGGCATGATCTAGGATTGTTCCTTTATTTATATCAATAGTATGAGTCCCAGGTTAATAAGAGCAAGGGAATTTTAACATGAGTTCATTTTTTTTATTGTCTGCCTTATAACTTTAATAAGCAACTTCAATTTGTTCGTTAATCATGGCATCATCATAATCATTATATTATCTTCCGTCTGACCATTGCCATTAGAAATCCTAATAAGTGTCTCGCATTGAAGTAACCAAAGAATTAATCAATTCCTATTCATAAAGTGGTTTGAGTTTGAGGTTATCAATAAAAATTGTTAGTTATTAAAATTTGGTTTAATCTGAACACATAAATACTTGTAATAATTTTGGGAAGATATCCTTTACATCTTCAATCAACACTCCAATTTATTTAAAAGGTAGTTTTTATTTTTGGCAATATTAAAAATATTCTCTAATACCTATAATATTTGAATGCACCTTATCCTCTTTTTAAAATATTATTTTTTAATCTACATTTAGTTTACTATTGAATTTTATGAAGACTTCGCACATTAAATTGGTCTCAAAATTAACCTCCTTTGTTAAAAATTTAATGAATTAATTTTTAGAATCTTGTTTTTTTATTTCAAACTATTTCATATCTCCTGAATCTGTGGGTGTCTAATACTCATTAAAATTGAACAGCAATTCAAATATCTATTAATCACTTGCTATTTGAATCTCTTTTTGACAATTACGATATAAATATTTTGCTTCCATCTTGCTAATTCCTATGGGTATTTCTAATAATTAATTATCCAAAATCTTTTCATATTTTGCAAATATCTCCAAAACTGCCATATTTTTAGTTGGACATTCTAAATAAATAATTTCACCACTCTATGACAACTTAATTGAGAGTATTTCTTATGATTGTTGAACTATCTTATTTTTGTAATCCTGGCAGATTTATAAAGCATACAATTTAGATTTTGGTTTATAGGATAAAAGAGATAATTACTTCTTGCTATCCAATAAGTTTAGCATTTAATTTAAATGATTTGAGTGTATAATACAAATTATTTTGTTATTTTCAACATGCACTAAAGCAAAATACTTTTGTTAGAATTACTCAATTGTCAGTTCTAATTAATTAAGTTCATTCATCTACAAATTATAAACTTGAAGTTTTGACAAAGTTTGGTTTAATACTTATTCCAAAGTTATTATATCATTATTTAGGACTCGATTAAAATAAACCAAAACTTCAATATTTTACATTTTTATATCATTGATAGACAATATGTATTATTGTTAAGTAACATCCATAAATAGTTTTTTTAAGATCTGCTTTTTTTGTTCAATTCCAATTTAATCAAAATAATAAGTGAGTGTTTAATCCACTTTAAGGTACAGTGATGATGATTTCAGTTATTTTAAATGTATATTAACTTAGGCAACAAACTATTTTATCTACTAGATGGAGTTATTCAATTTAATTCCCTATTTGCAATGCTTAAAATTAATATTGGAATTAGTGATTAATGGCAACTTACAAATATAGTTTTCAAAATTTAATTTATCCTAGAGATTTAATTTAAATATTTTAGAGGCTCTATCTTAAATTTCTTGCTAAAATTACTAATCTACATTGTAATAATCATCATACTACTCAATTTCTATATATGCTAATTTTAAAAAACTAGAAATATCAAATCTATTATATCCAACCTTGATATTAATGTTTTTGTGCTATTTTACAATTTCTGACACTATCTCTTTTAATTCTATTCTAGTACATTTTGGTTTTTTTATAGAGAATACAAAAGTGTGAATATTAAAATTATCTTAGATGAAACCATTTAATAGGACTTGTTTCTATAGAATAAGAGGATCTTATTATTATTGCTGCATATTTTGATTGAAATTTAAAATGAATACCAATCTTTTTAAACATATTACCTAGTCATGAGGTTCTTTAATTTCCCCAATAAGCAAATTTTCTTGGTTTGTATCAAAAATCTTTGCCAATTTATCTAGAGATTTCCATAAAAAACCAATTTTAGAGGCTTTTTCTATTTAATTTTTGCAAAATACAGAAAATACTACAGAGCTTTGTATTTACATATTGATATGATTTAAAAGGATTTATTAGTTTGCATTGAGTTTTTAATTGGTTCTATATTCACTTAAAGTCCAATCCGGATAAATTTTAATTTAGGACAATTAAGCTTTTTAATAGAAATGATTCTTCATAAGATTGTGAATAGCAATAAATTTCAATTTTTTCGATATTCCAATAGCTTAATTGAAATTTTACTATTGCCATTATGGATCCTACTACAGTTAATTCTGAAAATCCAAGTGAAAGATGTCATTTTGATCAACGATCAAATTTCGATTTTGGATCAAGGCATTTTATTTTTGACCATCATATTCTAAAATGATTTCTCCTTAAAGCTTCTCCAAGATCTCCAATATGCTTTACTTTTAATCATTTTAATCTAGATTGATTTTCAATTTGATTATGTTATTCATTTTATTTATTGTATAAAAATATTTAAACTTTATAATCACAAAATAGTTCTTGAGAAAATTTGAAATTTTACAAATCTATTTAAAATAAATTGTGATAATGAAATGGCAATAAATGGCCTTATTTTAAGAGTTAAACAAGCAATTTGATTACACTTTTTTTTATTAAATTCAGTTCATTATTATATATGTTCTTAGTAAAATATATCATTTAAAGTTGTGAAGACGTAAATTAAATTGAGATATTGAAATCAGACTTTGGTTGATAATAAATTATTTATTTTTTATTACTCCTGATTAATAAGAACGATTAAAAATACATTATACATAAAATAATTTAATGAGAATAACTTTAATTGACAATTTAACAATTATTGCCCATTCCCAACATTAGAATTAAGCCGGAAATACAATGGTAAGTGTTATTCTCATAATCCCATATATTTAATATTTGTCTCTTCTACTCCCATCTCATGGATGGTCATATTGGAATTATAGTGATGGCTATTTATCATTCATTTAAAAGGCTTGCTCTTATTTTACAATAACTCCTTTTTTTGAATTTCAAAACAACTTCATCTATTACCCTTTTACAATTTTTAGTTTAATAATTATGGTAGGACTCATTTTATATTTGAGTGTTTTTCCTTTAGAAATGGAATCTGAAAACAAGAAAGTCAAATATTAAGAAGGCAGAACGAGTACTTTATGCACAGTAATTTTATTCACAATCCAAACTCTCTAAATCCCATGCTATAAGTTTTATATTTAATAAATTATTGAGGCATAGTAAAAAAACCTTTAGAATCAATTAATTATTAACATAATTTCGATTATATTGTACTGCTTGTATATTTTTATGAGTGAATACTTTTTGAGGTAATATTCATTTACACCTTACCACCCGATGTAATAGAAATTTACACGATTAAGGGTTTCTCAGATTCTCATTAATTTGATTGCAATAGTCTTAACTTTGGAAAAGGAGTCTAGATTATATAATTTGATCGGCCTTCTCATGTTGCATTCAATATTTATTTTAAAAATGCTCAATCATTTATACTATAAACCTGAGGCTCCCCATAAAAATATGATCCATTTTGAAGCCTCCTTTACATTAGAGTCATTAGCCATATTAATAACTGTGAATGTTTTCTCGGAAAATTAAATCTTTCCTGAAGAACAGATTGGAATTTATATAATGTTCATTTTTAGTTTGTCCACAATTTTAGGAAATTTGCTATTTAATTTCTTATTGTAATTGAATTTTGATCCAAAGACCAAATAGCTCTATCAGATTTACAAGTTGTATTCTTATATTGGTAATATCACAACAAATTCAATAACCACCTATAATCTCATCATATATTAGTTAATAAACGACAAGGATTTTTAAAAATTTCAATAGAAGGTAATTATGAATCAGAAGAGCACAAAAATGCAAGATTATTATAAATTAGGATTGTATATCATTACTGAAATTTTTATCGATTTAAAAGAAGGATAGAAGAGTGAGCTTGAAGAGCTACAGTTGTTATTTGTGTCGTATTTAGCCTTGATTAGAAATAAGCCATTGATAGGTTATGTGGAGTTTAAGAAATTTGAATCTAATTAAAACATAAAGAAGTCCTATTATTTTTAGTTAATGAAAAGTAGAATTGATAAGCATTTATAAAAGAAAATAACGGCAATACAATAAATATATGAGAAAGAGCAATAATATATGAAGAATGTTACATAAGAAAAAAGTGTAAGTCCTGCAGAATTGTATGAATATTCTCAAATTGAGGAGAAGTTTCAAGGAAAAGTATCTGACTTAATATAACTTAAAATTTCTATTTGGGAAAGTTAGATAAATGGTTGCAAATCTATTTATGAATTTGAAGATAATGCAGTTAAATTAAGTAAATAAATAATATCATGTATTTTTTTTCTTAGAAGTTAAACAATTAATGTAATATAAGAAGAGTACATAAAAAATTGTGATAATATTTTAAAATTAAAAATATGTTCAATGTTCCATAGTTTTGTGTTGAATGATTATTATAGTGCATATTTGTGTGAATAGAAAATACAAGACATAATGAAAATAGAAACAACATAGGAGTAAAATGTGATAACACGATCCAATATTTTGAAGGATGAAACCATATTGATAATCATAAGTATAGTTAAACAATTGGGTTAAGTTTTAAATTTGAACAAAAGTTAAATTGCTAATTATTTTGGATATTCAAATTCAGAATTCCAGTAGATTGCTAACATTAAAGAACTCATGCCATAATATTTTGGAAACCAACACGATTAATTCCTATAAACCTATATCTAGGAAGCAAGGACAGATTTAGCATTTAAGGAGACCTTAACGTTTGCTTAGGGTAAAAATGGATTCCTAATACCTCAGTATTTGAATGTTTATAATAATTTCGACATCAATGATGATTTTACTTTAATAGGAAGTCTTACAAAGGAAAAGGAAGTTCATAATTATCTTATTTTTGATGAATATGGTAAATGTATAGGAATCACCTAACAATTAAGTAAATTGCTTGTACCGCAAGATAATCTAGAATATTTTTTGGAAAATATTGATTCATTTTATGTTTATATGTTTTTGCCTCATATTCATATATACATGAATGATATCTTGAATAACTCTAATAATAATGATGGTGCAATTCAATAAAAGTCTGTATTGCTGTATGTATTTTAAGACTTCATTGGTCTCTAGAAGATGCATTAAGCCATACTTAATTCATATTAATAGGGGTCTTAAAAGTATGTAGAATAGACAAGGGTATTTTCACAATTTGAATAGATGAATTCGTTAATCACTAGTCCTCGAAATGGCAATATGAAGAGACTCATTTCAGAAGCTAAGCCTTCTAATCCATTGGAAGAGGTCAAGAATTTAGAACAAAGTAGTTTAGACTTCTTTAAAATTGGTTCGTAATAAAAGCCGACTATAATGGGCACTTAATAGAATGCAAATTCAATAAAAGAAAACGAAATAATCGATTTTTTGAATGCTATTGAAGTAATTATAAATTAAATTTGATAGGTATTGCAAAAGACAATCTATTTTTGTACTGCAAAAATCTAATTAAATATTTTGGGTAGGAAGGAAAATAAATAACATTACTTTATTTTGGAGTTATCTGAATTTGTAGATAAATCAAATCAATAAGATGAGGAAAAGAAATAAATGAGAAGACAAAATCTGCCTATTCGCAGGGCAGCCAAAAGACATACAAGCCAAAAGCAAAGTTATATTCAACAATTCTAGACGATTCCTAAGAGTCCTGATTATCATATGGATTCTTCATTGATGAGTCCTGTTGGTTCAGTTTTACAAAAGAAAAGTTTTCTTGATAAATCTCCAGTTAATAATTAGATTTTACATTACGTAAGCGAACGACGGTTAAATTTGATGGGTTCTTTAGGATAAGCTGATTCTTAGAGTTTTAGTGAAGAAGTATTTAGCAATGAAATACAATAAGTGTTGCAGCATTAGAATGAGTACAAATCAAATCATGGAGTAGGAATACTTAAGTCTCAATCATCAACGAAATCTGGTAATTCAGGATTAACTGCGATAGAAATAGTTAATAAATTTAAGACCAAAACTTCTTTAATATCAAGTCTTGCAATTATTTCATTAATAAAATTGGTCGTTCTTATTTTATTTATCATCTTTATGATTATTAACATAACACAAGTAAACGTTTTTAATGAATCAGTAGCAAAATTTATAACAGATATCAACTTACCTATAAATTTAAACAAATACTTTTTAAATTTGTTCACTTACTCCTGGATCACCTCTTTAATGCTTAATGACATTTTAAATGCAAGTCAATTTATCAATAATTAAATGTACTTCCAGAGTCAAAATATGGAAACGACCTTCATAAATTTGACCAAAATGTATACCAATTTCATTTCATTAGAAGAAAATGGATATTTGGACAACCTGAATATTACTCATTTAGACAATACAGTTTATGTTGAAAATGTAGACTTCACTGATTATATTTATTATCTTGAAGCTATAGGATATAGACTCTTGCATTTTGAATCAAACTCTATTTATTTATCAAATCTACTAAAATATCGACTCAATTTTGGCAATATAATCCAAAATAATTTTTAAATAATTCAGTCGTTAGGATCATATTATAGTGATTAATAGGATGGCAAGATATTATTGTTATTTAATTAGATTCTTGCTGAAATAATTATAATTGGATTAATCATATTTAGTTAGTTGTATTTTTGGAGAAGGATTGAACAATATTGTTAGAAAATATTATTACTCTCCAATAGATTGACTGAAAGTGGAGCAGAAAATTAAATAATTAAATTTAGATTAGTCGCGTAAATCATGAAGCAAACTTTTGGAGAATTGGGATTTAAATAGCAGAATTGTTATAAATTATGCTATACAGATATGCTATAGAGTAAAAAAGGATTTAAATAACATAGATCAAAGATTCAGTCAATTTTAATAAAGTCTAAAAAGGCTAAACAACAAGAAATCTAAACCAAGAAACCTGGTTCTTCTACTATTCCTTTAAATTCCAGGATCTCGAATGTGTAGATTAACATAATATTTAAACTAATTTATGTAATGATAAACATATCATTTGTCTGCTTTTTCTTCTTAGGAGATTATTTGTTGTATAAGGACCAATCATTAAAATTGAATCCTGCGTATGGGTTGGCTATGGATTATATTTAATTTTAAATAGGTTTTGAAAATACTATCACTGTTGCTCTTATGATCAAATCTGAATAACAGATTTATAGTGTAATGAGTGAAGTAATCTAGAATGAGTTTCTTGTTCTTAGTAATACGAATATATAGTATAATGTTACATCCGTTCTAACATAAGTCTATAGCTTTAATCATTCGGATTTGAATTCAATTTATTAAAAGATCATAGATTACGATATTATCAATGGTGAAGATGAAACATACATACTGACAATATACAACAATGATTTCTGTTTGGTCTTTGATGACTAAGAGATTCCATTTTGCAATAAGAACTTATCGCCATAATAGTTTAGATCAGAATATGGTACATATGACAGTAGGGATAACAATTCTTAATATTTAAAATCTGGGATTGTTGGAATAGTAAGCAAGATGGATACATTTTTGATGTAATATTATGAGTTTGAGTACTAAACAGGGTCATTGGATCCTGATTTTGTTAAACTAAATTAGCAATTGAATAGTTAGGATTTTACTAATATAATAGTTCAACATTATTTAGATACATACTTAGGTTTTGAAGAGTTTTTTAATAATATTCAAGAGTCTATAATAAATCTCATCACATCACAATAGAATACATAAGACTTATATTAATTTTTAATAGGGATATTCCTCCTAATCTTTTTGATTGTAGCGGGGGGACTCATGATAATTAAGGTCAATTTAAGATTAATTCATCTAAGACTATTGATTACTTTGTTGCCAGTTGAAATAATGTTGGATATCTATACAATATCCTTGCTAAAAATCTTGTAATGAATGTATATATATATATATATTTTTGTTGTTTAATTTGAATAACAATGTAATTATACTTCAATAAATTATTAATATATTAAAAATGTTCCTTTATTTTCTCCTGATTTGCCAGAGTATGGAATTAGAATTCAGTTTTCTGAATGACACAGAGTAACAAATGACTAATGTTATAATGAATGCTGAATAGTAATCATTTATCAAAAGATTGGATGATTTAGGAAAGATTTTGTAAATTTTTGTTTAATACATTTTTAGGTCTGTGAATTTTCAAAGCGAAGATGAATCGAGTCAATTTTGTTCAACATTTTATTAAGGAGTAACTATTCATCAATCTCCATCTGGATTTATATCATTAGTACACGAATTAGCAAAGAAGGATATTGATGAATTAAGTGATGACGATTTGTATAGGGGATATAATGAAAAGCTATCCGCCTATGCTGTGAATCCAGAAGGAATAAGCATAATATCTTCAAAAGGGAGAGTTTATTTTATAGACACAAATTCAAAGAATTTATCTATTATCAATTAAACACTGCCATTATCTAATGATAATTAATAGACTACTCAATTGATATTTGATGAAAAATCAAGATATTTCTATGCTTTTTTAAATGACAATAATTAGGTTGTCAAGTATTAGTTTCTTAATAATGAAATCCAACATAAACCAGTTAGTGGATGGACAAAGCCGAACGATAAATTCAGAGTTATAGCTAGTAATGGAATATTATACTCTGCCTAAGAGTCATAAGGTCTATTCATATATGAAATTTAATAGCATGGTTTTAGGTTAATAACAACTATTACTGCTAAAGATTTGTATGATTCTGACTCTGACTAATTCAAAATTGTGGATGTTGCAGTTTCTGATGATAAATTGTACATTTTAGATCATTATCATGGAATTACACAATTTTAAATACGTTCTACTAATATGACTTTTGTTAAAAATGGAAAGTTGGGATTGATTAAATATTCAGATTGCAAATCATTTTCAGTAAGAGGATCAACCATCATTTTGATTTAAAATTACTAATCAAATTCAGAGATAATTGAGTTATTCATATAGGGAGATGATTATGTAGAAATGCGAAAAATTTACACAAAAAGTCAATTGAGAAGAGCAGATATTCTAGATGATGATTTTGCAATAGTTCGTGGTCTTCATGATCATAAAATCATGCTTATTTAGATGCCTGATTAATATCTTGATCAAGATGCAAAACGATTGTAAATTTAAATATCAATAAAATAGAGACAATTATTTCTTCAGTGGAAATCTTTTGGGGGTGAATAAATTCGGTAATACAAATGACACTCTTTTTGCCATTTCCCCTCATGGATTCTATATCTTTGTTTACAGAGCATATCCAACTATAATCATCTGCAATAGCAATGATATTGACTCAGGACTCTATTCAGCAAATGTAATTAAATTATTATATTGTAAAAGGTGTCAATCAAGAGTACTGATTGTGACAAGAAAACAGATAAGACAAATTCACTTCAATATTGTATTACCAACCATGTCTACAATTTCGAAATTAAAAAACCCTTGCTTTCACCAGAATAATAATAATATACTATATATCTGACCATTATCCTGATATCTATTATCCTTTTGTTGATTGGATGTATATTATTTCATTGCAGAAGCTATCAAATAAAATTGGAAACTTTGGAGAGATCAAAAAAAAAAAGAAACTTTAGACCTCCCAGTAAATCGGAAGCATGATGTGATAAAAATAATAAAATATTTAATTATGTAATTCAGAAAAATTTTTTAATTTTCAACTCTTTCCAAGTAATTAATTTAAGACACTGAGAGATATTACTATCTCAATCAATAGTCGACTCGTAATCAAATGTCTTTTGAATAATTTCAACAACACAAGCAAAATTATTTTAATACATTACTCACTTGTGATCTTAAATAAATTAGTAATTGGAGAATGCTCATTTAAAATCTATTCAGGATTGAGACAGAACCCAACGATCTTATGAAGTAAATCATTAACAGATATTCAGAATTGTTTGGGATCGAAGACTTGCTTAAAATTAATAATTACAAATTAACTTAATTATTAATTAATCATCACAATATTTACGATGTTCCAATCAATTTATTAAAATGTGATGGTATTGCCTAAATAATTGAACAATATGAACTTTCCCTTACTGTGTATCGAAATGTTTAGTTGAACAAGCTTTTCAAACATTTAATACTGTGCTAAAAACTCAATTTGCAAGTCATTCCCATTCACACATTCAATTTAGTTCATTACAATATTGAATAATCCTAGGAACTCGAATTCTTAAATGAATTGGTCCTATATCAAAGATCCAAAAGGGCGTAAACCAATAAACTACCTAATGAAACTTGGAATCTAGTCTTCAACCGCATTCTCTCCTCAAGACTCGATGAATCACGTCTTTTGTACACTTGCTAATTACTATAATAATTTGCACATTAAAAAATCAACATCAAATTTGATCTGATGAATTTGCTTAAGCATGTTATTGATGAATTTAGAATGCTCCAAAAAAGAGAAGCCACATTATTGGAACTTATTCGAACAATCAATATTTTAAAGGCTAATAAGTATGATATTGCAGAGTTAAAAGAACTTCGCAAAATCTGTGCTAAAGAACCTTAATTGCAAGGAGATAAAGAATATGATTTATATATGAATCTTGAACATTAAACTTAGAGTATAGAATTAATTGACAATCAAAATTTAAATGCCTACCTAACTGAAATTCTTTTAGGTGATGTGTAGAAACTTGGAGAAATTCAAAAGGCTGATTTAAGAGAGAAGATTTTAAATAAATTATAAACAGAAACTGATGAAAATTCTTTAAAGAAAATCATAGTAGTTAGTAGATAATTATGGCCAACTGAAATTTCCATTGTTTAAAGATGTGCTAAATAGATTAGACATCTACTAGCAAACAATGATTAAACAAAAGAAATGATTTCCTTAGCAATAAATTCTTTGTATGAGTTCAAAAGAATACAATATCCTTTTTTAGACGATTAACTCATCAATTATTTAGCTTGCATTGATGACTTATACATAAATCCATAAGAAATCAGTGTACTTTTATATTATATTTGTTTATCTTTACCAAAGCTTACAAAAAAAGAACTAAAACGTGATAATTAAAGAGAATACCCAATTAATGAAAACCTAAGTAAGATCTTGATTAATTTATTGCCTGTGATAAAAAAAATGTGTTCAAAAAATGCTCTAAGATTAAAAGTAATATATACTCTTACAGATTGTATTTGTAAATACAAAGAGTAGTTAGTTGATGTTGACTTGAAATTTTTATTTGAAAAGATAGAGTTTAATCTAGTGAAGGAATTGGAGTTAAAACAACAATGTAGAGTAGCAGTAGAATAAAAGGATATATAATTTTTGCACGAAAGATTTAGATATTTGAAAGTTGGATCTAGAAAATTATCAAGATTCTTTGATGATGCAAAATCAAATTACTTTGGGGCTCTATAAAAATTGTTGCAAAGATAAAGAGTGTATTTGAGAATGAGACAATCTAGAGGAAAATCAATTAGAGCACAAAGATCCTTTTGATATAATGAATATATATATATATATGAATAACAAGCATAGATACTAATTTTCATTACAATTTCTTTAGTAATGATAACGTATGTTGCTCTGTCAGTACTTCTATCGGCAAATTGGTTAAAATTAATCTTAACTAAATTAGTCTTTAATTTGTTCTATATATCCAGCAGCCATAAAATACAAGATACATCAACAATAGCATCAATCCAGTTACTAAATAATAAGTGTATAACGAATTTAGATCATTTTAAGTAATACTTATTACAGCTTTCATTAATGTATCTATGAATAAGTTTGTTCCATCTGTAGTATCTAAAAAATGTTCGATCAAAGTGTTTGTAAACTCTCTTGTATTAAAAAGATCTAATACGACATTTAAGTCTGGAAAGTAATCAGCTTAGTTGGTTTCATAATAATAATTTTATTTGAAAAAGGAATCCAATCTACTGACAACTCCCTAAATTCCTTTGCTTAAGTAATCTCTATTATCATCTAAACGCGTTGGAGTTCCATATATTTCATAAAAATTAGTAGTATTATCATAATTGCAAAACGGGATGTCACTACTTAACAACTCGCAAAAATCATTAGAATATAACAATAATAGTACTTGTTCATCTTCTTACGTAATCTTGTTAGATTCTATAATATTTTCATAAATTTATGTAATATTTTCAAAATAATTTGAATAAAGTGAGATGAAGATTTTAATGATTACTCTTTAGTCCCTAAAAGTTTCCATTTCTTTATCTGTGTAAAATTCTAGTTCAACCAATTTGTTATATAAAATGGGTTAAGTTTTTGTGATGAAGGCTGTGCTAACAACTATATCCAATTGCGAAGTAAAACGAATAAAGCCCAGAGTTAATTATTATGTAGGTAGTAAATCATTTTATTATTTCTTAAATACTAGAAAACCTCCTAATAGATAAAATAAGAAGATAAGACAAGTTATGATTATTATAATGGTTGCACTCCATAAAGTAGTATTAGGGTTGTTAATTTTAGAATTGAGTACTACGTTTAGGTTTTTTTTATAATTTTTCCTATCTTCTATAATGTGATTCAACTTTATAGATTACATTCCAACCTAAGATAATTGATACTCTTTAAGTACTCTAGATTATGTTTGCATTGCCTCGATCCCAATCTAATTCAAAGGAAAGAAAAGTAGTTTATAATAATTTTACTTTTTCCACCCATATTTTCCAGATAATTGCTTTAATGTTTCTGTGACTGCTGTGAATCTTGTTATCATATCTTATGCCTAATTTATTTATAGCCTGCCAACTAAGATCAATATTTATTAACTATATTATTCTATTTATCTCCAATAGGTTAATTAGCAATTTAGTATTAAGACCAATAAAATTATTTCTATTATGATTTATGTCTAGAATTCTTCTAACTAATTTTATTGTTATCTAAAGAACAATTCATTAAGGGAATCTATTAATTGAAAATTCATATCCACAACATTTTTTAAATTATATCGAAGCATCAATAAATTGTCTATGTAATTTCGATCAATTAATTAGATCAGTGTCTACATGTTATAATTGAGAGCTTGAAACAAAGTATCAGCCACATTAGAAATGATATTGATAAAATAAGTATATGTAACATTCTCGTTACTCTAATACAGAAAATCCAAATTGATTTAGCTCAGCATTCCTGATTATTCTATTCCAATAAAGGTATCATACATATTCCTTAAATTAGAGAACATAACAGAAGCTAAGTCTTTCATCTCAGAGATGGTTTAAGTAATCAAAAAATCACTACTCTCAATAATACCAAGAGTGTTAAAAACTAAACTCCATGTATAAGTGAAAACTTTAAAAAAATACCTATTAAACAGGGTTGGCCCATTAATATTTGAGAGTGTTAATTAAGTTTAATTGTTGTATGATTATATCTTCAATAAATGTGCTATTATATATGCAAGGACTATCATTATAATAATAATATTGATAGACACCAAAACTCTTAGACTATTTGTCATTTCAGTCTTCGATTAAAATTTCTTGATTGTCGACATGGCAGAAATCCCAGAGGTTCCAGAAGTAATGCTTGATTTTGATTTTTTAGCTTCTCTATCTATTTCTTCATTTTTTTAATTTAATTTATTTTTCTGTAATATTTCAATAAGATTATTGCTCTTTTAATTTTGATCTTTACTGTTGCTTTTGACTTTTGACGAATCAGCCATTTCGATATCATTACCTATTTCTTCATTTCCAATTTCTAGTTAATTTTAAATATCCATAAAGTCTTTATCTATCAATTCCTACATATGTTATTACTTTGAAGATGGACTGATGAAATTGATTCTTTGAGATAAAGGGCCATAACTGATACTATCTCTTGCTGACTCCATTCCCATTAAATCCATGTAATTTTATTATACATAATTCTTACCCTCAAACTTGTTCAAAAGTCTTTAAATTCCAGGTTAGAATTACTTGGAAATATTAGGTGTAACTTCTTCTTTGTCTACATTCATAGTTCCCAAGTTGCTTTCACTTAGATCTTAAGCACCAGGCATGGTTTTAGCCTTGTTAGTTGTCTATATCGAAATAGTATGCTAATTATTCATAAGGGAATCATTAGTCTTAAAAAACTCATCAGCCTTCCTCATATCATTTATTTCTAAAATGAAGTAACTTTTCCTATTCTCCTTTTTTCCAATTATTTTATACACTGCATTAATCTTAGCAACATATTATTGTTTAGGTTTAGTCTAAAAATATACAATTATAATTTACTTCTAAAACTTATAATGAATTCATTATTTAGTTATTGAATGCAATACTATAAATTGTTAATGCTTATAGGAGTGAAACTCCTTTTAACTTTTTATTCTCACTTAAAGATTACCCAAGTTATTAGTATATTTGAATATCAGCCTTTTCTTTCTCGATTGAAGCAAAGGAGGCTCGAGATTTAAATAAGCTACTATCATTGATAAATGAGTTTTATTTAGATGAATAAGCTAATTTAGCAGACATCTCATATAAATCCTTGTTATTGTTATACTTCCAGATCTTATAAAACTTGTCTTACTAAATATAGATGGAATCCTTTCCATATGAATTTTTTAACTCATTCAATATATCCGTCATGTTGGGGAGCATAAAAAAAGCATTTAATTGTCTCAAATTTTCATGTAATATTCTATATGATTAATCTTTAGAATCAATAATTGTTGAATAAAAATTCTCAGTCATTCCAATTACAAATCCATCTTCATTAAATAGTAGATAATCTGATGATTTTTTTACTTATGATAGACAACCAATCAAAACATAGTCATCCAGTTCACTAAAATTATTATCCAATTTAAGTTGATACGAAATTATCATGCCATCCTTTGATTATCCAAATACTTAATTGTAATCATCAAAGAATTGAGACTTTGCAGTTTACAAATAATTTAATAATAATTTATCATGCTTTTCTGCAAAATAACTAGGCATAATCCCTGATATATTGTCTATTTGGGCAAACTCCTATTCACTATAATCAAAAAACTAAGCTATCATCTTTTTATCTTGATTGATTATCTTGCCTCTATTCTTAACCAAACTTAACATCAGAATTACTGCTCTTTCTTAAATGAATGATAGATTGGTTATCGTATCTTCTTAAAGTGTATGTTCAATGTTATAAATTTCGCTAATAGCAGTTTCACATATTTGAGTACTATAATAATCATTCATAATGGCACTACAGAAAATGGAGACCAATTTCAAATCCTGTACATTATTAGAAATAGACAAATGATCCAGATTCTTAATATCTATTGAACAATATTAGTTAATTTAACTAGCTAAATTAAAGATCTTTTTGCTTTAATTTATAGCTAATCGTTCTAATTCATAAATATTATTAAACCCTTTAATTTACCTGTTCCAAAAATTGATCTTATCATTTAATAACTCTATAATGCTAGGAATGAATTTATCTTAAAATTATAGAGCTTCAAAGATTGATTAAATACTTAATTGTCGTTCAGTCATAGCAACCTTTTATTATCCATATAATTATTAATTAGTTTATTATTGATTTTTGATTAGATTTTAAAGGTAAACGCTCATTTGATCTCGAATGGAAACAAAGTAAAAAGATTGAATTTATTATTTGCTTTGATACCGTTTTAATTCAACATAAGCTAAGAGTGGCTTTCTGCAGAATTAAGCCACATAACTTATATACAAGAGTTGCAATTCTTCATAAGCTGTTCTTGGGTCTAACTATGCTCTTTCTAATTCTGTATTTAGGATACAGAAGATAGTTTGATGAGTTCTTTAAATCTGGTTGTAATCTGTCTTATAATTCTACTTTAACCAATGTTTCTAACAAACCACCTTATGACCCTTCCAATATTGGTAAAGTTCAAAGAATTCTTTGCTTCTTTGGTAATCAGAAGTTATTAAATATTTGAAATGCATTTCTTAGGTGTAATGTATGCAAGTGAAAGGTGTTACTTCATAATCAAAGACTGATAAGCATTTCATGATGTAAAATTAGTTACTTAAATGAAATGTCATGGGACACAATAGCATGAGCACATAAATAAGTTGGTCCTCTTAGAAAAGTTGTTCATTATTAGTTAAGATGTTTATACTTAAAATAATTAGGGTTGCAATTAGAGTAAAATTCAAGGAGAATTGCAATTGATTAACAAAGGGAATGGAAGGCTTCATGAAATAGGATTCTACTAATCTCAAAATTATGTCTAGGAATATGATTACTATTTGAATATATTAGACGATTGTATCAGAATCAACTAAGTACAATATTGCAATTAAAATCGAGAGACAGTATTAAATTGATTGAAGTCCATTAAACTTCTACTATAAATAATTAAAAGGCACGAATGTGTAAGCCCTCAAAAAATATTGTTGCAAAAATACAAATATTGAGAATATAAATAGTGTTACTAGACTCAAAATACTTTTCACATTAAAAATTGTCAACTCTTAATTAAAATTGGTTCTTCCTATCATGATGAAAGGAATTAATAGGAATATGATTGGCAACTGAAATATAGTAGTACTGAGCATAAAGAAATAGAAAATGAGTTTTCTAAGCGAATAATGTTAAAGAGGATTGATATCATCTAGTATTCCCAGGATCACTAAGATAATGATAATCGTAATAAAGGTGAGCAGAAGTAAAGCGACAAAGCCAAATGCAATATCTCCAAAGTTAAAATTAGATTCAAAACCAAAAGGAATAATCAAGGAGGCTTGAGCAAGTTTTGATAAGAGGTAAAAGTGCCCATTGCTGTATTTCCATAAATTCCAACCACTAATAGGCAACATAATTGAAAGGTATTAAAGATTGGTAATGAAAGCAATCAAGATAATCCAAAAGTCAGATGGTTGGGTATTATGAGTTAAATGGGCTAAGCATGACAACTATTCAAATACTATAAATTTCATAATAATAATGATAATTTATCAAAGCAAAACAATTTTTATATAAATTGAAGTCGTATAATTTTATTTATTAAAATTTCTTGAGAAGAGGCAATATTTGGAATATTTAATATTTCGTTTTGCAAATTAATTTAATTATGAAAGTACATTCAGAGTAGCAACTCAAAAAAATAAGGGAATAATAATAGTAAAATACCAAGTTCTTATTTTATATATTAATAAAATTTAATAAATTAATTATTTTATATATGAATAACATTTTCACTCTTTTGAAAAAATAGTTAAATTCAATGTTTCTTCACTTAATGATACACTTGGTTCATGGAGATCGTTATTAGAACCCATTTCAAGGATTTTTTGTTCAATAAAACAACCATTTTCGTCTTGGATTATTACCTGTAAGCAACCAAAAGTATCGTGATTTCTTGGGTCTCTTAACTCATATTCCAAGTCAAATGGGAAGTTTATTTCTGTAAAGAACTTTTCGAATCTATCCGATTAAGTTTCCGTGAATATAAAGTTATTTGATATTATCGCTCTTAATTTAAGTGTTATTTGTCTCTTCTCTTACGATGAGTATTCATGCACTTTACCTCCTGTCACACCTGCCGTATTATAATACTTATTAACATCTTTTGGATTACAATAGATATTTAACTGAGTTTATTATTTACCAAACTTTTAAGCTGGAGCATATATGTCTTTGTATTAATCCACAAAATATACAATTTCACCAGGGAATGGGAATTGTTAGGTTGGCTTTAGTAATACATTCAAAATTCTTTTATACTAGGCCTTTTGATCATCATAATCAGGAAGGGAGTCTTTTTTAGCAATTTGTGCAGTTTCTGCTTTTAGTAAACCAGCCTGCTTATCTATGATTTAATAGGAGGCCAAAAATTTTGAATTTTATTGCTAATATAATTCAGATACCTTAATCAAAATGGATTTCTTGGCTGGAAAAATGATAATAGAATTTTAGAGATTTAAATCTTCTAAAATTTACTCCGCTCTATTTATAAAGGTCTTTGTTTTGCTTATTTCCCAAAAGTCAACGGTAACAGAGAATTCCTACTATTCTTACCAATTGTCTAGAACAGCTTTATCAATTAATTGTTTCACATCTTATTTTGTATACAATCCTAATTAAATTGCGATGTCTTTAGGATCATTTGCTTTGTTTTTTTACAACTCAGCTATTTTATCCTTATGTATTAGTTGATCATAACTGGATATACCTGCATTGAAGTATTGATTATCAAAATATGATGCTTCTTCAATATCCATCACAAAATAATTTACAGGTTTCTCTTGGCTGCTTTGGCAATAGAATTCCTCTGGATCCTTTTCAGGATCGCAAAATGTGCAGAATGATCGATAAAAGCATTTGTGAGTTTAGCAAATTGAAAAGACTTCTTAATCTAAATCCTCGTGATGATTATCAATCTAAATTTTATTTCCTTTATGTATGATCATATTCGTTTTTATTATTATTAATGAAAGTTATTGTTTTCATCACTCTTTTGGTATGTGTTTTCGGCCAACAACCTGAAATGTTAGAGTAAATTGCACAGAACAGTTTCGGCAGATAAATATTGTAAACAATTCAATTAGAACTCACACAAGAGTAAACTCATATTAAATAGCATTAGAAATGCAGCAAGATAAATCTACACCATGTTAAACAAATTGTTTTATGATCTCAGAGATGAAGATGCTCGTTCAAGCAAAGCTAATGGAGAGAGACAAGCATAATGTTCTGATCAATTTGCATTAATCAATTCAATCTAAGAAAAAGCAGTTGTTGCCAAGGCTGATTATGAAAGACAAATACCAGGAAAATAAGAAGAATTAGCAAATAAAGTGGCTCAAGTTGAATAAAAAAATGCTGAGATCCAAAGAAATGATTAATTATATGTTAACCTTTCAGAACAAAGAAGAAAAGAGCATGAAACTTATGAACGTAAGAGAGATGAACTTATTGGTTTGATCAATGGTTTAAAATAAGCATAACAAATTATAAGACAATTGCAAACTCCTCATCCTGGAGGTGCTCTTGTTCAATTAAAAGAACATCATGAATAATTAAGTATCTAATTCATTCTATCTAAGTAAAATCATATGCTGCCAATTCAGAATTCAAAAGTATGGCATCATTGTTGATGGAATTATGTACAGATGCTAAAATCCATTCTGATAATGACAATGTTTAAGTTATTGTAGATATTATCAATGACTTAATTGAAAGCATTTACGATGTCTAAAAGAGAGAAATGTATGCAGAAGATTGGGCAGAGAAGTTCTTCTAATAGGATTTGTATTTATTATCATTCAAAAATTAGACTGCGACTCTCCAAAGAAAATGTTAGATTGTAAGGTCAAATCGCAGATGATCAAGCTGCTGCTGAATTTGCTCAATAGAGATTAGAGGATCTCCAATAATAGGCTCTCCTTCAATAAATTATTTATGATAACAAAGAAGTGGAGAGAAAGTCTTTTGAGGTTGCTTGCAAGGAGGATAACAATGCTGCTGAGTAGGCCAGAGTCTCAAGAAATGAACAAATACAAATTGTACTTCAGTTGTTGGAATTATTTGAAAACAATTTCAATGATAGAACTAGAGCAGCACTTCTTCAAATTGTTGTATGAAACAATATAAAAGTTAAAAAACATATATTATATAAATCAAGATAAAGTTTATGATTCTAACATTATACCTTTCCTTGATTTTTTCTCAAAGAAAGTTGTTGTCCTGCAAAATGATACTTTTTTTGAGCTACTTGCTGAACTGCCACCTGAGCCATGAGATTTTGCAGTTGCTTATTTTAAAATTCCTTTCCCATTACTAAATCTTTTTTTCTCTGATGACTGAGAATCTTCACTTTCCAAATTGTCTAGCACTTCATATTCAAAAACGCTATCCAATACTATATACGAGGGAATTTCCACAATTTCTAATTATTTTCCAATAATATTTTTCACAATTGGACTATTTATTACTATTTTCTTTGACACTTCGCTTGAAATATTAGTATTAAGTGTCTCCATATCCATTTTATTCATACAGCAAGATCCCATTTTACAAAATATTACAATTTTATAAATTAAAATATTATATTGGAACTTCTTTTTATGGAAGAAGGAAATTATCTCATTATCTTATTATGTTAGTTTTTCAAACTTTAAAACACCCTTACTTTTTAAATGCTTTTAAGAGTCATTTCTCATACAGTCCTATCTTTATTTTAGAAAATCGATTAAACAGTTGTCAAAAAATAGAAAATTATATTCACTTAATCATCTTGAGTTGTGAAGATTGTAAAAAACAGTATTAGTAAATTCAATAACATAACTTATATATAAGTTTCAATTTTAATGAATTTAACACAAACAAAACTATTTCGTATTGTGGCTATTCCTTTCAGAATTTCATTCCTAAAACCTAAGTCATAAATGTAACTCTGATAAGTTCAAAATATAATCACTTAAGACAAAGGACAAATCTACATTTTAGAAATGATCTATCGTTTATATTGTAAAATTTACTATTAATATTTTAATAATAAACTTATTTTATAAGATTAATATTGGAATTAAACCTATTTTTGTGAGTATATAATAAAATTTATAATTTTACTTACAGAAAAGTGAAGAACTACAGAACCTTTTATAATATTAATATATGCAAATATTATCAGTGTATGATCTTAGAACTTTATTTAAGATTGGACAAGCTTTTTTCAAGTTGACTGACTCTTAAGCTATTACTTATAAATATGCTTTTTACTTTAACACTTTTTCATCAGCTTAACTTACATTTACAAGACTTTAATCAAGATTTTCAGAATCCTTTTTTAGTTTTCTCTGGAGCTCTTGTTGAGCTTTTCGAATTAATTCATTAGAGACTTTTTCTAAAGATTTTTGTTCATTTAATTATTGAGATGATTTAATCAGCGACTTGAATCGTAAATCCTTCAATCTTTCTTGTCTTTAATAATTTTCAATTAAATCCTGTTGTTTTAATTTCATCCTCTCCTGTTTTAAGGATTTCTAGTAATCTAATTCTTCTTTTCTTTTCAGACTATAATCTTCAAGAAGCTAAAATTTCTTTTACAAACTATCGACTCTATCAAATTACTAAGACTTAATATTCTTAAGACTTTTTTCAATCTTTCTCCTTCTTAATTTTTCATCTTTTAGTTTGTTTTGTTCTTCTCTCTCTTTTGATTATTTTAAGGCTAAGCTATAGAGTAATAATACCTTTAAGATCTTCTTCTTTGCTTGCTAATTTTTGAACAATAGACTAAACCAAGGATTCTTCCTTTTACATAGTTCTTAATTTGTATTGCTTTAATTTTTCTTCATGCAAGAACTCCTAAGAGTAAGACGCTCTAATTTGGATTCCCAAATTTATTTTTCTTTATTTAATGAGGTTTCTGCCCATTTTTATTGAATTTAAGTCATAGTTTATGCCATTTACTAATTATATTGTCTGTCTTGCAAGGTTTTCCTTAATTATATTTACAATCTTCTTTCTTAATACTTTCTCTCTTATTCATCCAACTCTTTTTTATGTGAGATTTCGTCTTGTTCTAATTTCTTTCGTCTAGTATTATTTAATAATTTACATCTTTTCTTCTTTTTCTGCCTACCTTTTTCTGTCTTCCAGCAATTTGATTTATTTTTCTCTTTCTTTTTATTTAATTTCATTAACTTTTTTCTAAGAAGCCTACTTCATTTCTTTTTTCTTTCTTGCCTTCTAAATTGAGATTTTAAATTTTAACTCCTCAATTTTTTTCTCTCTTTCAATCATATCTTGATGTAGTTTTTATCTTCTTTTTTCATTATTCAGTTGATGTTACACTTCTTTAGCCTTAATTTATAAGGATTTCTTATATTTAGCAATTTCCTTTTCCAACTATTATTCTAATACCAATATTGGATCGTCTTCATCGAAAGATAAATAAGAGGCATCCTTATCTTCTTTATCGATGCTACTCATTTTTTTATTGTAAGTTTCAATTAAATCATTAACCAATCTTTTGTTAAATGAAATAGGTACTCCTCATCTCTCTGATAACTCTTTTCTAAATGCAAATTAGTAATATTTTTTTATTTCTTTATTATTATCTTCCTCACCTTACTAATTTCCTACAAGGCACCTAGAATCTATTTCAGTTTTACCTTCCGTCTTCTTCATGTAGTGATCAAATCGCATCTTTTACACATTTTCAGAAATGCCAGCTTCAGCAAAATCTTCTAATTGTCTTCATATATAAATGCTCAACTGATACTTGAATTAAAATATATTTGGATCATAACCCAAAGCCAAGCATGCTTCTCGAGTCTTAGGTGAATCCGGTTTGATTGTAAAGGCCTTTCTAGTGTGTTAAAACACAATGCCTCTTCTAGTATTTCGATGAGTTTAGTCGAGTAAGGTTTCTAAATTCATGTTTAATTATTATTTATTTTTATTTTTTTTAATCAATCCAATCCAGGAACAGGGAATTGAGAACTGAATGATACAACATCTTTTTTGAGTTTTTGGATATCAGGATGTTGGTCACCATTCTTTGCCAACCAATCTTTGAAATCTTGTACTTTTGGTCCAGCTTCTCCCTTCACCTTTTGAGCTATAGCCACACCTCTATCAATGAAATCAGCTATTTATGCAAATTCATCTTAATTAACTCCTCTGGATGTCATAGGTACTGATCTATTCATAGAATTATTGACTCTTACCCCATTCTCAATCCATTTGGTACCAAAGCTGACTTATCCTTTGGAACAGTATTCTTATTTACAGAAATATTGACTGCTTATAAAATGGATTCCACTCTTGCACCATCAATTGATTTAGGCTTTAAATTGACCAATACCAAGTGATTGTCAGTTCCTCCTGAAACCAAAGAAAAGTCTTAGAATAAATTAAAATGAATACTTCTCTTCAATAATTCATCTGCCAATTTCTTGCTGTTCAATAGAACACTCATTTAATAGCTCTTAAATTCAGGGGTTTTAGCCTCTTCCAACGCCACAGCTATACTTGTTATAGTATGGAAATGGGGTCCTCCTTACAATCCAGGAAATACAGCTTGGTCAATTTTTGATTTAAGATCATAATTGATAGGTTTGCCATTCTTGTCGACTTCCTTTTGACCAACTCTATAGAAAATAAGACTTCCTCTTGGTCCTCTCATTCTAAAAGTTGATATTAAAATAGATACGATTTGTGAGTAGTGGTCATAACGACATCTGCATATGGGAATGGACTTGGTAATTATTCAGCTGCCATCATGCCTGCTGTATGTGAAATATCAGCTAATAAATATGCTTTGACACTATCGCAAATTTTTCTGATGGCTTGAAAATCTATAATTCTTGCATAAGCAGATGCTCCTGCAACTATCAATTTGGGTCTGAATGCTTTTGCCAGGACTTCCATTTATTCATAATCTATAAGTTCTGTTTCCTAAATAGATTTCTTTATTGTTTCTTACTTCATTTAATCTGTAAGGCATAACCTCAAAGTAACTGGAAACAGCAGAGACCTTTTTGGTTTCAGTCTGATATCCATGTGACAAGTGACCTCCATGTGGAAGATCCAAACTCAATATTCTATCTTTAGGAGCCAACAATCCTGTGTAGATTGCAAAATTGGCAGGAGCCCCAGACAACATTTAAACATTGACACCCCATTCATTAGAATTCAAATTAAATGCATTTAGAGCTCTTTATTAACAAAGCAATTCCACTTTATCGTACACTTGTGTTCCTCCATAATATCTGGCTCCAGGATAACCTATTGATATTAGTGTACTTTTAAATACCTTCTGCGTATTTGGTAGACATCACAGAGCCCAAAGCTTCCAAGACTGCCTTCGAGCTGTGATTTTCAGATGGAATCAAGTTGATACTCTCTCTTTGTCTTTTGATTTCTTCTTAAATAAGGCCAAATATTGTGGGATCAGCCTAATTTAAGGTTAATCTCTGTCTTGGAACCAATCTGGAGAAACGATACACTGAGGTATATAATTACATTAATAATAATTTACAACGTGACGAATTAATATTAAATTATATTTTGGATTGCAATTCCCTATAATAAAACTATTCACTTATAAAAAATCAATGGTTGGTCTGCATTTGTAATAATAAAATTGATTATATCTTATTTACTTAATCATTATTCCTCATATTAATGATTTCACTATTCCATCTATTCAAGTTCCTCCTTGTTAATAAATGCATATTATAGAGAGGGTCGATATCCATCTAATTATTCCCATTTGAATCTGGGAATCTTGAAAATGGGCTAGCAGGATTTCTCTATGATAATTTATATGATCCTCTTAGTCTTCCATGCCAAATCGTTGGCTTTGATTCTGGCACACTCTTCAACTTACAAGCAATCCATTATTAATTCTTTGGCATACTGGGGAATTCCATTGATGTTAATCTAAATCTGTTGAGCAACATAATTAAGCATTTCTTTTTCGAGTTGATCACTCTTCTTCGCTTTCCAAGGGTAATGTTGAGTGACCATAAAAAACAAAAGGACTCCCAAACTCCAGATGTCATTTGCATATGGATCATATTGAGATCTATATTATAAGGGAATTATTACAATAATTTAGTTTATGGACTCATGTACATGGGAGTTCCTACATATGTCCTTGAAGTGGTTTATTCATCATTTAGGAGTCTGGCAAATCCGAAATCGATTACTTTGATTTCTAATTTAGGTTTTGTACGAATCAAAATGTTTGAAGGCTTGATGTCTCTATGAACAATATGCATGTCATGTAGGAAACTGATTCCTGAAGCAATTTAATAAAATATCTGTAAGGCATCATCTTCTTGAATTTTGCCTTTCTTCTCGATGTAAGAATTGAGATCTAAAGAGTCTTTAAAACATTCCATTACGATATTATTGAAATTAGCACATTAGTAGAAATCCTTGTACCTTATGAGATATTTGGATCCATTTTCCCCATCTTAATAAGGGATGCTCCTCATAGATTCGACTTCTTATCTGAAGATTTTATTGTCCAATCCAAGTTCCTGCTTGCTCATCTGTTTGACGGCCACCATTTCATTTGTGAAAGTATCAATTGCAGTGTACACAGTTCCATACATACCACTTCCCAACTTTTACTTCAAGTTTATTTGATATCTGCTATTCATTTTTAATATTAAACATATCACAGAGAATTGGGAGATGATTTCTTTTTATTTATTTATTTAATTCAGTGTATTTTGATTAACTTCGGAGTATTAACTGTGTCCCTGTTATAATATTGATTATTATATAATAATGTAAATAATAATTAATGAGTGTCATACAAATTACTGCACCACAAACCTAGAATAATTTTAGATGGCTGATCTAAAAGCTGATTATGAAAATGAATCGAGAGTCAGACAGGAACTCAGAAGAAGCTGCCTATCGTATTAACAGAGGGGCTTTGACTTGCTTCACGACTTTGTGTAACACCTTAAGCATAAACAATCGAGTGATGTATTCCTTTTGAAATTCTCAATAGCGAAGTCAATTTATCTGGTTGTAATATTAATGTTTACTACGCCATTGAAATCAGTGGATTGATACAAAAAAACAAGAATATTTAGATTTTGAACTTGGGCGACTGTAAAATTAATTCATTCGGTTTGAGTTGCATATTCAAGGCTGTAATTTTTCCTCCTTATCCCAGATGATTGATCACACAGGTCTCAAAATATTGAATCTATTCAACAATCAAGCATTTACTACCTAAGTTGTCTAAGACTTTTGCAGATACGTGTTGGGAGGCAAAAACTTCTTGCAAGAAATCAATCTATCGCATTGCAATATTGAGAACTCATTGTTAGCCTAAATAATGGATAAAACTCATAATTTAAGCTCTTTAAGGTACTAAATAATTTATAATATCAAGACGACTGAAATTATCCTTGATGAATCTGAACTACGAAGGAATAATCGCTCTATCCAGTATGATGTTGAATTACACTGGAAAATTGAGTTTGGATTATTTGGACATCTCCTACAATCAAATTAAAAATGATGGAATTGCATTACTGGCAAGAGCATTATTCATGTCAGTCAGACTGATCAAGATTAAGTCCCTCAATCTCAATGGCAATCAGATTACTCAAACTGACTAATTAGAACAAATCATACTTAAAATTTAACTAGAGGAACTATATCTTTCTCATAATAAAATTGTAGAATTTTAAAATCAACATGTCCTAACATTAAAATTGTTAAAAATAGATTTGTCCCACAATAGAATTGAAGAAATACCAAACAATTTCTTCTTAAATGTAATGTATCTAAACCTATCCAACAATTTGATTGACACTGAAGGGGCCTATCAGATAAGTCAAGTACTATGTTGCAACATAGTTTAATGGGCTTATCTAGATTTAAGTACAATTAATTAATTCTCAGTAATAACAAAATTAAAACTAAGGGTTTTATATCAATAGTTTATGCTTTGATTGAGAATATCTCTCTGATTAGTTTATCAGTGTCTAAAAATCAAATAGATGGTGAGGGTATCTTGGTTTATGTGTTTAATCATGAACAAATAAGATTGCAGTATTTAGATGTTTCATTAAATCAATTGAGGTATGATATTGTATACACATTGATTTCAATGATGAAAGAGTCAAGATTAAAGACTCTCCTATTGTCTTAATTAATAATTGATGATAATGAAATTTAAAGTGGAAAGCAGGATTGTTTCGAAATTAAATGTACAAACTTAAGAGAATTGGATTTCAGTTTTAATCCTCACATTATGTATCCAGTTCTAGAATCATTAAGTAACTAATACAATAGACTTGAATATTTGAATCTAAACTCATGTCAACTGAATGAACCCATATTGATTGAGAGATTGAGTCAGCTAATAGAAAAGACCTACACTTTGACAACCCTATTAATAGCTCATAATAACTTAGGCGATTTAAATTTATCCTCTTTCGAATTCTTAAACAGTGCTTTATCTAAGAATTCAACTTTAATTAACTTAGATATTTCAAGCAATAAATTAAAGAATGCAATCTTACTACTTATAAATGGCATATCAAATTGTTGTTCTTTGAAAGTATTGAATATCAGCAATAATTTAATTGATGAAAATGAGGTGATAGTCAGAAAATTACCACTGTTATTCAAAAATAGAAATTTATAATATGTAGATATGTCCAAAAATTGGATACATGGTTAAACTCTGTTCAGTATCAAAGCCATTATATAAAAGATGCATTTGTCGTTTCCATAATTGTTATTGTCTAATCTCAAACTTACAGCCGACGACCTATTGATAATCTCTGATATTATATCGGATATCTACTCTTTTAAGATACTAGACATCAGCATGAATTAATCAATTGATTATATGAATAATTTCACTGCCCTATAAGATAATTAAACAATTAGTTCACTCACAATAAATAAAATGTAATGTCGCTTAGAGTCCTATTAAAATTTATAATAAGTATTGAAAAGAAATAAGCACTCTTTAAAACTCATTGAAATTTCCAACACTCTCATATCTCATAATTATCTATACACTTTATTGTAAGGTATGAAATATACGAAATCTTTGACCTCCTTGATTTTGGAATATTAGGTAATAGAAAGTTATGCCCTTCTAAATTCATTTCATGAATTGATTTAGATTAATACATTAAGGAATCTAGAATATCTAATTATCCAAAAGTCGACCTTGTCAATTGATTTTTTCTAGATTTTGAAGGAAATCTTAAGACAATCCAATAAACTCATAGAATTGGATGTGAGCGAAAATAGGATTAATAAGCATAAATTTGAAATCTTATGTCAAGGGATTACTTTAAATAATAGTTTGTAAATACTGAACATTGCAAATATCAAACTGAATGATTAAAAGTGTTAAATGTTAATTTAATCACTACTCAATAATAAGACTATCAAATAGATTGATTTATCAAGAAATAACATTACTCAATAAAGTTACTACCATTTCTTTACTGTATTCAAAAATAATATCACACAAATTGAGAAGCTAAAATTCTCTAAAACAAAGAAGAAAGCTCAAATTAAGATATATCCCGATTATAAATTTGATTTTTTTATTAATTTTCATAGGTAAGAACCAAGTTCATTATTATTTTTTAACTTAACTACACTAGACCTATCTAGAGTAAAGTATCAACAGGCTAATCTAGAATTGATTATAAACAGAATTAAGCCAGATTCAATATTATAAAATGTTACTAAGCTCTAGTTTAATGAATGTCAATTCCAGGATTCTCATTGTGAACAGCTTCAACAATTACTATAGAATTAATTGAAACTAAAGGAATTGTCTCTGGATAAAAACAATATAACTTCAGATGGATTTTATAAGATATTTAATATTATACTATAAAATAAAAGCCAATTGGAAAAATTAACAATATCCAAGTACAAATATTATTAAACCTTATAGCAATTAAATTGAAAATACAATCTTGCAGTTTAATTGTGAATAAAAATTATCGTTTTTCAAACTGCTTATCATCGATAATAATAAAGCTCTTGGATCTCAAGATCTATTGCTATTTTTAAAAAATAATAAAGGCTTGTATATCTATAACACTTGGAGCTAAATCTCAGAGGAACTAGCAATTTAAATAATAGAATCCTACATACTTTACAGTGTGAATTATCATATAAAGAATACTCCTGATTATCTGAAAAATCTAATAATTAGGGATGCTAATTTGACAGATAATTTTCTTATTTGGTTTGGGACTAAGTATTTTAATTTTTAATAATTGGAGTGCATTGACTTTTCTGGTAGTACTAAATTTAGTACAAGTGTTGGGAAAATGCATATGTACATAAGCATGATCAATGAATAATTTATGGAATACAATTTAATTTCTGGAAAGATAGACAATCAGTAAAGGATTATTAATATTTTTGATGATGGGATATTGTATTATCTATTGATTAAACTCAAAATGTACATACTAAAAAGAAACAACAGCATGAAATGGATAATTTAAATAATTAACAAAAAGTTATATCAGTATACAGATTTCAAATTAAGTAGTTCACTTTATAAATTTCTAAGGTAAAACAAAGTTTACATTCGAACTTATTGTGTAATCTAGTTAATTCTGGTGCCAATCTAGGCAATATTGAGTGTGATTTTAGCATTCTATTATGATTACAATATCGACCCGAGAGAATTGAAAATGGATTGCAAATATTAGAATCCATGTTACTTTTCTACTTATAATGAATATGCAATATTGATAAGTTTGATATATTTTCTGTTGGTTCTATACACTTAAGTGTTAAACTTGTATGTGGCAGTGAAAATTAGAGTAAAAGCAGTGCCAGATTATTGCATAAGAACATTTGAAGAAAAGAAGTTTTAAATTTATAAATACCCTCACAAATAAGAACTATTTTAGTTTTTCATTCTGTTGTTCATATCAGCAGATTACTACTTTGAATTTTAGGTGATTGGCTTATGTGTAAGCTTTATTGATTATTTATAAGACAACAACTTAATGAGAGAATTGCAATATAAGTTTTTTGTTCAACTCTTTGTGCTGTCTTCAGTTGCTATAACAAAGTTCATCATAGTGATATACACCAATTACATCAACATGTATAATTTAATGAAAAATTTGGATGCTGATTAGGCAACGTTATTTTCATACATTTGGAAGATGAGTGAAAATAATTATGTTCTAGAGAATATTCTAAGGTAATATTGTCCATAAATTGGAATTCAAGTCAAAAATCATCTATTAAACAGCAGATAAATTTAAGAATTGATCTAAGCTCTACTAATCGATTTGCCGTCTTTCATATGTATTAGCACATTTTATTCCCTTTCAACTTAATACTATGAATCCTAGTTTACATCTCACATTATACCTTCAGCATACTTTTTATTTATGATTGCTAATTTGAGAGTCTTAGTTGGATTCTTCTTTCACCTCAACATTGCACTTACAACACGACCTCCTTAGGTGAATGGGTTTGATTTGAATTAAACTCTCTTGTAAAGAAAATACCAATCATTCTAAAAAGAATGTGAGAAGCAGCCATATGAAACGTGTGAACCCCAAGAGGATGCAAGATTGATGAGTACTTTGATGAAATACAGAAGTGAGAAGCAAATAATTGTAGCATTAAATAAGAAAGAAAATTGAATATAAGATTGCATTCCTTTTATTTATATCAATTGGATTTATGTATCCTAAGATCTATCAATTCGAAAGAAACTTTTTATAAGTGTCAGCATTTCTTCTAAGTATATCTTCAACTGGACCTAACAATCTCAAAAATGAATTGCTATCTAAATACACAACTACACAATCAGTCTACATTTTGATATTATATCTACTTCCGCTTTTATTGTAGCTTATCTAGGCATCTTATGAATTAATGCCAATTCACCAAAATAATCCCCTGTTTGATAACGCAAGACTTCTTCCTATTATCCATTATTATCTTTAAATGCCGCCAAACTTCCTTCAGCAACCATGTAAAATTTATCTCCTTCTTCCCCTTCCTAAATGATCACTTGTCCTTCCAAGTATGAATGCTCCTTCAGACCATCACAAATTTGTGTCTTTTCATAGGCGTCCATTGATTATAATAACTCAACTTTAGAAAGTACCTCTTCATATTGTTGTCTCTTTTTCATAGTAGCATCTTTCACTATGTTATTGAAAGTGCTTCTGTCCAATGCAAAGAGAACCGAATCAACTTTTGCTTAGATTGAGGCTGCCCTAGGAGAATTATAGAGAAGAGATAATTCTCCGAACATATCACCTGACTTGTATTGCTTAAGGAATTTCGGTTCTTCATCTGTTGGTTTCATTCTCCTAAAGCAATCCAGTTCACCAGAAAATACTATGTAAAGTTCAGCTCCATCTTCTCCCTGATTGATTACCCAGTCATCCTTTGTGAAATGCTTTTCTTCCATGGCATTTACAACAATCTCTTATTCATGCTAGCCCAGTGCCTAAAACATAAACACTTTCATTAGTTTCTCCAATATTTATTACTTCTATTCTTCTGTTTTTGGTATCACTCTTGGTATGAAGTTCTCCTTCTTGTTGTGGATACCGAAGACTTCAGCACTTACAGAACTTCTGAACGCTTTTGAATTTTTTGGTGGCAATGGCAATTCTTCAATTTCTTCATTGTCATCTTGATCAGATGATAAATTATATTCGACTGCAGTATTTAGATGCTGAGTCATACTGGAGTTATTTTTAAGTTATTCAAGGTATTGGATCATCCATTCAATCTGATGTAACATATGTAATTTACATAATTTTCAGGTTATGATTTAAACAGTTCATATACCATCTTCTGCAATACATCATTTACTTTTTCCTTATACCTTGCTATTCGTTCCTTATTATTCATAATTATAAATTATGTTTTTGATTTATTATTTATTCGTTTCTGTAACTTAAATTTAAATCGCTCAATAAACTAGTATTTTAAAAACATAGTATAAACAACAAAATTGTTAGACCAAATACTAACATTTAAATGTGGTTTTCATCTGTATATCAGTAGTCATAACACAGTGGTTTCGTTTAGTCACACATGGATTAATTTGAATATATCGACGTTTTGAATGCGGGTTGAAAGACTTATGATTTTAATATTGAATAGTATATAAATGGTATAATAATTGAACCTTCAATTAAATAATTAATAATATATATAATGAGCAATAAATAAGATGAGTCGATAATAAAATTGATACCATTTACGTATTATGACATAGTTTATTAAATTATTTTAAAATCAATTATTATTAATAAATTCCATGGACTTGCCTTCCTAATTTAATCTTGAACTTCAACCAGTCAGCAATCAACAATTACCGCTTTTATAAAATTCTGAAGAAGAAAACCATGGGGAAAAGAGGTCCCTATTAACCTTGCTGTTCTTCTTGGATGTTTATCCAATGATGAAAGTATTGACAAACTTGATAATCTAGCAATCTCAACAAGTCTCCCTTGAAAGCGATTGCATCAAAGAGCTAAGATTTGCGAAACGATCTCTTAAAATGCATGAGTAGTTTTCTTCCTATCTATAAAAGGATGGGAAGCTTATTAAATAGCTTTTATTATTCTTTATGTGTAATATTCTATGTCATAATAGCTCCGCTTCTAAAGGTTATCCTAATTCTGTTAATATTAACATTGGGATAGCTTTGCATGCCTTTATTAATAAAAACTGTTATTGACTTTATTAAGAGTGAAAATAGAGATGAAAATGATGCAATCTATTTGATTTTGGCCATTTTATTTCTCAGAATATTGAACATATTTTCCCAAGCTCATTCTAGAAGGATGATAGTATAATTTCAATGACATTAATAGCTTTGTGTAGGTTATGACGCCATGTCGGTAGTTAGTGTGGAAATAATGAGAAAGTGTTTGCGAGTTTCATTGTTAAGTACTACTGAATGGTCAAGCGGAGAAATAACAAATTTAATATAAGTAGATGCTCAGAAACTAATCCTAATTACAAGTTACATTTCTAGTGTATTAATGATACCTATACAATTAGGTATTTAATAATATGTTATATCCATTTAGGAATCAGTTTATATTTAATGTATAGTATGATAGGTCTGTCATTTTTGATTGGATGTACAATCATATTGATAATGATACTATTTAATATCTTTACAGGGAAGTAGATCGTGAAATCACAACGCAAATTATTGAAGGATAAAGATGAAAGAACAAAAATAGCCAATGAGATATTCTCATAAATTAAATTTATCAAAATTAATGCATTAGAAGAACACTTTTTGGTCAAAATAAATCAAGCAAGGGAGAAGGAGATAAGCAGCATCAAAAATAGACTCTATTACTCTGCAATTAATATATTTTCTGTATGGTTGACACCTTAGTTAATTTTGAGTATGACCTTTGGTTTATATGTGTATTTGGGGCATTAATTGAATCCCAGCACTACTTTTGCTATCATAAGCTTATTTTAGATTCTGCAACAACCTTTGCTTCAATTACCTATAGCTATTAATTCATTGATAGAAGCCAATCTTTCATTAAAAAGAATATCTAAATTTCTGGCTACAAATGATCTGATGACTAATTGCATACACACATCAGAGTTCAGAGATCCAACAGCAGCAGTTGACTTTTAGAATGGAATATTCTATTGGAACAAATTAATTAATAATTCAGTTGAATTAAATGGAAATTAGGAGGATCAGAATGAAGGAGCAGATAATGTGAAGGAAAGATTCTAAGCACAATAAATAGAGTAGCCAATATTGAAAAATATCAATTTGAGAATAGAACCTGGAAAGTTTGTTTCGATAATTGGAGATGTAGGCTCTGGCAAGACTTCTTTCTTATAGGCACTTTTAGGAGAGATGATATACATTGAAGGGTATGGATAGCCGAAAATAAGATTAAATGGGAAAATAGCATATGTTAGTTAGAAACCTTGGATACAAAATGCATCTGTTAAGGATAATATAATCTTTGGTAAATAATTTAATTAACAATAATATGACAATGCCATCTATTATTCTTGTTTAACTTAAGATTTGTAGATTTTAATTAATGGAGATTAAACTATGATAGGAGAAAAGGGAATCAATTTATCAGGAGGACAAAAAGCAAGAATCAGTTTGGCCAGGGCTATTTATAGTGATTCTGATATCATTCTTTTGGATGATCCATTAAGTGCTGTTGATGCTCATGTTGGGAATTTCATCATGAAAGAATGTTTATTAAGCAAATTAAAATCAACTACTAGAATTCTGATCACTCATGCTTTAAATTATTGTAAATATACAGATTATATTTACCTATTTGAAAAGGGAGAAGTGATTGAGCAAGGTGCTTATAGAAGTATGCTCAAAAGTTAAAAGTTTTAGGAAATTAAAACAAAGTTTAACAATAATTATAATGAAGATTTAGAAGATTCCCTATTGATTTCCAATCCATTAGAAAGTCTAGTGAAGCATACTAAATCTGAAAATAATAACAATATTAGTACCATTAGTACTATCACTCAATTGAATTAATCTTAGTAAGATGAAGTGGATGATCTTATGATATTAGAAGAGAGATAGAAAGGTAACATTAATTATGAAGTCTTCTTGTAATATTTTGCTCATAATGGAGGTTGTCTAAGTTTCTCCTTAGTGATGATGATTATGGTTGTCTGGGTATTTTGTTACTTAGGTTCTAGCATATGGATTTCAAAGTGGGCTGCTTTGTCATCTACTGATGAAGAATTTTCAAGAAACACATTGTACTTTTCAATCTATTTCACTTTTGGCTTTATGCAGGCTTTCTTTGCCTTTCTTAGAGCCGTTACAATTATTCATTAATCAATTAAATCAGCTTAAATAGTCCACACCAAAATGATGAACACATTGATTTATGCTCCTCAATGTTCATTTTTCGAAAGGGTACCTTAAGGTAGGATTATGAATAGACTCACTAAGGATATTAATTCATTGGATACTGAAATCTATTGGAATATCAGTTGGCTCTATACTAAAGTCAGTCAATTGATTAGTAATACTTTTCTAAATGTATATGCAAGTACCTACCTTATAATACTTCCTATTTTGGGATTCTTCCTCATATGTTTCAAAATGAACAGACTCTATATGAAAGCCTCCAGAGAACTTCAAAGACTAGAATTAATCAGTAAAAGCCCAATTCTAAGTTATTTCACTGAAACCTTATCAGGATTATCTACAATCAGGGCTTATTAACAAACTAATGAATTTCTCTACAATTTTTCAAGAAAAATAGACACCAATAAAAAAATATATTACAAATAGGTTGAATCAAATGCATGGTTTTTATAAATCTTAGGATTGTCTAGTCTGATTGTAAACATCTCAGCTATTGTTTATTGCATCTATTACACTCAAAACCCAGCATTTGCAGGACTTCTAATGACATATGCCTCCAATATAGACATAAACATTCTTCAAACAGTTGAATCTTTAAGCCTATTAGAAAATGGCATTATTTCCTTTGAACGATGTTTAGCATACACAAAGTAACATTAATATCTTATCATTAAGTGTAAAATCAGAGAAAAGAAATGAAAATAATGTCAGAGTGTAAAATTGGCCAAGACTTGGTGAAATCCAATTTGCTAACTTCTCTGTCTAATATCGTTCGAACCTCCCTCCTGCATTAACCAATTTAAATTTCAAAATTGATACCAAGGAAAAAATTGGAGTTGTTGGTAGAACTGGAGCTGGCAAATCATCCATCACCTTGAGTCTTTTAAGGATCTTAGAATCCTTAGAAGGACAAATACTAATTGATGGTGTTGATATTTCAACTTTATCCCTTAAGCAATTAAGGGAATCAATCACAATCATCTTACAAGATGCTGTAATATTCAATGCTACCATAAAAGAAAATCTAGATCCTTTAAGTCAAAGATCAAATGAAGAAATTTTAACCGCCATTAATTAATGTTGTTTGAATAGGTTAATCAGTAATAGGGATGGGCTAATGACTAAAATTTCAGAAGGTGGAGACAATCTAAGTGCTGGTGAAAAATAATTAATTTGTATCGCTAGAGCTATATTAAAAAAAACAAAAATTGTGATTATCGATGAAGCCACTGCAAACATTGATGTAGACACAGAACATAAGATTTAATAAGTTATTTAATCCGCATTTCAAAATTGCACTGTACTAACTATTGCTCATCGTATAAATACAATATTACATTGTGATAAGTATTAAATTTACTATTAATCTAGAATTATAGTTATTGATAAAGGGTAGTTGAAAGAATATGGATTCACCCAAGAATTATTAAACGATAAGAATTCTACATTCTATTCGATATATTAAGAAGCACTATAAAATGAAGCTCACTGATCATTGATTCAAAAAAATTAATGAAGATTATTATTCCTTTATTGTTTATATTCAAAATAAAACCAATATTTAAATTTCAAAATACTAAAATTATCATTAAAAATTTATCATCTTTTTCTAATCCAAATTTTTTAGATTTTTCACTGGAAATTTTTCAAAATATTCGGATACCTATTTTAAGGATGAAAATAGCTCCTATGAAAATTAAGTGTTATCTGTATTTGTTTATATAAAAAGAAAAATTTCTTAAAAGTAGACCACAGTGTCATAACAAGTAATTTGTTATTGATTTTTTTTTTTTAATAAGTATTAATTTAAAAAGCATAAGCTTGATCGTAAAACTGGAGATTTTATCTGGTTATATATTTCGGATAATACACATTAAGATTCTATCTTCTTAATTTCTTCATTCAAATAATCAATACTAACTTCCATTAATACATCTTTTTCACTTATTTTCATTATTTATCCATTTAAGTATAGGTATTATTTTGCTTTTAATATTTTTAGGTCCTCTAAACAAGATATTTCACAAATTCTCAAAAAATATTCTGATATAATTTTCTCGTTAGAGTGACTTGCTTATTGTAGTTTTTATAAAGCGTGCTAGATTGTAGCAAGAAAACAAGACACATACAATATCACATCCATTTAGCCTTCAAATTATCTTATCATTTTTAAAACCTTAGGACAATCGTTATCTCTAGGAGAATTCATTGAACTAGGAGGTAATTCCATATACTGAAAATTGGGTTGGCCAATATACTACTGATTTTAATTATTTTATTAATATTATTGTTATGATTATTATTATTATTACTAATATTGTTTTTGTTATAAATATTATTACTATTACTATTATTACTATTATTGCTATTATTATTACTATTATTGCTATTAGTATTATTGTTATTGTTATTGTTATTGTTATTGTTATTGTTATTGTTATTGTTATTGTTATTGTTACTAGTGTTATTATGACTGTTATTAAAAATATTATTGTTATTAGTTTTATGAGTATTATTATTAGTTTTACTAAATTTAGTATTAGTTTAATTATTAGTTCTATTACTATTATTATTGTTATTAGTATTAGTGTTGTTGCTAGTATTATTATTAGTTTTATTACTATTATTAGTATTAAATATGGTTTTGATTTTCCTAAGGAAATTTTTCAGAATTCTACTTAGAATTTTCTTGAATCTACTCAACATTTAAGAAAAGGACATTTTATTTATTTTAAATTTTATCATTATCTTTATCTTTATTTCCAAAATGATTTTTTTAGTTTTATTCCTCAAAACTTTAAACATTAGTGGGTTCGATCGCTTATCCCTATATTGGGGCTATTTGTTTAATCTTTCCCGATCCATTAGATTTATTCTGCTATTATTGGTTTACATTAGCATTATGATCTTACTCTTATTAGTTTTAAATCATTTATAAATCATAAATATTTTAGCCACTTTTTTAGGAATCCTTAACAGTGTTCAATTCTTTTTATAGTTATTCCCAAGTTATTCGACTTTATGGTTCATAAAGAGTCATGTTCTCAATATAATATTTTAATTTATCTCGAAGAACACTATTTTCAATTCCTCTATTTAGAGGACATTTAAGAGGATTAAATTATAAATTTTATTATTTTTTAATTAAATCGTCTAAAGATTAAACATTTAAATAGTAGTTTTCATAAATTAAATAATACAAAATGGTTCCGAGCTAAAATAAATTAAATTAATACTGAAAAGATGTCGCATTAGTAATCATATTGTTTTCCATCAATAACTTCTGGAGCAGAAAATATTGGTGTTCCTGCCACAGTGACTGCTAAATTTTAATCAGCTATGATTTTCCCTACCCCAAAATCTATGATCTAACGTAATACAATATCAGAAGTACTTTATAGATTGGAATTTCTTTCTCATGTTTGACAAGAATATTCTAAGGCTTCAAATCTCTGTGTATTATATCTAAATCTTTCAAATAACAATAACCATTGACAATTTGCTTAAGCATATCCATAATTTCTTCATCTCTAAGTTTTCTATTTTTTTTTTTGAAATATTCTTCAATATTGGATTCACATATCTCCATAATTAAAAATGTTGATTGTTCATCTTATGACAGAATGATATCCAAAATCTCTATAACATTTTTATTCTTTTTGTGTTATTTTATTAATTTCTCATAGATCTCTTATTCTCTTTAACCTTCTACTTGAGTGATGTCAATTATTTTAGCACACAAGTTCTGGTTAGTCTCCAAATTTTCAACAAAGTATGTCACTCCCTAAGAACCTCTACCAAGAGATTAATTAAGATTTATATAGTATTTATTCTTTAATAAATGGAAGTTTGGATGCAATTAATTGAGCATAGATAATTGTTTCCAAGTGATTCGATCATTCTAATAATATTCTAACATCTTTCCTATTAGATTCTTTAAAAATTAATCTACTCCGTCTTAGTTTTCTAGGCGATCCATAAATCTATTTCTAATTAAATCCTCTTAAAATTTCTTAAGATCTTATACATTGTTAATTCCTTCTGTAGGTTTAACCTTGTAGCATAATTAAAATAATATAATTCCAAGCTAAAGGATATTGATTATCTTACTAAAAATATATCGGTTTATAAGTTAATGTCTAAAGAATTATTTAATTCTTCTGGAGCCTTGTAATGCGAAAAATTATATGCTGACTTCTATTCGCTGTTGAAGAAATTAATAAATATCTTGATTAAGATTTTTTGGTTTTTTAATTTCCTAATTAAAATGTTTGAAGGGGATAGTTCCAAAGACTGATTTGTATATTTTGCTATATGAATATATGCGTTAATTATCTAACTCAAAATATCATATATTTCTTCTGAAGAAAATGGATGCGATTTTCTATTGAGCATATATTAATATAAAGTGAAATCGCATTGTTCTATTTAAATTAAAATGTCCTCATTCCTTTAAATCTTGTTTGTTATTGAAATTATGTTAAAGCATTCATTCTTTTTTATCACATCAAATAAGTTTTAGTTAAAATGAATATTTTAATTGATTTTCCCTTGCACTATATAAAATTTTTATTTTGTTTCAGTATTTGTAAACGCGATCAATTAACAGACTGTTCCTCGCATAATAGAGGTTTGATCATAATTTTCTAAATGCTCTGGGTCAAAATTCATTTATAGAATAATAATTAAGAGTTTTTATATTTATTTTCTAATAATTATTCATAAATCATGAAGGATTTTTTTTTGATTTTATTTATATGATGCGATTTACAAAGAATGGATAATTTTTTTTAATAGTTCTAAGTATTAACAAAAATTAAAGTATGTGTTAAATAATTAATGATTTATGATTTTGATTAAGAAGCTATTTCATAAAGAAAAACAAAACTCTAGTTATTGTTAAATAGGAATAATAATAAGTAGAGATTTTTTTGTTATCGTCAACATTAAATAGTTAAACAAGTATCCGAACCTCCAAAAAGAGTTTTTTCATATTCTCGCTCTATAAGACATTTCTAGGAGATAATGTCTAAAACGGGATCTATAAGTTTGAATAAAAAGGCTATTACTTTATTTCTAAAAAGAGATGATCACACAGAGAAGCGGTCTTACGACGAGATAATGAAAGTTACAAACTCAAAGATGATATAGACTGATAATATAAATCAAGATGACTATGGTTTTAGGACAGAAAGAAATTATTTGTAAAAACAACAATCACCATATATCAAATAAAGGAAATTCAGTTAGCATCTAAACATTAAAGATAAAGTTCCGAATAAACCCTACATTTAACAGACAATAGAGAGGTCTGTAGTTTCAACTTATAAAACCATCAGAAGTTCAAAAAAACATACTTTTCAAAATGAAGTTTTGCAATAAAAAATGGATTATATGTTAACTCAAAAAATCACAGAATAAGAACAACAATACAACAAGAACAAACAGAAATAAATTGATCTTTATTCGAATGATAATATATTTACAACAATAACTCACAGATATTGATCAAATCATAAACTCTTCCATAATTCCACATAATTTATCAATTGCTATTTATGGAATAGGCAAATATAAGCATATTCTACATCCACCTAAAGCTCTATGTCCTTTCACTTCAATAATGCCATTATTTTTGCATACCTCAATAAATTTATTTGTTTCAAACTCATCCTTTAAAGTAAATGTAATATTAATTCTTGATCTTTATTCTTTCTTCACTTGATTTATAAACACTCCATGACTATTATCTATAACTGTATATAACTATTGGGATCTTTTTTTACAGTATTGATCCCAGAAATCTAAAGATCCTTACTTTCTAATCCAATCAAAAACCAATGTATTAACATAGATTGGGAAAATTGGAAGATTACTGATTAGTGATTGTTTTTTAAGCATTTCCTTGAAATCCCACATATATGGAATATTCTGATTATTTTGGACAAGTTCAGGTTTTATAATCATCAACGTTGACCCTGCAATACCAATGTTTTTTTGTGCATGTGCATAAACTAAGTCCAATTTATTCCAATCCAAAGGTCTTATTAGTTGATTTAATATACTTAGTCAAGAAATTGGAACTCATGTCTGTTACAGTTGGAACACTTCCTAATTTGGGAATAAACTGATATTCTAACCCTTCAACAGTTTCATTATCACAGTAATGAAGATAGGAGTCTTCTTTATTTATATTCCATTATTCAAATTCAGGAACAAATCTTTTGCCAAATTTATCTTACTTCAATTAAATATAATCGTACGGCAGTGTTCGTAGCAACATTTACATTTTAACAGAATTTTTAAGATTCCTCTAGAGCTTTTGATGACCAATATCCTGTATTTGTATAAGATGCAGAACTATTTTATGTTTTCAATAAATTCATAGGTATTGCTTCAAATAATAATGATGCTCCACCTTAACAAAAGATTATTTTATATTAGTTTGGTATCTATAGTCATTATGGTATTTAAATTTACGTTTAAAAGTGATTACAAATCATTAATAGCTTAGTCTAATATTTGATGATATTCATGATCATATTTTGAGAATTCTAAAATTGATTTACCATTCGGTTAAATAAATTCTTATTCCAATTTGTGCAATACCGATCGAGGAAGTTGAGTTGGTCCTCCAGCAAATGAAAATTTACCCCAAAATGTTGGATTATTTTCATATTAATCAATCATTTATTTATATATTTCATATTTCCAGTCAATTACTTTTATATCAAAGAGAATTCTATTGTGTCAATGCATTCTTAATTGGTTTCATATTCTACTCTATCTCCTTTGAATCCAGGGTTCTTGAATCCTGTGATTTTCAAGCCTTCAGGAATTTTGATAGATTTTATATCAAATTCTATTTATCCCTAAATTTGAATTATTTATGTACATCTTTAAGTGATTCAAGATTGTCACAAATCCTAGATGATTATCCTTTGTAGTTACATTCACTAAAGACTTCAATGCACTCCTTTAATGGTGAATATAAGAGTAGAAACTCTCTGAATCCCCATGAAGCTTCGTCTGCAGTCTTTGATAATGTGCTTTTGAAATCCACAGTCAATTCTGATTAAGAATGAGGAATGATTTTATCAATTTTCATTATTCTTTCTTTCCAATTTCCATTCTAATTACCGCAAATATCACTTTAACCAGGATCATTCCAACCCAAAAATTAACTCCAAAATTCTTAGTTATCAACAAACATTGTCAATTCTTCTCCATCCCATTAATCAATTTTATATACAGTTGCTTTAATTCTAACAAAATCATGTTTTGGTAATTGAAACACTTTTTAAACTGATGCTTTCTAAAATTATAAATAGTATTATAAATAATTACTTTTCCAAAAGCTTTGTATCCTCCTACTAATCCTAAATCTCCACATTGTGAAGTTGGTGGATTTGGAGCAGCAGCATCAAGATCCTAAAATGTCCATCCATCAACTTTATTAAATTACTCAGGAGTAAAGAACTCTTTAGATAAGATATACCATTCATTTTTGTTAATACATTTTCCATCTTACAATAAATGTGTTGGTTAACATTTGGTACATTCATTTTCAGCTGTTCCAACACATTCTTCACAAAACTTTGTGCATTATGCTGCAAACAAAAAGAAATCCCTAACTCCCCATGACTATTCATCAGGGTCATTTTTCAATGAAGTAGTAAAGGATATAGTTAAAGTTGGACTTGAATGTTTTTAAATAATCTCAATTGATACAATTTTCTCTCCATAACCAGGATCTGTTGATTTACTAATATATAGGGAATGTCTTACGCTCCACACAAGTCAATTCCATCTGTTTTTTAGAATGCCAATTTCTAGACTTATTTGTCGTCAATTTTCACATAGAATTCTTCATTATCCCATAAATCAATCTAAATAAATGTATAATTTTACCTTCCAAAAAGTAAATTTCACCATAATTTTACTATGAGGGACTAAGTTTGTAATTGTATTTGACAATAAAGCTTTAGCACCAACATTTTCATATCCTCCAAATATTACAATTCCAGAACATTCATATCCTTTTGGTTTACCATTCTCTAATTTCCATCCTTCCAATTTGGTATCTACATGGAACCAACTCAATGCCTCTTGATTCCAATGTTTGCACTCTTACACTTTGTCATTATGACATATGCCACACTCTGATGGACATGGAATAAGAGATATTTTCATTTGTCTAAATCCCCAAGCTTAAACGTCTGCTTTTCCTTAAGAAGTGGTAGCCAAAACAGTTGTAACTGTGGGTGAATTATGAAGTATTTCAAACTCAACATCGAAAACCTTATCACTATTTTTTGATTCGGATCCTCCACATAGACGTATTCCTCCTTCAGTAAATCCCCACTTCATTTCCCAAGGAACTCCATCCACATAAACAGAAAATACATCATTTTCCCATTCTCCAATTCTAAAAATATATGACTATATAATCTCAATACTTCCATAGTTGCAGATTGAACTTTAACTTGTAATGAGGTGGTATTTTCATCAATTTAGTTGCTGTACTTTTTGTACCGAAACTCTTGAATCCCCCCACAATATTCTTACCACTACATTTTGTAATTATATCTGTAGTTGCTTCAAATTAATTTTATATCACCCAACCTTTATATTATTTTTCATTTTACCATCCAAAGAATCAAATTCTTCCTTCTAGAATGCCTCATATGTTGTGATCCACTATGTATTACCTAACACTAATAGTGCAATAATAAATAATAATTTCATTATAATAAAAAAACGAATCTATTTTCATATTTATGAGTTATTTAGTATTCTTGTTACGCTCAATCGATTATTATTGAACACATTAGACTTATCAACATTTTAATATTGTTGTGGACTGTATAAATGTTTACTGTAATTTTATTGGTCCTCAATCTAACTTGTGGATATGTACTTGCTGTGATGTTAATTGTTTTCTTGCGATGAATTTAATGACGACTAAATATATTGAAGTATCAATTACTTATTTCATCATGTCACTGTATCCTTATTAAGTGTATCTTTTTCTTTCCAAAAAATCATTTTAAAAGAATGTCTTTAATTCTTCGTTTGGATTGAACATTGAGAAAGTGCTACTCACAGAACTTCGATTAAAATCTTCAGATCTTTTTAATTCGCTCTCCTACTACTTCCCAACACTTGAAGGTCGATACTGATAATTTATTTTTGGCGAATACTGATCCAAAACCTATTATTTATACTTGCTGAAAATAAGGATATTATCCTATGCTTAGGGATTACCCAAAATGTTATTCCCTCTATTTGAATTCGGCCTAGAAATAGAGCCTTGAAATTAATTATAATAAGCCTATCCCATAATCTTTGGTTCATCTAATTAGGGCGACATTGGTTATTACTACTATTTGTACAAACTATTATTAGAAAATGCTCTTTTATGAAGAGATTCATTCATTTCCTGAGTAATTATCTTATTCATCTTTGAATGATTGCTATCAGAAAGATGTTCATCATGCATCTTTTTTAGTTTATCTGATGAATTAGTAAAAGAATTTCTTTCACTTGCTATTTCTAGTAGATGTTGTTTATGCAGTTTTTTATCTTAATCAAGTAAAGCCTTGATTTTAGATACTGCCTAAGTGTTTTACTATGTTTTTGTTTATCGATTTGATGCTCTGCCTTTAGAAGAAGCAGAGTGACTACTTTGTTGATTTGCATGTAAATATGAATTTTCTTCTAAAACTGGTTCTAAATTCTTTTTTGATTATTACTTTTATGAATATTTAAATTTAGGAGATCTATTTGGTGATTTTTATTGCCCATGAGATGATTTGGATGTTTATAATAGTTATTTTTAACTAGATTATGGTTAAGCAAATGTTTAATTTGTATTATGTGTATTATGGGTATTCTGTGTATTTTAATCACTTTATTTAGTATTTGATTATGAAGATATTTATGATTATTATAACTATTACTATTATTATTATTATTATTATTAACTATGTTAATGTTATGAATATTGTATATATTAAGGAATATAATTATCTCTTACTGGGTATCTATCTGTATCTTCAAATACAGGCAGCTCTTCAGTATCTGGGTGCTAGTAATCAACATAGTGACTCTTTTTGAAATGATTATTATTATCCTAAATAGTTTTAATAGGTTTTGGAGGTTTATCTTTTATTAAATTGTCTCGCATAACAGATTTAATCTCTGTGTCATCCAAATGATGTTTAGAGATCGTTATATGTATTTAATTAATTGTTTGAGGTTCTATTTGAGTTATCTTTGGAGTTATCTCCTTAGACTTTTTATGGACTAATTATTATTATTGCTATTTGAATCCAAGCGAAGCAGATCTCTTTCGATCATCATATATTGGGGATGCATTTTGCATTAATCTCTCATGACTTCTTTGTGTCTGCCGTTGCCTTAGCTTTAGAACATATTCATTACATTATTGAATTATTATATTGGATCTATTGGGTTAATTTACTTATTTCATCTTTCAATTGATCTAATTCATGTCTAATATCACAAGGTTCCTGAACTTACAACAATCTGCCATACTATTGTAGTTTGCCTAAATTCAAACTAATGATTTACTTGCATAATCGATTATTTCATGTATATTTGGTTTCCCATTTGTTACATAACCCTTTTTAATAAGCTTATCAAATCCTATGACAAACACACATTTGATCATCATCTCCTAATGTTAAAAAGGGAACAAATTGATTAATGATTGTACTAGTTTCCCATTCATTTCCTAATTTTGAATTTTCGTTATATTAAATTTTATTGATAAATTGATAAGAACATCAATTTTTTGATTTTTTATTTATTGAATTTTGAGCCTTTATTTTTTCGAGAAATGATTATCAATATACTTAAAATATTCTATTTCTTGATATTTTAGATTGTAATTGTTAATAGCTGAATGATAAATAATTCGAGATGTTTAAAAATGCATTTTCCTAAATTACCAGAGAATAACATAGTTTTATAAAGAATAGAAACAGTAATTCGCAATTAAATGTAAATTAAATTAAATTTTTGGTATGAAATTATGCTAATCAAGGTGTAAGTTCCTAATATCAAATTTCAAATTAAGAATTTTACCTTATAAAGATCGAATTACTGATTTAATTTATAATAGTGATATCATTTAGTTTTTATGATATGAAAATTTGTAAATTGATTCAATATGCAATCTTGAAAACGATAAGATGGATTAGTAGATAAACTATAAACTATAAACTTTTGTTGAATGTTATATCTAATTGTGACAGAGGATTGCACTCTTTTTTAAAATAAAGTTATTATACTATTCATTAATTAACTATCTTTTAATTATTTATTTGATTAAATAAATGAACTTGTGGATTAAATGCTAGTTCGTGATGAAAAAACTAGGATTATAGATAAAATATTAATATCATTGGTATTCATCAAATCTGATTACGATGATGAAAAACTAGAACATCTATGTATTAATTTTTTGTAATTCAATTTTAATGATTTTATGAAAATGTTAACAATTCAAAGGCTATAGACTTCACTCTTTCTGTGTTTTTGAGTGTCCAAGGAAGTCGTTTAATATCAAAGGTCGTCTATAAAGTAATCGAATATATAATTACTATTTTGTTATTCCTTAAACTCAACCAAATTTTGTCCTATAATTTATCAATCTTCTTCTTTCTGTCTGCCTATATTGTATCGTCTAGGTGTTCTATATTTAGAACAGAATATACCTAAAAACTCTTTATAAAAGCTTTGAAAAATTTGAGATGAAAATACTTCTTTTAAAAAATCATTGTTCATTGTTTTGTTTTTACTGTTTTTTCTAAATGGAAGAACAAGTGGAATCTTCTTTTCCTACTCCATAATAGTTAGAAATTCTTATCGAGCTGTTTTTAATTTAGTTTCTAATAGATTGTTTACAATAGTACTTGTAATGTTGTCTCGTTCAGATATTTTCTTAAATATGAACCTGAATGCTTTTCTTAGACAAAACTTGATTAATTCTTCTCGACTCTTGATTTGCTATGACTATTTGGTAGCTAAAATTTCCAAGATTTTGGCTAATTGAGCCTGATTGATATTTCTAAGGTTTTATGCAATATCATTGATCTGATGATGGTCGTCAATGATTAACAAGATGTAATCACGTAGCTTTTATTTGTTGAAAAGATGTTGTTGTAAGGGATCCATAATTTGATTAGTTGTTTGAGAATCTGCAATAGCCAAACTCATTTTTTAAGAGGTTGTGGAGATCTCAGTGTGCATTACAGGATAAGTAAGAGGATTACCATAATCAGGATATCCATTAAATGGTAATTATAACTATATATACTGCTCACTCTAGTGGTTATGAATTGGGGCAAAATTGCATGGTACTTAAAATTATGAATAATAAGTTTATAGAGGATTTTAAAAGTGAAAATGTTATGTAAATGGCTAAGGTTAATGGATTAAATTGGAAAAGATTAGTGGATTGGTAAAAAGTTGGCTCATATATGATGTATAATATTTATATTAAATCCAAATTAAAAGTATCTTTAATATAAGCATGAAATTTATATTTAATAATATTCTGATAAATTTAGTGGAAGTTATCAAAATAGGTATATTCTAAAGTTTAAATAAAGTGTAGATAAGATCAAAAATAAGAATGGAAGTTAATTATTTAAACCAACAATTCTGATTTTGTTGTTAATTTGATTTGGTTGTTCAAAATTATATTAACAATTGTAATTAGAAGGCAATAAAAATAAATAAAAATTATTTATATGAACACAATTTTATTAATATTTATTATAGACTATCATCTTAAACCAGCTGTGTCGACATGTTAATGAATTGTCATAAGAGCATTGTAATAAGCAGCCATTCTCAAAGATATATTCAATTTGCTAGCTGTTTCTTTTGTTTTTTGGACAGCAACTGCCATTGGATTCTTCCAAACCTGTGAATACTAAGTCTTTCTAAAGGAGGAATAGAATATAATTCATACAGCTGAAGGACCTTCAAGAAGTTTGGCAGCTTATTGGTTTTTGGTAACATCTACTCTCAAACCAGTAGAAATTTGAATAGCCTCTAGCAATTTGTATTTGGAAGTTTCTTCCCATCTTCTGGTCATTCTTCCTGGTCTACATAGGTATAAATGATGATAGAAACCTGATGTGATCAAGATTTTAAAGCCATTCGAAATAACTGACTGTGACACCACCTGCATTGAGGAGGATATCAGGGAGGAACTTAACACCTTTCTTGATTAAGATTTCTTCAGCAGCGAGAGTGGTGGGTCCATTGGCAGCTTCTGCAATGACTTTGCAATTGAATTTGGGAGCATTAGCCTAAATATGAATTAATTTATTTACTCTATTCACAGTTTATTCAAAAGCAGCAGGAATGAAAATATCGCATTCCTTATAAATGACTGATTCATCTTCGTGATATTCTGAGGCTTTGGGGAATCCCTTAACTCCTTTTCTTTATTCTTTGAAGGCTTGTAATTCATCTGGGTCAATTCCATTTTCCTCATAGATAGAGCCATCCCATTCAGCAACACCAACCAATTTGGCACCATAAGCACACATATATTTAGCAGCATAGTAACCGACCTAGAAATTAATGTTTTAATTTACAGCTCCGTAACCTTAGATGATGATGTTCTTTCCTCTGAGACCAGCTGGAATACCTGCTTGAGTGCAAAATTCATAATCTTCAAGGATTTCTCTGCATCCATAGAAGACACCCAAACCTGTGGATTCTGTTCTTCCTGAAATACCTCCTTGAGAAATGGCCTTTCCTGTAACACATCCTTGAGCGTTGATATCAAGATGTCCTGCGAATTTAGTGTATTCATCCTTAATTAAGTAGAAAGATAGGATACTTTCATCCAACTCATTTCTCTTTCTCCTGTACCGAGATCTGGTCCTGGAACATCGATGGCTGCTCCGATGAAATTTCTCTTAGCCAATTCAATGGTGAATCTTCTCATCAATGACTCAATTTCTCTTTTTGAGTATTTTTTGGGATTAATCTTGAGACCTCCCTTTGCACCTCCCTAAGATTGTAATAGTTTAATTAAGTACGTATGGCAATTCTAAAACAGCGTTCTTGAATGTCATCAATAAGGACAATGCTTCCACTTCTTCGGTGTGAATGTGTTCACTCAATCTTGTACCACCTTTGGTTGGCAATTTGTGAGTCTTGTGTTGTGCTCTGAATGCTGGAATCTAAATATGGCTATTAGCTTCATATATTTACGCATTCGACTGTTCCATCGTCTCTTACGAGGGGCAAGTGAAACTTTATAACACAATCAGTCTTCTTATAATAGCTATTTTATTAATGGTGAATACTTCAGCATGTCAACAGGAATGTTGGTCAATGCAGCTGCTTTGTCGAAGTATTAATACACCTATTCCAAGAAAGACACATCGCCTTCCTCATTACTCTAACCAAATCTAGCTAGACTTCTGAATTGGGGTTATAGAGCACGTCTGGCGAAGGTTTAAATCATTTTATTTTTAATTATGATGCTTTATCAAGATGAATCATCTTTGAATAATACGTACTATACGTCATTCAAATTATAGATTTAGGAATTATGATTTAATTTATTTTTTTTATTTTATTTCATGATGTATTATGCCATCATTTCTGAATGTTACAAATACGAATTATTGCTCATTTTATTATTATTCCTCTTCAATTATTCACTTAATACTAACCCTTCTCAAATAAATTTAATTTTATTACACTTCCTTTTATATTATAATATAATAATTATATATATATATTCTTACACACAACTTATCCAAATGTCTCATTCTGCCAAAGAATACCTCCCCATCGTCTTCGCTGATCTCCAAATCTCTACTAAAAACGACTATTACATCGAAGAGAAGTAATAAACTAATCTAATCAAGACTCCCCATCCTCAAATCACACCACCATACAACATCTCAACCCAAATTGTCCAAAGTCACTACACCATCCAAATCCCAATAGGAAATAATTAATCATCAGAATGCCATTAAAAAAATAGTGTTCCCCAATATACTCCAAAGAACGAAACAAGATATCAAAAAATATCGAAAACATCAACTCTCTTTGATAAGTGATGAAATCTCAAACTCACAACCCATTATCGAATTAGAACATAAAAAAATAAGCAAAACCAATAGCTAATCTCCACTTAAATTGCATTCTTAATAACCAAGTTATATTAGCAATTACCCAATAAGAACAGATCTTTCATCTTTAATATTCGATAATAATTTAGAATCTTAATCAAATGATTCCATTGTCAAGTTTCGTAAACTAAGGTAACTTATAACTGATAAACTAGTCCAACTTTCAATGAAACATCATGGTAAAAAGTAGACAAAGTCAACAGAATCAATTTAGCTCATGAAGTCTAAAAAGAAATACATCATTTGGAAAGATTCAATGCATATTGGAAACCAGATATGATTAATTAATATCTGCAGCTAAAAATCGTGCATTAAGGAGTGAACTAGAAAAGAGGAAACAAGAGAATATTTATATTAATGTACCTTCCTCATCAAACTCTTGTTTTAAAAAGTTCACAAGTTGAAGTAAAAAATAGGTTTTATTTTATACACAATTTAATAGTCCTTTATCATTATAACTAAATACTTTGACATACTTTGTTCCGCTTTACGAGAAGATTAGTAATTAGAGTGAACTAACAGAAAATTACAATATTTGGTCAAAGCACTTTTTAGATTTACTACATTATAAATAACACATCAACACAGTAAAATTTTACTTTTTAGATGGCAAAGAACTTTAAACATTAAATTAAATACCTTCTTATGAAAAGTTTATATATTGCAACTTACATGTAATTGAATGAGCAATCAATATAATAGGGAGAATTTGATCTTTGGAATAGAGTTGGATAAACTTTAAATTTAGGAGGACAATTTTAATTAGATAAGTATGTCAAATTGGCCACAAAAATGGTAGATCTAAGATCGAAGGATGATATTCTTAAATTTTTTGGTAAAAGAGATAATTTTCTACCTTTTTATTCGATGGCTTATAATTAAGAAGATGAATGTGCAAAATCTCCTATTTTACAATAAATAGAAATGATTCAGCAAGATGCAGATGATGAATAATTGAATGATGAAGTGATTGATTAATCCATCTTTCAAATGAATAAGAATCAATAGAAAGCATACTTAAAAACAATAAAGTAATTTATTCAATAAAATAAAACTAAATACTCATAAACACTGGCTAATTAAGAAGCTGGCATGAGGCAAAGAAAACAGAATATTAAAGAAATTAGAAGAAAATCAATAGAAATTAAATTAAAAGGAGTATTCTATTATTTATAACATTTAATTAGTAAAAGTAAATGTTGGATCTTAATGAGGAAACTCACATAGAAATGAAATTACTACATGAGGACACTTAGTCAATTGATGAAATTAAGGAAGATGCAGTGGATAAAGTAGATGTGTTTAAGAATGCAATATATAAAAAGTTACCAAAAAAAATAGAATTAACTAATGATCCATTTTCAAGCTTCTCTTCGAAAGACAATAAAAAATTTAAAGAAATTATGAAGTTGATTAATATTGAACAAATAGTATTGGAGAAAAAGTTGAATAGATAGGATGTTATGCATTACCTATCTTTATTCAAGGCTCTAATGGATTCAGATAATCTAAATTATTTTACTACCAGCCAATTAGATTATCCTTCCTTATATATTTCCAGGGAACAACTAAAGAAAAGCTTGCCCTACATAATATTGTATAAAAATCAGTTGAATACTGGAAAATTGAATGAAATATATGAGAGATAATATAACTATGTTGAATTCTTGGATTTCTTGGATATCTTTACTACTGAATACATAGTCTCAGAGAAGGAATTGGAAAGATTAAAAAATTAGAAATAAGATGCATATTGACTATTCTATATATATATAATTTCGATATCTTAATTTTGATAAAGTAAAATAGATTATTTCATTGTTCTTATTCTTCAGATGTTTAAAGTATCTATTGGTATCTATTGCTCATTTCATGAACAATAAGTGAATCATCAACTCCACACTTGAGTATCCAAGGATGTGCCTCAATTTCGGAGATCTAATTAAATAGTTATATATATAGATCGTTACTGATAATCGTTAGTTAGGATTAAATGCCATTAGCTTTGTTATGAGATCCTTCAATTCAGGACTAAAATCAACCTATTGTACTTCCCAAAACTTGTTGTACTGTTTTCTAAAATAGTTACAAGATGTCAATACCTGTAAATTAATTAGTATACCTAATCTGTTTTGATGTTTGCAGTTTAAAAGGGACAGAAACCAGAAGTAATCTAAAATAGTATGACTCCTAATTGAAATAAATCAGCCTCGATTCCATGGTAAGGTTATTGAAGGAATATCTCTGGAGCTGCGGTAGAGGGAGAACCGACGTAACTGAATTCATTTAAATTCAATACGTATTGATCTTAATTCGTTTGCTCTGTGCATCTAAAAAGTTAATTGCATATCCGAAGTCACAAATAAGGATGTTGAAATTATCATCCAATAATATGTTTTCCAACTTTAGATCTCTGTGAGCTACTCCTTTTTTATGAATTTCAGAAATAACTATGATTTCAATAGATGTGTACTTTGTATCATTTATTTAAAGTAATGTCTTGAAAATTCTTCAGTGAATTTTCTGAGCTTTAAATATTATAACAGATTTCCCTATTTTGCGTAGTCCATCATAATGCAACCATCACATTCACATTCTCTTACTCTGATGACCCCTGGGATGTTGCTTAATAACTGCATCATTTTTATTTCATTTTCATACAATGATGACTATTGTTATTTAAAGACCTTCATAGCCATCAATTGTCCACATCTATTAACCAGCTAAACACTATGAATTTGAAGAAATAAAATACTCCGCCGAATAGCCTTGCCCGATTTTTGTCACAACAAACATTTCAGAAATATTAATATACTAATAAATATTTATTTATTTTATAACATTCCATCATCCTGGGGTTAAATAAGAATTTATAAAAGTAGCTGGTCATCTCTAAAAATTTAATATTTGAACTTTACTTGCAAAAAGGCTCCATAATTGACCTATTTAAAATAAAAATATTTTGATTGAAATACCACATATATTATAATTTATTATTTAAACAAACAACCTACAAAAATGAGATTACTATTGCAATATAATACACAAATATTAAAAGACAAAACAATCCTCAATAATATATACTAATTTTATTTGATTTATGTTTCCATACTCAAATAGGCTGACTTTTGAGTTTAATTAATACATTTTTTAAGTCGAATTTCTAAGTACCAAAAACTATGAATTATAGAGATCCTATTGTAATGATGAATTTTTTTGGAAAACATATCAAATTTAAGTAATACTTGTTGAACTTTAAATCACCTTTTAATGAAAATTTTTACTAATTTTTTAGATCAAAAATTTATATTAATTGAATATATTAACATAATAATATAAAAAACCCCGGCTTATTAATTTTTTAACTTTATTTATGAGTCAACTTATTGGAACTTTGTCCTTAGATACCAATGCCTACGTAGATTACAATATAAGTGAGAATATGTCTAACAACGCACTGGAAAACTCTGATTTATTGAAAGTGAGATTGGGAAAGATTAAAGGGATGAAAGTTTGCAATTTTAAGTCATTTGAAAATGAGCATTTTGTAGGTCCGTTTACTAAATTCACCAGTATCATAGGACCAAATGGAGGAGGTATATGATGGTTTAATATGATAGGGAAGTCGAATGTTTTGGATGCAATTTAATTTGTATTAGGAATCTCAATCAGGTCAATGAGATGTCATAGAGCAGAGGAGTTAATTTATAGTTAATCGATGTACTACAAAAACTATCAGGAAGAGGACAGAACAGCTTATGTTGAAATAATTTTTGAGGCCATCAATTACATTGACACTTAAATTTCACTTAAAAGAACTGTAAATAAATAGTAGCAAACACAAGTTTATATTGGCGAATAATAAGTTACTGAGAAAGAGTTGAGTTCATTTCTCCTCTTATCTAAAATCATATTGCCTGCTAAGAATTTCATTATGTTGCAAGGTGACACTGATACATTGACAACAATTGAGCCTAAGAAATTAACAGAATTATTCGAATATGTCAGTGGAAGTGTTCAATATAAAAACACATGTCAATAGATCTAAAGTGAGTTAAACAAAGTGGTTATTAGGATGAGGGAATTGTAATTTTAAAGAGGAGCCATGAGAACAGAATAAAAAAAAGTGAAAGAATTAAAAAACACTTCGGACAAATACAAAAAAATTAATGATGAGATCAATCAATTGAAATTAAAATAGAAACTATTTGAGCTTAAATAGATAGACAATGAATTAGAAGATATCTCAAAGTAATTAACATAGAACAAAAATGATGAATCTGATTAAAATAGTGAAAATAAGAGATTGATTGAAGATATTCAATAATGTGATTTGGAGATTGAAAAGTTGAAGTAGGAACTCAATTAGATTGAGGAAAATGAGAAAAAGATTAAGAAGGATGAGAAATCTAAAGCATATGATACAACCTCAATTGATTTAGAAATAGAATTACTAAAAAAGTAAGTGTCAACATACGAAGGGTTATTGGGTAAATTGAAGAAGGATATCAATTATCAATAGGAGATGATAGAAGAGGTGTAAACAGATCTTGATGGTAAAACATAGCATTTGTAAAAAATAAAATCTTAAAGCAATTTAAAATTATCAAAAAAGTTAATGGAAGAATTTTAAGAGTTGTAAATGAAATTTAAAATATAGAATTAACAAATACAATCTGAGTTAGAAAAATTACAAGAAAAACAGGGAGTAGCATAGAAGATCTATGATTAAATTGATGATGAGATCAAACAGTATACGGATGATCGCAAAGAATTAGTGTAAGCAATTGAAGAATAGAATACTTAGTTGAAGTATGTTAAAGATGAATTTGATGTATTAAAGGATAGACATCAAAATACTTAAAAGAGAATTGATGAATTGTATAGATAAAATTAAATTGAGGAAAATGAATTGAAATCACTTTAACAGCATAAAATAGAATAGGAGAGATAATTAAGATTGATTGAGGTCTAAGAGACTGAAAATATTGATGAAAAATAAACATAGTTGCTGATTTAATAGCTAAAGTCTATGTTCAAAGATTTCAGAGGAGAGTTGTCTAGTTTGTGTAATCCTGATTAATAATAATTTGCCATCCCATTGAAAGTGGCTCTTGGCTAAAGATTACTTTGCGCATTAGTAGTTGATTCAGAGAAGACAGCAAAGGAAATTAATATGCATCTAAGATCTCTTGATATTGTTAAAGAACTCATCATATTGAATAGAGTTAAAAGTAATAAGGATGAATCTGAATTGAGGGAGAATGTTGAATAGTTTGTACAATAATATAGAAGACAGACAAGAGCAGGTAAAGCATATTTAGCAATTGATATAATTAAATATGATCAAAGTTTAGATAAAGTTTTAAAGTCTTTATTGAGTGGAATAGTGGTGTGTGATTCATATTAATTGGCAGTTTAATTGTAAAAAGAGAAGATTCAAGATATTAAATAGATTATTACATTGGATGGAATCACTTTGGCAACATCAGGTATGATTGTGTTTAACGGATCATAATAAAGATTGTCGGAAATGAGAAATTTTAGATCAAATAATTAAAGAATTTAATAAAAGGGACCAAAGGAATCAAAAGAGTAGTTAATTAAGTCTATTGATGAATTGTAAAATAAAATCAAGACTCTCAAAAACATAAGTGTTTAGGATGATCTTAAATATTAATCTGCATTAAAAATGAAATTAGAAGAATAACAAGCTCAATTATCAAATAAATAGATTTCATTATAAAAATCAATACAAATGTATAATGACAAATTAAAATAAGTTGATAAACTATTGGATGAACTTTACATTGAAATAAACAAGCGAAAAGTTTAATTGAAAGAATTCGATGAATAAAATGAAAAACTTGTTAATTAAATCTAGAACCAATAAAAGGTGGCATATTAAGATTTTGCTAAAAGAAATTCAATAAGTCTGCAGGAATTAAACTAACTAGACTTTCAATAAAATTTAGGTAAATAATTGGAAATTAAATAATAATAATTGAATAAACTTTAAGTTTAGAAATAGAGTATGGAATAATATTTGGAAGAATTGAAAAAGAAACAAGAAGACTTTTAGAACAATATAAAAACTAAGAATGAAGCTATTAACAATTATGAACAAAAGAAAATTGATCTACAACAGAATCATGATAAAAAGAATAAAGATTTAGTTTAGTATACCCAAAAGCAACAAGATATTAATCAAAAACTAAAAGCTTAATAAAAAAAATTGCTTAATCTCACTGATTTGAGAAATCAATAGGTTAGAAAAGGAGTAGATAAAAAACAATAAATCAATTTAATCAATAGAAAATTAGAGTAGTTAAGATTCTAAAGAGGAAGATTAATAGAATTATGTGAAATTGAATCTATTCCTGTCAGATTTAAGAGATCTCAAGGAACCTTCCAACCTTCTTTAAATTTTGATGATGACTAACAAATGGATATGGAAGCCATAGATTATGGTGCCATAAAAAATGATTTGAAACATTCTAATTGGAATAAATTAATGGAAGAAATTAATGTAGAATTAGAAATAAAGGAACAAGAAATTACTAAGTATTTATCAGAAAATTTACAGGTTGGATTGATTGGAGCCAAAACAGATGAAAAGTTTGTCTAATTGGAAACCAATATTGAATCATTAGGAAGATCGATTAAGGAATTATAAAATCGAGAAGCAGAATTGAGTGATTAATTAGTATAGACATAATAATTAAGAAAGGATAGATTTGATAAATTATTTGATAGAGTAGAAAAGGAAATTAAAATATTATATTAAAAATTAACTGAGAATCAAAATAGAGTTGGTGGAACTGTTCTTCTCTATATGGAAAATAAAGAAGAACCCTTTGAAGGAGGATTGATATATACTCCAAATCCTCCAAACAAAAAATATATTTTTGATAATTCTGAATAGCTTTCTGGAGGAGAAAAGGCAATAGCTTCAATTGCTCTGTTGTTAGCATTAAATGCAGCTATTGATGCTCCTTTCATTTTGCTTGATGAAGTAGATGCTCATTTAGACTAAGACAATGCGGATAAGTAAGAATTTATTTTAAATAATAATAGATTACAAAAGATTGTGAAATTGTTGTCGAATTAGATCTAGTTTGTGCTTGTAAGTCATAATCCGGATGTGTTTGCTCATTCAGATTCACTAGTAGGGGTAACAATCCAGCATTCTAAAACTACCAGTGAAGCTTTTTCATTATTACTTTGATTTTTGCAAGTTTTGATATTATTTATATTGTATTTAACTGTTGAAGAAACGAAAAGAGTTATAATAAAAAACAATTATGTAACAATTAATAATGATACATAATAATAAAGTTAAAAATAATCTGATGATATTCAATTTATATATTTATATTTGCGTAATAAAATGGATAGACAGGGGATAGACACAATTTATAAAACCGATTCTTCAAGATTGATGACATTGCGAAATAATACAGAAACCTTAAGTAGGATAACATTATTAATCTAAGTTATCAACACATAAGGATTTGATAGTCGGCCTGGATTAGGGTTACAATTCAATGAACAATAAATTCCAGAGAGTTGTGTTAATGACGATAATGAATTGTATGCTTCAGAAAATTCCTCTGTTTCAAATTAAAGTAGACATCGAAGTAGAAAAGAATCAAAAGCGGAATCCCTGAGTAAAATCATGAAGGAAACCCAGAAAATTTAATCAGACGATTTCCATTAGCCAATTGGAGGGTGGGATAATAAAATATGGTAAAAAGGAGCATTAAGAATTATGACTTATGTTATCAGATTCGTAATGGCATTATTAATCAACTCTGAGAAGTTCAAATTTACCTTCATGAAAAAAAGGCAATTCTAAGCAATAAATGATTAATCAGCCATTTTTGATTATTATGAGGAGAGATTTTTAATACGGGGCAAAAAGAAGCTTAGTTATTCAGTAATTATATAAAATAATTTAAGTAAATTCTAAAATTAAGAATTCAGAACAACTGCTTATATTAGTCCTGCCATATATTTTTTTAATATCTCATTAATAAGATCATCTTCATCATAGTTCCAACTAGCACTCCTAAACTAATATGGGATGTATTCCTCTTGATAATTTTATCAATTCAGATGGTCTTTGTTCCATTAAAGATTTGCTTTTAAATTGAGATAACATAGGATCTGTTGTAGTTTTTTTTATTGACATTACCACTCTATGTCTACCTGATAGAAATATTGTTGAATTTTTTAACAGGATATTATGAGCATGGTGTATTGGTAATAGATTAGAAACAAATTGCAATGCATTATTTAAAATCTACATTTATGTATGATTTTTTAAGTGTGATGCCTTAATTTATTAGTACTATAAGCAATGAATCCCAAATTTTTGAGATTCTCTTATTGATACGTTTGAAAAGGTTGATATTGCTTGCGGATACACTAGAAGAGACCTTAAATTTGAGATAGCATTATTAGACATTCATTGATGTTGTTCGTCTGCTGATTTAATTTCTATTTTTGTCACATCTATTTGGATGTGTGTGGCATTACATAGGAGTTCTAGAAGAATAATTTGGGTATTTTTGTTTTAGATATATTGATTTAAGATACGATCAGAATTGGATCAAGTAGAAAAATATAGATGGAGAGTCGTGGTTTGTTAGATATGTATTTTCAATATACTGGAGTTCTATTACTACATTGACAATTGGATATGGAGATGTCATACCAGTAAGTAGTGTTGAAAGGATGTTTGTGGTAATAGTAGCTGTAGTCAGCAGTGTGGTATTTGCTTATACAATTTCGAGTATTGGGAATATTTTTAGTCAATTGAATGAGAATAAGAAGAATTAGAGACATAAAATGTTTCTAATAAAGAATTTTATTGATGAAAGGAATGTAAATAAAGTATTGGCTAATAAAGTCAAAAAGTTTTTTGAATATTTTATTTAGATTGATCATACTTCAGATAATGAATGCGTTAAATTGATTGAGAAATTAGATCCAACTTTGAAAACAGAATTGAAGATAGATATCTATAGAAAATTTATATCAAATTCTAAGTTAATATCTGCCACGTTCTCTGATCTGATGTTGAATGAAATTTGTTAATTAGTCTAAGAAAAATAATACATGCCAGATGAATTTATTGTTATTTCAGATTAAGAAATTAATGAATTATATTTTGTGTTAGAAGGAGAAATCTCATTGATTGTAGAGTTAAATAAATGTATCACTTGTACTATTCATAATTTTAGAAAAGAATAAAGTCTCACAATTATCCCTAATTAAAAAAAATGAGGTTTTGGGAGAAAAGTATTTTCTTACTAACGCTAAACTGCCTTTCTCAGCCAAAGCCTAGAGTTTCGTAAGAGTTGCTGTCTTGGATAAATAACAATTAAATCTCCTACTCCAAAAATACCCAGAAGAATTAGAAAAATATAAATAAGCATTGAATAAAGTTAAATTGCAGGAAAGAATCAAATTAGCAGGTTGTGAGCTCTGCTATTAAAATCATAAAGTTTTAGAATGTCCTTTTGTCTTCTATTAACCAAACGTTCGATTTATAGTTAAACGATAGTACCTTTAGGAATAAGCAAGGCGATAGTTTGAACGAAGACAAGCTAAATCGCATGTAATATTTCATTATTAGTTAGAATTCTAAAAGTGATCGACTGGGCATATAATATCGATTAGTCACATATGCTTTGGAGAATAATTTAATTTAAGAAGAATCTATAAATGATTCTGTAATTAAGAAAATGGATTTGTAATGCTTGGAACATCAAAAAAATCTATTTAGATCCTGTACTGATTCTTCTATTAATACTCTGATCAAAAATAACATTAACCCTAATTTTCAGAGCGGAGGCAAGGAAAGTCCTCATGAGAGTCAAGAGTAAATAATGAGATAAAATTCAAATAATACTCATAATCCGAGACCTAGTTTTACAGGAATTGGAAGTACAAAGTAGATGTCAACTTTGAAATTAATTAAATTAACTAACAAAAAGTAAGAAAAGTAAGAAATATTTGAAAAAATTGAATTAAAAGTACCTGAGAAAATAGTTTTATAAGATATTTGCGAACATTCATCTGATTCTGATTTATAATCACCTGATAAGACTAAATTAACAAAATAAAATAGTTTCACTTTTTGTGCTTCATCGGATTTCAAAACTCAATTGAAAGTAGAGTACTATTAGAAATTAATCATTAATGAGTTGGATGGTCTAGATAAATATTAAGAATACTAATATTATTATCCTTAATACAATGTTGAAAGAGTGATTGAGATGATTAATGAGAAGTATAAATTAAAAAGACTCAAACAATCTAAAACATTGATTAGAAGATAAAGCAGATATTTATCATCTTTTCCTACCATATCATTAAGAAAGAAAAAAAGTGGAATTATTGGGGAAGAAATTATACATGAGAATTGATAATAAATATATTATTACTTATCTCACTCATTAATCTTATCGAAATTAATATTATCAAAGGCATTTATACTTTGTTTGGTTAATAAATATGTCAAGGTTTCATCAAATCTTACAAGTTCTATTTTGAATTAATAATATATTAATACCAAAATATTACATAAACTGTCTGAATTAGTCAACATCCTGAAATGCCAACAATTAGGCTAAATACTCTAATTCTATATTTGATATATATCTAAGATTAATGAAATATTTATACGTTTTTACTATTTATTTCAAAGCTTTTACTCTAATTCTAACTAAAAAATGATTAATAATACTTCCCATTGTCTCACTTGATTCTTTATAATCCTTAAATAGTTTAACATAATTTCCACATTTGTAAGATTCTCTTATCCTAAAATCATGAATAATTTATATACCCAAGAGCAAATTTAATTCTCTAATCATCAGGATTCTAATGCAATATTTTGACTAATTAATCTTATTTATTTAACATTGTTAGATAAACAATCCTATAACTATCAAATTCAACTTTATTTCCTATGAAATTGGCATCCTTCCCTTCACTTATGCTTATCATGTCATACAAATCACACAACATAGTCCAACAACTTTCATATCTTGGGAAATCTCCACATTCTAAACAAATTCTAGCATTTTCTTCATACACTTATACTGTAAATCTATTCTCTATATGTTAAACCAACAAATCCTATCTTATTGATCTGAATTGCTCTATTGTGAAATTATAATCTGCCTAATAGTTCTTCCACTTCTCCAGAATATGATTTAAAGCCTTTTTTAAAATGTGTTCAGGTCTTATGGTATTAGGATCAGGCAAACCAGTAAGTCTATAATATGGTTTTTCTAAATCTTCACAAGTTCCCTTAAAAATAAATTTAATTCCAATATACTGTAATTTTCATATTAGTTTAAATAAATTGGTCTTCTTCCTCTATTTTTTTTTTAATCTATTTTTATTGTTATTTAATCTATATTGATGCATTGGGCTGTAATTTCCCGAATTATAGCATTGCCAAATCGATGCTATAGTCAATTTTCTTATTTTTCATATGATGTTGATTTAAAGTATCAACTTATTACTATTTCAGTTAATCGTTTAAAGACATCAAATTTTAAATACTAGTAGATGCTGTAATTTCTATTATTAAGAACCATTACTTTACGCTGGTCCAATAGGTTGGGCTTAACTTGGAGCCCCAAATTTACTTGTTTAGCCTAATGAATTCAATGCCATAGCTGTGCTTTGTTTTATTTGGAGAGGTTAAGAAAATAACGACTAAGTTCGTATTTAATTCTCTCTAGGAAGTGTTGGCAATGGAAATTTAGACCAATCCCTTATGCTGTATTCATTTTTGCGTTTGGCTTCTGCAATTGTAGCCTTTAAATATTGCTCCATGTGATTTCGTTCGTTGTCAGATTGACATTTATTAAATGCCCTCTCTACATACTATTTCACTGTAACAGAGGATTATTCGTTAAATATTTCTCTGGAATTACAAAATCTCGCACCTATTTTGGTAATTAAAATAATCATACTAACTAAATTAGGCATTTCAACATTTAACTTCCGATATAAGTAGGAGTATATCTTAATCTCATTATCCCATCTTGAAGGTTGATCCAATTCTGAGACATCTACAGGAGGTAGAAATTGATTCTACTCTTTCTCAATCCTATTGTTCATCACATTTTTTTATTATTAATCTTGGACTTATTAAATATTTTATGGTTGCTATGGCTATTGTTGATTCACTTGTTAGAGTGGTTAGGATACTTTTTATTGTGAATTCAACGCTGGATTGGATTGTTGGAGATACTATTACTAAGGTCTGTAAATGTTATTTAGATTACCCATGAGATTGTTATGTTCTAGCTTTAAATAATCATATACATTAGGTTTGTAACATTTGATAATTATATGGATGATATTGATTATATTAATATTGATTTGGCATCATTTACTAGTACCCATATGGCATATATTAGTTATATCCATAGTAGTTTTGATACATAGATTACTAAGATGATTAGGATTGGCTAAAAGAAATCTACTCTGCTCTCATAGCATCTTCTATTGTTTATCTTTTATTATTGCTCATTTTTAATTAAATGATTAATGTGTTTCAATATAAAACAATTTATCAATAGATAAATTATTAATTTTAATTCAAATGAGAAATAAGAACACAAAAAGAATAGAATTTCTAAATTCCACATTAAATTAGAGTTACTTGAGTTTTATATATATATCAAAAATAAAAGAGAATTTATTTACTTAATTATGTAATTAAAACAAACAGAAAATGAAACTCTTTATAAATATCTTTTTGGTTAGATTCATGTTAGAAATCTCTCTCTACATAGTAAGTAAATCAATTCTAAAATGTGACAGTCATCAAATTGTGATGAGATCTTAATTTTTAATGCAAAAATGGTTTGAACAATAAAAATGATAAAATGGATTTATATAAATAGCTGAAATATCTTTATAATAGACTATCGTTCTTATACTTATAATGTCATAAATCTGTTAATCTTGATAGTTTCTAAACTCTATTGAGTAGGTAATCACCCTATTTAATTAAATTATTATAGAGTTAGTTTCTATCATCAGCCCTAGATGATTCGATGATCCCAGCAACTTTATCAATTTTACAATTGATTCTTCTTGATGATATTAATTCGCTCAATTCTCTAATGAATAAAATAATTTTATACCTATCAATAAATTATACACTGACTCCAAATGCTTTTGCCATATTATTCAATGTCACTGTTTTATAGCTTTCCAAAAATTAGGAGTAGAATACTACTCTATATTCTCTAATTAAATATTTTCTATGGATACTCAAGTATTGATCCTGTGAAAGATTTTCATTGACAATTGCTAAAATATGAATGATATTCCATACCAAACTTCTAGAAGAGTGTCTTATAATCACATTGTAAAAATGATTCCAAGAAACTTTTCAGGACTTGATTCTCTCTTAAAACTCCCACAACTTCTGGGTTTTAATGTACCTTCTTCTTTAAAGATTATCTATCCAAACATATGATACTGGTTAGAACAGTGTAACTAACTATTTCATTGTAGGATATGATTTCAGATGAATTGAATGTGGCAACAGAGTCTAAGAATAATTTGCATGCTTTTGTGATATCTCTGATCATCAAACAATAAATTCCTTCATAAACTTTGAGTCTATTCTTTCTTTCCCAATCACCTCCTTAATCCAATAATATTTATTATTAATTCAAATGATCCTTGAATTTTTCGAGGTTTCTTTATTTTAAATATATTTGTAAAATTAAGAAATGGACATCCATTTTTTTTCCAATGCCAACAGATTTTGGCAATGTGTCAATATAAGTTTTGATTGCCTCAAATAATAATACAGATGTACATCTTCATATTTATTATATTTTTATTGCAATGAGGCTTTTTCAAGCATTGCATCTCTAACCTCAACATCTCCCAAATTCTCTTAAGAGTCTTTTATTTTATTTTCTGCTGCCTCTAACTATTCTTCGAAAGTTTTCTCCTACTCCATTTTAATTTTAAATTTAATTAATACTAATCTCAATATAAGTATTAATTACTTCAAGTCTTAATTCTTCCAAATGTATTATACGTATGAATTATACTCAATTATTTGAGCCTTGGAAGTAATCCCAATCTGGTATTAATTCAAATAAGTATTTCAAATTAGAAAATATGGGTTCAGGAAAATATCAAAATCTTTTAGTACTTGGGGATAAATATTTATATCAAAGCGAAATCTTTGGTATCATAAAAGAATGTAACTTATTTTTAAATCACTTATGATAATTAATAAATATATTAAAAACAGAATTAGTGAAATGCACTTTATAATAATAAATTCATTTGTTGATACTTTTTTGACCTTATTTATATTCGATATCATAAGATTATATTAATATAAATACAATTAATGAATAAAATAAATTTATAAAAGAAACAAAAATAAAAATAAAAGTTTATTCCTTTAGGATTTGTCATCAAATACGATCCTCCTGTTATTGGTATCAGCTAAATATAAATATTAAAGGATTATTATATAAGAGAAGCATACAGGAAAATAAAAAAAAAGTTTATAACATACATTTATAAAATTTAATAAGATTAGATGATGAGGTTGAGATAACTAAACAGTTATTTGAGGAACACCCTGAATTTTTGGATCCTGATATCATAGAGCCTGAATAAGTTTTAGGTTTAGTATAGAAGTTGATCGAATTTAGATAGATAATGGAGCAAGATGATGAAAATGAATATTTAGAAGAGGAGACTGATAGTCACATAATTGAGGAGATGTTTGATTGATAATTTTTATCTTGATATATATTTTGATCAATATTCAATTTTGATTTGCACTAAAACGTAGGAATTAGCTAAAGTTTTAAACTGAGAATTTAATAAAGGAATTATTCTATAGCCTGTCCTTAGGTTAAGTGGTGATAAACAATACTAGCCCAACAAGGAATCTCCCAATATGGAATAACTGTAGGCTTATACATAGATAACATCTTGTTAAGCATGTTTTAGTTGGATAACACATTAGTAATTAAAGATTGGATGATATCCGTTATCCTAAACAACTTCTGTTCTCCACTTATCCGATTTGTTGACGTCATCTTTATTTCCAGCAACTCTAATTTTAATGTATGGATCAACAATTTCTTCTTATCTACGTTTCGCTTCCTCCCAAACCAGATTAGTTGCACTGATGATGCGAACATAAATGTTCATTCGTACATCTTGATTAGATTTCAAAACATAGGAACTGTTAAGGAACATTCCGTAATTCTACAACATAAATAAATCTTTGGTCTGAATATTCAAAGCAACCAACTGAGCTCCTGCAGTCCAAGATGGGAATGGATCATAATTGCTTGAATCAAATCTCAATCCTAAAGGATAGACTCTGACAAAATAATTATCAACATATTCTTAGAATTTGCCATGACTCTTCTTTATTACATCCTATATTTTATCTTCTGAAACACTAGATACAATCCAAACTAATTCTGGCTTTTTGTCTAATTTTAGTGATACTGCATATAATGAAGTAATTTCTAATAACTCTCTACATATTTTCTTGTGATGTTCATCAAGTGTTTGACTAAATTGTTTAACATTAGCTTAGATATCCTAATTATCATCGTCATCAAATGTAATCAACATATCGTCATGTGATTGTGTATAGAATAATGTGGAAGATTGAGTCTGCAATTTCTCCTATAAAAATTGATCATCTCCCTTATATTTAACTAGAACTCTCCGTTACAATTATTGTAATGTAGAAAACTTCTCTTATTTGAAATCTTTAACCACAAACAGCATTTCTCCAAGAATGCTTTATAAGAGATCTGCTATTCTCTTTTATTATTTCAAACAACAATGCATTTCAAGTGATAAAATGGCAGGATTATTATCCTTATAGAAGGCAAAGTCCCTTACTGTAGAGATGACATCTTTGAATTTGATGTCATTAACCAAGGTATGTCCATGAGTAACCTTGGGTTCTCCATCTTCACCATCCCAACAATCCAATTCAACACATTTAAATCCCATTTTGAAGGCATCTTAATAAGCAAAACAGCTTGATTCGCCTGTCAATTAATTTGTTTCCAAATAAGTATTATGTGAGGAATTAATTAAGTATTTGGTGATTGGCTAAGATAGATCTACAGCCGTCGGTTGAAATAGTGAGTTCTCCTCACTAAAGATGAGATTTTGGAAATCATAAAAGTTGTATTATTTTCTTTTGGGTTAATAATCATTTTAAGCTTGTTCGACTTTGAAAAACTGTTGTAAGTCTTTATCTGTCATTAACATGGCTTAGAGTGGATCTTCAAACATTCCTTCTTGTTTACTACTGTATTTTTGGTATAATTCTGTTAGTTCATGTCTGCGTGTTATGTCCATTAATAATTTATATAAGGTTGCTTCGTCTAATTGATTATTCTTTTGATTTTTCTCGAAGATCTAAATTAGTTTTCTTTCTGGAATTTCAATTTGCAATTCTCCTATTAGGAATTGAAATTCCTTGAAGTTGAGTTTGTTGTCCATGTCAATGTCTGCTTTGGTGATCAATTTGAGAGCACTGCTCCAGATTTGATTATAACTATCAAGTTGTTTTTAGATCCTGTTGCCTTCCTTAATCAAATAATCCAATCCCTCTTTGATTGTGATCAATTGGAAAGGATTTTCGAAATACAGTTTTATGTATTCTCCTTAAATGTTGATGATTTTTAGTTTGGATTATTCCTTTTATTAGATGTCTGAGATCTGAGTGAGATCGAAATAGGTACTAAAAGTGCCTTGGGGATCAAGCTAAGATACAGATATGATAGATGATTACCATTTAGATCATTCGAACCTCATTTGGACTTAACAATAAAATAATTTAAGTACGTTTCATCTTGTGCAATTTTACGTTGAGTAGCACACCATAAACTAATGAATTAACACCTTAATGGTTGATTTTATTCATAGAAGTGGATTGTAATTAAAATAATCAAAGATAATGATATTATTAATTCATTTATTATCAGATAATAGTAATTGTTTGAGTAGAAAATCGGCTCCATTAATTGGTGGGTCAGCAGATTCAAATTTCTCAATAATTGGAACAATCGTCTACACTTCCCATTGCTCCCGAAAACTCTGACGTTTGTCAATCATCAAACACATCAACTTGACAATGCTTTGTTGCAATTCATTCTCGATAGGCACTTATAATAATTGTATAATATAAGGCATCAACCCAGACTGCACTTTCTCCAAATATTTTTCATCCTCAACATTTAGATGACAAATCTTGAATATGGTATTGATGGCTTCGGCTTTCAAAAAGTCAACATCCTTTATTTCAACGAAATACACATCACTGATAAGCACGACAACCTGGAAGAACAGATCCAGTTTATCTCTGAGATCCATATCTCTACTGATGCATTTAGTGTAGATCTTAAAACACATTGCCAGGACTTGAGCCGAGTATAGAGCAAATCCTTTATGCTTTTAGATGATTCCAATCAAAGTATTCATGATATCTAACTAGAGGAAGGCTTCAATGTTCTGAACGATAGTCATTAATGAAAATATCAATTTCAAAGTATACAATAAGACATTCTGATTATTGGTAATCAATTTACTGTTGATCAGAGCTATCCCATTTTCTTTCATGATCTAATACTTAAATTCCTTTGAATTCGCACACATATTATATAGAGCAACACAAGCATAAGTGCTTAACATAGGGTGATCAGATTAATATACAATTAGCAATGGTGATATCAATCCTTTTTGAAGATTTATGATTTGCTCTGTAATTTGCTCCTTATCTTTTGAATGATAAGTGATAATGTGCTTGCAAGTAGCTAATTTAGTAGTTTTCCCATGGATCAACAAATGCATTAGCAAATCAATATATAATTATTGTTAATCCTTCTTCAAAAGTTCCTCCTTAAATAAATCTGTATCTAAAAAGGAAATCATAACTCTTTCATTAAAGATGTATTTTTGATATGCTATTTTTGGGAACTTCTTAGACACTTCCTCAATAATGAAATCATTACTAACACCAGACTATTCTGACACAGAATATAAACAGAAATCAAACACCTTAAGAACATCATCCTTATAATAATTATGTGCCTTCATTATTGTCTTAAATCTGAAACTGGAATCATAGCCTCCATCCAATTAAGAGGCTAAGTATCTTGACACCTTGTAGATATATATCCTTGTTTTTTCCTATTTTTATTTGTCACTAAGTTTAAGTTCTGAGAATTGAGTTGCTGAAATCTTTTTGAATCCATCCAATATGACAGCAGGTCTCTTGTTCTAATCTAATTCTTTTTCATTGTCAGATTTATTAAATAAAATTTTGAATCCCTGAATAATAGGAATAACCAAGGTTTCCCTGATTTTAGGAGTGATCAAATGTTTCTATTGGACATAGAACATCCAATCCTCATCAAAAACGAGACTGTCAGCCATCAATTGCAAGAATCCTTTGTATATAGGATCCATGGGTTTCAAATCTGAGGCATAAATAGAATCGGCAGCATCTCTCATAATATTCAACCAATAGAAATCTGAATACAATTGTTTATATGCAGCAATATAAGCTTCTCCTGCATTCTTTTTTTCCTCTTCTCCATCTTCCTCATTTTCAGATTCTTATAATTACTCTTCTAATTCTTATTAATCTTGGTCTGCCTCAGGGTTGTTATCTTCAACTTTGCATTTTGGATCATAAAGAAAGGTAAGCACAATGTCAACGAAATTCTCTAAATATGGTGGATGGTATTTCCTTCTCATCATAATCACAGCATATTCCATTTCAATAGCCTACTTAGTAGTTCGTTTCTTCTTAGTGCCTTGTTGAGGTTCATCTTGATGTTTCATGACAACCTTGGCTCTTGTTTGCCAACACTTCCATTCTGCTAAATCATTGTACAGATTCTTTCTTTTAAAATACGGGGCTGAATGAGTTATCCAATACTTTTCTTCTTCTGACAGAGCATTATGCACATAATATTCAGCATAATACTGTATATCTTGATGATTGTGCATGTGTTCCAAAACTTCGAGCTCATTTGTTTCTGAAACTTGCAAAGTGAATTGAGATTTGTTTTATCCATTTCGATATAACCCTTTCTTTGTATTCTAATAGGAATTCAGGAAAAAGATGTTGTATCCATTGAGCACATGCATATTAAACTTATACATTTCTTGATTCTCCATCAATTCTACTTATGGCTTCTTCAACATTGTTACTTGATAGTTGTAATCCCTAAACTTACCCTTATAAGTTGGCAATTCACGCACTTCCAGAAACTTATACATGTAATCTGTCTTCCAACCCTACTGAATAAACTTGATCAAATCTCTTCGTTCTAAAGTGTGAATGTTCATTTTGAGTGGCACATTCTTGGGTCTCTTCCCATTGAAATGAATCTAAAACAAATATATATCCTGAGATGACACAATCAAACGATCAATGCATTAAAAACTCACTTTAGCTTCCAATATGTCAAATCCTTCTTTCAAAAAGAATATTGAAGTGTTTCCCAATACTATAAAATACCGATTATCGTTATGTTGAACCAGAGTCATGTATTCTACACCCATTTCAAATAGAGATGACAAGGCAGTCTTAGTTGTCACACTAATCATTAGATTTATTTAATTTATATCATCCTTACAACATGTGACATAAATATATTTATATAATGGATAGTCCAGTCACAATATTTTCATTTGTTGGAAGTAGTGCCACTGGTTTCGCCCTTTACCAACTCGTACCCTTGCTTTCGCAGTTGAAGAAGAAATACATCCAATACCAGCAAATCAATGAATTTACGCCCACCTCTCTGCTGAATTACTTCAATCAAACTCAGCAAACCACAGTTGAAGCCTTCATTGCAGGAGAATTGATATCTGATAGTCCAATCATCTCAAAGGTCCCTCTCATTATAAGTGAAAAGAAAATCTATTACGTTTATGAAAATGGCATGTATATTCTTAACATTATTTCATAGAAAAAAGCTAATCAAAATCATCCAACATGGTGCATCTTAATTAAGTGTTGCTGACTATTACAATAGAATTGAAATATGGAAAAACTCAACTCTTAATTACCAATTTTCCATGAGTCATATCTGGGATCGCTTTCTACCAAAACAACTAAGTTTCTTTTAAAGATTTGCAAATTTCATCCTCAAAACATTGAATTAAATCAAAACAAGAAGACTATTTCTCAAAGGCTTTTATACTGGATAACTGGAAAGGGAATACGGTATCATAGCAAGGGAATTCTATGTATTATATGGTGAAGTTATACTAGATAAAAAGCTAAATAAGATGTTCCTCTAAAATCCAAAATTCATTCTCAAAAGCAAGAAACAATTGTTATAGATAATATAATAATAGATTAAATATAAGAGATTAACAATAGCAATTCTAGTTGTTATATTTACTATTTGGACATATATTTTTGGTTGTAATGTTAAAAATTTGATTTTTAAAATTCTTAAAGAGAGAGAGAAAGCAAGATTAGATAAGTTAAGAGGCTAAAAATACTTAGAAATTGATAATTATGAGTGCCAGATTTGTTATGAAAGACCACGAAACATCATTATTAAACCTTGCAAACATCTGACCTTGTGTCATGAATGTATATAAAGACTTAAGTAATAAAAATGTCCCATTTGTAAATAATAGATTGAGGATTAAATTGAAATCTTTTTTACTTGAAAATTATATAAATGTAATTGATTATTATATCAACATTCATCAATATCAGAATATACAGATTCGTCAACTTCAGCCAAATTATCTAGAATTTCTATTATTCTCGCTTGCTTTAATTTTTCGCATTCCTACTCATTCTTAGCCAACAAAGACCCTGTAAAACATACTGCATTAAATGATACTCCATTATAAGTTGCTTTCTTTCGAACTACTATCATCATAAACTCCTAAGTCATTATTAAGTTGTGTTTGAAATCCTTAATATCCTCTACTTTACACTTATTTAATAGCTTTTCATAAGTTTCGTAAATTAAATTCTATTACTATAACTCATCACAATTCTTGCTTTATAATAAATCCTGATTAAAAAATAATATAAAATGCTTGATCTTTTTTAAGTACCTCAACCTTGTAAATTTGTTTGGCTATTTCACACTCCTCTCAAACCACCATTCTCTTACGTGATTTAATATATTTGCGCTTTGAAATGCTAATTTAGACACAATTTAAACATGTTTGTGATCTAAAGAAGCCCCCGCCTCACTATGAGAATTAAAAAATGCAAATCCCTCTACTGCGCATAACACATCATAGGCTAAACTTAAGTAATCTTTGCTGAACTTCTCACTTTAATGAATAAATTATTTTGGCACCAACAATGTATGGTATGGATTTACAGGATATTTATTCAATAGCAGATTATAATTCTCAAGCTTCATAACTAACTGTCCAGGTTGGAAAGGTTCAATTAAAGGATCAATCTATATGTATATTTATACTCCTGCTTACATTTTCTTAATGACACACTGGTTTCTTGGCTAGAGATTTCACTAATTTTATGTGAAATTCTATTCCTTGTTCGTTTTTAGAAAAAGTTTGTAATACATCAAATGGTTCTACAAACCCCCCATCAGCATTCGCATTATAACATTGCATTATTTGCTTTTTTATATTCTCACGAAACTCTGCTTTCGTAAACTAAATATACCAAATACTCACTCTACCCCTCTAAATATTCGATAAATTCCATAACTAAACCCTATAGCAACAACCCCAAATAACCCTTTTGAGAATATTTATGATTTCATAAGTAAATTATTTTAATAAACTATATAATACTGTGTAACAATGATATCTAAATTTAGACAAAACAATTATTTTAAGGATTGTCATTAGAATAAAATGTTGCATTGATTTAGAAATATAGATTATTATTAATGTTTCATTTATGTAATGTATAATTATTGGTTAGATTTAGATTATCATTTTCTTTTTTTTTTGATTCTAATCTTCTTTGTGTACTTTTTCTAACAATATTTTCATCTTTATATATATAAATAAATGGAATTTACAAATTCTTGATTTGATTATCATAAATTCAATGCAAAATCCAAAAATGAATGCATTTCTAAAATGTTTAAAATACATTGATCTTGCTTTTTATTATACTGTTTATAATTTCTCTGCTGTCACCTCAAATGTATAAAACTTTCCTAATTTCTACTAATCTTTTGATTATTTAGACATTTTATTATTTCTATATTATTTATATATATATATTTAATATATTCTTAATTGTGTTGATTATTAATTTCAAGTTAAATCCTATCTTTTATATTAGAAAGTTTTCCCAAATTTAATTATTTAATTTCAGATATAATATACGCTCTTGTGTCTTGATTAGTAAAATATTTTAGTTGCAGAACTAGATTAATTAGTTTAAACGAATATTTAATCAATCTTTAACATTTACCTTATCTTAATGTGAGAGTAAGAAATTCAATCTTATTTGAAGGGTTATTATAATAAATTAAATATTCTATAAATCAATAAATAACTATATTATAATTAAATCATTTGTCATGTTCGACTAAGCATAGTTAACAGAATTGTCAAAGAGAGATAAAGTATTAGTCTCTTCTAGTTTTAGGATAAAAAGTTGAACTCCTAATTACCTCTCTATATTGGGAATTCTCAGGGTGTTTGTAGAAGAGATATCCTCGTTTAGTGGGTTATTTAGGTAATTACAAAATATTATTTCAGTAATCTTAAAAATTTGAGCACAGCCTCAAAACCTTGGAATTAGCAGTGATATACATAGATACTTATCTGAATATTTTTAATATTGAACCTGAATTTTTAGAGCTCTTGGGCATTTCAGCATATTCAATGGCTTCTAAAGTAATTTATTTTTGTAGATTGAAAGTTTAATGAAACAGAAGCAATAGGCCAAATTAAGTTAAAGGATGATTTTGGCAAAGTGTTATACGAAGATCAAGTATACAACGAAATGGAAGTTCAATTGTTGTAATCCTTAGATTTCCAATTAAATCACGTAACTCCATCCGATTATCTGATTGAAATGGGTATTTCAATAAACGAAAGCATTTCCAGTCTCATTATGTTTGTTTTAATGGGTAAATTATTTGTTATATCATTTAATTAGATTTCGAAATTTATAAACATTCTTAGATTGTTCTAGCATTTGCTATTTTCAACTTTTAATAAGAACAGTCTCACATGTTTACAGATAGAGTTAAATCAGTGACTAAATTGATAAACAATAAGTTAAATAAAGCAAAAGAGCAATTTAATTTGGATAAAACTGAAAATGATGAAACAAGAGGGCTTGAATCAAATTTAGGCACTTAAAAAAAAATATACAAAAAAAGATAGTCAAAAAAGTTAAAACAATTAGCATGAATGACTTATCTTGATTGGTTTCAATGAATTTGATCTAAGGGGAGATCATATAAAATAATAATATATCATTTCATTTCATTTTCTATTTTCCATTCAAAGGATTAAAAAATGTAAATCAGAATCCAAATTAACATTCATAAATTTTACTTAATATGCAAATGCTCCTTTTAAAACTACGATACTGCTTTAAATTTATTAAACCATTTAATTCAAGCAAAGAACAGTCCTGATCCAAAATATAATAGAAAATTTTTCAAATAATGTATTACTTAGTTTAATTTACCTTTTTTCTTTGAAACACAATATAAATTTATATAAATTCATATTTCCTCATTTAGATTTAAATTGTAAAAATTATCGTGAATTAATTAAGGTTCTCTCTAATGTTCACAATTATGATGCGATACGAAATAATACAATTGATTTTTATATCGTTATCTATTTTTGGACATTAGTTGACCAACAATTTATTATTAATTAATTTTTTATTGAAATTTTAATATCATTCTAAATAAGTGAAACATAAAGTAAAAGCTATATTCGAAATGACTGAGCAATTTTATTAAAATAAAAATATTATGTAATGTTTATTTAAAAAAGAATAGAGAACAATAAAAATAAGAATCATACAATAAATGGAACTAATGGACTTTATGTTTTCATAATTATTTATTACATCTAAATATATTATTTTTATACCATATTCTACAATTACGAATACTATGAACATAGAGTCTAATACTTTGAGGATAAAACAACATTCTCTTGATATAAATTTGACACTTAAACTTAATATAACAAATTCTAAAATAACTCTTTAAATTTACCTGATTTGTCAGTTATTGGATGAGCATAAGTTATTATTTGTTTTAGTCTTCCATGACTTAGATAGGTTGCTGCGTTATTTCCTTTGCAATTTCATCTGTCTATTTCTTTAATTCATTTTCCTCTCCAATACCTAGAATAGGATAAATCTATTATTTTACTTTAGTCTTTTGTTACTACATTGAGTCTTTTGTACATTTAACTTTGTCTTTTTTTGTTCTTACGAATGACTTTTTTACAAGATCTTCCTTCCTTCTTGAAAATCTACATGATCGCCTTTGCTGTTGAGAAGTTGATACCAAGTTATTATGCTGCACTCTTTATTGTACATCCAGTTTATGTGACTTATTTGATCAAACCCTCTCTCTAATCGTTGGTTATTTTTGCATACTTGAGGCCGTGCTTACCTGATTTAAAACTTAAATAATATTGTACCTCTTCTTCTTTTTGTCATCTCTTGTTCATTTGATGATTAAATCAATAATTTCTTACATTCCTGCTCCTGCTCTGCTAAACTGAAAGACGAGTCAGAGTCATTATTACTGTGGGAGCCTTGTACAGAGCAAATTTCTTAATCATCCATGTTAGAGGAATTGACTGGATTAAGTATTTGGCACTGCTAGATTTATTCTTTTGGATCCATATTTTACATACAAATCAATTTTAAATTAAATCAAACTAAATTATGAGATATATTAAGTGATGAATTAAATTGAGAAGACGTCATTGTAATAATTATGTCTCTATTAAGAATATATTAATTTTTATTACACAAACAACTGTTTTTTATTACATTAACATCATTTCTATGAATATTTTCTGTAATTATATTAACAAACTTATGTATTTTCAAATTAGTGATAGCCATTTTTATAAAATTCAATTTGTCAATATTTTTATAATAATTAATTGAGATTAACAAACACTCTTTGGAACCTTAAAAACAACATAAAGGATGAAATATGGCATTCTGCTTTTTTGAACAGATGCAAATATTAATTATTCATAATAAATTACATTTTTAAGTCTAATTTCCTATTAAATATAATTTGGTGCTCTACTCATTTTTAAATTTATGATAATTCTAACCTAAATGAATAAAGTACTATCAAAGTCTTAAACAAATTGAAGTTATGAAAATTAACAAATAATAAAATTGAAATCACTCATTATTAATTATTTAATGTATGATTATTAATAATTAAATAACAAAAAATTGTTAAGAATATTAATAGATATTTATATTAATATATATAAATAATATAGAAATAATAAAATGTCTAAATAATCAAAAGATTAGTAGAAATTAGGAAAGTTTTATACATTTGAGGTGACAGCAGAGAAATTATAAACAGTATAATAAAAAGCAAGATCAATGTATTTTAAACATTTTAGAAATGCATTCATTTTTGGATTTTGCATTGAATTTATGATAATCAAATCAAGAATTTGTAAATTCCATTTATTTATATATATAAAGATGAAAATATTGTTAGAAAAAGTACACAAAGAAGATTAGAATCAAAAAAAAAAGAAAATGATAATCTAAATCTAACCAATAATTATACATTACATAAATGAAACATAGTTAAGCTTTAATAAATTAACATTTCTTTTAAATTACTTGATCATTATCTTGATATAATATTATCATTTATCGAAATTAAAAAGAAATAGAATTGTGATTATGGATAATCTTCAGCAAATTTTAGTCCATCAAATCTTAAAACCACTCCATAATTTAACAAATTTAAATCAATTCTTATAAAAGACTAATAATTAATTATATCTCTGTTTTTTATAATTTTCTTTCAATTCATTTTTAATATTGCATATAAATTATTTTAGCTTACCTTAAGAGTCATATGTTTAAAATATCATTCTTAAAATATATATTCTTTTCAAAATTATAATTCTGGATATTCTAACGATATATATTTGAAGTAAAATGACTAATATAATAAAAAGGTTGCTTTGATCAAATTCTATCTTCAAAGTCATAAATAATCAATCTGCTGCAGATATAAATAATGATAAATACAAAACATAATTAAAAATATTGAATATAAGAGAATATCTAAAAATTAATAATTAGACTACAAATTTCTTTTAAACGACATAATTATTTTTTGTGTTATAGCATTGATTTCAAATCTTCTCTTTAGATCCTTCGACACTCTATAAGATGGTCTTATTCAATACTATTCAAACCTTAAAGTGCTAAAGATAATAATAATAATTTATAAGAGTTAAATCTATTTTAAGGATATCAAGTAACAAAGGATTTGATATCAGAACACTGAATTATTTATTACAGTTAACAATAGAAATATATATAATAGTTATGAGAAACATTCTCATAAAATGGGAAGATTCTTATGTTTTTTGAATTAGAGAATGTTAATAAATTTTTAATGAATGAACTTGTATTAAATACTGAAATTTATTCAAGAAATTAAGATGAGAATAATATAAAAAATGATAATAAATGCGTTAATAAATTAAATACAAATCATAAAATTAACTGTTCGCTGAGCAGAAAGGCTGGCACTCTTTATTTTTTTTAAACAAGATCTCTAAATTATTATGATAATTTACTCTAAGAATAATTTTAACACTCCACTAGACTTATTCATTTCTAAAAATATTTTGGTCTTGTCATATTTTTATTATTTTTAGATTTGATTTTTATCTGGTCTAGAAAACGGGTCTTAATGAATTGATAGAGGTCTATTTAAATTATGATAGAGAAATAAAGGATCTTCCTTCATTTAAGCATAATTTGATCTTATTTCATCATGAAAGTTTTTCTATTCCTTTTATTCCATGAATCGTTTCTCATATGGTATATACCAATGGTTATAAAATTTTGGTTTTGGGGAAGGCGATACATGTTCCGAATATCTGGAAGTCTTATTATTTTCAATTAATTTTGGTAAGGATTTAAAATTATTTGTTCTCGAACTCTGTGCTTCTTTCATGTGAATACTCTTTGCTCTTGGTTATAATTTCTGTTATATCATTAATAACAAAGTTTAGAAAGTTAATATAATAATTAAATGAATTAATTTAACTTTTCAAGTAAATTAACTTAGTCAAACAATTTTAGTTCCTCTTGCTGTCTATTATTATAGTGTCTATAACTATTCTTCAGCTTGTTTCAAATTCATCTTTAGTGTTTCATTTTCTTTTAATAAATTTTCAAACTATAATTAAGCAGTCACCGTGGCTTTGGTAGCAAAATAAGTTGAAATTGATTTCGGAATAGAATAAGCGATTCCAAGGACAAATAATCCCATAAGGATATATTTAAAAGACACTTACCCTATAATTTTGGCTTTTTATAAAACATTTTTATAAATGAATGCAAAACTCGCTTTCTAAGCATCTTTAAATTTGGAGAACTTTTGTTTCTATTCATCGAAATTTTATGAATATTAATTATTCAGATCAGATGCATCTTATTAAAACTTATTGGTGTATTTATTCCAAAATTGATAAGTCCATCTATCTTATTTGGATTGGGTTTAGTTTTATTGCTATTATTTATATTAATTAGTATAATTGGTTGATGAATAGTTAGTTTATTATTTTTTATATGATGACTAGTTTTCAGATGATGTTTTCCAAAAAGCATTGTTTTTTAGTTTATTTAAAGAACTCTGTAGTTTAAGATTATATTGTTGCAATGTTTCCTTGGGGAAGGTTTTTTACAATTGATTAATATATAATTCTAGGAATCAATTTAAGAATTTACCTTTTTCCTTTTTAGCAAATCCTTTGAGTTTTTTGAAAGGATCACTTACGTAGACATCCTTTAGAACTAAGGTTTAGATTGATTATTACTATTCGAATATTCTTTGAAATTAGACAAATGATCAAAAGTAGGTTTGGTTGGATCTTTAGCATTATTCATTTGATTGATGTGCATCTTTTCACTTTTTAATTATTGCGTCACTTTATTTGCAGAGACTTTAGCTTGATTAACAATTTATAAAATTTTTTAGAGCATTTAATTTTATTAATGGATTTTAATTTATCTATCATTTATCATCATTTTTTTCATTTTTCTTGTTTGCCTTCAACTATCAGAGTCATATTACGATGAGGTCTTCTTGTACCATCTTTGGGTGAATTTTTATTTGAGTTGGATCCTGAACCTTCAGTATTTGCTTTGGGTTCTTATCCAAACCTCATAGCATTTATGAGCATTGTGACTCGTCTAGGCATAGGTAAGAAAGAATGAGAATTTTTAAAGTTTAATTTTTCAATTTCTTTTTTCCTTTCGTTGGTTTTATCAATAGTTTTTCTTTTTTCTGGAATTTAATGAAAAGACACTCTAATTTTTGAGTTTCTTGGTTTTTCTTCATTAACTTTATCAGATTAGATTAATTAATGTGAAACATTCGAGTCTAATTCAACTACTAAGATATCACTTTTGACAAACCCATTATAATTATATCCGCCAAAAATGAAAATTTTAGTATCGATACAGGAAGAGGAATGGCCACATCTTCCAGGCATTTAAGCTCCTTTTAATTCTAGTTGAATCCAAGAGGAGTTCTTCACATCGAACAAGTACAAATCATTTAAGAATCCTTCAAAAGTATTGTCGTCATTTTTTCCACCATATACAACGATAGAACTCAAAGCTTCATTATAATTCATGGAATGCTGACATCTAGCAACTTTAAATTAATAACAATTTTTTACTAGGACTGATTCCTTTGCACTCAACTTGCTCAATACGAATAGGTTTTTAATACACATCAATACGAATAAAGGTATCTAAATAATCTCCAAATTTATCTTGACCTCCGAATACATAAATTCCTTAATTTGAAAACTTAAGATCAGGGTCTTGTCTATAAATATCACAAAATTTATTCTGTGTGACTAAGCAAGATTTATGAAAAGCAATTCCATTGGCATACAAATCAAATGGGTCTACATTCAATTGGACCCATTTAGATTGTGGAATGTCATAACAAAGTAAATCTTTCATATAATTACCTCTATTATCTATTCCTCCAAAAATTATTAAATATCTTCCAACTATTTCACCAATATGACATTTTCTTGCAGGAATAGTTCCAGGTTATTTGATCAATTTGATATCAAAGGATGCTTTATAAATTGAAATATTGTTTACTCAATGAGATTGTCTTGACATCACTGGTGCATTCACTAACTAATTTGTGATTAGATTGTTCAACATGAATTTCTCCTCCAAACAGAATCATAAAGTTCTTATAGATTCCAGCAGTATGATGAACTCTGTATCCATGAATAGATTTTTCATCTAATTTTTGAGGACCCCACTTATAAAACTCTATTTAAGATAGGACACATTATTACATTTATCAACTATGGCCACACACAAATCTTCCTATTATACTGAACTAGAACCTCCGTACAAATAGAGTTTTCTATCATAAGTGACCATCGAACTTCCATCTCTTGAACAAGGACCCCAGAAGTTGTAGTCGAAATTATAAGCATAAGCAAATTGCTTTTTAATTTAACTTAATGCCACTTATGACTCGAGTATTCTTTTTTATAATTGTTAAGCATCAGCATTTCTTTCTTATAATTATTAAGCCCCGCCCAATCTTACTTATTTTCTAAGCAGTTCCAACTTTTGTTAATCTTAATATGCTAAGGATGGATAGACCTTAATTCCATTAGTTTATGAGTGAATCTTTTTTAATGCTTATTTAACTTGGTTCATTTAGTCTTCCTCATATTGTTTGTATTGTTTCCTCATTTTATGGAAAGTCTCTCTATTATGAAGCAATTGCAATTTTCGAGATGTATAAGATTTTTATTGATCGACACTTTCCATTTCTACTTCATCCAAGGATGCCTCTCCAAACAGATATTTACTGTAATTATTCCAAACCATTTTTGATTATTACAATGATCGTTTTAATTCTGAAACCGCCCCTTAATTTAGTTCTCTAAATGAAACAAAGTTTTGAACATCACTATCTGGTTACATTTGAAGCAAGTCGCAATTCTCATTTATTGCCATGGGATAAAACTGATTCAAAGGAAGTGGACTTAATTTATTGTGAGTCTTTTTATATTTTTCGAATAGAGTTGTTATGTCCATTCTTGTGTTCGTGTGATAAGAAAGAGAATCTACTTTGGGACTGTAGCTGTCCATTTTTTATTATTATTTATTATGTAAAAATCCTGGGAAACCTTGTGTAAGAATCTCAGAAGTCCCTACCTCCAACATTTCTTAGATATCTAAAGCCCTTATTGACGAGCTTGGCCAATAAATAGATCAACCTCAAGTGTCTCACGAAATCGCAATTCAAATTTAAGAAATGGTATCCCAAATCGTTTAGATGTACATTCAACTAATAAGTTTAGTATAGATATTGAACACCAACATTTGCTTGATGGATTTGAACAGAGTGTCTTGTTATTTGCATAGATTGATTCAGAGGATCGAGTCAAGTAGTTTGAAACATTAAATCTCATACAAGAGTTGTATAACAAACTTGCTCTATCGTACTTCTACAATGACGATCTCTTGGATGAAAAGAAGGTCCAGATCCCTATAAATGATGGCACCTCCACTTGTTCAGATTTCTCTGATGACAATTTTGAAGTTGAAGACTTTGAAGCTCAAGTTGCCCAAGAGCTCTTTTAATAAATTAAAGGGCAATTGCAGGATCCTGAAATCGAATAGAAATGTTATCAATTCCACTTTACCATCTTTTAGGAGGAATTAAACATTATGGACTTTTTTAACGATTCCCTCGAATTGCAACTTAAAGAGTATGATGTGATTGTGTTCTTAAATTATTCAGGACTACTTCAAAAGTTGATGAATTATAAATTAGATAACCAATTGGAATTCTTTGTAGGCCAATTATATATAATATTAAGCAGAATTAAGAATGATGAAATAGATTAATTGATTGAAACTAACTGTTTTGAACTCAAATATAGTAGACTCTCACAAAGGAAATTCTTGAGATGCAAGATCCTCTCCAACTTATACACTAAATTAGTCTATGAGAAATTGGATAGATGGAGAAGCAATTAAAATATTCAAGAAATACAAGGAGAAAATCTAAAAGATTTGAGAAGTTTCATCGTCTAACACAAGGCTCCGTTGAGTAGATGGGAAGTCAGCATTCTATCCATTCAGGATGTTCAACTTAATAATGAGAATATTCTAGACAAATTTCAAAAATTAGTCATTGCTCTTTCACTCCCTTATGATTTATTACTAGAGAATTTTACCATATTGGATAAATTGTATGTCAATTTACAATAATTCTAAAAATGGTTTAAATTGAGTTCAATTCCATTCACAGTCTCTGAAATATCTTAGCTATTTAAGGAGGTTAGTTAGACTTATGGCTATTACACTAATCAAGGCATCAAAGTGACTCAAAGAGTTGACTTCTATTGGTTTTTAGAAACTGTTTATGCTCTCAATCAAAACGAATAGCCTATCAAAGAGAAAATAGAAGGTAAAAATGTAAAGTATAATGATGAAATTACTATACGATAATATAATCGACATTTGTAACTTAAAGTGAACGATTTACAACAACAACTTAACCAAAAAGAAGCACTTATAGATTAATTAAAAAAAGCTTAGCAAGACTAGTAATAGACATCAAGAATGAAAACTAAGTCTAATAATGAAATTAAAGAAAAGGATGAGTGTGAATTTAAATTAGAATTATTGCATTAGGCAGAAATAAACTCACTTAAAAATGAAACTTAAAATCAGCTTAAAGTAGTTGAACTTAAATGGAAAAATAAAACCAAAGACTTGCTATTTGAATTAGAGAATAAGGATAGATAAATTGATCAATACAGATAACAATTGGAAGCTTTAATGAAAGAACTTGAATGGGTTAAAACAGAGAGAAGGACCAAATGAATTTTATATTTCACTTCAATATTTATAATCAAAAATATTTAAATTAAAAAATCAAATTATTTTCAATTTTTAAGAAATTAGAAATAATAGAGAACTTTACTTTTTTAGTTTTTTTAGAATGATCAGATATTATATTAAAATTGTCATAATCTTTGCTTAATAAATTGTTTTAATAATGGTACAGCAACTTTTGGCTCGTTTAATTTCAAATTACCAGATAACTTAGTAGCTAATTGCAATAAAGTGGGAGGAGCAGATTCTAAAATATATAATGTTAAATTACCTTCATTATAAGTCATACAGAAGCATACAGTCTTAGTACTTTGTCCAGCAGCTGGAGTATGGCCTTAGGCAAACTCACCTAAATAATGTGAGAGTTCACATAAAATATCAGCTGCATTGTCTTTATTAACTTCAATTGTTGGTGGACATCTACAAAAATTAATATTTTAGATACTTGGGTTACGGTAATGGGGCAGGAGGTTCTATAACTTCTTCTTCTGAAGATGGTTAAGATTCTTCCTCTGAAAGTGGTTCAGAATATTCTTCTTCAGATTATGATTCTGATTCAACAGGTGGTTCGACTGATTCCTCTTCTTCTTCTTCGTAGAATTCCTCTTCATAATAATATTCTTCTTCTTCACTTGCGGGAACAGTTTCTTCTACAGGATCAGGTACTGGTTCATCAATCACTTCCGGTGTTTCCTCTTCAGATACTGAAGGCTCTACTGGGGTAGTTTCCTCGCTAGGAGGTTCAGATGGAATAACTGGAGACTCTTCTTCAGGTTCAATAGGTACATCCTCTTCAGATGGTTCAGATGGAATAGCAGGTAGAGGTGGTTCTTTATATTCTTCTTCGGAGGGTTCTTCTGGAACTTGAGGAGGTGGAGGTGGTACTGGATCAGTTGGTTTAGGAGTATATCCCCAATGTTCATCATATTTCAATTCTCTGTATGAACCATCACAAAGATTGTAGTGGAGATTAAAGATTTTACCGTTGTATGATGGATAATATTAATCTTGTCCAACATATAAGTATTTGTGTGGAGAAACAAAATGCTTAACATTTTCGAAATGGACTTCGCCTTTTCTAGTAAGGAATTCAACATAACCATAAGCTTTGGAGATGTGTCTGTTGAACCCAAAGTAAATGAAGTGCCAATGAATCAAGTCCTTTTCATAAGGTACTGCCTACCAATATGTAGGATTTCCGTTTCCATATAAATCTTCGTAGGTATATGTTGTGAAGGCCAAAACTGAATCTTTTTTTTCATTACCAACAAACAAGGCTAGATCCCTGTCTCCTAAGAATTTAGCATTTTAATTAACTGCAGGGTTATTCATAGTCAATCTGAATGCAGAGAACCAAGAATTTGTGGTGGCTTCTTAAACGGTTTGCCATTTGAACCAACCAGAAATGGAATATTCTTGAGCAAAGATTGGTTCGCTATTTTCAATGACTTTTTTAGAATCGAATTAGGTAGTTTGAGTGTCGAATTCGAATTCATGAAGATTGGAGATTTATCTTTCACATTTTTCTTCTGGTATAGAGTTACATGCAAATACAAAATCATTAGCTTCTGCTGGTGTTTCAATGAATACGTTTTGTCCAGCATTAGATTAAACTAATGTAAATTAACCTTAGAAAGATTTAACATCACCTGATAGACCAGCCAATGTGAAATACAATTAAGATGGTTTTTTATGATTTACATTGATCTCATTAACAGATGTTTATCCATTTTCATTAACAACAGCGACTGCCTTGCCATTACAATATGAGAAATAAACATAAATCCACTGACCTTCAATATCACCTACATTAATAACAGTTGAAGTTGTGCCGTCATTATCATATGACTAAAATTCAAATCCTGATCTTGTTAAAAATACACTCAATGAATCATCTGTAACTGAACCACTTAACTTCTCAGATTCAGAAATTCTAGCAACAAAATACTTCTCATCTTATCTACCATTTGCTAAATAAGTTGGATATGCCTATAACCATCTAGTATAAAATCCAAATCCATAGCAACTCAAGTCATCCCCTTCCAATTATTTACTAATTAATGGGATTTATTCATCAACTGAAGCTGTATAAACGTTCTCGTTCACTGAATTCAAACATCTTTTTTCAACCTACTCAACAGGTGGTTCAACAGGAGGTGCTACAATAGGTGGTTCTTCAAATTCCTCAAACTCCTCCTCTTCAACTTCTTCAAAGTATTCTTCAAATTCTTCTGCTGACTCTTCACGATTTGGATTGACAGGAGGTTCATCAGGAATTTCTGGACTACCTTCTTCTTCTGGATTAAGTTCTTCCTGAGGTGGACTTTATTCTTCAGGACTTTCTTCATCTGGAGTTCCTGGTTACTCCTCTTCTTCTCCAGGAGGAGGAACAGGTACTTCTTACTCTTCTTCAGGAGGTACTGATTCTTCTTCAGGGCCCTTTTCATCTGGAACTTCAGGTTTCACTTCTTCTTCTCCAGGGGGAGGTGATGGGACTTCTTATTCTTCTTCAGGAGGAATTGTCTTTTCTTCTGGACCTTTTTCATCTGGAATTTCTGGTTTCTCCTCATCAGGTGTTGGTGGGGAAGGTGGAACTTGTTATTCTTCAGGAGGAACAGATTCTTCTTCAGGACCCTTTTCATCTGGAATTTGGGGTTTTTCCTCTTCTGATGGAGGTGAAACAGGTGGATGGTCTTCTTCAGGAGGAGGAAGTGGTTTCTCTTCGGGCTCAGAAGGAGGTGCTTATTCTTCTGGAGTCGGTTCATCTGGGACTCCAGGCTCATCTTCGCATGGTGCTGGCTAACCACACCCTTGTTATACAACTTATAAATCCTTGATTTTTCCTTTAATTTTAATGACAGTGACTGGATTTGATTAGCATTATTATCTGCAACTATTAAACTATTTGAGAAGGTAAATGCACAATTTCAACAAAGTTGCTTCGCATTCATCTGCAGTTTCAGGATTACTCAATCCTTTTAATTTCTATTTGAATTCTGCCAAAATTGGTTCTCCAATCTTACTCTCTGTTTTTGGTAATTCCAGTTTGTCTATTTATTTCTCAATAGCCTTAAACTTTCTCTTTTCTATTAACTGCTTAATGCTTTCCAATCTATATATATCTCTGTGTAATGAATCTCTATGTTGCACTATATCAGCCCATGCTGCCATTTAAGCAGACACTCTCTCAAACTCATTCTAAGGTGTTGCACAACTCATTGATGTGGTATCTAACAGTGCTATATCTGATAGCTCCATTGAGAGCAGAGATGTGCTCAAATCTAATTCAACAGAAAGGGCTAAAAATTTATGTTTGATTTATACCACTCCCCAACACTAATATACATATGACTAATGTCGAACTTCTCATTTTAATTAAAATAATAAAAAAACGGATTTCATTATATACATTCATTTCTCATTCCAGTTCTTAAATAATTACTAATTTGTTTTGCATTTTAACTTTAATACTTTCATTACTCACAGAGCAATTACACTATTTTTTTGATTTTATAAATTCTCCAACAGAAAATGACATTTATCAAGTTGATACAATATCACAATATCTCAAATGTAAATTTTACTATACATTTACCATAAATTTATTCATTGAATGAGATAATATATTTTTATTTACATTTTAAATAATAATCAATTTTTTATTTCTCTCATGATATATTTTTTTATTTTTTCTAAATTTTCTTCGTTATCCATTTCTAGTCTTACAATATTATTAGAAAATAATAAATATACCAAGTCATATTAAGTTTTAATGTATTAAAAATAAAGTTTGCTCTGAATTATCATTTAGATTTTCTAATTCTGTCTTTGACCTTCTGATATATACATCTAATTATACAATCATAAAAGCAATTCTATAATAATTATTGTTATTCAACTTGGTGCACTGATTGTTAAGACTATTTTGCTTAATCCTTTCTCTATATGTATAATTCAAGGCAATAAGTGAGTTGTTATAAATAATTAATCCTTGAACTGGTAAAAGTGTGTTAATTTAAAAAATTATCGTTTCATTTAAATATTTAGAAGATTTGTTTTAATTTGATAAATATTTAGATTATTGTTTAACCTCTATTAAATTCTATGGTAATATTCTTTTTCTAAACAAAAGGTATCGGAATGAAATTATAGCCAAGAAGGGATTTCACCCTTAAAGGAAAATTATCAAAATTGTTTTGTATTTTGATTATGATTGATTAAAATATATTGAGAGCAAATTTAGAAAATAAAGAGTTTTATAATAAAAATAAATTTAATGATGAACTCGTAATCTCAAAGTGTTATGAATACTTTAGGAGGGTCAAAACGATATGTGTCCCCGTATGAGAAACCTCAGAATTAGGATAATGATCTAGTAAGAATATTAGATTTAAGTTAAATTAGAGAAAAATACAATAATCAATTGGACATTAAGCTAAATCCAGAATGATTAATCCAGATCAGTCTGAATAGGTTAGTGTGATAGGTGACAACAACAATGTTAGCAAACTATCTAATTTGTCCTAATTTGCTCAATTCATGTATATTCCGTGTTCGACTCATCCAGAATTTTTTATAACAACTTTATGTTAAGAATAAGTATAACTTATAACAATTAGAATTGTGTAGAGCCTCTATGTGCAGAATGCATTAAAAATCATATGGAACAGCATCAGAAGAGAGGGAGATAGCCTAAATTTGAGAACATATTGAGAGTCAGGAAAGATCAGATTTACAGGGTAGAAGACTTATTAAAATAATTGCATGAAAAGTTGAAGGAAGCAAAGTCATATTTCAATGAAACACCATAGATTGTCTATAATAATGCATTGGAGTAGGTCAAATTTATACATGGTTAAATATCAGATATGATAAATGATTACTTTTAAGGTCTATACAGAGAATTAAATGAGTACAATTAAGATTAGCAGTTGAAATAGTTGAATTAACTTGAGGAGGATATAGTGCAATAATAGAATGAATTATTGAAATTATAATAGGACTTACAAAATGATAATTATGTAAAGGCCATTACATCAATTTTTGTAAATAAAGAGTAGATATTCAGTGAAATAAATATATTTAGATTAGAAAAAATGGTAAAGGATTACAATCAAAGTAAGGTAGAAGTAGTGTTAGAAAAGAGTAATTTAGAACTATTTTAGACGTATTGTAAGAAATTGTGCTATTTATTAAAAAATAAAAAGCCAGTTCCCGTCTCTCAATTAAAGCAATCATAATTACCCACTTTATAATAGGTGTAATCATCAAAGATTTAATAAACTTAGGAAGTAGATTAAAAACTGTATTAATCATCATTGGTTTTCTCAAAATTAGTGTCTGCAGACCTACCACCAATAGTAAATCCAACTTCTTTGATTTCAGAGAATTTAACAAATGAAACAGCAAAAAGCAGATTCAATTATTAAAATCACTTTGAGGATGAAAAGGATCAAGTTATTGTAAGATTGGAAGAAGGAGGATTTGCTGCTTATATTTATGATATCTAATCTTAAAAATACAGAATAGAAACTATAAATAGCGCTCTTAAAATACCACTATGTCATAAATTATATACTACTTCATTTGGAAAACATTTAGTAATAGGCGGAGTTGATAGGGATAAGTCAAGATTCAAAGCAATAGCACATGTATACGAATTCAATCATGATACTCTCTAATTGACTTTGCATTCTGAGATGGTTTTGCCTAGGTCATTGACATCAGCTTGTTAAGTGGACAATTTCTTATATGTTGTAGGAGGATCTTCAACAAATGATGAAAATACTTCATTGGCAAAAGCAGAGAAATTAGACTTGACAACAAGGAAATGGTATACTATAGAGGATCCATTCTATAAGACAACTGGCTGTGCTTTAGTGGCGACTGATTACAATACGTTAATAAAAATTGGAGGCAAAAGTGATATTTTTACACCTTGTAATTCAGTGGAATCTTATGATATTCAAAAGAACTTATGGGTATTTTATTTTATTTATTTAATATAAAGACTACAATAGATTTCAAGTTTTTGTCATCAGGATATTTGAGATTACCATTCTAGAGTTGTGCAGTTACTATTTCTCAGGATCAAATACTGATTATCGGTGGATCAATTCATGATGTAAGAACTGATGAAACTCAAGTAAGAAGTAAAAGTTAATAATAGATTTTTAATGTAAAACAAAAAACCATTTAGAGATCTTCCCAATTGCCAGGTTCAATTGAGTTTCCCACTCAAACAGCAATACTCTAATAGAATAGTGTATTTATTCTTACTGAAAATGAATAACCTTTGCTTTATGGCAATTCAGATGGATTTAGATATTAATGATAAAATTATAAATAATTTAATGAAGATTACATTGATCCACAATAAAATAGAAAATAAATGTCACAAAAATTCAAGATCTAATTTATGATGTTTTAAATTTAACGGTGGTTTTTTTTTTGTAAACTTTTAACAATAACAATTAACTAATTCTTAATATCTGACTTCTTTATTTTAATTGTTTTTAGATAATTTGATTTATAATTTATTTGTATATTGTTATTTTTCTTTATCTTTGTACTAGAATTAATCTTCGAAAGCATAAACAATGTCTTTGTCTGTCTCAAGTTTTTATTTGACTTGAATTGGTTCAACTTTTTAAGGCAATTTTATTTAATTACAAAATGACAGTGATTTAGTTCTTTACGCTTTTGTTGTTTTGTTGAAAATGGTTTGCAAATATAATTTAGGATCAATATTGGTATTAAGATCATAGTCATTATTAAAGATACTTGGTAAAAAGATTTTGTTGTTTGTGTTGTCTACACTAAAGTTTCTCGCCTTTGTTGACATTATATTTATTAATTATTATATATATATATCACATATTACAACTAAATTAGGATTGTATATTATTTAGAAAGCGATACAAGTACTCCACGATTCCAATTTCATTTATCTTAAAGAAGATCAAATTCGTATTCTAATTACATTAACTAATGAGTGCATCAGCTTTGTTAAATTGCTCAGCACAATGATCTCTCTGATCGAATTAATCTATTCAACAATAACTCAAACAATTACCTAATTGATCATAAATGAAAGCCATATCATAATAATTCTATTGTATCATTGTAATCCAACCAACTTATATGGCAAAGTTGATAGAGGTGGCATAATACTTAATATTTTTATAAGTACGAGCCATTAGATTCCAAAACTTAGCTTAAATAACACAATTTGATTATGATAATTCATACAAATTTATATTATTTAATTTATCTTAAGCTTCCTATATCTAATCTTATTTAATGTTTCTTTCAATTATGTTCAGTTTGTATTCCAGATATTATTAATTCAGATGAAATTACTTGCATAATTTAATAATCTCCAAATCATTCTCGCCATCCTTTAATAGTTACTTGACTCTAAGCTTAGGATCTCATCATATGAATATCTTACTTTTAATTGGTGCAATTTGCAATGATTCAGAAATGTATGGATCAGGATTCATTTACAACAATTGCATCATGATCTACTTAATGTACTTAACTGAGATTGGTTCATTGATAATTTCAAAGTATTCCAAACATATATTTAAAATGACTAAGATTGATTATTCACTCAAATTATAGGTGGTATCAAAGCATTATTAGAATTGTGACAATGTGTACATTGGTTGATGCAAGGATATTTGACTCAAAGCTTCTAATTGAAGAGAAAGAGTCTAATCATTTTAATCGAATTGTTGCAATTAATCAAGTGCATTTTGAATCATAGTTGAATTGCCATAATTATTTGCACATACTAATTAGTATGCAGTGATGGACTATTCAATATCTGGACTATGAGACTGTAAAATCTATTTCAAACTCTAATGTATTATGTCTTTCCAATTAATATGCTTCTTCTTCAACAATGAATAATTGATTTATTTGTATCTTACTTGTGACCCATATATCAAAGCACTCTACAATCTATGTTATGGACTTAACTATTAAGCATGATTCACAGCATATTCTAATAATAGAGTAGCCTATAAAAATGAGCAATCAGTTTACTTATTTTTGATAATTGTTGCGATAGGCTATTTCAAAGAGATTGAGCAAACACAAGTTAATACTTTGTTCATCCGATACAGTCTATGACAATCTCAAACCTTCGGATAAACTATTCAAAGCTTCATCATAGAAATTCATCTTCATGTTGAGGTAAATGGAGTTCATTATGCAATGATTCACCTTTTTTGGAACAAGACTATTCAATGTCATGTCATAGTATTTGCGAGAGAACTTTATAGCTCGAAAGGGATATCGTAACAAAGCATATAGGAGGGCTTTCAGAAAATTGACTTTGCAATTCTCATTCAAATTTGGTTATTCGATTATATGTTTTAGCTCTTCTAAATTTACATAGCTTGAACTTGCTAACAATTAGATTGCATAAGATACTTTGTAATTTAGTAAGCAAGTACTCTATGTATGAATCAGTTAAGAAGGGATTGTTTTGCAAATGATTATCTTGACCTTCTCTGAAATCATTCCAAGATTTTAACATTTGATTGAAATCCATTTGATTGAATAGCAATAGCATATTCCTAAAGAACAAATCAACAACACTGCCTCCTGGAGTTTTCTATTATTATTTTTCACGAAGTGCTGCTATTACAATTCAATCATTACTTTCTCCAATTATCTTATGGAATTTATTCATTGAAGTAATCTGCAACAATTCAGGTTCGATGTGACTGAGGATTGTATTTTACAATGTTGGATTATTAACAATTTCCATGACATCATGTATCTTTTGTAATTTAATTTGAGAGTTACTTTTAAATACTCAGTCAAGAGATCATAAACTTATTGACTAGGTTTCCTTAATAGGAGGATCAATAAAATGAGGTTGTTGTTCATTAATTTTTCAAATTTAAAATATTTTATCTAATTAATATTATACACTCTCTATATTATTATAATAGTTGTATTTTATAAATATAAGGTTGAGTAGTTTTGGGAGATTAAAAATAAGAGAATTTTTGACAAAATGTAATAGTCAAATGATAGTCAAAATTAAAGTTAGAATAACTAATCAATAATGTTGATGAATAAATAGTTGGATATGAGAGTTATTGTTATGTTAAATATTTATATAAAAATCTCTGTGAGTATGGAAGTTGTAAAATGAATTGTGGGTTCATTTGATACAATTTTGTATTAAGTAACCAAAATTCATATTGGATTGGGAAGAGTCAGATGTTCAGTTATGGTAAGTTGATTAGAAGAATAGATAAAATATGATATAAATTAAATATATATAATGAATGCTCCATTCCCAGAAAAGATGATAGAGAAATTTGTACAGTTTATTATGTTAGCTCTTTATAGAATAAGCAAATGGAAGTATTTGTGAAACATGAAGAATTACTTATGAAACAGAGACAAGCATACGAGTAAAAACTTAATAATGTGTTTGATCGAAATTTGCAACTGGAAGAGAAGGATAGGAGTATGCATGAACAAGTACGTATTGATTCAAATAGATCTTATCATCAAGATATCAGAATGAATAGTTGAAAGTATAGCAAGAGAAGTTGAAGCAATTACAGGAATTATAGAAACAAAAGAAAGATAAAAAACAAGCAGCAAATGAGTTATGGTAATTAGAACAGAAATAACATGAGAAAGAAATCCAATAAAAGTTGTTTGAAATTCAATAAAAGATCAAGTACGAGGAATTCAAAAGGAAAACCGATGAATTGATGAATCAACTGGACGATAATTTAAGGAATCTAAATCTGCGTTATTTAGAGAAACAAGAGAGGAAGGAGAAATACTTAAATGATTTCTTAACTTAAAAGTAATAGACTTTGAATACATCCATGCAGATTACTGAATCTCATCATTAAAATGTTTATTCTAATTACTAATAATAAATGAAAAGAATATAAGAAGTAATTAAATTAAATAAATTAAGATTTGTTAATTGAAATTGAAAAAATATGAAAATAAAATCAAGTTAATCAATCAATAGAAGTTATCCCAAATTGACTAACTCACCTAGAAGGCTCAACAAAGTTTTGAACATCAGGAGGGCATCAAATATCGATCACATCAGATATTCCAAAACAAATTGTCGAAGGTACAAAACAAGATGAATTACTTCTAAGACAAGATCAACTAAATTGAAAAGAAGAGATTACAACAGTTATAAATGAATTATCTATAGGAGTAGGAGTTGAATCAAAAGAGAAATGATGTTAGAGCCAAATCCGAAAATATTTATAGGAATAAATCTCTTAACATTCTGAACAAATATTTGGAGAAGGAGAAATCCTTTCAATAGGTGCAATCGTAGAATCAGATTGAATTACAATAGAAATTGCAGAGATTAAATGAAAAATGGTAAACACATTAGAATTAAGTTCAAAAGGCTGATCAATTGAAACAATCCTATTTTTCATCATTGGAACAAAAGATGACCTAGAGAGATCAGAGATTGCAAGATTAAATGTACTAGAATTACCATAAACTATAGATAAAATAAATTGGATGTTCAAAAGAGAAGATTAAAAGTCATTGAAGATATGGAGAGACAAAAACGAGATCTATTACTTAAATTGGAACAAGACAAAGTTCCATTTACAAATACTTCTGAAATGAAATATTTGTATAGCACTCCCAAATAATAGCAATCTAAATTGTTTATTACATGATTATAACATATTTTTAAATATATGAGAAAACTTATCTACAAATTTTCAAGACCAACATATCTTGATTTCTAAGCCACGACTCCTACAGATTACAGAGTTTTGGATGCTATGTTACCCTATCTAACCAATCAATACGGCAATCCTCATAGCAAAACACATTCATTCGGATGGGAAACTGAAAAGGCAGTGGAAAAAGCAAGAGCCTCAGTTATTTATTAAACTAATTATATAGATAGCTAACTTGATCAACACACAACCTTAAAGCATCATTTTTACATCCGGAGCCACAGAAAGTAATAATGCTGCATTAAAGGGTTTATATGGATTTTATGGTAAATAAAAGAATCATATCATTACAACCCAAACTGAACATAAATGTGTCTTAGACACCTGCAGATACCTAGAGGAAAAAGGAGTTGAAGTTACGTACTTGCCAGTCGATTCTAATGGCTTGATCTCATTACAACAATTATAAGAATCTATTAAATCCAACACATTATGTGTCAGTGTTATGCTTGTGAATAATGAAATTGGAGTCATTTAAAACTTAAAAGAGATAAGCAGAATCTGTCATCAACGCGGAGTATATGTTCACTCTGATATGGCATAAGCTATTGCTAAAATTCCAGTTGATGTTTAAGACCTCGATATAGATTTAGGTAGTATCTCTGCTCATAAACTGTATGGACCAAAGGGAATTGGAGCCTTATATGTGAGAAGAAAACCAAGAGTTAGATTACAATAAATTATTCATGGTGGAGGGTAAGAGAGAGGTTTAAGAAGTGGTACTCTTGCACCTCATTTGTGTGTTGGATTCGGTAAGGCTGCTGAGATAGCATAGACTGAATTGCCATATGATATTTAACATGTAGATAAATTATACATCAAACTTCTAAATGGAATAAACCAAAGGATTCCTTAAATTCAAATAAATGGATCATTAGAATAACGTTACAAAGGAAATTTGAATGTTTCATTTGCATTTGTGGAAGGTGAATCTTTACTTATGGCCATAAAATAAGTTGCTGTGTCATCAGGGTCTGCTTGTACTTCTGCTTCTCTGGAACCTTCATATGTACTTAGAGCTCTAGGAGTCAAGGAAGATATGGCTCATACAAGTCTAAGAATTGGAATTGGGTATTTTAACATCATTATCTATTTAGACGATTTACTACAGAAAGGGAAATAGATTTCTTAATTGATTAATTGAGTTAAGCTGTCAGTAAACTGAGAGAGATGTCTCCATTATGGGAAATGCATTAGGAAGGAATTGATATTAATAAGATTGAATGGACTCAACCACATTGAATATTTAATTTAATATAAATGTTTAAAGATGCTGCTATCTTGTGTTTACATGACAAAAGATATAAATTTCAAGTGGAAATTCGTCGCCAGAGAACTGAAAGTGTGTTTCAATAAAAGAGAGCTATAATAGTGCATAACAAGGTTAAGAAGTTGGAGTAATATCAAGGACCTTGAATTGCTTGCTTAATTTTCATTAGAGTGTTTCAACCGCAGAGAATACCAGGAAAGCAAAGATTACTTAAAGAAGTTAATTCATTATGCGGATTCAGAAACAAGTGAAAACTTAAAGTCATTGAATACAATCAATCATCTAAAAGATATTGCGTAGACTTGTGATTCAGAATAGTTTTGTATGATTTTGGATATATTTCTTAAAATTTGTCTACCTCAATGTTTAAGTCCTTAGTTGTTGAACTAGGTACAGGAATTATAAAGTATTGAAATTGTTAATCAATTTATTACATTATTATAAAGAATAGTTTATATGAATGAAATAGATTAATTAATTGAACAGCATAATATAATTTAATACTTGTTGGATATAACAATAGAATTGGATGATTTCAAAGAATGGTTTTAAATTATTGAATAGTTATGCAATTATCATTCAAAACCTTCTCTTTACGTAAATTAAAATTCATTTTCAAATAGTTTAAGAACCTTATTATTCCTTGTTTAAAATTATTACAATACGATTCAAATCAAGTCACTCTACAAGTGATTGAAAGTATGTGCAATTGCAAAACAGATAGAAGAGGAGCGATCAATTATTTGCTTATCATTCCAGGATTCATTGATTTGTTGATAAGTAACCTCTCTAAATCCTTCAATATCATCAGCCATATCATTGAATAATCTGATGATGGTACAAGTAAATTAATTTCGATGGACTTGTTTATGAAATTGCATAAATTATTAGAAGCAGATTAATCCTTAAAAACTACATTCATTTATCTCATTCTCTTAATATGTTTTTACAGAACGGACACCATCATACATATACTTATTGAGTCATAACTGTTTTATAGTATTCTTGCATTAGATGAATAAACTTTACAATATGATGATTTAATATTGATAAGCCGAATGCTTCTTTATTTAATTAGGAAATATTCTAATGAATCCTTCTATCTGTATTTAATTTAGAAGACCTTATTTATTAACATGTTAGGATAGTTGCTGAATAAATTTGAACTACAAGAAGTTTATAATAATACGATACATTCAATCATTCATATGGCATTTTCATAATCGATGGAATTTTCCAAAATATTTAGACAAGTAATGATTTGATCCAATTAATTAGAGTATTTTAATGAAACCTGTTGAGGAATAATTATAAAAGAATAAATCAAAAGATGCAAACATTGATGATAAAATATACGAATTTTTAAATATTACATATAAATGAGATGCATTGCTATTCAATTATAAATTATATATGACTCATAGTGAGTATATGCTTAAAAGAAGAGGGAAGAAAAGGAACTCCTCTTATTCTTTTAATCTTTGATCATTGTTCTCTATCTCTTGAACCATTTAAGAATCCTATTTGTACATCTAAGGGTCATATATTTGATATAGCCAATATGGTACAATTTATTAGATAAGACCAAAGAAATCCAATCTATGGATACTTTCTTAAAAATAATGATTGAATCATAAACTAATAAATGGCAATTTCACTATGCAATAAATATATATATGTTTAAAGGATATCAAACATTTTATCAAATAAATTACCAACAAAGGTGCTGAAGTGACAATTAAAATTAATTAAGAATCCCTTTCAGAGATAAAATTACAATTAAATTATAAGAAAAGGAGCTAAAATTATAGGTTAGTAAAAGTAAGGAATGAATGCTGAATATAACCAACAATAGCAACTTAAATAAAAGGTTTTGGACTGATATTTAATTTAATTTAGTAGTATATATTATTGTAAAATTAATATTAGTCTTTTGATAGTTGGTTATGATAATTAAAGTATTGATATATATTTAGATCATGTCATTTTGCATAAGACATTACCCATATGATGTATATTATTGCTAGTTAATTTTTGGGTTGTACTCAATAGGTTAAATAAATTATTATTATAGAATTTAATGACTGCTTAGTGTTATTTCAATTCTTTTAACTGAAGCATTTTAAAGTCATTGGATCTAATCACATCATCTCTTTAGAAACTAGAGTAATGTTGATTAAATTATATAGAATTTTTGGAGACAACTTATCTTGATAAAATCTTTAGGTTATTAAATGATTACCTTTTTATAAATCTGTAATTCGGCCTTGTGATTTTTTAATTCTTGTAATTTGGTTTATCTATTTTGGATTTCTAATTGTAACTCTTAATTTTTCAGGACTTTATCACAGAATTCAATCCACTTTGGATTTTGATAAGGATTGTCGATTCCTAAATCTGTTAATTGGTTTAGCAGATCTTAGGTGTGTGAATCACAATTCAATTATTTTAAAATGTTGTCTTCGACTTTTTCAGATTTCAAGCGAACAAACTTAATCTTGATCTCGTTTCCACTGTTGCTGACTTCAGTATTAGAATGAACGGCATTAATTTACTACAAATTTAAATGTTTCTTATTTGTATCTAAAAAATAAGAATTTTCTATATTTGAAATCATACCTGGAGATGGGGGTATATTTTAGAAATAGGTTAATCTCCTCGATGCTTCTAATTAATGTTAAAGCTATTTTTTTTCTTATTAAACTTTTTTTGTTTCTATTTTGGATTTTTATTTAATTGATTAAACTTTCTCACCCAATTCCCTAATTATAGTAATTTATTCAGTAATCAATTTATCCAAATTCTTTGAATGCTTAACTAATTATTAGGCCCTATCTTCATTATAGTCCTGATTCTATTAACACAATTTCCAAACGATATTCATTCTTTTCATTTCCAATTACACCACCGATAGATTCTCTTATTGCTTCTTCAATTCTTCTGATAGAAATTTGTTGATCTCCAAAGTTTTCTGAGTTTCCCCATTTAATTCTTCAGGATACATATTCTATTTGATGGTGGTATAATCTTTCAATCTATTTTTTAACACCTAACTAATGTTATCAATCAAACAATTACTTCTAATAAATAATCTAATCTAATTTCTTTTGGAATTGAACTTTCTATAAACTTGGCAAAGAAATCTTCTTGCTCAGACTCCTCTCTGTTTTATTGTGTTCAGAATCTGCCCTTGTTTTTAAAATATTAGTGTTCCTAGTTGTATCCAAAGGACTAAACTATCTCAATCGAATACTCGAATTAATAGAAGGTAATTTGGTTGCTAAATAAAATAAATAACAATAGAAATTACAATTGTGATCCTTCATCTATTTGGTCTACTTGGCAATCAGAGCCAACTTTATAGCTTTCTAACTAATTTGCAATTCTTCTGACATAGGTATATTATTTGTATTGTAATAGTCCATTAATTTTGAATAGTTATTCTTTTGAGTCAATGCCAACCAAGGAAATTGAACCCATATCCACCTCTTGTAATAGTAATTCTATTGATTCCTTGTATTCGTTATGATTTTGTCTAAGATATACTCTTATTTTGTATTAATATATTCCTACACTAGATTTTAATCGAATTGACTGATGTAATAATTAATAAAGAAATCTCGATTGGCTTTGATATCCATATTCAAAGTTTCGATGTTACCTTGTTATTAAGGGAAATAATCTTCATTCATCTATTTAGTCTTCTTTTTTGCAATCATCTTCAACTATTTCAACTCATTATACAAACCAATCTCATCAAACTCAATAGATTGTCCTCTTAATTCAGGATGTTTGTAAGGGGGAGTGTGATCGCTAAATATGATATTATATGAAATACTTCTCAAAATTACTAAATTCTCTTAAGAATCTACATATTTGTAACATTATGTAAAATAGGCCTTCATTGGTTGGTTTATAAAGTGCTTAGAAATTTTCGATTGCTTTATTGTATTCCATCACTAGATCATATCCGTTTTGTTCTAGGGTTTCCCATAAATGACATAATTCAAATTTGTGATTTGGACTACACAACATTAAGAAGTTCTCTACATTAATCAGAACTTCTTTAAGTTTGAAATATCTCTTTGTCCTAGTATATTGATAGATTAGTTCTTCCAATTTTCTAATTGAGTTTTATGAGTGTTCCATTGTAGTAATGAATTGGTGATATAATTGTTTATTAGAAGGTAAGCATTGAATTAATGCATTTTTAAAGGAGATACTGAAAATACAATAAATCTATTGTTTTTCCATTAGAAATACTCTAAAGAACTCATAAACAAAAGTAATATGTTCTTTCTCACAACTACATATTTAAACAATCTCATCCAATGAAACTCCCTTAAAAACAAAAGTAAGTACTGTTAAAATAGAAATATAATGTGTTTCTGAAAAGTATTTCAAAAATGATTTTATCAAAATGCTAAAAAAATCACCTTCACTTTTGATATCTTATAATCAAAATATAAATCTTACTTTCCATTTAAGATATAGATTCTTTTATAACATCCTGAAAATCTTCATTATTATTAGTGAGAGTGAGTTCAAAAGACTTGCAAAAATATGCTTAGTCAGCCAGATGCGAAGGTATTTTTGCATACAATTTCTATTTGATATATATTCGTAATATACATAGAGACGATCCTGGCTAAAAAGTCTTTCTAGAAATTCATCTTTGTTTTGGTCACTATACAATGTGAGTGAAAGATATTTACATTTAAATGATGGTTCCGCCTTAATTACAGTATTATTCATATGCTTTGGACTCAGTCTTCCCAGTTACTATTAACTTGAAAATTTGAATTAATAATTACTTTAACATTTTCAGGCAAAACTCTAGGTAACCAGTAGGATGCTCGTACTTCACCATTCTAATCACGAAATCTGTCGATTCCTTAGAATATCAAAATCAACTAATATAATATAGAGACATATTATACTCTTTTATAAACGCATTTTGAATCACTAAATACTTGATTCTATATTTCTCGACTGTAAAATTCAAGCCAATATTGAAAAAACTATTTCAATTTTTCTCCTTCGATTTCCACTTTTTAAGAGATGTTAAAAATTGTCTTCAATATGATTTTTATTATTACTTTCAATCTTGATAAAACATAAAAAATGGCATATTAGTAATTCTAATTCTCATGTTCTACAAAATATGGTATGACTATATCTTTCTAAATGGAAGTATTATTTCAAATATTATACATTGAGACCTTTCATCCAATATGAAATCAAACATTAAATGTCATTTCCCTCCTCCTCACAAATGAATAACGCCTTATTTTGTTTCTATTTGTATAACCATTCTTCTATTTTAAACTTAAATTAATCTAGACCATCAGGTGTGGGATGTTTCAAACAACTTTCAACAATTTAATCTGATTTGCTTTCAAGCATTATAAATATTTAATAATTATATATATGTATATAATAAACTTAATTTGACCAAAACTTCCTCTCATGTCTAACACAATCATTTACATATTTTATATAATAATATTAATTCATTCTTTTCATTCATTTATGATATCTATAATGGTAAACCTTTTCTACTATTCATACTTAGGATTCACAATAACTATCCTGGAAAATATCAAGAATCTTAAACAAGAACTATTCATCTTATAAGCCATTAGAACCAAAAGCATAAGTAATTTATTCTCTCTACTCTTCTAATAAGGTGTTAATTTAAAATAATTTGGAGCATTTACAATAGAAGTTATATCAGATTATGTTAAACCATTATAACATTCATGTTTTAAAATAATAGAAGATCTAGAAATCCAAAGGGTTGATCGTAAACATGTCCACTCAATCAGGTATTTGAAATTTATTATGAAGACGATGTTTCATTCCAGATAATTAGTTCAAATACTTCTTATAGAGATATCCTGAAAGGAAGAGGTATTTAAACTTTCGAGTCGACATTCAATTTATTAAAAAGGATTTGGAATGAACTTTTGTAATTTTGATTGCTGCTTCGTTGGAACTCTCGATCAGTTCATTTTATAGTTATTTAGGTAAAGAAGCTTTAATCTATTCATTACTCTTTAATTAAAGCTATTTAAGATCTAACTAGATTTGGACATGATTTTTATATTGATTTTGGATTTATTAAATTAAGTGTTTTAAAGAAAGCTCTAAAATACAAAGATAAATAATCATTTATTAATAGATTGAATAAGACTGATTACGAATTAAAAGTAATAACTCACTTATAGTTAAAATTAAAAAGTAAAATTACTAGCATTAAGCAAACGAATTAAAATTATAAATCAAAATATTTCATATTTAAATATTGTTCTCTATGCAAGCCATATATAAATGATGTGAAAACTATTAAAGCTCCTATTTTTATTTTGATACTATTATATAAATGCTAAATGTACTTTAATCCAAATTCTTCATGTACTTATTCAGCTCTTTTTCATAAATCTAATTCCTCTATTCCTATCTGAATAAGTTTCTTTTAAGTTCATCTTTGGTGGGACTCTGATATAGTCTCTGTCTCTCTCTCTTCTTGATTAAAGATTCTTGTTTATTTGATTTCTCAGAATTCATTTTCCATGCACTAAATAAATTAATACAAATTTTACTTTTCTTTTTTATCATCATTTTGAATTTCACTTAACCTTTCTTATAAATCAAATATCGATTTGTGAAGTACAAAATTGGCTCTCTCTAATTCAGTATATTCTTATTCTTTCTTGTCAAGGAAGTTACGGAGAATCATATTCTATTTAGTTTATTCAATTAACTAAGTTTAAAGAGTAGCTATTTACTTATCAATAATATATACTTAAGAGATTCAGTGATTCTAAGTATTAATTAGTTTTTTAAAGACTTTTTTATAACCATGTTTTGGCTTCTTTTTAGTTTTCATTTTATCCATTCAAATCTTTATTTGATTAAAATTTTAAGTTCTTTGCAGGTGTAAACTCCTTATTTTTCTTAATTCCTGAAACCATATCTTTAACATCTTAAATCTCGTATGAGAATTTATTCTTCATCTCGCTAATTTATTATTTGAGTGAAACATTTTCCTATTCCAATACTTTAATTTATTAATCAGCTTCACAACTATCAGTTTAAGTTATACATTCAACCATAAGTTTAGGATTCAAGACTCCTTTAGTTTCAACTATATTTCTAAAATAGTTAAGGTAATTTGAATTTTCATTTGATGTAGAAATTAGTTCTTAATTACATCTTTATAACTAATTAATTTAATCTTATAGACGCTACTTTTCAATATTTTATTCGGTAATTGTTTTCAATTAATCTTCAATCAGAATATTTTTTTCCATAACCAATTCTTTTATTTATTTGATAGTATTTTACTCATCCACACTCTTGTTTTTATAAATGTCTAATTATTACTACATTTCTTGTAACTATGTTTGATAATTTTCCACTTATTCAATCATCTCATTATAGGCTTCACTCTAAAACGTATTACATTCTTAAATTTCATTGGCATTTACAGTATTTTTCAATGCACCAGCAGACATTCCAAATCTCATTGTGTTTACAGATTCTAAATAATTTTCATTATTCTGACTAATAGTTAATAGCATAACAGTCAATGAATTACCATTCAAACTAGGTTTGAGTATTTTAGTTAATTTTGAGTCTCTAAAATTGACGAATTAATCCTTTTTATTTTCCTTGAGTTTCGAAACAACATTTTGAAGTGCCAATAAACTTTTATTAATGAGAAATCCTTCTTTTCTTCTCAATCCTTCAGCTTAAGTCTTTAATAACCCTTCAGAACCAGCCAAATCAACTAAGTGGAGATAAGAGTTGCGAATGATAAATGGAGGACACTTCTATCTTGTCTCAATGGCAATCTACAAGATGACATGAGATCTTGAAGAATTGTCATTCATTTTAGTTTCTCCAAAATGTCTTTATTCTTCCCCCAATTTACTAAAATAAATGAGCTAAATTAATACAAAATTTCATCGAATTAAATTAATGAATTGATGGTTTCCCATCTGTATTCATTAGATGTGTTAGGTTTCATTTCTTAAAGATCTCTAATCAAGAGATCATAAATATTTTCATTGTAAATCTCTATATATGAAATCTTTAAGTTGCTGAAGGTATCTGTAATCTATGATCACATAGAATTTAAACTTTATTAATGGATTGAAGCAGATAATCAATTGATAACTAAATCAGTCCTGGTTCCTTATTGCTCCCCTTCATTGTGTATGTTTTTCCAGAACTTGTTTACCCATATGCGCAAATGGAGCCATTATATCCTAATAGACATTTCTGTACAATTGGTTAGACCATTTTAGTGAAGATATCTTTTGAGGATGCAGCTTCATCGAATACCTATTCTCAGTTGAATAGATTACATTATCAAAAGAAAAGCGCTCATTAGATTTTTTAACAATGACTGATTTCTCGTTGACAATATTGCATATTTTATCATTGGAATCTGTGGGTCTTAATCTCAAACCAACTAATACATTTTCAACATGTGGTTCATTATACTTAGACTTGGTTTATTATTCTACACCTTTGATGTTGCTCATTTTAAATTTAAATTATATAAACACACATATATTTCACAATAATTTACTTTACCATTAATTAAAAATATAAAAATGAGCAGTTCAGAAATACAATCAGATTCTGAAGATCTAATCTAAGGACAAAAAGATTTTGATTTCTATGCTGATCTCTTGAATCCTGCTGAAAAGCTTAAAAAAAGAATTCAATAATCAACATAGAATCAAATTAATAAATTGGTCAAATCATAAAAATTAAATGAAAAGACTTAGAAGAAATCTAAACAATTGGTTTAAAAGGTTAAAAATGAAGAAGTCTAAGAGAATGTTAAACCTTAATATGATCCCAAAATATTTGCTACTAACACTGACTTCCAATAATTGAAACTAAACAAATCATTGGTTAAAGCTTGTCATGAATAGGGATACAAATATCCTACTAAGATCTAAGCCTAAATCGTTCCATTGGTACTAGCTGGAAAGGATGTTCTAGCAAGTTCATGTACAGGCTCAGGGAAAACTGCAGCATTTTTGTTGCCCTTAATGCAAAGATTCGGAAACACTAAAAGCTAAAAATACTCAAAAGCCTTGATTGTGATGCCCACAAGAGAATTAGCATTATAATGTTTCGAGATGTTTTAGAAATTGAATCAATTTTCACATTGTACTGCTGCCCTTGTAATTGGAGCTGTTCCCATCCAATAACAAGAAGCAGAATTAAGAAGATACCCTGATATCATTATTGCTACTCCAGGGAGGATAGTTGATATAATGAAAAATTCATTTAGTATTGATTTATCAAGGTAATGCTTATTGACCATATCATAGTATCGAAGTACTTGTCTTAGATGAGGCTGATAGATTGATGGAAATGGGATTTGAAGCAGAAATTAAAGAAATCCTATAATAAACACCCAGAGATAGATAAACAGTATTAGTAAGTGCAACACTCAAAGCTACAGTAAAATAACTTTCATTATTGGCTCTCCATAAACCAGTTAAGGTTAGTGTTGATTATGTTGATGGTTTAGCCTATGGTCTGAAGTAATATATACTTAGGATAGATTCTGATGAAGAAAAGGATAGAGAAGCTACGTAAATTAATATATTTATAAATTAGACTTATTGCCTTGTTACAATAGAAATTCATCGAAAAAACTATTATTTTTGTTAGAACTAAACATGATTGTCATAGATTGCAAATCCTTTTAGGTCTCAAAAATTTAAGCAGTTGTGAGTTGCATGGAAATTTAACTCAGCAATAAAGAATCCAAGCATATGAAGATTTCAAAGTATCTTACTTTTTATATTATATTTAAGGAAGGAAAGTTCTAGTATTTATTGGCTACTGATCTTGCTGCCAGAGGATTGGATATTGCTAATGTTAAGGCTGTCATCAATTTTGAAATTCCTTATGAGACTTCTAGATATATTCATAGGGTTGGTAGAACTGCTAGAATTGGAAATCAAGGTGTTTCAGTGACAATCTGTTTGAAAAAAGAAGTCTCTTAATTTAAGTAAATGATTAAGGAGTCTAAATAAAAATTATTTAAATTGAATTTCAACATCGAATCTATAGAAGAAATTAAATCTGACCTTAAATCATTAGAACCAAAAATTAAAAAGATTATAAAAGGTGAAGTATTTGAAAAAGAAATCCATTAAACTGAAATTCTAGCATAAAGGGCATAAAATTTGATACAACACAGAGTTGAAATCATGAGGAAACCTAAAAAAGAATGGATTTAATCAGCCTAGTAAAAGAAACTAAGAAATCAAATTTAACAGGAGGAAGATGATTGAATTTGTTGTTTATATTTCGATAAGATTAATATATATATTTAACTATAAAGTTTTAGTTATTTATTTCAATGATTTTGTGAATCACTACTGAGATAACTTACATTTAAATTTTCTTTTAATTATTCATTAAGTCTGCAATTCTCTTGTATTAATGCTGAATTACTTTTTGTCAATCGATCAATCTATTCTTCAAATGATTTAACTAAATTTAATTGGAAATGTACTTATTTTTTAATGATCGAGTATTTCAGTTCTGTTCTACTCCAATTCGTTTTACAATTATTATATTAAATCATCCTTACTTTATGTAACTAAACCACCTTAGCCTTTCAATTAATCCTATAATATTTATATTTATTCTTCTAGCCTTTTGTTTTTCCTATTATTCTAATTAACTTGACTATCTTTTATTGATAATTATTAGGACTTTCTTAATATCTCATTTTCAAGAGTTTCAACCTTACTCTAACATTCAGATAACTTTTATTCTTATTATTGATTTTATTTTTCGAGCATAAGAATTGCATCTTATAATTGTTATGTTTACTTAAGAAATTCTTCCTCTTTTTATGCTACAGTTGAGTCTGAGCTTTCAATTATCAACAATTGTAAATTCTTTATTTTCTCATCCTTCTTTTAAATCTCTTAATTTAATACTTAATTTAATTCTTCTAGTATTTCGAGCTTTTATTAAAAATCTACAACTTTGGTTATTTATAATCTGATTTCATCATTTAATCTTTAGTTTGATTATTCTAACCCTTATTTTGCCATTAATTCTTCTTCCAGCCTGTCAATTTATTATTATTATTCATTTCTATTAGATTCATTATAGCAAGGCAAACTATGTGATTTTTGATCTTCTTAGCCTATTATTTCGAATTAACGATTAATTTCAGAATTTTAACATGGATTATAAATGGGTATCATCTATATTTACTATTCATATTCTTATTTCTATTGTATTATAACCTATTTTAATTATTCAATTTCTTATTTTAAAATTTTATTCTCTTAAACGCTTTCTTATAAAGTTTATTCAAATTGTTGATATTAAGATTATCTTTTTCTATCGCTTTCATAAATATCATGTGATTAATATTAATGTTATAAAATTAATTCGCTATCTAGGTTGTATTTGGAATTGAAACTTTTATTTATTAGATATGTTTCTGAGCTTCTATCTAGAGAAAATGATTTGTCTTATTGTTCTTTTAAATCATCATATAATTTATTAATTTATTGTAATAATCCATCATTTTATTGAGTCAAAATTTTGATTTATTCCTACTATTTCTCTACCAATTGATTTTTTTAATTTATTGTCTATTCTTACTAAGCTATCTTTTCATTTAATCCCTAATCGAAAGGCTTGCATAATGAATTATTTTTTGACCTAACAGGGGATTTCTCTCTACTTATGCTTAAAATTTATTATTCCATCTACGCAAGTTATTCTTATAAACTCTCAAATTATTGATTTAGTTGATTTAATTATTACTTCAAATTAGGAATAATGTCATTTTCATCTTTATTAATTTACTCATTCAATTAATCTATTTAATTATTTAAATCATTAATTTGATTATCCTTCTTTAAGATTTCACCTTCTAGACTCTTAACTTAAACAATTTATTATTATATTTCGTTTTCTTTATTAGAAACCTAAAGTGTTAATTCTCCAAACTTCTTTTTGTAATTTGAATCTTTTTATTATTCCTTATCAAGTTCTTTACTCAAATACTAGAGTTCTTGTTCAAGTGACTTTATTTATTGATCTTTTTATTTTAATAATATTTGCATTTCTTTTTGCTATTGTTCACTAGAATGTAATTTAATCTCGAATTCATCTTTATCATTCGATAACATCTCAAAATTACTTTATAAATTATCTATTAATTTTCTGTTATTGTTCGCATTAAATATTTTAATTTTTACTTTTCCTTCTCCATTTATTAAAGTTGTTTTTATGAGTCATTCAGTTCTTTATCTTTTGTAAGTTACTATATATTCGATACCTCATGGATTTTATTATTTAATTGCTAATTTTCTCTTTATAATTTTTCACATTCCAACTATGATTACATTTTCAATTTCGTAATTGCTTTATTACTTTGAATTTACTCATCCAAATCTGATTACAAATCCTAAATTTATATTTGTTACTTTTAAATAATATCAGATAACTCTGAATTTTCTTAAGTTAATTCTTCCTTAATCTCTTTTAGTTGTACTAATTCATTCTCTAATACTTATTATTTTTCAAATTGTTTCTATGCTTAATCTTTTCTAGTTTTTTCAAGTTATTATTAACTTTAAATAAACTCGCGCTTATAAAATTCACAATCCTCCATTGTTATATTTAATTTACCTTTGATCACTTATATTTCTTTCTGATAATGCATTATTTCATCTTCCAATTATAGCAATTTAACACTTTCTTATTATCTAATAATTTTTTAGTGTTAATATAATTGTGACTGCTATGTCTGCTCAAGAGTTTATATTTGAATTCTTAGTGATTATATCTCGCTTTATAATTCTTGGTTTTCACTCTCTCTGGCATCAAAATGGGATTTAGAAAATGATTGAGAAAGACTAGCCATCTTTAATTCTTACAATTCAAAATTCAAATTATTTAATTGTAATGCAAGTGATTTATTTTATTGTATTAATTGCTCTACTTAATTTGATTTCATTAACAAATCATCTTCTTGCTACTTATTTATTTATTCCTTCTTTCTTATTTCTTCTGATATTCTGTTTATTTATATATCCTTCTCTTTTAGCTATTCAATTAATTTATTAATCTGTGCTTCAAGTCGAGATTTGATTGAATTGTGCACTTCATTAATATTTTTATTTTCTAATCCTAGTTTACTAATCACCTATTATAATTCTTCCATTGTATTTTGACTATTTGTTTAGATAATCTTTAACTAATGTGTTTTATCTGCTAATTGATTTTTCAGTTATGCAATTTCACTATCTTAACTTTGGTATTATTTCTTTTCATTTAAATTGATTACTACGGACTCTGAATACTATTTTGATGATGCTATTTCTCTTGAGAGTTTATTATTTTCAAATTAAAGATCAGATAATTATGTCTATGACCTCCTAACTTCAGTATCATACTATAATTATAATCTTTAAATCTATTAATTTAATTATCTATTTTCACTTTCCAATCTCAATATTTCTTATTATTTCTAAGAATAATCATCAGATTTGTTATCATTAACAACAATTCTATATCTACTTTCATTTATTGATATATTTTATAATTGTTAATTTAGCTTATCAATTTCACTTTGTAAAGTTATTATTTATCTTGAATGTGATTCTTTAATTGATATCAATTATTAACTTAATAGATCCTTCTCATTTTATAAAGATTTAACTTACTCTTAGAATTTAAATTAATCATTAACCTTCTATTACTCTTATCTGATTTCCAATTTTAATTATTGATTTTCATTAAGCAATAATTCCTTCTGATTTTCTAATAATTTGTACTCTTTTGCCTCATAGACTTTTGAACCTAAAACACTGTCATTGATTGAAAAGTTACTTTGATTCAAATCTTTTAAAGCATTTTGTTGTGATTGTAATCTGACCACTTCCTCAGTTAAATTTTTATTTTATGTTTGTAATTGTTGAATTTAAATACTGAACTGTCTTTCAGCACTTTAAGGGAACAATTTAAGTGTTCTATTTTCTTCTTGTAATTACATTTGTTTTTATTTTAATTCAAATATAGAGTTTTCCAATTATTTAATTTTTCCATTTAAGTATTCCTTATCTTACATTAAGGTAGAATAATCATCTCTTAATTTAATATTGTCTCTCATTAAATTATCTTTGGTATTTTAAAAATCATCAATTTGATTTTGAAGTAGTTTAACTTCATTACTTTCTAAATTATTGTATTCCATATCTCTTATTTAACTTTTATATTTAGCCACTTCTAATTCTAATGTTTTTATTTTGTCCAATTATTGGGAATCCCTTTACAATTGAAAATCAAGCTTAGATTATAGTTCTTCATTCTTTCTTTTTAGTACAATCAATTATTACTCTAATTCTTTGTATTGGTCACTATTAAATATCTTAGAATTCAACATATTATCAGAAAAGGATCGAGAGGTATTGATATCAGCTAAATTTTTAATTTATTCAGTCAAATGTGTATTCTCTTCAACTAATCTCTTATTTTATTTTATTAATTATTCAAACTATTTTTTAAATTGATTAGCTTCTTATAAATCAGTTGTCAATTTTTCTATTTTCTTTTTCATTTTCTAAATCTCTAAATTATGTATTTATTGCATTCGTTCAATCTGTTGTTCCAATTGATTATTAACAACATTTTCTTATATTTATGAATCTTTCATTGAACCTTATAAAACAGATGAATAATCAAATTTCTCTCTTAATTATCTGATCTCTTCAAATAATTTCAAGTTTTCCTCCAAATAACGTTTATTAGCTTCAGTTAACTTCTGTATTTATAAGTCTCTATCTGATTATTATTTTTATGGTTTTTGTTGTTTCTTCTTTGACAATTCTTCTTCTAAAATAGATATTTTTTTTTATAAATACTGATTCTCTTACTCTAATTATTCAATCTTAGTTTTCATAACAGGATCCTCCATCATAGACATAGACATACTGATTCTGCTCATGTTTTTCATCATTTCTAATTCCAATTATAATTCTTTAATCTTATTTGTTGATGTTGCTATTTCTTACATCAATTTCTAATTCACTTATAATAACCTCTCCTTCTCTCCATCAATATTTTAACTAGTTCTTGAAGATGACCCAAACTTCTAATATTTATTTAATTCTTCTTGTAGTCTTAATTTCTCATTATTGCATTCTTATAATTTCTCTTAATATTGTTTTTCTTTGAATTCATCCAAAAATTAAGATTGAGATAACGATTTATCACATTTCTCATTCAAAGCCATAGTCAGTCTACCGTTTTAATTCATCAAATCAGTTTCTCTCTATTTCAATGAGTATACTTCGTTTTTTAATGATTGAATTAATCGATCCATACTGTCTAATTAGTCTTTTGATGCTACATTAGATCTACCATTCATTTCTATCAATCAATAATATGAATTCAATACCTAATTCTTTGTTGTCTTTCATTAATTTATCGATCTATTACTGTAATTTCTGTTTCTCATTCTAAAGTTGAGTAACTTCCTATTTAAGTTGGTTCATCTGAATTTAATTATTTGATCTTATGTCCTAACTAGTTGCCATCATAATATTCGATTAAATTGGCTCAAATTTCTTGATTGGCATAGCTGATTTCTCATTTATTAATTACAATATTTATGCATTCAACAATTATTAAAAATTAACTTGTTTCTAATTCAATTTCCCAATGTTATAAGCTATAAATTTCAAATGCACTCTTCTTAGAGATTACATTGAAATAAAGAACGCGCAAAACGCATCTAGTATTTACATGCAAATTACCTTTGTCATCTTTACTTCTGAATTTCATTATTTGATTGTTGAACTAAACTTATAGTTAATTCTAATTTGACAGAATACATTAATCTGCATATTAAATTTTTTATTAGGTCGTACTATTTTCTAAGTATTCTAAGCAAAATACCCAATTCTAATCATTGCAAATGATCTATTATCTAACATACTCTACTTAATAGTTACTTCATATTGTTATGATATAATTGTGAGAGTTTATTCTCTAATGAGGTCGATATTTGAATTTTTTAGAATTCTATTGTAGCCTATCCCTCATAGCCCTATTCGAATGGTTGTACGATTGCCTCAATCTTATAGCCAATATCGAATATGCTACAAGGATAAATATTGCCCTAAGTCTCTATTTTAATGCGTTCATTATCTAATTTCTTAAACCATTAAAATTTGCATCCTAATGGGATTTGGTTAATTTTTGATGAGAATGCATTAATTGTAATGTTAGTTGTTTCATTCAATTATGATGCTTAGATTTCTAGATGATAGTTAAAGTTCCCCTTAATTTAATAATTCATATTAAATATATGTTAATTTAAGACGATTTAGATTTATTCATTAAAAAAAATTCATTCATTAAGAAAATCCTAAAAAAACAGACATTAGCAGAAAATTATTACATTTACAGCCTTTTTTCTTATTATTACCTAAGGAGTCAAAAATGAATTGTAATTTCCTTATCAACCCTTGTTATAGTTGGAATAATATAATTATAACAATTGGTAGACTTCCACATTTTAAATGATAAATTGTCAATCAATTTATGAGATCAAATGATGATCAAATAATAATAATGATTATATATAATTAGCATCAATTTTTTGATTCTTCCTATTTTTATGATTCTGCAGCCTCCAAAGGATTGTCATAAGCCCATTCATCAAAGTCTTCAATTTCTTGATCTGTAAATTTAGTACTCTAATTTCCAATTAACAGAATACTTTGATTTTATTTAGGTCATTTTCATTAAGTGCTCCTACTTTTTTTGCATCTCTTAATTTTTATAAGATCATTTTATTCTTCTTTACAGTCTTGTATTCATTCTCTGCCAATTAGGCTAGTTCTTGATTTTTTGCTTTATAGAATCTGTACATGACTTTAATCTAAGGGATTGTAGATATGGAGAATTTACATTTTCACACTTTTTCAGAAGTGGGTCTTCATTGATTTCGGGTTCAAAATAGAAATAAATGGGTAATTAGAGTTCTTCCTTTGGATTAAGTAATTGTTAATTGAAGCAGAAGCATTGAATTTTTGCAAAATAAAGTCCTGCATCTTCAGGAAATATTTAGTAAGTAGCAAAACCTTAAATAATAATTATATAAAACCTACTACTGCTTTGTCATTTCTGTTGTATGCTCTATAAAAGACTAAAGCAGTTTCTCCAGCATGAACGGTGACATTCTATTGGACAGGGAGAAATTCCCAGTTGGCTTCAGGATCAGTTTCTGCTCCAAATTCAATATGATATTTTCTGAAGACATCCACTAGAAATGAGAGGATAGATATACATTTTTTGCCTTTCATTGAATAGTCCTTTTTATCAAGGTCACCCTCCAAGCCAAAATGCTCACACCACAATCTATAAAATGGGACAGCACCAAAGGCACATCCAAAAGCAGCTCCGTATAAACCAATGTTATAGAGTAATTCCTATCGTCTTTTCTTTTTAAAGGATGTCAGATTATGTTAAATATTGGATCGACTTGAATGTTTGAATGAATAAAACAATTTGGATAGTTTGAACATTATTAATATAAAAATTGGAATAAAATTGTTAGATATAGACTAATAATAAATCAATCAATTTCAGCCAATAGATCCTCTTCTTCGTGTTATAATTGATCAACTAATTATTTATGACTAATATCCTCTTTATTTAGGAACTAATATTATAATAATGAATTACTTCTTGTGCTTCATCAACAGAAACATGAGATTTCTAATTCTCAATGTTGCTGATTAAAGTGATTCCTTATTGGACAATCTGAGCCCAGAAGACAAGTTGACTGTACTTCTCTTTAAGAACATGCAAGTATTTATTGAATACTGGGGCTTCATCTTCTGTGATACAGGCTTTCCTCATTTCTTTGAGACACTCAAGTGCTTTTGGATAGAAACTGCCTTTGAGAGATTGATCCACAAATTAAATAATGACTTTTTGAATTTATTGTAAGGCAGTGTCAACTAAGTCGACTCTCTTTTCAGTAATCATCTTCCTGAAATCTGAAGTGGGATCAACAGTGCCGATTTCCTTAACTATATCGTCATTGAATCCTAATTTTTATTTGGCAAACATATTAACCATCTCTTCTTCTTCTTAATTGATTTCAACTACTTCATCCTCCACTTACTATTAAATTTATTCTGTAGATTGATCTTCAAATAGTTATTTCCAAAACACTTTCTTATCCCCTTGTTTTTTGATTTCGTTGATTTTGAATTTGAAAGCAGCCTTGACTTTTTGAAGTGCCTCTTTTGCATAATCGTAAACCCTCTTTTCAGGATGTAAATACTCCAAGATGAGAGGGGAGATAGGAGGCAATACATCAGATCTAGTGATGGCTTTGTGCATGACCACTTATTGGAAGTATTATCTCGTAGGATTGGCAACATACTTCATTTTAAGAAGTTCTTCAAACTGTCCATCTTCCGTGGGCATCTTTTCTAGATCCATACAGTCAATCATAGCAGAGACTGCCATCTATTATGGAGGAGTAGATCTCTTCAAAGCAGCAAATTGAAAATGCCTGATGTCTTCAGTTGTAGGCAAGGATATCATCCAGAAGCACTAAGAGTTCTTGGATTTATGGGGTAATAACATAATCAATTTAGGTGCTGTTTTCTCTCTGCCTACAAATCTGGCAAGAGCTACTTTCCTAGTTGCAATGAGTGCAATGACTAGAGCAGCCAGAGCTTTCTATTACTTCTGATTTTCTACAGCAATGACCATGTCAACAGTTGAGGTATAATAATATCTAGGTATATGGGATCGATCTACAAAGCCTAATAATTAAAATTAACGAGGACACTAGTATTTCATTTTGTCCTCCATGATTTAATCCACTGGAACCAGATTCCTACCATATTAGTATCCTCTTATTATGTTGTCCTTTTCTATTGGAGTCATATTGGGATCTTCTGGATTGTAATAGATGAGATCATTCCTCACATGATTCTTATTGGTATCAGTTTGAAATTCTCCAAGGGTAGAATGTTTTCTAAGAGTAGGCAATCTCTCTTCAAAACATCGTTTATATATTAGAACTTGTACAGAGATCTCATCATTAATTTGGAAATCCCCCCTGAATGATGCTCTAGCTTACAAAGATCTGGTATGAAATTGGGAATACAATTCAAAGGCAACATTTGCTGGGAATATTCTCATGTTGTTCCTCAATTCTTGGACCATCAAAAAAACATAACGAGAATTGATAGATTGTTCTTAACATTGATATGAAGCTGTAAGCATTCTATTATTAAGTGCTTCGAATTCTTCAGGTTTTTCAGGATCATCCATATCTCCATTGTAATCATTCATAAAATCAAGAGCTATGAAATTTATCTTAACATCCACTTTCTCAATCATCTTGATTAATTTGGTTATCTACTTTTCACTGTAATCAGTCTGTCCACAACCAGCTGTTAATATAAAGATCTTCTTTTCCATTTTTTTTGTCTTTGCATGATCATCTAAAGCATGTACTGCCTTGTCCAATGCATCAAATATATCTCCACCCACTTATTATCCAACATCATGGTTAGGTAAATCACTAATATTCCTAAAGAAATCTAAATCTGGGATTGACAAATCTTGGATGTACAATGTCTTGCCATCAGGAGCTTCTTCTGTTCCAAATAAAATCAATCCGACTTCGTGATTCTTATAATTAAAAATCTTTTATTGAATCATCAATCCTAAACAATCTACTGCCAATTCCAATCTGCTCAACTTTTTACTTCCTCCCTATTAATATTGACCATACATTGAGGCTCCAACATCCAATAATATTAGAGTAGCTTCTTTTCCAGACATCTTTGCACTTATTTTTTATATATATCTACAAATTCATTATTGAAATTTGTATATTAAAAAATTGCCTGTATTATTTATCTATTTAATGTAAATCTAAGAAAATTAACTTATCATCGATTACATCAAGAAATTACTATGTCCATATCACAACAAGCCCATTAGATACATGAGTTATTCCCCAAATGTCCCCCTTGGCTATAAACTCATTTGTTCTGATTGTGCTGAGGACCGCGGCTTAAATAACTATAAAGAAGTTGAAAGTTGTGTTAAAGAAATCAATAAAGACAGAGTCCCTCAACCAATCAGAAATGCATGTTAACAACTAATGGAGTTTTTTGATAGAATGAAAAATCAAGTTGCTGCTCCTCTTAATCAACACACATATTTCCTTCGAAATACACAAAATGAAGGAGGACTTATTCAATTCTAGGAGGAACTTAAATAATATTATCTAGATGGCCTAAATTCAAACTATGGCCAACAATTAATTGCAAATGGAAAAAAAATAATTTTTAATTCTATTAGGTAACTTGAAGCATTCTCAACTGATCTGACATCACTTTTAACAAATTCATAATACGAGTAGTAAAGCCTTACAGAAATATGGAAAAAAGAATATTAAAAATAACCCTCAGTTATCGAGGTTGATTTCTCAGATTAAGAATTCTTCATCTTAAGTGATGAAAAACTTGAAGTCTACAATACTTAAGTAGATGGCATAAGACTTCAGCAATAACATCACCTTGATAAAAAAATTAATTGTATGATCAAAGCTCAATCTAAACCATTAATCTTTTTAGGTAGGTATGATGGAATTGTGGAAGTATTTGAGTAATTAACTAATGGCGATTATGTATCCTCCCATAAAATTGAAGCACATTCATCCGGTAAATTCTAATATGGAGTCAGCTGTATTATTACCAATTCTGACAGTTCAGAAATAATTACAGGAGGATATGATGCTCTTGTCAAATCATGGAGATTTAGAAATCGCTAATGGTAACTTATCTCTACTCTAAATCAGCATAAAAATATTATCAATTCTTTATCTTATAACTCAGATTTTAACATCATTGGATCAGCCAGTTAGGATCGTTCATTTTCATTGTACAAATCAAACTCCTAATATCTCTATTTAAATTCGTTCACCTAAACCAATACAAATCGTGTTAATACTATATGTTTTGTAAGTCCCACTAATTTTGTTATTTCTCTAAATTAAGACACAAGTATCTATTTGTATACAATTCAAAATACATTGGATTAAATATTTAAAATCGAAAATTTATAGACTATCCAACTTAACAAAATCAATACTGATATCACTATTACTGTCTAGCCAAGATATTATGAATCCTTAAAATTATTGATCTTCTAAAGTAATAATCAAACCTATTACCTATGCTAAGATAGTCAAAATAAATTTCAATTCTTTCCTATCAGCAGATATGTTTCCAGAAACTAATCGTAAGATAATTCGGCATAACCAGAAAATTCACTCAAAGGATCTATGTTTAGACTTATGGAATATGGATAATAATCAATTTAGTTGTTTTAAGAAGGTTCTTCATATGTTGTGCGTGCATCGAAATTTTAATGATATTTTCTATATTTTATATAGAATAATTATAATTTTTAATTTAATATCATATCATATTCTTTATTATGAAGGATAAAATTTAGTCAGGAGTCTTTATGTAATAAATCCAACCGTTGCTGTCCCTATTACAACTGCAATCATAATCCAATTAAATCCTTTATAGCTATAAATTATAGATTTAGATTACGTATTATCGTTAATATCTATCACTTTTAACCATTTTCCACCTTAATTAGGGAAAATTGCAGCCAAAAAAAATATCACAAAACCAATAATAGTCCATACTAATAATAGCTTATTTTAATAGTATCTAAGTTTAAATGGACTTGACACATAGAGATTAATAGCGAAGGTCATAAAGTAAAAGATAATACTCAAGAACATTATGGATTGAATATCACCTGATTACTTTAAACTATTAATTGGTTTTGGAATACAATTATCAATAGGTTCTTTGAATTAACAAGTGTGAACATCACGTGCTTACTAAGAGAGGAAATAATTAATAATTAAGCTAAAAAAAGGTTAAGTTATAAGTGATACCCTACTGATGCCCAAAAGAGATTATTATAAATTTACAATTGATTTCTTAAAGCAAATTAGTCATCTATAGGATTTTGATCTGCTAAGGTATCACAAGGTCCTGACATGCATAAAAAGGTCAGTAAAGGAATTATTGCGATTAAACTAGTGTATGTGAATTAAATGTCAGCAAAAGTTTCAGCTTCGAGAAATGTAATTAGAATAGCAATAAATTTGATTACATTAACACTAATCAAATACTGAAAAACTTCAATGAAATTTCTTTTTGATACCTTACCCTATTAAAGTATCTTAATAACGCAATCAATTGAATTGGATCTACTAATAAATGGTGCTGTATAAGAGGCATCTGCTTCATTGAATGATATACCCACTTAGGCTTACGAAATTGCAGACTAAATTATGCTTTAATATATTGATTACACAATCATTAGCTCCATCTCCACACATTAATACTTGTTTACCAAGACTTTACAGAACCTAAATTACATGCTTCTTTTATTCTGGTTTCTGTCTAGCGAATACTTTTGTTTTTTTTATAAGATTAAATAGAAATTTCTTAACGTTTACATCTTCTGTGTCTATTTAAGCAATTTCTGTAAATACCATATTCTTACCGCTTGCTTTAGCTAATTAATTATCATTTAAATCATTAATATCTTTTAAATTACCCTGAGTAATCACGTAATCTAAAAATTTACCAGTTATTGCCAGTTCAGACTTATCATCAATTATTGTGTCTAATTAATTGAAAATATTTTATTATTAAATTTGTATGACCTTCTTATCATTGTTGGATTAAATTGTAACTGATTAATCTTATTCATTATAATCTATAAATGAAATATCTTGATCAGCAGTTAATATCTAAGCCATCTTGCTGCATTAAATTGTGGTTAATGGATTATCCCCTGATATTACTTTAATATCAAGCCCACTCTTCTTTAAAGCTGCTATTACATCTGCAGTGTCTTATTTTAATGGGTTTTCCATTAATAATAAGCCTACAAAATTAAGTGATTACTCTAACTATTCCCTTGTTAGGTCGATTTGATTACTTTGAAGTTCCCTATAAGCTAATCCCAAGATTCTATAACCTTTAGTGGCATTAATATTAAACTCATTAATTAAATCATCCCTTTTACTTAGAGCAATCTAATTGATCGACTCAGGAGTACCTTTTGTATATAAGAAGTATTTCTGATCGACTGAAACAATAACGCTCATCATAAAATTTTAAGTATTGAAATCAAATATCTTATGTATCACAAACTATTTATTATTTCCATTGATAATAGTACGTTATTTATCGAAATCACATTACCAGCCTACAAATCTGAGCATCTCAATTTCTAATGGATCTCCAATTATATTCCCATTAACTTTTAATAAATGATGACAACAACCCATAATAGCGTTCAATATTGGTTATTCTTCTTGAGGAATAGCTTTGACAACTTTGAATCCTAAAGTTGTTAATGTACCAGTTTTATCAAAACAACATGTGTCTATTATTCCAGCTGACTCTATTTTCTCTGCATTATTTCCAATTATTCCTTTTTTCTCCAATTTTACTAAACTAAAAGTCTTGCATACCTAAAAAAAAATAGGCATAGAAGGAGGTATAGACCAAACTATATTATCCAAAAATCTTAAGACTAATATACTTGGTTCAAAATCCATAGGAATATAGCTGATTAAAAAGAATCCAAAAATTGCTGCCATGATCAAACCATTTCCTAAAAGAAATTTTGCTGCTTAAATATAAAACTTCATTGACTGCGGATGTGGATAAAGTACATTTCTAAAATATTATCCCCTCAAAGTACTAAATCCTGTTCTTAATACTATAGCAACACCACGATTGACTTGAATTAGCTTTGTACCTTCAAATAAACAATTTTAATTCATTTTTTCAAATGAAAATTCGACATTTTAATTCTGAAAAGCACATTTAGGAATGGGAATGTCCTCTCCTGTTAACGTTGCTTCATTCACTAAAACATCACCTTCAATTATTGCACAGTCACAATTTAAAACCTGATTCTCTTTCAAAACCAATAAATCCCCTGGCAATAACCAACTACTTGGTACTTTCTGATAAATTTGATTTAATTTTAATTTATCTCTATCATAAATTTCAACATTCTACTCATAATTTGCCAATTGTTATAATCGTTTTCTAGATCGAACATATAAAAAATAGTTAATGTAAACTGACAACAAAGTAAAAATGAGAATCAATATTGATGGTAAAATAATGTTTTCAGCAATCCATATAGCAACTGCAAAATATTGCAATAAATTGAAAGCCCCTGTGAAGGCATTAAACGAATAGACTAAAATAGAATCTATTGGTATTTGTATAGAACAATAACCAAAATATTCACGTTTTACATTCCTGTCTTATTTATTTCGAAGTTTAATCATTTCAGATATGATTCTACCTTTACACTCAAACTCTATAGGCTCAAAACTTTAGATTTAAGAATTGAAACCATATACCAACATTCTATTGTTAATTGTAAATTTTTACCTAAATGTAAAATAGGATTTTTCTTTGATTAAATGTTTTGGACATACAAATTACTCATTTTTTGAAGTTGTAATCAGGTAATGTGTCGCTGAAACTTCATCGTCGACTTAAATAAATAGGAAATTAGTATATAGTTTATTCGAATATTTTAAGGCCAACGCAAATAGAAAAGCAGTTATTAAGGAGAGCAGAATCTAATATATAATTTGTAAAATGAGTACGGCCAATATAAGTCTAATTTTGCTTAGTTAAGCAAATGCTACAGAAATAAGAAGATGTTGTCCTTCGACATCAGAGTTTTTAACAGGATATGACATCAGCCTTAAATAATTTACTAAAACGAATTAAATGATTTAAAATTCAACATTAAATACTTTTATAAGCATTTTTTAATTGATTATATTAAAGAAAATTTAAGTTTTAAAACTGCTTAGCTGAAATAACACACTGCACTTGTACAGAGAATGATAAAAACACCAATACATCAACATGCTTAGAACTAAAACATTTTTCATTATAATTACAGCCTTTTCGATATCTACAATTGATAGCCAACATCTTGTAGATCTATTAAACGTTACAATACACGCTAATAGACCTATATGACTAAAATTAAAACAATCCATGCTAATAATGAGTAATTACGATACAATGTTCTAATATAAAAATATAGACTATACTTTAAAAGGAGTTGATTAGTAAATAATTATGCAAATTTTCATGTTAAAAATAAAGCCATTTTATCAAAATTATTTTTCTTATAAATATAATGTTCTGGATATTTGATTTTAATATATTTTATGGTCCTTCCTGAATACATAATTTTAATAAAGCTCAAATAATTCCTTTAAATAACTATATTGATTTGCTAACATAATAACAGAGTTCAGTGGACCTTTTTAAAAATAGGATTTAAAATGGTTTGGTAAGGTGGAGCTTCAGAATTATCAGCTACAATAAAGAATATGATTAAGCAACTTAATGAAGTCAGGACAAAGATATTATAAAACTACAATTAATTATTTATTTAAAAGATGTTATCATTAGGAATTGCATCAGTTAATTGATTTTCTCGTTAAGATAGAGTCAATAAAATTAACACTGGAATACTTGACAGGTAGTTCATGTTGTTATATTAAAAATCGCCAAAGTTCATCTCTTAAAATTATAAAAGTGCTGTTCCTGTGAATTTAAGAACACTAACCAATATGTAGTAATGGAATATTTCTATAATAATACTTAGAGTGGCCCTTCCTTAGAGTAAGATAAATTTAATGCATTCAAATTGAATCCTTTTTATAACTAAAAGGTGATGTACACCCACTAAAGCTTCAACTATTGCTGACTATATTAAAGCACCATCTCCGACCATCATTACATTTTTATTTAGTTGGTTCTACAAATATTATACAATTTCTTTTTTTTAATGAAGTTTCATTCTTGTAAGGATTTTTGTCTTTTTAACCAAATTTTTTAAACATGTAATTAATTTGATATCAATGTCATCTGTTTATCTCAATTATTTGTAATATTATTAATCAATACTATAATTCAAGGAAATATCACTTACTTTATTTGATAACAGATATCCCCATAAATTACCTGTTATGGCAAAATCGCTATTTCTATTTAAAATTAATTCCAACTATGTAATTATAAAATTAATCTGAGACCCTAATTTCTAGTCTAACTATGTTTTGGTTTAAAATTTTTAATTTAGATCTTATAATAAGAGCAACTCTTTTTTTCATCATAACCTAATATAAGAGTATTAATTTATTCTTAATCAAATTTGATTCAAAAGCGCAGTGTACTGTTGTCAAAGGATTATCTCCTGAAATTATTTTTATATCTAAGTTTGATTCTAATAACTTTTCAATAATCTAGGATGTATCATCTTTTAAATTGTTTTTCAAAGTAAATAATCCAATAAAGTTTAATTTACTTTCCAAGATATTTCTATCCAATCCAATCTAATCATGCATTAATTATTTTTCAGCTAAACCAACGACCCTTAAACCTTAATAAGTCTATTACTGTAATTAGACTAAAAGAGATTTATCATATTGTTGATTTGATAATTCTTGACAAATAAATGATACTGATTTTCAAATTCATTAAAAACGATAACACTCATTATTTACAGATGAGAACTAAATTCAAATATTTTTATCACCAAAAACTCTTTTCGTTTTTTGAAACTTTGAAGTACTTTTAGTTATCAAAATTGATATTCCAATCAGTTAATTTAAAAATTTCTAATTCTAATGGATCTCCATTTAACTCCTCATTAATTATAGTCAAGTGATGACAATAAGCCATGATTTCCAATAAAGACTCTTGATGAGGAATATAATAATTCGCCTATAAACCTGATGTAGATAGTGTTCCAGTTTTATCAAAGCATACAGTGTCAATTTTACCAGAATCTTCAGTTTTAATAGGATTTGATCCTACAATATCTATTTATTTTAGTTTTAATAGAGACATAGCTTAATTTAATGAAAAAAAGATCAGTAAAGCAGGTGGAATTATCCAAGTTATTGCATCAAGATATCATTGTAATATATATTTAAATTATTAATACGAAAGATAATTGATAATGATAGGACAATATCTAACAATAATTAGTTTAATGGAATAATTCATGTATTAATATTTTGTTATGAGTAATATAGTGAAAATAGATAGAACAATGAGACCCAAAATGACTAAGAATTTATATGCTTAGACATAAACTCTCTAGATGGAGGTGGAGGAAATATAACATTTCTAAAATACTACCCCCTCATTGAAGCATATCCAGTTTTTATTACTAATCCAATATTCTTTTGATAAGGAGATATCTTAATCACTTTAGTACCTTCAAAGAGAGTATTTTCATAAAATCATTCGATAATTTAATATGGCTTATTTTGGAATTGGTACTGTTTCCCTTGCTAGGGTAGCATCATTCACCATTACATCACCTTAGATTAGTAGACAATCACAATTCATTTAGAGGTGTTTTTCAATAAAGAATTAATCTCCAACCACTAATTCACTTCCATCTATTAATTTATTATCAATTAATTAAACATGTTATTTGATATTTGCTAATTTTTCTAGTTATATTTTAGATTTTCTCAGGCTGAAATGAGTCATGAATCAGTTAGTATTTTAAAAATCATTGTATATATGTAATGAATACCTATAGTTAAAATAAGAAGTATTGTTAATCACTATCTTTTGAGAAATGCTCTATTAATTATTTGAATTAGTTACTAGGTAATGAGTGCAGGATTATTCATTGATTTTGACAAATAGAAAACTTCTATAGAGCTTGCTGCTCCATTTCATTAGTAATGCAAACAGGGAGCAAGTGATAATGGACAGGATGATCTTATTTATGATTGTAAGTAGTATAGAAATGAAAATTCGAGATCTGCTTAGAATGACAGGAATAAATTCGATTAGAGAATGTTGTCCTTCAATATCAGAGGATTTAACTTTAAATATCATAATAATATTATCTTCATTCATTTGAGTATTTTTTTAACAATATCTATATATAGGAATTTACCCTCATTTTTAGGATCTATGAATTTCATGTATTCATCAGCTTCATCTTCAGTGAACCTATAGCCCATTGTCATGAGCAATTCTTTGAAGTATTCACTCTAAATATACCCAGTGTTTTCCAAATCTACAGACTTAAAAGCTAGAATCATTAGATCAAATATCATACCTTCAACTAGTTGTTCTTCTCTGTCTTATTCCCTCTTCTTTTTGCTAACCAGAATGAATAGAGCATCAGATCTGATTCCTTAGCCCTCTGAATCTTCAAGTTCTTTGTATAACTCACTCAATTCCTATTCTTCATAAATGTATCCAATGGATGTCAATAATTCTTGCAATTCAGTAAAACTAATTCTTTCATCGCCATCTCTATCAAATAATTAAAAGTTTTCTCGATATTTCTTATCTTCAGCATCTGAGAATAATCTATCTTCATTATCGTAACTGATACTTCTTAAAGTTGTCATCAGAGTACAAATGGCTTTTAAGTTCTTCGATTACTACTCTTGGTTCAATCTTAGGCAATCCATCATTTAAAGCCACCTTCTCTTTTTGTCTTACTTGAGATAAATTAGTTTACGTTTAATTCATATTAATTAAATATAATATTCATAATCACCCATTTAGAACAATATCAAGATTTTTGTATATCTTTACCTATAATAGAGATGGGCCTAAATATACTCAATATTCTTACATGTATCTTAAAAGAATGAAGTAGTAGTAACTTCAGCTTTAGGACCTACTAATTATAATCCTTTATATATCATTTAAATAATAAATGTATTCTATCGCAAAAACTCTAAAGAAATGAATCCTTCAATATAAAAATTAAAAGCCATACATTATTCAGTTTCAATCTTACTCAATTCCACCTTAATATGTTTATGAGACTTTTATATGAGAAATAAATATAAAAGATTTGAGAATATAAATTAGATGATATGTTATATAGATGTAATAACAAAATGGTCTGTTGAATCAGATTCGAATTAAATGGATTTATTTTCTACATCAGCCACATTGTTCATAATCATTAATGATTAATAAATGATATTCTTGAGGGAAAATGTTTACAGTTCTGAATAATTAATTTTAATATAGTAAATCTAAAATGCATCCAAGATCATTTTAATTTTTGTGTTCGAAATAATCTGTGCACTTATTAAAGATTCGCTGACCTTAAAGTAATATCTATCATCCGAATTTTATTATAATTAACATAATTAGAATAACTATTTATTTGTTCTAGTATTAATCTTATCTAACCTGCTAGACAAAAGTTTAATTTCCTATTCTTTTAGCTTCAATTAGGTGTCATCATGCAAGATATCCTATTTCTATTCCATCAACATAAGGAGTTCTCGACTCTCATTTTGATAAGCAAAAACTTTCAGGTTGTATAATTATTTTGAATTATTTTTTTGGATGGTCAATTCTATTTTTTTTTAAGGGGATTTTGATTATATCATTTTATCATATAAATATTAACCAATATTTTGACAATCCAACCCAGTACTGCCCTAAATATTCTATTTTTATTTTGAATTTCCTTTTGGCTATAATTGAGTATCCTAAATTGAATATTAATGTAGGAAGTCCTTAAAATCTTGATTGCATGAGATTCCAAGTCTCTGCTCTGCATAATGGTTTGCATACTTTAATTCAAATTAAAATGATTTTTAATCAAATTTAAACTGGATATAAATATCTTAGATAATTTCATTTAAAACATTTCCTAGTTTAATAGTGATAAGATAAATACTTATTTCTTTTTCGTTCTAGTATTAGATGAATAGTGTTCTCTTTTCATATGATTTTTTATACAGAAGAATGAATAAATAGAATGATACAACTATATAAAGTACAGCCATTCCATCAAACTTAAAGTAAAAAAGAATATAAAATAAACGAGATATAGTAATAATAAGTAATGCAAATGCATTCCACACAAAATCATAATGCTCCAATAATGTGATATTGATGATTATAATTCCACATCCTGACACATATGCATTATCATAGGAAGGCGTGTTTCTATCCACCAAAATCTATATAGCAGTCATAATTAGATTATTAATCACAAATAGATTGCAAGTGTTCTTACCTTTACGATATTTTAAAATATATGGAATTTGTAGGATAAAAAACAAGGTGGCGATTGATTCGAATAACCCATTTATGATCTAACCTTCTTTTAGTTGTATTATGGCAACTCCTAAATTAATAATAATTAAGATAGGCTGATAACATTTAAAATGAAATAGGGATTATTCTCTTGTAAACTCTTCGTATTTTTTCTCCATTTAGGATGGAAAACGTAATGTAAATTTGTTCATTTTAATATAATAATAAATCCTCAGTAGATTATTTCATTTATTCATTTATCGTACTCTTACATATAATAAAATAATAGGATGATGAGACTGGATAATTTAATTAATTAAAAATCACCATATCAATAAAGCATTTCTATATACATATCAACAATTTATTGATATGTATATAAAGTGAAACACTTTTTTCTGTTTCATATTTTTGGTTCATTATTAATTGATTTTAAAATGGTATCAGCTTTTTCAATAGGTTAAGCAAAGAGATCTGATCCAGCCATCAGATCTTCAGCACCTAGTCCAAATGCCTATTTACCAAAATTACTTCACAATTAAAAGGCCCCTAATGGACGTAATATATGATTATCAAATATAGGATTGGTGGAGCAGTCCAAAGAGTAGGGAGATCAACCTCTTATGGACCAGGACCAGGCCAATACTAATATCAATAAAATGTCATAGAAGGCCCTAAATATTCTATAGTTGGCAAACATGAAACCAAATAGTTTTCCCTATCTCCATGCCCTGGAAATTACAATGATGAGAGTTTTACCACGATATATAGAAGACCACCCATATACACACTTGGAATGAAGCATTATACATCAGCAAAAGAGTTTCCACCAAGACCTGGTTAATATGATCTCAATAGCTCATTTGTGTCCAACAACTCAATTAAGTTCCTACTTAACAAAGATTAATATCCTTAGAAGGAGGAATGTCTCCTGGTCCTGGATGTACTATAATTATAAGTTTAGAGTACAATATTGATAAGGCAGTAAAGTCGACAATGGAGAAAACTTAACCTTCATGGGTGATTGGTGCATCTCAAAGATAATAGGAATTAAAGAAATCTCAAGTTTCTCCAGGTCCAGGAGCTCATCAAATGAGTAAAATGCTTAACCTGTCAAAGAATTTCACCATCAAACAAAAATTGTAATCGAAAGATCCAAATGTATCTGCTAAAGGACCTGGTGCATACGATTTGGATGTTTCTATATTTAAATCCCACTATCCTACTTTTAAAATTGGAACTGAAGAAAGAAGCACAAAGAATTCGCTTGATAAGTTTTTTCCTAGTCCTGGATAATATTATAGAGAGTAAACCTTTTTCTTATAAAAAGGAGAGTAGATAGTTTGAGTTCTTTACAAAAGTCAGCTCCATCATTTAAAATTCCGCAAGCTTTAAGGAAAGATCTCAATGACTCGATTACGATTACTACAGGTCCAGGCTAGTATCAAATAACAAAAATAAGAGACATTTAAATGATTACAATGAAGGGTTTTAAATATAATCCAAATAACTCTGTTCATTTCCTGGTACTGGCTAATATAATCCTAACGATTCAATATGCAAACCAAAGGATGGATCGGTTAAGATAGTTCCTGAATAGAGATCAAAAGCAATGTTAACTCAATATGTTCCAGGACCAGGCTAATACTCAATAAAATCTACTCTTGAAGGACTTGCTTGGGGATTCAAGAAAGAAATTAGATCTAAACTCATCAGAAAAGATTTTAATCCAGGACTAGGATCTTATAATATTCCTCCGAATATTAATGAAGTTCCTCGATATTTATTACAGAAATGATCATTACATTTTTTATTAATTTAAATGATTAATAAATGCCTCAAATATTTTTATATAAAGTAACACACTCTTATTTCGATTGAAGGCAACATAGGATCAGGGAAAAGTACACTCCTCAAGTTGATGTAGCAGAAATACCCTTAAGTAAGATATTTCAACATAAACTAAGATGCATTACTTACCAGAACCAGTTAATGAATGGTAACAAATTAATGGAAATCCTAAACTGAATTTACTTGGATCTTTTTATCAGGATCCTCATCGCTGGGCATACACTATGCAAAATTATGCTTTCTATAGTAGATTGAAGCATTGGAAAACTGTTATGGCTTATTTGAATCAATCAATTATTTTGAGTGAAAGGAGTATCTAAGCAGATAAAGAGATCTTTGCAAAAAATGGTTACATCAATGGATTAATGAATGAGATGGAATTTGCAATCTATGAATAATTCTATGATTGGTTGGTCCAAGAAGTTTTTGGAAAATAGATAGCTAAATAATTGATAGTCTATCTTTAAGTGAATCCTAATGTTTGTTTAGAGAGAATGCTCAAAAGATCTAGAGATGAAGAAAAAGTATTAGTAAAATTCTATATTAGAATTCAATTTCCAAAGATTACTTGGTTTAGATTCATCAAAGACATGAGGAATGGCTAATAAATGCAAAAGATTAGAATTAGAAAGTTCTAATTTTAAATGGAGATAAAGAATTTGAAGGTGATCTCAAATAATAGCAAATTATGTTCGATTAAATAAATCAATTCTTTTCTGGATTAGTCTGATTAAATTTATAAATATATTGATGCTATTATATTAGTTTTAATTAATTTTTATTGTTAATTTAAAATGGCCACTAACAATCTTCCGACCTTTTACCCAGGATAATAATCAATGACAAATGTTTAACCTTCCCTATATTAACAACAAGGAGGTTTAGAATATTGTATATTAGAGTAGCACCTTTCTATTAAAGTAATCAAGGCCTTCCATAAGTCTTAGGATCTCCTTCTGGCATTTAGCAAAATCAATAAATATCTTATGGAAATTGTATTAAATGTTGTTCATATTAGAATACGGATTAAATGTGCCCAACTAAGGTGTCCCATCATATTAGACTCCTCAAAGAATTGTTTCTTAAAGAGTTATGTAATAATCCCCTTAGGTTGTTACATCTCCGATAATTTAATAATAAGTTCCTATTATTCAATAATAAGCTCAAAATATTTAATCATCAGTGCAGCAACCATCAGTTGGTAACGAAATAATAATAAAATTAAATAGTTCATAATGTGGAACACGTACCAGTCATTCATGAATTACATCACGTGAATCGACCAATAAATGTTGTTTCAGTAGATGAGATTGAAGGTCCTTGGAGAAGTAAAGTATTATTGTTGGAGAAATAATTAATTGAATTGTAATTGATGTTAAAGAAGGGTCCCGTGAAATAGGTTCAATCTAAATAAGTAGTAGTAGAAGATGAGGGAAAGGTATGCTAAATCAAATACTATCAACTAATTAGATAAGACAATTGCAAAGTGAAATCGAGAGACTACAAGCCATTTTAAGGGAGAACCAAAAAGAGATTGATGAATTGCAATAACAAATAAATGATGCAACATTTAATCTAGAAAATGCTGAGGAATAGGCATCTTCTCAAGTGGAAGCATAACAGGAAGAATTAGCTAAATGGAAGAAGAAGTTCTCAGATTTAAACAAGAAGTTCCATGATATTGAAGAAGATATAACTATGACTGAGGCTTAAATAGAAAGTATTTAGAAAAGAAAAATGATCACTTAAACTACATCTACTGTTAAGACTACTGCAAAAACTTCAGGAGTATAGCTTTATATTTATAATTAGGGTACATATGGGGATGGAGATGTCAGAAAGAGCGGTTTTAGCAATAGGAATTATTGATTTATTCAAAAATTATAAACATTTATGCTAAATACAAATTCAAATTAATTTGTTCATTCCAAATTAATATACGCATGTGCCATATCTCCTAAAAGTACTATAGATAATTAGAGAATTATTTTGGGGACTATTGGCTCAGGAGGACAATAAATTATATGTAATCTACCAATTAATCTATAATATAGAATTGCAATCTGCCCAAGAAGGTTATAAAATTAAAACCTATCATTTGCATAATGCATTCAGTGCTAAATTATTATTTCTCAATCAAAATGAAGGAAATGAAAGATTTGTATCTGCAGGAGAAAAACTTTAAATATTTAAATCAGAAGACTAAAAAATCAGTCATATTTGTGATCTAATCCCTTTAAGTAAGGAGTATGTCGGTCCTACGTTCGCCTTAGATTTTCATTATGAATAGCAAAATAGATTAAGTATTGATTTCCCCATATCTCGCTTTTAGTCTCTGGTTCTCTGGATCCAACAATAAGAATTTGGGATCTTGAAAAGAGAAAGTGTTAGTATCAATTTATTGCATATGACATATCAAAAGAACCAGATTAATACACTTTAGATTTAAATATAGGTCGCGATACCAACATTTTAGCATTTCTAAACAATTATAACTAAATTGGAATATATGATATCAGATCTAAAATGGGTATGCACAAAATCAAAGGCAAATTGTAGTATAATCAAGTGATCTGGAATAAAAAATAAGATAATAATTTGATTGCCATAGATTACGAGGCGGGTCTTATTGATTTTTATGATACCCGAGATTTTAAAAATAAATATATAAAAGAATTAGAACTGACCATAGATAAATTGTGAAAGCTGAATGGTTTTAGGATAGAAAGTAGTTAAGCATTATAATAATTAGTTCTTTGGTTACTACAGGATTAGATAGATAAATTATTCTTTACGAGGGTGATAAATATCTGGAGCCTTGCTTTGGATTAACTAAGAATTATGATATAGACAATTTCTGTTGTCAAAACAACCTATTTGGAATTGTCTCAGAATATACTTTCGAGGTTTTTAACTTTGAAACATAATGAATTTTTATTAAAATTATTTATGATAAATGAGTCATACTTAATTGTCATCTGAATCGATTCTAATTCAGCAAAATCATTAAAAACATATCTGATTATTATTAAGATCAAAACAATTCAGTAATGGCACTGCATTAAATCTAAGGGGGGAAATGACCAAAATCAAAAAGAAAACAAATCAATCAACTACAGCCTAAAATAAAGATCTATAAATATATATAAGCAAATATCTGTTTTTGAAGATGCCAAATAATTAATTGGTATGGGTAGTTCCTCAGATGAAACAGCAATGTAAATTAAGAAATTTAAGTACATTTAATATAACAAATTTAGTCTTAAATGATCACATAATACAACTTAATGTTGAAGTGAGAGTAGGGGTTTGAGGTAGAGAAGGTTCATTATTTGCTGAAGATAAAATTGGGATGATATAGAATTATGCTAGTATCTAAAATTAAGATTTTAGAGCAATTATATAATTTAAATATCTTTAGGTACACTTAATGTGATTGCGTTGTAAACTTATTAATAAGGACTATTATATCAATACAAAAAGACACCCAAATGGGTCAAGGTTGTAAACAGGATTCTATAATTCAACGGTGATAATTTACATTAACAATTGATGTGAATCTGAAGTAAGGTAACTTAATTTCCAGATTTTCTTTACAGAAGTATTAGAGTTCCAGAAACAGACACTAAAAGGAAGAATAAATTCCAGCAAAGCCTCCATGATTGTATTTTCAAAGGTAACGGATAACTTTCAATTATGTGACAAAGATATGAAATGTGAATTTATTAGAGCAAGTGGACCAGGTGGTCAACATTTTAATAAAACCAAAAGTGCTTGTAGAATTACTCAAATTCCCACTGGAATTCAATTATAAATATGGGAGACAAAAACTAACAGAGAAATAACAAAGAGCAAATCAAATTTTAAGAAACTTAAACTAGGAAAATTTAAGTTGCTGGATTCCTGATAGAGGTGATAAATTAGAATCTATAATTTCCTTAGGAACGAATTAACGATTATAGAATTAACTTATGATAGATTTCATTCTCCTTTTTATAACAATGTATTGTATTGAAAAAATGCAATATTAGGCCAATTCATTAAAAAGTATTTGATGAAAATTCATACTGAAAATTACAGGATTATTAGATGAATTGTAAATGAAAATAAGAAATGATATATCGATGTATATGTTTATAATTTGTACTATCATTCATTAAATCTTTCTTAGAAGTGTCTATTTCTTTTAATTCTATCTTGATAGGCACTAGAATCATTTTAATTATATATTTCTTTCCTTATTTTGTTTAAAAATTATCCTCCTCCTACTCCTTATTATTATTATTTAGGTTCTTCATCAATTTATTTTAATTATTGTTGAAGTCTTTGTTATCCATCGGCTGCCATTTAATTACGTAGTTCCTCCTAAGATTACTATGGATTTAAGTTTTTTCTATATTTTTTTTTCATCAGACTGAAATCTGCTTTAACATTTCCATGTTCGTCTGTGACTGCAATATTTCCCAATCTTTCTTTTAAATATTATTAATAAATTTAAGATTTAGAAGAACCTGTTGAAATGGCTGTAGAAATCTCTTATTCCTTAGAACTTGAAGATGAAGATCTAGAACTACTGCTTCTATTATGTTTCTTACTTTTTTTTGATGACTTTTTATCCTTCTTACCATTCTTTTTTTTACTTTTATCTTTTTTCTCTTTATGTGATTTTTCTTTCTTTATTTTTTTATTTGCTTCTATCTTCTCTTACAATTATTTCACTTTCAAAGGATTCTGCAATAAGACTTATTTTATTTGTTATTCCTAAAATTACTATTATATAACATACCCCTTTCATAATTTAGAACATAGGATCTTCATGCACAAGCACAAAATCTTCACATTTTGCATTTGTTGTTTCCTCTTTAAAAACTGTTTGATATTATTAAGTTTGTTTAGCCTTTTCTCTTTAATCTGCTAGTTTTTCCACTTCTTAAGATGTAGCAGTCTTACCAAGAAGATATCTAATAATATAAATAATTCATACTCTTCTGCTGAATTTTGATTTTATTTTTCAAGTTTGCTGACATCATACATCCATTCCATTCTATCCAAATGACTTTTTGGAATTAAACCTGCTTCAACTTAAATTCTTTTTAATTCCTCTATGTTTTTTTCTTCTGCCAATTTTTTTGCCCTTTCTTGCTCCCTCTTTATTATATCAGCTTGGATTTGTTCTCTAATCCAAACAATTTCTTAATTCTTCAAAGAACCTGGATGCCAATTTTTCTTTTATAAATAATTCAATCCCATTTAAAATATATATAATAATATTTATATATTTTATGTAATTTCAATAATCTATATATAAGTATCAATAGTGTGTTTGCATTTATAATTTAAATTTTGATTTATTCTACTTCAAAAAATGAAAAAAAAAGAAACCAAATTCAAAAAAATTTAAGTAAACAAGAAGATCTACCCTAATTTCTTGAAAATGATTGACGAAAGAAATGTAATAAATCAAATTATTGTTAGTTTGATCTGTTTATATCTTCATTTCGTGATATTCATCCAGAAAACTTTACTCATTGCGGATTTATTTATACTCATAAACAAAATGAAAAGTTATCAATTAATGAGGATGCTGCCTTTGTATTGGATAATAAAATTTGGTTTGCAAGAATTGAAGAAATAGTGAAAATTATAATAAATGGTGAAGATGCAGGATTTATTAAAGGTCGTATCTATTTATAAAAGCCAGATTTAATTGGACTGCATGAGAAAATAAAGGAATGTACAGAAGATGATTTATTTCTCACCGAACAAACCAAATGGTTCTTTTGTAAAGAATTAAGAAAAAAAATAATGGTGTATAATCTTAATGATATCATTCAAAACAATATTGATACGAAACCTGGCTCATTTTATACTCGTTCAGAATTTAATGTTGAATTCCAAAAATTTATAACACCTGTTGAAGAGTGGGCGACTGAATGTATTTGCTAAAAATTATTCGATAATTCTCTGGGCTACTTATAGTGTGATAGGTGTTAAAGATGGATACATTATGATTGCAGTGGGTTACCAAAAGATGTACTTGAAAACTTGAATGATCATAATTTTAATTGTAAGATTTGTGTAGGCGAAATGAAGGTAGAAAAAATTAAGATAAAATCAAATGAAAACGAAAATTAATAATAAGTGGTGAAACAATCTAAGAATGCTGCTAAAAAGGAAAATTAAATTATTGAAGAGAAGATAAAAATTGAAATGTAAGAAAGAAAACCACTTAAAAATAAATCAGTATTAAATCAAAGTATGAATTACAATAAGCAGTTTATAAATGAAAAAAATTCAAAGAAGCCTATTCAAAAAATTAAAAGTAATTGAGCAAATATAATTAATATAACTAATTCAATTTTAGATCTATTAAAAGTTTGGAGTGACTACTTAAGTGAGCTATCTTTATTCCTTTCTCTTGACTACTTTTGTTCTTGTATAATCATTTTCATCATCAAAATAAACTTTTTTAGAAGGGAAATATTATTTAAATAGCTATTTATCAATTTTAGCCAAATTCATTGCAATTGATATCACTATTTCATTCTCTAAATTTTCTCTTTATCTTGGGAATGTTCCTGTCCTCATCTTATATAATATTAAAAATTATTATAGATGGCTCATATTCTCAAATTTAGTTTATGATATTGTTCCGTAAAAGTTAAATGGATCATTGAAAACACTAAATATCTCATCCTCCTCTTCATCTTTCAAAGGAATGAGTGCAAATGATTTTATCTGTATTTTTTTATTTTGAAAAGGTGAAGAATCAGGAGATGAAAAATTAGACAAAGTTTTCCATGATTCTTGATTTTAATAGGTTTATTATGGAATTTAAACCTAGACTGGTCTCCTTTTTCTAAAAGCAAGCACTATCTAAGGAATTTCTCTTTAATTATAAGAGACACTTCCATAGAGTTATATATCAGAGCTTTTCTAAGTGTAATCAAGATCGTATGAAGTAATCGATAAACCAGGAGATACAACTTAATAGGAATTAGTTGGTTTTGTATCAAAATCATCAAATTGCAAATCTACATCATTTGAAGAGAACATTTTCTCATAGCTTAATTTATCTGTCTCAATATCTTTATTTGATTATGTCTGAGGACTTTAATCAATTGAATTACAGACAATAATATTAGTATCAGATTAAGTTTTGTGACCTGAATATATGAATTTTGTAATTTTAGCATCACTAATTTTTTAATTTATCATAATCAATATACATAATTAAATAATTCAATCTTAACATAATTTCTGACACTTTCTCTCTCTTTTATGGCAGTACTTTTTAAAGTTAAAGTACATAAGTATTATGAATTAATGTCTATTTTAAACAATATTTATTCTTTTTATCATTAATTTTCATGATATATCATTTTTCAGATTTTTTAGTCGAGTAATTTTTGTCTTAAGCAAATAATAAGGATTTTCATAATCATTAATATAATAATTCTATTAGTATCGCTGTTTATGATAATTTATTCTCTATAGAAGTTGAGGTGATTATTCAATTCAGATAAATTCCAATTCATTCTGATGCCCTCATTTTTCCTTGATTTTAAGAATAAAAATCTAAACCATTAAAAGATAAAAAATATAAGAAAGTGGGATCTTTAATAATTCTTTATTGAGTGTTTGATGTTTTACCACAATTAATTTAAGATAAACATAAGCATGCATAAGTAATTTTATAATAATAGCGTTATATTTTTAAACTTGAATAGAATGAGACAAGTGATTATCTTTATAATTGATTGTGTAACATATCAATATGCTTGATAATATATCAAATTTAATTATTTCTAGTCTTTAATGTAAAATCTCTAAAATGACATAATTTATATGGTCTTTGGTATTATCCCAAGAGTAAAGTTAATTATCTTTTCTGAAATATCTTTAATTGATTTAATCTAACATCTTAAAATACTAAAATTTAATAAATAAATTTTTTTTATTAAATATCAACTTTTCTCAAATCGAATTGATGCTTGACTCATTCCTATATTGAATACTTTGAGGTAATATATTTGGAAAACCTTTTAATTGCCTGATAATAAACTTACTAAAACTTTTAGTTGATGAATCCCATATACATGTGAACATTTCTGTAGCTTTCATTTTAATTCTCAAATTCTTTAAACTACACCTTTAGCTATAGAAAGTATTTATACAATAAAAGTTTCTACTTGATTCTCATAATTTTTAAATTTAAAAAATAATAGACAATTAATTTAATTATTGATTTAGATATTAGTTATCATATTCTTTTTTTTAAATATTAAGAATGCTTATATGAGGTTAAAAGTAGGTTTTTACATATAAGTTAAAATGAAGTATTTTTAAAACAAACCTATGAAAATCTGTAGAATTATTTAGGGTTTGATAGAAGGAGTTCAGGCTAAACTTTATAATATGAGTTGAAATAAAATAAAATAAGAAAGCAACAAAAATATATGCTTAAATTCAATAGGATTTGAGTAAGCAAAAGAAATATAGAAATCACTTTCATTATTTTATTACAATCAAGATTTGATATTCTTGATCATATGATTAGGTTGGTATAGGTAACCCTTGTATTGACTATGTAAATTTTATTTGATTAATATTTTTTTAGAGTGGATAACTCTTCTTAATTGTAGATATTTTAGGTTTGAATTATAAATTTTAAGATCAATATATTTTCTGTTACAAAGGCTAAGTCTAAATTTTTGATTCAAAAATATTTAATATAACCTCCTTCCCTTACGCTGGAATTGCAGGTATAATTACGTTCTTCAATCAATACGGAATATATTTACTCACAAGAGATATGAATACTCCATTCCTATAAATTGGCCCAACTTTCTAATATTATAATAAAAAAGATGCTTATGAAGCCTTATATAAAGCAGGTTAGACTATAAAGGATAGAGGACTTCCTCTTAAGTTTGGTTTGCCTTTAATAATTTTAGTAATGGGTCAGACATACACATGATATTCACAAAGCATTTAAATCCTAAGACTATTATGCCAATAAATTAGATTATGAATCAATCTTCCATTAGAAATACTTACCTTATCTCAGTATTCTCGTTCATGATATTTATTGGGTATAAAAAAAAACTTTTCCCGATATATTACTGATTTATAAATTAAAGTAGGAATATCCCTAATTTTAGGAATTAGTTGAATCTGGAAATAGTAGGTTGGAAGATGTTACGTGTGATTTAAAGGGTTCCATCAAATTTTTAAAGAAGTTTACTAACCCTGATCACCTTGTGTACTATTACAATCCGTTGTCTCGATAGATTAATGACTAAATAGATGTTTAGTTTGAAAATGACATCATTTATATGACTATTGCTTTTTTACCTTCCTAAATGCCATATGAAGCAAGTATGGATTTTGGAAAAGCATTAAGAGATATTTTACCGCACTTAGTCTATTCAGATCCGACAAAACGATTGGAAGAAAGCTGTTACATGAATTTTTGTAAAATGCAACCGTTACATTACATGGAAAACTCACCTAAAAATTTTAATACATTAATGAATTAAGGAGAATTAATGAAACAAAAAATGACCAATAACAATTTAGATCGATTAAATCTCATTATTCGGACAAAATAATTGCAACTTAAGAACATATCTCAACAGAAAATACTTCTCTATCATAGTCACAACCATATCTTTTTCTTATTTAATTTTAGATCACCAAACTCCAATTCATAAGAAACGAAGGATGATGGAGCTTAACTAGAAGATTCACCAATAAATTTGAATATGCCTTCTAACGAAGGAATAACTAAATGCTCAATGATCAACTAGCTTTCGATTCACGAATTTAAATTTAATGATTATTATCAATTTAGCTATTATTCTATTTTTGATTTTTATTTTTACAATCCCTTAAATTATTATCAAGATACATTTTTTAAAATAATTATTAGGTTTAAAGATAGAAACGTAATCCATTTTATTGCGATAAAAGAATTCCAAAAACTCTTTAAATTGTCACTAAACCCCCCCCCCCCAAAAGATTTGTGAAAAACAAAATGGATATTTAATTCCTTCATAATGGCGATTCAAATAGACAATATATTATTTCAATCATTAAAAATCGTCGAAAAATTTGATCTTTTTATTGTTATTTAACCAAATAAAGAAAGGCAAGGGATAAAAATATAAGAAGAAGATAATTAATTTTTTTCTACAAAATTATTGAAAAAAACATAAATTATCATTTATTTGATAAATGCTTTTCACATTATTATTTTTAATCTTGAGCTTCTAGATGATTTGGGTTTTCTTCCAGAAGTTATGTGTAACATTAAAGTGCCTTTTAGTAGTTTTTGGTGAAAAATAAACAATTTCCTAAAATAATATGTTATCATTACCTTTTGTTAATAATGATTTTGGATGATGTTAATTTAATTTCAAAGCTTATTCTAAAACTTAAATGGCTTATAGTTCCATATCATTCCTATATAGACATTCACCTAATTAATAGAGAAATATTTACCCTTCATCCACAAAAGATCTATATTATTTTAATTGTTTCCTAACACTTTATTTATTTCAACTAAAGCTTTTGAATACTCTCTTTATGCCATTAACAGTTCAACTATAATTTACACATTTTTTACTCTTTTTCAAAATCAAATCTAGATTGTTTCCATAGAAAATAAGAGCTTGATTTATAACTTTTAGGCTTTCTTCCACTTTTCCCAAATTAAATAAGCATTCTGCTATTAATTATTAATTTTAATCATACATTTTATAATTAATGTTTGCAAATCTTATGAACTTATTCTTTCAATCATTTCGATTGCTTCCTTTTTCTTTCCTAATAGGCTCAAGCATTTAGCTATTTATGAACTTAGATAATACCTCCAATCCTTAATAAATTTATATGATTTTTATCAATTAACAATCCTTCATTTATCCATATCATAGCTTCTACTTACAACCCTAATAAACTTAAGCACTAGGCTAAAATTTATTGTTAGAAAAACCTTTTCTGCTTAGTGTGTTAACATGTTTGGGATTGACATTCAAAATGACATCAGCCAATTTTATAGCTTCTTAATGCTTACCTAATAGACTTAAACACTCAGCTAATAAAATTAAAGATATAGTCTTACCCTTTCTCCACAAAAAATCTGTATTGTTAGGATATACCATTAAAATTTCGTCTAATATTTCGAGAGCTTCAATTTGTTAGCCTAATAAGCTTAGACATTCAGCTTTTATTTATACTTAGAGATACCTTTTCTGAACCAGGAATCAATACATTCAGGATATATAGATACTGCTTTTTCGATAATTATCAGTGCTTCTTTATGCTTTCCTTATTAATTTAAACATTCTGCTATTTCTCATTAATATATCATACACTTTCTACATAATGAATCCAAATCGCTATCATCTAGAGATAGGGCTTTGTCAATCCATTTGATAGCCTCACTTTAATTACCCAATAAGCTTAGGCAAGTAGCTAATCAATAAAATTGACAATTACATTTACACCAAAGAGAATCAATATTCTTCTCATTATATTTAAGAGATTTCTCTATAACCTCTATTGCTTACTAAAATTTATCAATTTCGTATAATTTATAACCTTATATCATAAATATGTTAAAAACCTTATTCATAGTAATAATCAGATAATTATTAATTGTCGTCGGCTTTTTGGATGCAATTTATATTATTTGCTATTTAAAAATCGACTATATTCTTAATGAGCGTTTAGAAATTTTCAAGTAAATTGCTGAATTATTCCATAATATCTGGTAATTTTACTAAATCGCACAAGTATTTATTTAGTTGAACTCCATTATATTTTTCAATTTTAATTTTAGGTAAAAAATATTTTAATTCCAATCCACCTCTTAATTGTATAAAATTTGATTAAAGCACTTTGAACTATTCATCTAGTTATTCAATAATATCTATTTCGCAATTTTTTTATTTTTTTTCTATAAATTCGAATATTTCCTTTATTTTTTCCCAACCTTTATGGGTAGCTATATGTCTTTGCTCTCTTTCGCAGGTTTCACACATAAGTCTAGTGGGTTCAGCGCAATTATAAAAATGACAGAATCTTTCAATATTATTTTCATGATTTTAAATTGGGCATTTTATTTGATCCATATATATTAAGAAAATTAATTTATTATTAATTTATCCTTTTTATGATTATGCCTCCGGTCATCCTTTCGTCATCCAATGCATTAAATATAAAATGTTTCAGTTTATATCTAAATATATATGGCTCTCAATTTATTGTCATAAATTAATGAATTTGCAATATAAAATTATCAAGACCTTTATTTATTATCAAACTTTTCCTATAGCCAAAACCAAATTTAATATTTGATTTGAATGCTAATTCAAATTTAATTAGGATCGTCTCACAATATGATGAAACAATTGAAATTAAATGATGAATTCTCATAATTATAATATCTCATAAAATCAATCAATCAAAGTATTTCAGCTTCAAAAACAATTGAAGCAAATAATTGGTGAAGTATGATGGCTAAGATAAATAAAAAAATGGATGTACTGAGATTAAACCAAGAAAATTTCAACTATATAATCATTTGAAATTAAAAGAAAATGGTAAAATCTATTTCCAATATGAAGAACCCTAAAAATATCCTGATTATGTATAGATGATAGTGAATAATATTTTATAACAGGATAAAATATGGGAAATATTTCTGTTTGATGTCAAAATAAAAATGTATTTTTTGTAGTAGACTAAATTAATAAATTTTTCAAGTAGGTTAAACTACGAAATAAAGTAGAATTGTATTTATAGATTAATTTATAAAAGGGGTTTTTGGGTGTGTAATTACTTTAATTGAAACATAATTATTGTAATAGAATTAGGAATAGATAGAAAACTAAATAATATTAAATGTCTTCATTAATTGATATTGTTTCAAAAGATGAGAGGATATTTAATCTAAGGAGAAATAATTTAGAAGAAACTTAGTCTCTAATTAAAAATACCTTAATTGCAAAATGTCAAAGAAATTGACTAAAATAAAATAAAAGCCTTTCTTAGAGAGGTTGATCTTGATTTGGAATATTATGGCAATCTTCCTCTGTTACATTAAGCATCACTAGAATACCACAGAGTAATGGGGACAGAATTAGCATTTAATATAGAAAATGCCTAAAAGTGGATTTAATCAACAGAATTTATTGAACTTACTTATGCCTTAAGATGGGTATATGAGATGTCTTCATACAAAGATAGATAAGAAATCTAGATAGAATTTGATCCAAAAGATTAAATTCTTAAGAAGATAATACTCCTAAATATAGGTTTGGAATAGAAAAAAGAGATTTCTTAAATTAATTTAATTGAATTGGTTTGTGATAATAGTGAAATATTGTATGGCTTGTCTTTATATATTTAAAACAGGATTGAAACTCAGGATATTTCAACTTATCTCCCTCTTCTCTAAAATATGATGTAAGAAGGTGATAAATCAGCAATTAATTAATTAATCATCATTGAACTAATTGACAAAGTACTTAAAAAATATTCAGGATAGTAAGACGAATAAATAAAGAAATTGAAATTAACCAACCAAATAATAAGATAAATAAAATGGGAAGAGGATTATAAATAATACACTTTGTAAGAATTAGAAAACCCAAACTTTTAACTTAGAATGACAAAATAGGTATATCTATATACAAAGGAATAATATGAGGTCAAAATTAGCATATTTAAGAGTTAATGGGAAGATTTGTTTACTGAAATTATAACGTCAACTATCATTCAGCCTTTAGATATATTGTGCTCTTCTCTTGGTGAAGAAGAGGAAATAAATAAAGAAATGAATAACCCTACTTTTAGAAAAAAATATTATAAATTAAAAAGCAGTATTAACTAACCCAATCCCCTTTAGAGTCAGATAAGAGTAAATCTTCCACCTCCGCTACCTCTTCCTAAAGTAAAGTCAACTAATATTTCTAACTCCATTTATGTTAAGTTTAATTATCCTATTCTTGAAAATTAATTAGATGGAACAATCTGGAAGGTGAATTTGATAGGTTATGAGACTAAAATCGATAAATAAATTTTAAAATATTTTGAAAAGAATCAAATAAAGTAGACAAAAATAAACTTAGCTAAAATTGTTGTTTTAAAAGATGAAGTTGAATATGGAAATTCAGTCTTTAAGAATTAAACCGAAATAGAATTAAAAAGGAAGAAGTTTGAGAAAATTAATTTAGACGAAATTTTGGAATAAGTAAATCAACTTGAATTTATAGAGAAAAATTAAGATAAGAATATCAGAGCATATATTTAGCTTCTTAATTCTTCTATTCAATTTATATCTAAAGATAATGTCAAATAAATAGAATAAAACATAAAAGAGACCAAATAAGCAGAGTAATGAATTTAGAAAAAGAAAACTTGAAGAAGAAGACGAATTATAAAAACAGGAAAGGGAAAGATTAAAAGACCTATAAAAAGAAGCAAGAGAATAAGATATTTTAAAATACGAATCAGCTATCCGTTGAATACAGAATGATTAATTACCTATTCTTGAAGAAGATAATAATTCAGAATTAGCCACCCAGAAAGAAAGCTATAAGCCTAGATTAAACACATAGATGACATAGATGTGGTGATACCTCCAATTCTCCTACCCTTTATCCGTCTGCAGTTTTTCCGCTACCAGTTCCTTACCT